TTTAAAGATGCCCGCACGCCCCGGTTAACGGGCCGCATAAATAAATTTTGGTGAGATCTCCATTGGTTTACGTGTAAAAGTTTCTTAGTGCGATCGCGGAAACATAAAAGTGCAGTGTATGTGCGATTCCCCAATGATTGTAACATTCAGGCGACTTTTCAGCGAAGATTTACAGACAGTGTCTCAGATTGTTAGTAGATTTTTAGTGTGAATTCGGTATATAAAAGATATAAAGACTGCATTAATATTCGAGGCATATTTGTTTTATAGGATCTCGGGGACGTTACATCGCACCCTACCCCGAAACTATACTAGAGAGTGGTTTCCCTATTTTGTCATATACCGAAATTTATGAAAACATTTTTCTTTTCATTCTTTTTGATGCGTCTGGCTTATGGTTCATAATGAACCGAGACAGTGGCCAAACTTTGTCGATCATTTCTGCCTACTTCCATCCGACTGATTTTCTCTTCAGTCATGATATTTTCTCTCATGGAGTATGTTGCAGCTTTTTTAAACGCTTACAAGTCAATCATCAATTACGTATAGATGTCATTCGTGTACCATCCTTTTCCACCAGAGAATAAATATTGCATCGGTTTGTGGAACGAAACTTTGTTTAGAAATGGATTTTCAATCCTTTCGTGTATTCATTGGTTTTACCATTGTATTTTCGTCATGCTGCCATTCCAGCCTCGCCGAAAAAGGTAAATGTCATGTTTGAAATTATCTTTGAAACTTTTATCTACGTTTTGTCCTTTGTGTCATTTGGGGAATGAAGGATTTGATTGATTTGTAACGTTCAAACACGGGTTTTAATACCGCAAATAATTATCTGAATCAGAAATATCGGCTGCCACTGCACACTTGTACCGAAAATCATCTTTTGTTTTTATTTTAATGTATTTCAGGTATCAATATGTTGTTTGTTAATATATTTTTTTCTTAAATTAATGCCATTCAAAAATTGACTTCATGCTGCGAGGTTGTCTTTTTTTTTGCTGACCTAAACAAGGTACCCGTGTGGCGGAGGCGGGCGAGAGCTGGGTTTAATGGCGGACTATTACTGAACACTTCAAACAGAAATGTAGTAGTGTTTCATTTCATCCCTTAAAAACAAACTCTCCCATTCTTTAATCTTGTTCTCATTATAACAGTATTCGTTGTCATTACAAAGAGATAATAATGTTTGTATATTCATTTTGGCGATAAACTTTTTGTGAGAATAGTTGATTATTATCATCTATAATTATGATATTATTTAACCCGTGACGGCCGATCCGAGTTTGTGCAAACTTCTGCTCAACGAACTGTCGAGATCACAATAGGCTATCGGGCCGGAACTCTGGCGAGTTGATCTACATTATTGGTGGCCGAGTCACTTCGGTTAGTTTTATTTGTTATGTTTTCTTTTGATTTTCATCAGCTATTGAGGACTGCCTTTTCCATGGATTATTTTCAAAACCTTCTAATTATCGCAAAGGCATTTTCCTAAAATGTTTTTGAAATACTGTTGAAATTCTGTTGTAAATAGTGGGCACACAAACAACATGGTTAAACATCGTATTCTAAAGTGTTAACTATGTTCAATCATATTACTCGTATATGAATGAAAAGGGAAGTATTTTGCGTGGAAAGAAAAAGGAAGCATGGCGCATTAGTGTTACATTTACAGGACGCTTGCACAAACTCATGTTTATTTATCCGACTAATTCATCATTACTTAATAAATGTTATTATATACCTCTCTTTAGAAATCTAGCCATCTGATTGGTCCGAATTGGAGTCATGGTTTTAGCCATGCCCGCCTACCGGTCAATAGTATTTTAAAAGATGCCCGCACGCCCCGGTTAACGGGCCGCATAAATAAATTTTGGTGAGATCTCCATTGGTTTACGTGTAAAAATTTCTTAGTGCGATCGCGGAAACATAAAAGTGCAGTGTATGTGCGATTCCCCAATGATTGTAACATTCAGGCGACTTTCCAGCGAAGATTTACAGACAGTATCTCAGATTCTTAGTAGATTTTTAGTGTGAATTCGGTATATAAAAGATATAAAGACTGCAATAATATTCGAGGCATATTTGTTTTATAGGATCTCGGGGACGTTACATCCTGCTATCACCCATCGCCATGCCTCGGGGTGATAGCAGGATGTAACGTCTCCTTGAGCCTATAAAAACAACTATCCATCTCATAGCAGTCATTATATCTATACAATTGACCGTTTAGCACCGTATCATTTTAAGCAAGGATCTGTTTTTAGGTAGTTAATACCAAAATGTCATTCGATTGTAAGGTAACTAGTCCTTAGATTTCCAACCCAGACAACTAATTTAATTATCCCGTGATAGTTTTTGAAGTCTATTTGAATGTTTTTCGATTTTATCAACGGTTGATGTTGCCCGCGGCGTAGGAGGATTCGTATTTGGTGTCCGGTAGTAATTTTCTGGGGATGTCTGTTCGAGGGGTGGATATCCTGGGGTTGTTTAGATGAGATATAGTGGGTAGTATGATATCAATATCATTCTCCCAAAATGATATTTGAGAGATATTAATTAAATTAAGGATTCAGCAGCGCTGGTGTGAAAAAACATGGGGGCATGCTGGAAATCTTAGTTTAACCTGTTAAATTCATCATCAATTCTTTATTTTTCTTCTTTTGATTGAGTTTTTCTTTTGTTAGTGGAGTGACAACTTTAGCAATTCACCGAGAGAGTAGTTTCACCTCTGACAGCACAATCAAATGCTTTTAAATACATATAGGAACAGAAAGAAAAGTGGGAAGGGTGAGGTGTCAATAATTTTGGCATGTGTCAATATTTTGTATTCACCAATAGTCATAAGAGTACTTATACCTCTGACAGCACAATTAAATGCCTTTAAATAAATATTTATAGGAACAGAAAGAAAAGTGGGAAGGGGGAGGTGTCAATATTATTGCAACGTGTCAATATTTTGTCGGCATAATCGAACATAAAAATGCTTGCACGTGCCAGCAATGCCACTCCTATCATTTTATCGCTGGGTGTATTTGACACTTTAAACAAGGCAGCAAACAGGAAGAACCAGTTTGGGCCAGTTTTCTGGAAGGATGTGTACAGAAATAATATTAGGTGGGAGGACATCAATGTCAGATATTGCGAGTTCGAAATTAAAGGTTCATCAACCCAACCTAAGATTTAAATTAACCAAATGGATATGGGAAAAGAGGATATTAAAGAAACAGATTGATCTACTCTTGATATTTTTTATTTGAGGTAGCAGTAAATAGTTTTCTTGAAAAAGGATGATAAGAGGCCCGAAGCAAATCTGTACATGATTTCAGATAATAGGTTGCTGCAATGGTTCCTTTTCTATTTCTCGATTCCCCTCTCTCTCTCTCTTTCTGTAAAAATGAAATACCCAATTAAAATGTGAAAAAATAATAATGGTGAATCTTGCTCCAAATATTATGACGTTGTTCGAACAATTTAGTGAGAGGATCTTTTAATAAACTTGCGATTGGACGAAGCGCCCGAGAGGAAAAGGTTTTGGAGGGGGCGTCCCCATTCAATACCAGGAAAGCATTTTCAGACCTGGAATTCAACCATTTATTGCTTTTTTAGGCGATTGATTGAGATGAAGGTTTAGGATACTTGGTCTTTTAAATAGTCATATGGATGCAGTATAGATATGTTTAACATATTCCATATCTGCAGCTGACTAAAGAGAGTCTGAAAGGGGCTGCCTCTTCACCTCCCAGGAAAACTTACAACATATTTGTAGTCTGAAAAATCAATATCCTTAAAAGCGGAGGAACGATGGAGAGTCTGAGAGAGCAACTATAGAGTTTTTCTCAAGAAGAATACATTACAGGGTAGAGCCGAACACAATGCATAGCAGAATAGCAGTTCTGCTGAAGTGTTAAGAAACAATCTTAAGAAATATCTGTTTAATTTAGCTTATAATTGATCACCATAACCTTTCATGTCTGTATCTTTCCTATCGCACTTTGTATAAATGTATCATGTATGTATTTCATCTCTTGCACAAGCTGCGCCTTGAGCATTTGACTGTCAAGTGGATTTGGCGCCTTATAAATCATATACGTTATTATTATTATTATTATTATTATTATTATTATTATTATTATTATTATTATTATGGTTTAACCGAATTAAATCTTAGGCATTTACAAAAATAGATGTTAGACAACTTTAAATTCGATTTCCATACAAATAAGGAAGTAGTTGCAAAGGTTTTTTTTAAGAGCAAGATATCAATAAAAACGTAAAAATGCTTCATCAGCAACACGATTGCAAAACATTTCGAAAATTCAACTCAACGGCAGTTTTACCCACTGTCTAGCCTAATAAATCATGTTCGGATTGCATATCGTAATGTCGTGTAAATGTTCGCACATTCCATTAGGAGATGAGCATGGGTATCGCCATTGCATTCGATTTGTTTTCGGAAGTCTTTGCCATCAATGAAAAAGAGAAGTCAAACGTTGGAATCTATCATGTCTATTATTTCCAGTAATAATCAAAGTCCAGAATCAAGTAATGTAAATCAAGTTAGATATGTAAAACAGAACTGTGAATCAGTAATGAACTTTTGTAATTTACTTCTTAACTTGCAATTTCATGTTTACATGGTAGCATTGTCAGTTATAAAACTGCTCTCAACAAGTGCCCCGGGAAGATTGAAATTACTATTTCTATTTAATTTTTTTGTGCAAAATTCTGTTTTTCTATCCTACCCATTTGTTGAAGATGTTATCATATTTCGCAATCTGTTTTGTGACATAGAACTCTGCTCTTTACCGAACTGTCTTTGTTTATTTAGAATCGGCATACCACGCTTTTATGGTATGTGACTGTATTGAAAGGCACACTCACGCGAACTATATTTGTCTTCTTTCTATTCCGTTCACAAAAAAATCCTTGCGAACTTTGTGAACGCAATTCAAAGGATACAGACAGTTGAGTACATTGAAATATCTGTACGCTAAAACATGTCCATCGATCCCAAACCAGTCATAATTATTGTCTATGATGCCCCTTCGCTTCAAGCCGACGAAGGTCAATGCCACAGTGAAAAGATAAAGCGTTATTCTTATTCTAACAGTTTTATTACTTGTCGAAATACCAATCAAACACAATGGAAGTGCTGTGGAACAATTTATTTACTTATTTTGATTTAAATTTTATAAAATGAGAAATTGTTTTTTTTATTATTTGATAAATACAAAGTAAAATGACACTTCTTTTTTTTAAACGTTTGAATGGCGAAGACACTTATCTATTCAAACTTGGGGATGATAATGCATCACTTCTAATGGATTCTTCGTGGTAATTGTGGTTGGGATTCAAACACCATTACAAGGATAGGCTACCGGTAAGAAAATATCTACATCATTCTTACTATTTTAAGAATATTTTTGAGCCAATTAGAATTTTTCACCTTAGAAGTCAGTCAAGTAATCTTTTAATCTTTTAATCTTTTAATCCATCTAGAATTTTATTCGTTAAAATCCGTGAACCTACCAATGACAGTCAAAATGGTTGTAGTTAGGTTAAGTTCTTGTAAAGAACTTTTAGCAGCTTTAAGATACTACCTATTAAACCTTGCCAACAAAGAACCTGAGTGGCACATTGTTGAGAACGTAAATGTGTTCGATGGTTTGTTTTCGGTTTGGTAAGTATTTTTTTTACATTTCTGACAGCTCAGGAAGCAAGTTTATATGCTTGACGATTTCAGGCCCTCTCCGAGAGATCTTGTAGGCCTTATTAGGATTAACGCCTTATACCAAAGGGCACTAGTGCATCTATTCGGTTTCGAACCTGGGACCTCCGGTTGCTAGACCTCTGGACCTTGCGATTGATATCAACTCTTTGTAAGACAGGGACCTGCTCTACTATTGAGCCTCCACGGCACAAAGTTTTAATTCAAATGAAGTGATAATTTGGTTCTCTACAAACACCCATAGACTATACCTGCCCGGCATTAGGCCCGATTTGCCCGGCAATCGCACTGATAGACAGTAGTTTGCTCACACCATTAACACATTATTTTTAGGTTGGATGGGCGAGGTGTGTGTGCGTTGTGTTCGCGCGCGCGTGTGTGTTTGAGTGAATACTGAAAGTGTGTGATTTGATAAATTTTATCATATATTTCATTCTGTATATTTTGTTTAACTCTCATGTAATGTATTTACATATGTCAATTATTATCATACTTTTTTTACGTGCTGTAATTTTTGGAAGTTATTATGTATTAATGTATTAATTGACTAAATAATCAGTGCTTAATATTTATTTACTTATTTCTGTTTCTGTACAATGTTTAATTCACATATTCAAGTGGAATATGATTTATGTTGAATGGAATCGAATAAGCATCACGTAAAAATATCATTACGGTCATGGCCAATCTTTTCATTTACTGACAAACAGACAAACCTGAATGATGTTTATCTGTCATTAGTCTTTTTATGTCTTAATTGCCTTGAACTCAACACTATTCTTCTAGTACCGCGATTTTACCATGAATGATCGACCAACCGTGCCTGTGTAAATGTACACATTTCATTGAATTTACTGTTGAACAGTTGTATTGCATTTTAGATCTGCAGACGAGAAATATCTAGAAGAAAAAAATGTGTTCGTACATGTGTATAGCCGTGGGGGAGGGGAGGGGGAGAGGAGGGCCATGGGCTGCTGAAAATAGTAACGTGTATTTGTAATTTATTTGATAGTTAATATTTTCGTTCATGCACTTTTCATACAATGAACGATCAAATGTAAAACAAGTAGTAGAAGAAAAAAAGCGAGATAGAGAACGGGTCGAGTGAGGAACGGCTTTAAAGATTAAATCTTAGTTGTGCCGGCCTTCGCAAGAAGAAGGAGAAGAAGGAGAAGAAGAAGAGAAGCAATATACAATTTGAGATAAGGCCATTGTGCTTTTCTAGAAAATAATTAGAAAATAATTTAACACAATAAGACTAGAGTATGTGAAGGGCCGCAGAAAAATTTGACTGATGAAATTAGAAAAGAATGAGAAGAAAAGCAAACGCTGCTCGCACAGGATGTTCATAATTGGTTCAACTCACATTCATTGAAACTTAATTTTACAAAGTGTGAATTTGCATCGCATGGTTCCATTATTTTCATTATCATCATCATCAGCATCAGCCTATTTCTAGTTAAAATTCAATCATATCATCGTTTTACTTCTTTCAGATTTGTTCTTTCCATATGGATCAGCGGAAGGTGATACGGTTTTATTAACCGGGGACGAACTTAATACCGATGTACCTATCACACCCGGCCAAGGTTTCAAGTTTTACGGGTCTCAACAGAGTAATATCATAGTAAGTGTGTTTATCTTTGGTCAATTTGGAGATATAATTCAATAAACACGATCGCAAATTCTTACGAGAAATAAAACGAAGAGAAATTTCAAAACCTTGTTGTATATTCCTCAGAAACCACGTTTGGATTGGGTGACACGTAATTGTGATGTTCGCATATTTGAACGGGTGATGGATAAGGCTATTGAAATTACCATTGGTTGATTTTTCGAAATTCTTTGCGATCATGATATGCCCCCTTCTCATACACAAATGTTTCTTACGGATCTTTACGGGTCGCACAAATTCACGGTTCCATAGGATTTGGCTACTTTTAAGACAAATTTCAGAGTTGTTACGAGTTATTACAAGCTATTTACGGTTTATTACGGATTGTTACGAGTTATTACTGTGTATTCATGGCAGAATTCAACGATTTGTTACGATTTGTCAAGGATAGCTAGGAGCAACTTACGAGCGTTATACGACCTTTTAACACATTGCTACGAGTATTATTACGGAATGTTATTATTCATTGAAGCTTTTACATGTTAGTTGCGACTTGATTACGTGTTGTTACGAGTTAGTTACGAGTATTTACGATTTTGCAGCTTTTATACCTCTCCCTAAATCGTAAACAATACATAAGCAATACAGTGTGCTTACGGTTGCACCATGTAAGAGAGGGGGAGGATGGGGGAGTCCTGAAAAGAACTATCGGTAATCTTTATTTCGTGAGTGTGTGTAGTCCTTAGAAGTCCTTTTCAGGACTCCCTGATCCTCCTCTTTCACATGGTGCAACTGAAAGCCTACTGTATATCTACATCACCATGCACGCCGATTCTTATAAGCAGCATCTAATACACAAGAATACGTTAAGTATACGTTCTATTCGTAAAGTACCCGTAACTAAACGTAAGCACTCGTAACAATCCGTAAATTATCCGTAAACAAATCGTAAACTTACCGTAACAAATCGTTAACAAATTTGTTACGGTTCATTAACGGATTTTTGCGAGCAGTTATGCGGTGGTCACATCCCGCCGTACTTGCAAGTGCGTGCTGTCTACGTGCAAAAACGTGGGCAAAATGTGGGTATCCGTACGTGATGAGTACCGCCTCCGTACGGATTTGGAAGCACGCAGACACACCGTAGCACTTTTAGTGCACCAGGAACTTTCGCTGCGTTCGGGCTGCGTTCGGGCTACCGATTCACCCCAGTGCGTGTGACGTGCGTGCCCGGTACTGCCGACGAGCGCACAACGCACTGACTCCGTGCGTCTTTTAAAGGCGCACGTGATAAGTGCGTGGTCCGTGCTTACTCGCCACTTCCCCAGTTCAGCTATCCAATGAGCACGCAGAACTCACGTGGACCGTACCGAGTAAGCACTTACAACGCACGTTGTTCGCACTGATTTATGCAGTATATAGTCTCTTCGGTGGAATGGGCGGCATCTTGAGGCAGCAACAGCTGGGACTTCTGGAGAACATCGGAATGTCGTCCTATATATACACCGAGTTCATCGCACGTGCACGCACTTACAACATGCGAGTGAGTAAGGACACCGTACGTGAGCAGCACTTGTAAGTACGGCCTCCGTACGATAACGTGGCAACCGCACGGAGGCCGTACGTTGTAAGCACGTTGTAAGCACGTATAACGCACTTACCACGTGCACAACATACGATGCACGCAACCGTTCACGGCCAGGCGTGGCGTGCGGGCCACGTATACTTACAAAGTGCGTGTGACGCGCGTTGCCGGTACTCCCTCCCTGCCTTTGCCACTCCCTCCCTACGTTTTCAGAAAAACGTGGCGGCCGTGGCCTCCCCAAAAACCGTACGGACTAAAAACACGCAGGGTGGGATGTGACCAACGCTTAAGGATACTTACCGTACTTACGGGTTGTTACGAGTTTTTTACGAAAAAATCAATCCGTGGACAATTGTAAGAAGATTCGTGACATGTCAACAAATTTGCCTCTCTCACTGTTCCTTAAGCGTTTTAACGAGTTGTTGCGAGTTGTGACGAGTTATTTACGGAAATCAGCAAGTTATTTACGGATGCTTGCGATTGACTACGAGATGGCAATTCGTATAGGACTCGTAAGAAAAATCTTTTTATGTGAAGGGGTATTAATGAAAAGGAGTTAGATGAATGAATATGTACACCTCGTTATACCCCCTCACGTACACGGATTTTTCTACCCTGGGGCATGTCCTTGTGGGAATTTTTTTTAATTTCAGGCCTATCATTTCATAAGACAAGTCATTTTTAGCACGCTCTTGGACCATTTGTATCATCGAAAAAGGTGCTGGAAAAAAACTGTCTGAAAGAAAAGTAATAGGCCAACTGGTTCCAACAATAACTTGCTGTAAATGAAAGCAAAAAATGAGAGAATTTTTGTAAAGAACCGAGGAAAAACAGACAACAGATATGAACTTAATGACATTTAATGATCGTTTAATCAAAATGACAATTCGGTATAGAGTTTACGATGTTATTCACACACTATTCATCAACTAATTGACATTATGGTATCATAATATATTTGTGATCTTTATGCATCCTCGAAAAGTATAATATCAAATGCATTTACCCAAGTTTTTATAATCACATAACGTGTTTCAAAATGCACGAACTTGAAGAAAAATTCTCTTTTCTTTTAAAAACAGGAAAAGGGAGAATATCTTTATAAAGTATATAGTTATTAATAAACAAACTCAACAAACTAAATCACTTTCTTACTGATTGAAAGAAGATGCTTATGAAGATGTGCGGGTGCATTGACAGAAACATCATTATAACCTGGGGAATTAAATGTATTTAAGATCAAGTGGAAAATTCATAGGTATCAAAACTCAAGGCTATTGATGAACAGTGATAAAGACGTTCAAGTACTCCTAAATTGCCCAGTTTTACGAAGGAAAGTGCCACTTTTCTTTCTAATAAATCCCTCTTCCCCTTCTCATAAATGCCCCTTCTCTTTTGTAAGAAATGCCATTTTTCCCTTCTTACGAGTGCCCGTTTCAGGTGCGAGAAGCGTCCCTTTTTACACCTGATAAATGTTCTTTCTCTTCTGATAAGATCTCTCCCCCCCCCAAAAAAAAAAAAATGCCCTGATTTACGTAGGAAAATTGCCCCTTTCCTTTTGTCATTAATGCCCTTTTTCTTTTCTTATGAATGCCCCTATTTCAGCTCTGATAAGTGCCCATTTTCCTTTTTAATTAGTGATTTTTCTCTTGAAAGAAATGCCTTTTCCCATCTCTGAAAGTGCCCCTTTTTATGTATGAAAATAGTCCCCCCCCCCCCCTCCCTTGGCAAAAAGCTAGATCCACCCCTTGTCTACGTAAAGAGTAAATGGATTATGGTAAAAAGTGCTGTGATCGGCCACGCAATGGCGGTCATAGCGCTACATTGTCGTAAGAAGGTACGAATCACCTAAACGTGTTGTGCTCTTCATGAAAGGGGTTTCAGGTATAGCTATACTTTATTGAGAATAACATATGAAGGTATTACTGCTACAAGAGATATTGCAATTTAAATACTTTCTCAGTGAACGGTAAAATGTCTTGTCTTGTCGACGGTTGTTTTGGCTGATCGCGCGATGAGAGGAGACACATGCGCTGTGTGTGGGATGCGTGTGATTGAAGAATAACAAATAAAAACGGACAGAAGCTGGACTAAAACAAAGACTGACTCAATGTTATTCTTTAGTTTCTTCATACTCCTAAACTGTTTACATATAGAATGCCAGGTAAATTTTGTTGAGGTTGATTTTATACATTCTAGCTATACTTTCTTTTCCCAGGTGATTACACATAAGCCGTCATTTCGATTGTGTTTGTAACTCGCTCCAATCAAGTCTGTAAAGAAACAATATATGCAATGTTCGTTTTGATTTCGTTTTGTAAGATGTCAACCGCACATAATATCATCAAAGACAACAACACCCGCTGACGCAATGCTACGTCAGGCTAATGACGACTCGTGTGTAACGGGAATAACTAGTAACACATTTTAACTCCATGTTTAAACCTTAAAAATAATAATAATTATAGGCATTTTTATAGCGCCGTCTATCTAGAAATTCTATTCCGAGGCGCATTAATTATTACAGCGTTCCAGCATTTCAAGGAATTAATTCCTGCCAGTTACCCATTTACCTCACCTGGGCCGAGTGTGCCAAATGAAGGTTAATGCATTGCCAGAGTACATTAGTGCCGTTTCGGGGATCGAACCAGGACCTTTGAATTTCAATTCAAGTGCTTAAACCACTCGACTACGACCTGCGTTTTAGTTGCCTATAGGTACTTTACATTTTTTTAAATCCAACTTTTCCCAATCAATATCTGGAGAAATGCATAACATAAAGAAGATTGACCGTTAATGTATGGTCGTTGTGAGTATCTACATTTTCAACGAGAATTTATAAATTGTTTTTGCAGTATTTCCGGTCTTTTGTAATTCCTCCGGGGTAACTCCATTTTCATGTCTGCTATCCATTCTAATTATTCTGCTTAATGTCATCATAATGTTTTGGGTGATTCATACACAGGTCAACAACAACGGTGTCATTTTCTTCGGCAGTAGTAGTACTCCATACCTCAACCGATTCCCTGAGGATCCTCCGCCTTTGCACGACCATGCCAATGCCCTCATTACACCATACTGGGCCGACACTGACCCTACTAAGGAAGGTGCCAATGTATTTTACCGTAGCATTACACGTGTCAGTAGCGTTGATCAGGATGCCTTTGACCTGGCTGATGATGTCGTGAGGATGTCCTTCATGGAGCTGCAGAATTTCCAGACATCGTGGATGTTCGTTGTGACTTGGGACAATTTGGGATATTATAGTCCAATTACTCCTTCAAACCTTGTAAGCATTTTTCACCTTATGTTAATTAACAATTTATCATTAGTGAAAACCAAAGCTTTAAAAAATATAAATTGAAGTATGCATCACACAATTTCTCCTGGGCATTAACACTAATCCATATGAACAGGTTGCAAGCAATTCATTAATACAAAGGAGAAAGAAAAGATCATAATTTGAAACCATACGAAAACATTTTAATATTACCAACAAATTTAAAAAATTGGATGCATTCCAATGATATAACTTTGCTAAACCCACGTTGCGTTTGATTATTATGCAGCGGAATTCTTATCAAGTTGTTTTGCTGACCGATGGAGAGTTTTCATTCTGCATATTCAATTATGGTGGCCTCACCTGGACAACGGGTTTTGTACAAGACAGGGTTGGTGGAGACGGTGAAATAGCGGGTGATGGACAGGGAGGAACTTCACCAGCTCAGGTAGATATATATATACGTCTCAGTCTCTCTCGTACAACACACACACACACACACACACACACACCCCTGCCGGATACCCACTCACGTCACACATACGACCTCTTGCTTTCGTTCCATTTCCATCGCTAATCCAATCTTCTAAAATAGATATGCCAATCATTTTTTCGAATAAGAATCCGTATCCCCAACTGTCTATGATAAAAAATATGCTTACATGTTTAAAGTTATGTCATGTCTAACTTGATTTAAGGGGTCCATCGGTAGAATAGCTGTGCTGTAATGGCACAGCTGGGTAAGGTGATCCGTCCGAAATTATGTTGTCATATTGTCATTATTATGTTATTATTCTTATGTTTGCTATATTCAGTAAATAAAACCGATCAATCAATTTTACACCTTTCTAAATATGAGAACGTCAGAATTACATAATTATTACATAATCAGATGGCAATTTATTTGTATAGGCAATATAATAAGATAATTTCTTAAAAGTTAATTTCTTGAAAGACTTGTTGGAAAGTCATGCTGAAATTCAATTAAAACTCATCGGAAACATTCCGTCTATGGTTGTAGCATGTATAAGATGGACTTGTCTTGTTATATTCCTTTTATTATAGGCTGGTTTTGGTGCTGGTGATAAAATAAATTCCTACACGCTAGAAGGATCTCAAACCCAAGACATAATTGCTATTAACGAGAAGAGCAATATTGGTGTTCCCGGGCGATTCATTTTTAAAATTGATGAAGCAAATATGATAACGGAACCTTCTATCCCTACATCAGGTAATGTATATGGATTTTTTTCTACTATCACTCAGAGTATCATTATGCTTATCTGTTTAAGCCCATAGAATCCTTAAGTCTGTCGTTTTAGCATTTTAATAATTCTTATTATGAAACTTATTTTTTCTTTACATAGCGCACTTCCAATACACTGTACATGTTTATATTCAATTTATAGTGATGTTATTAACATGACTATTTTCCCTTCTATTCCCAGTTCCAGCATTGTTCTTCCCCTACGGACCAGGGACGGGTGATCTGAGTATACAGATTCAGCTCGACTCTAATTCACCTCATATTCTGACGGGTCGCGGATTCAAATTTTATAACTACATGCGCTTTTCATACAATGAACGATCAAATGTAAAACAAGTAGTAGAAGAAAAAAAGCGAGATAGAGAACGGGTCGAGTGAGGAACGGCTTTAAAGATTAAATCTTAGTTGTGCCGGCCTTCGCAAGAAGAAGGAAAAGAAGAAGAAGAGAGGCAATATACAATTTGAGATAAGGCCATTGTGCTTTTCTAGAAAATAATTAGAAAATGGTTTTAACAAAATAAGACTAGAGTGTGTAAAGGGCCGCAGAAAAATTTGACTGATGAAATTAGAAAGGAATGAGAAGAAAAGCAAACGCTGCTTACACAGGATGTTCATAATTGGTTCAACTCACATTCATTGAAACTTAATTTTACAAAGTGTGAATTTGCATCGCATGGTTCCATTATTTTCATTATCATCATCATCAGCATCAGCATATTTCTAGTTAAAATTCAATAATATCATCGTTTTACTTCTTTCAGATTTGTTCTTTCCATATGGATCAGCGGAAGGTGATACGGTTTTATTAACCGAGGACGAACTTAATACCGATGTACCTATCACACCCGGCCAAGGTTTCAAGTTTTACGGGTCTCAACAGAGTAATATCATAGTAAGTGCGTTTATCTTTGGTCAATTTGGAGATATAATTCAATAAACACGATCGCAAATTCTTACGAGAAATATTTAAACAAAGGGAAATTTCAAAACCTGATTGTATATCCCTCAAATACCACGTTTGGATTCAGTGACACGTAATTGTAATGTTCGCATATTTGAATGGGTGATGGATAAGGCTATTGAAATTACCATTGGTTGATTTTTCGAAATTCTTTGTGATCATGATATGCCCCCTTCTCATACATGGATGTTTCTTACGGATCTTTACGGATCGCACAAATTTACGGTTCCATAGGATTTGGCTACTTTTAAGACAAATTTAAGAGTTGTTACGAGTTATTACAAACTATTTACGGTTTATTACGGATTGTTACGAGTTATTACTGTGTATTTATGGCAGAATTCAACGATTTGTTACGATTTCTCAAGGGTAGCTAGGAGCAACTTACGAGCGTTATACGACCTTTTAACGCATTGCTACGAGTATTATTACGGAATGTTATTATTCATTGAAGCTTTTACATGTTAGTTGCGACTTGATTACGTGTTGTTACGAGTTAGTTACGAGTATTTGCAAGTCTTTACGATTTTGCAGCTTTTATACCTCTCCCTAAATCGTAAACAATTCATGAGCAATACAGTGGGCTTTTACGGTTGCACCATGTGAGAGAGGGGGAGGATGGGGGAGTCCTGAAAAGGACTATCGGTAATCTTTATTTCGTGAGTGTGTGTAGTCCTTAGAAGTCCTTTTCAGGACTCCCTGATCCTCCTCTCTCCCATGGTGCAACTGAAAGCCTACTGTATATCTACATCACCATGCACGCCGATTCTTATAAGCAGCATCTAATACATAAGAAAACGTTAAGTATACGTTCTATTCGTAAAGTACCCGTAACTAAACGTAAGCACTCGTAACAATCCGTAAATTATCCGTAAACAAATCGTAAACTTACCGTAACAAATCGTCAACAAAATTGTTACGGTTCATTAACGGATTTTTGCGAGCAGTTAAGGATACTTACCGTACTTACGGGTTGTTACGAGTTTTTTACGGAAAAATCAATCCGTGGACAATTGTAAGAAGATTCGTGACATGTCAACAAATTTGCCTCTCTCACGGTTCCTTAAAAGTGTTAACGAGTTGTTGCGAGTTGTGACGAGTTATTTACGGAAATCAGCAAGTTATTTACGGATGCTTGCGATTGACTACGAGATGGCAATCCGTAAGGACTCGTAAGAAAAATCTTTTTATGTGAAGGGGTATTAATGAAAAGGAGTTAGATGAATGGAAATGTACACTTCGTTATACCCCCTCACGTACACGGATTTTTCTACCCTGGGGTATGTCCTTGTGGGAATTTTTTTTATTTCAGGCCTATCATTTCATAAGACAAGTCATTTTTAGCACGCTCTTGGACCATTTGTATCATCGAAAAAGGTGCTGGAAAAAAACTGTCTGAAAGAAAAGTAGTAGGCCAACTGGTTCCAATAACTTGCTGTAAATGAAAGCAGGAAATGAGAGAATTTTTGTAAAGAACCGAGGAAAAACAGTCAACAGATATGAACTTAATGAGATTTAATGATCGTTTAATCAAAATGACAATTCGGTATAGAGTTTACGATGTTATTCCCACACTATTTATCAACTAATTGACATTATGGTATCATAATATATTTGTGATCTTTATACATCCTCGAAAAGTATAATATCAAATGCATTTACCCAAGTTTTTATAATCACATAACGTGTTTCAAAATGCACGAACTTGAAGAAAAATTCTCTTTTCTTTTAAAAACAGGAAAAGGGAGAATATCTTTATAAAGTATATAGTTATTAATAAACAAACTCAACAAACTAAATCACTTTCTTACTGATTGAAAGAAGATGCTTATGAAGATGTGCGGGTGCATTGACAGAAACATCATTATAACCTGGGGAATTAAATGTATTTAAGATCAAATGGAAAATTCATAGGTATCAAAACTCAAGGCTATTGATGAACAGTGATAAAGACGTTCAAGTACTCCTAAATTGCCCAGTTTTACGAAGGAAAGTGCCCCTTTTCTTTCTAATAAATCCCTCTTCCCCTTTTCATAAATGCCCCTTCTCTTTTGTAAGAAATGCCATTTTTCCCTTCTTACGAGTGCCCGTTTCAGGTGCGAGAAGCGTCCCTTTTTACAACTGATAAATGCTCTTTCTCTTCTGATAAGATCTCCCCCCCCCAAAAAAAAAAAGAAGAAAAGAAATGCCCTGATTTACGTAGGAAAATTGCCCCTTTCCTTTTGTCATTAATGCCCTTTTTCTTTTCTTATGAATGCCCCTATTTCAGCTCTGATAAGTGCCCATTTTCCTTTTTAATAAGTGATTTTTCTCTTGAAAGAAATGCCTTTTCCCATCTCTGAAAGTGCCCCTTTTTATGTATGAAAATAGTCCCCCCCCCCCCTCCCTTGGCAAAAAGCTAGATCCACCCCTTGTCTACGTAAAGAGTAAATGGATTATGGTAAAAAGTGCTGTGATCGGCCACGCAATGGCGGTCATAGCGCTACATTGTCGTAAGAAGGTACGAATCACCTAAACGTGTTGTGCTCTTCATGAAAGGGGTTTCAGGTAGCTATACTTTATTGAGAATAAGATATGAAGGTATTACTGCTACAAGAGATATTGCAATTTAAATACTTTCTCAGTGAACGGTAAAATGTCTTGTCTTGTCGACAGTTGTTTTGGGTGATGAGAGGAGACACATGCGCTGTGTGTGGGATGCGTGTGATTGAAGAATAACAAATAAAAACGGACAGAAGCTGGACTAAAACAAAGTCTGACTTGGGTTCCATGTGAACCCTTTATGGGGAGTTTAATGTTATTCTTTAGTTTCTTCATAGTCCTAAACTGTTTACATAATTTATAGAATGCCAGGTAAATTTTGTTGAGGTTGATTTTATACATTCTAGCTATACTTTCTTTTCCAAGGTGATTACACACAAGCCGTCATTTCGATTGTGTTTGTAATTCGCTCCAATCAAGTCTGTAAAGAAACAATATATGCAATGTTCGTTTTGATTTCGTTTTATAAGATGTCAACCTCACATAATATCATCAAAGACAACAACAGTCGCTGACGCAATGCTACGTCAGGCTAATAACGACTCGTGTGTAACGGGAATAACTAGTAACACATTTTAACTCCATGTTTAAACCTTAAAAATAATAATAATTATAGGCATTTTTATAGTGCCGTCTATCTAGAAATTCTATTCCGAGGCGCATTAATTATTACAGCGCTCCAGCATTTCAAGGAATTAATTCCTGACAGTTACCCATTTACCTCACCTGGGCCGAGTGTGCCAAATGAAGGTTAATGCATTGCCAAAGTACATTAGTGCCGTTTCGGGGATCGAACCACGACCTTTGAATTTCAATTCAAGTGCTTAAACCACTCGACTACGACCTGCGTTTTAGTTGCCTATAGGTACTTTACATTTTTTTTAATCCAACTTTTCCCAATCAATATCTGGAGAAATGCATAACATAAAGAAGATTGACCGTTAATGTATGGTCGTTGTGAGTATCTACATTTTCAACGAGAATTTATAAATTGTTTTTGCAGTATTTCCGGTCTTTTGTAATTCCTCCGGGGTAACTCCATTTTCATGTCTGCTATCCATTCTAATTATTCTGCTTAATGTCATCATAATGTTTTGGGTGATTCATACACAGGTCAACAACAACGGTGTCATTTTCTTCGGCAGTAGTAGTACTCCATACCTCAACCGATTCCCTGAGGATCCTCCGCCTTTGCACGACCATGCCAATGCCCTCATTACACCATACTGGGCCGACACTGACCCTACTAAGGAAGGTGCCAATGTATTTTACCGTAGCATTACACGTGTCAGTAGCGTTGATCATGATGCCTTTGACCTGGCTGATGATGTCGTGAGGATGTCCTTCATGGAGCTGCAGAATTTCCAGACATCGTGGATGTTCGTTGTGACTTGGGACAATTTGGGATATTATAGTCCAATTACTCCTTCAAACCTTGTAAGCATTTTTCACCTTATGTTAATTAACAATTTATCATTAGTAAAAACCAAAGCTTTAAAAAATATAAATTGAATTATGCATCACACAATTTCTCCTGGGCATTGACACTAATCCATATGAACAGGTTGCAAGCAATTCATTAATACAAAGGAGAAAGAAAAGATCATAATTTGAAACCATACGAAAACATTTTAATATTACCAACAAATTAAAAAAATTGGATGCATTCCAATGATATAACTTTGCTAAACCCACGTTGCGTTTGATTATTATGCAGCGGAATTCTTATCAAGTTGTTTTGGTGACCGATGGAGAGTTTTCATTCTGCATATTCAATTATGGTGGCCTCACCTGGACAACGGGTTTTGTACAAGACAGGGTTGGTGGAGACGGTGAAATAGCGGGTGATGGACAGGGAGGAACTTCACCAGCTCAGGTAGATATATATATACGTCTCAGTCTCTCTCGTACAACACACACACACACACACCCCTGCCGGATACCAACTCACGTCACACATACGACCTCTTGCTTTCGTTCCATTTCCATCGCTAATCCAATCTTCTAAATAGATATGCCAATCATTTTTTCGAATAAGAATCCGTATCCCCAACTGTCTATGATAAAAAATATGCTTACATGTTTAAGTTATGTCATGTCTAACTTGATTTAAGGGGTCCATCGGTAGAATAGCTGTGCTGTAATGGCACAGCTGGGTAAGGTGATCCGTCCGAAATTATGTTGTCATATTGTCATTATTATGTTATTATTCTTATGTTTGCTATATTCAGTAAATAAAACCAATCAATCAATTTTACACCTTTCTCAATATGAGAACGTCAGAATTACATAGAATTACATAATTATTACATAATCAGATGGCAATTTATTTGTATAGGAAATATAAAAAGATAATTTCTTAAAAGTTAATTTCTTGAAAGACTTGTTGGAAAGTCGTGCTGAAATTCAATTAAAACTCATCGGAAACTTTCCGTCTATGGTTGAAGCATGTATAAGATGGGCTTGTCTTGTTATATTCATTTTATTATAGGCTGGTTTTGGTGCTGGTGATGAAATAAATTCCTACACGCTAGAAGGATCTCAAACCCAAGACATAATTGCTATTAACGAGAAGAGCAATATTGGTGTTCCCGGGCGATTCATTTTTAAAATTGATGAAGCAAATGTGATAACGGAACCTTCTATCCCTACATCAGGTAATGTATATGGATTGTTTTCTACCATCACTCCGAGTATCATTATGCTTATCTGTTTAAGCCCATAGAATCCTTAAGTCTGTCGTTTTAGCATTTTAATAATTCTTCTCATGAAACTTATTTTTTCTTTACATAGCGCACTTCCCATACACTGTACATGTTTACATTCAATTTATAGTGATGTTATTAACATGACTATTTTCCCTTCTCTTCCCAGTTCCAGCATTGTTCTTCCCCTACGGACCAGGGACGGGTGATCTGAGTATACAGAATCAGCTCGACTCTAATTCACCTCATATTCTGACGGGTCGCGGATTCAAATTTTATAATTACATGAGGGAAAGTCTCAGAGTAAGTGCATTATATTTATTTGATATTACGGAAACGACTGAATTTTTGTTGTCAGGTTCTTAAATAGATTTAAAGTTTATTTTGCAAAGTATAAAATATAATTAATTCTATATCTACTAAGCCTGCAGAGATAGACTACAGTGATTCGAGATATATTTCTTAAGGAATTTCGTAAGATAAATGTTTTTATTTTTATTACACTAATACTATTTTAAAGGTCTGTTTCGATGCTCTCAAAAGCCTTTCGTCAGATTTCTTTCATATTAAATGAGAAATAAAAAGACATCAATAAAACTAATCTGCTGTGATTTATGTCTTCTGCCTCCTCAGGTAAAATGTTAAAGAAATGAGGGTTAGAAAATAATTTAGATACCATCATTGGTATTAAATGTTAATGACGGCAACCTGAACTACACACATGTAAAACCTATAGTAAGGACTGTGTGAATACGCGGCAGTCTACACACAAGCTTTTTTCGATCGAAGCGCTGAGAATAATGTGGCGGGGGCCATCGGGGTGGAAGAGTCCTTGCGTACGGGGGCGTATAGCCGCCATCGAGTTCCTTGCATATATTTACACTACAAATCACCACAAATCACACAAACATTCTCATGCATGTTACCTTTGATACTAGGAGAACAACATGAAACAATATTTGATATTTTTCTTTCCAATTTCCTTTTGCTACCTAAACTGTACAAGAACTTTAAAATAAGTTGGATATAACATTTAAAACTTCAGTCCCTTTTAAAGAAGAAAGAATCACATTATTTATATGCCTTTTGTTATGCTGTTGCTTCTGATGGTAAAAACATGCATATCTGCTCATTCGCTCATTTGTTTTTATGTTTCTTAGTTGCTATAAAATTTCTGCAATTGATATATTTCCCCCCTGTCTTATCCGTTTAAATATTCCTTTCCCCTTGTGCTGGCTCTCTATCTCCTACATCGCCTCAAATGTCCTGCAGGTATTTTCCTCTTTTTTTTCCTTTCTTTCTTTAAATTCATGAAATATAACAATACGTAGAGCGCACCCGAATCCACAATGATACTCTGCGAAACATTACAATTGACCCATTTTGACTGTCGCGTTCACAGATATAAAAGGAGATTCTCGAACAGAAAACCGGAGCGCGTTTGCTTGAAGAGAAAATGGCTTGGAATGTTTTTCTTCAAAAATGAAACAAACTCTGGAGTGCGACCAATTCACAATGGCACGCGATTTGACACGTTCTGTAGAATATTTGCAAGGCCTACAATAGCATGTCGTTAGACTTGGTGAATTTGCAAAGCATTATAACAAATGTGTGTGTGTATTGGGTTTTTACAGACGTGTATCAATCAGATATGATTATTTATGTCTGACGCTACAGCCATTTATAACATCTTGTGTAGTTTCAAATTAGGCGACAAAATTATTGTTCGACTATTTCCATTAGTATGTTACACACTCTAAAAACTCAAATGTTCAATCAATATTTAAAAGGGCAGCATTTTCAAAATAGTATTTCAACACATTTTAACATGCTGGATCCAACACTCGAAAGGTTGGGTCCAGCAAAATAAAATATATGTCACTTTTGAATATTGTCACTTCTCTGCCCTTTAAGAACTTTTAATTAACACTGTTGTTTTTAGAAATTACTAGTTACACCATAATTATCTTTGATTACAAAATCAGATGGAGATGAAATGTATTTTTACTATTTACTATGTTTAATCTTGTCTCGTATATGAGTAAGTAGGCAGCAGGGCTACCTAGCTTTTATCCGGGAAGGAAATCTTTATATACATAGTTAAAGATTAATTTTCATGTTCGCTTGTATTTTGTACCTATTTGAATTAAGATCCAAAATATCCCTGTATCAATACTATAAAAGTTCTCGAAAGGTTTTGAAATCTATGTATGGCATACGAACTCGTTTATCATTATAATATTGGATGATATGTTTTCTGTTCGGCAGGGAAATTCGTTCACATTCTCCAAACTGAGTAACTTTATATCTCTTCATTCTTTCTTAAATTTAAAGACCCATCGGTCTATGTGAATGTTTCGCTGTTGTTATTTGTGTTGTTATTGTTGCTGTCGTTCCTTTTCATATATATATATATATTTGTTTAACTTCTTCTTCTTTTTTTATATTTTTAATTCTTCTCCTAATTCCCCGTTTTTTCCTTCTTCTTCCTAATCTTCTTTTTATTTTTCTTATTTGTTTTGTATTGTGTATTTTTAAACATTTGTTTGTATAGTATAATCCAGGAGTATGATATATAAAAATCTTTCAAACTTGTATAGGTAGTATACTGAGGTCATTGGTATTAATATTGTATTGTAGGTCAACGAAAACGGCGTCATTTTCTTCGGGCAAGATGCGCCCGAGATCGACAATGGTACCCTACCGCTCAGTGAACTTCCCTTCATCGCACCCTACTGGGCCGACGCAGATACAACGACAGACCGTGGAGCAGTGTACTACCGAAATGTATCCCGTGCCAACAGCACTGATAGTGCCTTTGACCTTGCTGATACTGTCGTGAGGATGGCCTATGTAGAACGCCAGAATTTTCAGTCTTCCTGGATGTTCATAGCGACCTGGGACAAGGTGTCCTATTATCAAGATCCGGTGGACTCCCAATATGACCATCTGGTGAGCCTATTTGATTATGCTCTTTCTGCAAAACTTCTGCTGACTTTGGAACAAACTAACTTTAAATGTCAAAAACTGTCAGACTGTTAACCAATTCATAACTTGTCTTAAGACACATTTATTAAAAATTGATTTTTGATGATTAACTTAATCTGTTCACATTAATGTATATTTCATATGTATTGCAATTTGTAGGTTTATTTGCATTTTCTTTTTGTTTTGATCAATATGTAATTGTTTATCATTGTATTTTGTTAGCGCTTAGAGACTTCGATGGTAAGCACTTTATAAGCACCATTTTTAGCATTATTTATTATTATTATCCATGCGTTAAATGATAACAACTTGAAACCAGAGATGTACATCGAATTGCTGCAATTAGGTCTACAATCGTCAGCAGAATCATCCTCATTATCTAAAACTGCCAAACGTATATTTTATTCTCATCTTTCTTTCCTTTTTAAATTTATTCACGACGGGCACACTAAAAGGTCCGGAAATGTGATGATTTTAATTCAAACAGTGAAAATATACTATAGAATGATAACATAATGGATCTGCGTCCAGCAATTCAACGAAGATACTGAAAATGAGGATCTCTACAATTAAAGAGAAATTTAAACACTTTAAAATCCCTAATTTATCTTAAACGTGAGATTTTAATTATTATCTGTACAGCGGAATTCTTTCCAAGTTGTCTTGCTAACTGACGGAAGCATTTCATTCAGTATCTTCAATTATGGGGATATCACATGGACGACTGGTGCCCAACAAGGAGGAAACGGATCCGGCCTGGGAGGAACAGAAGCTCAGGTGAATATCATGTTTACCCCATCCCCTCCGCCCCTCCCCGCTCCCCCCCCCTCCCCCTCCCCCTCCCTCTCTGCCTCTCTCTCTCGCTCTCTCTCTGTCTCTTTCTCTCTCTGTCTCTCTCTCTCTTTCTCCCGTTTTTGTCTTTCTAGAATAAGTTATTTTCTTTACTATCATTTATCAAGCAATCCCATTTCTTATATATTCTCCAGGTCTTCTCTTTTCCATTACCTTTCAATTATTCGACTAAGAAAATAATATTTTCTTAATGAATATTTTTTGATCAATTTGATCCATATGGTTTAGTTCAAACGTGGGTCTTTTAAAGAAATTATTGAAGGAATCAACTATACATTCCACTAGATGAAGATCAATACCTTCAAAATCCTAAAGATAATCGAAACTATTATATGATTTGAGGATCACCTGCAAAATATAACAAATGTCAAGTCAAGGGGGTATATTCTTTTAGAACAGTTTTACCAACAAAAAAAATAATTTTAATCCTATTTGTTATTCTTTGTACATGAGGACCATAAGAAATTTGCTCTTTTGATGCAGGTTGGTTTCAATGCTGGTGATGGGGAGAAATTCTACGCCTTGGAAGGTTCTCAAGCTCCAGATGTAATAAACATCGACAAGAGGAGCAATATTGGTGTTCCTGGCCGATTCATCTTTAGAACTGATGGAGCAGAATTAACGCAACCTCAGTGTGAATCATTCGGTAAAAATGCCATTAATATACTCCATTTCCATGTATTGAATTTCATTTTATGTGTTTCAGTTGACCAATTTTGCGCAGTAGGATACTGGAAGCACAATCACTTAAAATGTTCACTTCTTATTCAAGCATGATGCCGATTGATTGTATGTATATGGGGGGAAAAGAGGGATTATTCATGCGGCTTTGCGTAGATTTCCAAAATAATCCCCTCTTAATAATCCTTTGCGTTGGTGCAACATGCATGAAACAAGCCTTTTAAGTCAATCAATGGGTCCTGAAAATTTAAAAGCAACAGAAATGTATTTCATGGATGGTGCATATTTACTTAAGTCGGCGTTACACCAATTTGACCTTGAAATGTCAGATTCCTACCAAAACTGTTGTGTGTGGAGTTGTTGTAAAATATGTGGGATTATTTGTTCATTTATACAGGCTTTTTGATTGGTCCAGTCTTTCGTTATCTATTTTTAATTTTTAATCCGGAATTTGAAATGAAAATCTTGATTGTTGCCATCCGTATTTCATTCTTCTCTCTCTCTTTCTCTATATGCTTGTCTCTATGCCCCTCTCTCTCTCTCTCTCTCTTTCTCTCTCCCACTCTGCCTCTCTCTGTTACACTATTACTCATACACTCTCTATCTCTATCTATCTATCATTCTCTCCCTTTTCCTCCTTCGCCCCTTTTTATCTCTCTCCCTCTCTCACTCTCTCTCTCTTTCTCCTTTGCCTTTCTTAACTTCTTAGTTATATACATATATATCTATCTACCAATTTATCAAGTTAAGGTTTAACTTCTGTTGTGAGTTACAGCTGATTCAGAAACTAATCATAATATTGTTATTCAATCAATCGTTTCTTTACAATCAATAGTTACGATCAATTTTATGTTACAGATATACAGATACAATCCCCAGCAAGACATGTGGCGAGAATGGAGGTGCAATACATTTTTAATTGATTTTAAATCAAATTTATTTTACAGGGTCCTGGACGGGTAACGCTCCAAGATAACGTTCTGTAGGACGCCATATTACCACGTTTACACTTCGTAATCAACATTTCATTTGAGTTTTCATAATCCACTGTTCTCTTAAAGGTAAATTATCGATATACCCCTTGGTTGGGAGTATGTTAGGGGGAACCGAAGTACTCATTGGAGGTACCTGTTTCAACTCTACCAGCATCATCAAGTGTCGCTTTGATGAGAAGGTGGTCACTGGAAGAGTGATTTCATCCATGACTGCTCTCTGCGTTACCCCTACATTCTTCAAAACTGGACGGGTCCTTCTGAATGTTTCTGTCAATAATGGATCTACGTTTGACTTCTCTGCTGTCTTTACATTGGGTACGTATAGATCAGCGTGTGTGTACAAGGGGAGTAAAAACTATAAGATCTTATGCGCGCATGTCGAATATAAACTGTAGTTTCTAAAAAAATATCTCATAAAAATGAAATTGATATGTTTTATGGAGATACCTATATCCAACTCTGTGAATTCATTTTGCTGCAGAGCCTCTAACATGCCTGGTAAAGAAGCATTTTAAATGTTATCCTACACATCAAATGAATAACATTTCCGTGAATGACACCAAGTGCTGGAAAGCCTGGCAAACACCTGACAAGCTCTCAGTCACTAAGTGCAAGATTTTTCAAGTAATTACTATGCATTATGAACTGATGAACTTGTTTATTGAATTGAGCGTGCTCCTCATTTTCTCTATAGAGAATGTAGAGGATACAGACCCAGGAGTGATGACGGTAGCAACAACGAGCCAGAGTTCGCTCTTCACGTTTGGGGTAGAATGGGACATCAGTCGACTGATGCATGTCGAAACAGTCGACGTGGTCGTGTATGGTTACAGAGAAGACACCTCAAACGGTCTTGTCTTCCTGGAAAACATACTCATATTGGCAGAGAATATCAGCTACCAAGCTGGTTCTACCAACGTCACGCTCTCTTCCATCAACACCACATATGAAGTAGGTGTATTTGCTGTCCTTGAGCACCAGGATGAGGCCCTTCCTAACAATAGGTAAGCTGTCAGGGAGATTTGAACTTTTTAAAATGAATATGGGAGTTGTTTTGCTGGCAAATAAGGATGTGGCGGGGCCAGTCTATGAAAGTGATATTCGCGGAGTATGCTTGGGGTTAAATTTATGTTTAGTCAATTCGTTTGGAATTCAAGAGACGAGTTTTTGTTTATGTTTATGTTAAAGTGATTTGAATGTGATTTAATAGAGCAATTTACCATACCTTCAATGAAACCTAACAAGTGCAAAAGAGAGAAAAACGACTCGAGAAATATGTTACTTGTTTTTAACTAATGCCTGGAAAGGCCAACTCATAATGCGGAGGGTCTAGTATATAGTGATGGGCAGTGATCTAGAAAGGGAACTTGTTAAAAGCATAACAATGCAGATGACCCTATACCTTTCTCGAAATCCGGTTCCTTTACCATTTACTTGTAGACCTGCTTATTAATGTATTTGAATTTATTCATGTTTCTCTTCCCAAACCGTGGTTACTAACTCTTTGATTCACCTGGTATACCATAATGGCATCTCTATATATATATAGATGGAATCCACTTTGCATACATTAAATGTTGATGTGACAAGACAAGCCTTTAGCAAGCTTAATTTAGTGTTGTCAAGGGTAACCTTTCTTCAAGAAGTATGCATAAAATTAGTAAACATGTGTATTGACCATAATTTGTGTAGACACATGCATTGATAATAATAAGTTTCTATCCATCTTGAAAGTTAACAATGATCACTCTTTCTCCTTCAGCTTTGATGGACGTGCTGCTTTGTGGAGTGAGGTTCATGTTCTCCAGTGGCTCCGGGACCAAGAGCCTACTCCCTGGTGTACCCAGTGGCTCAAGGACAATGAAAAGGACAGAGTATTCATCGATGCAGCTCCGTCGTGCCCGTGTACGCTCTCGGTAGCCATACTCGACTTCGCCATGTTTCGGAGTGATCCTAGCTGTTTCCTAGGCTCTAACAGAGCGGATAATTGTCAACTTCGACCAGGGGCCGTACACTGTGTTCGTGCCATCCAGCAAAGGTAACATGAATAAATCCAATATTTTGTGTTCCATGTAATTTCGGTTTAAAAGAGGTTTGGTGATAAGCCTACCAAATGCTTGTTGAACTAACAGGGCAAGAAGAAATCTTGTCTACAAAATAAAAATGGAACTAAGAGACGATGACAAAATACTCCCATATCCGTGTCGAGACATTACCTGCTCAAAAATCTTCTAATCATCGATGAGCAATCGCCATTAATCCACCACCACCAGCACCACCACAACCACTAACACCAGCAACAAAAACATCATCAACATCAACAACAACAGCAACAGCAACATTTAATTGGTCCAAATTGTGTCCGATCAAAGATGACTTTTGGTGAGAATATCTATTTAAGATATCTATTTATCCATAATTATTTGTTGCGGTTGTACACACTGTGATCAATGATATTCGCTAAATTCTTATATTCTTGTATAGATTGTAATCATTCGCATATGTTGAATTTTCAGAAATTTAAACGAAATACCCTGATTATATTTAGACCAAGTTCATCATCAGAATAATTAAATCACTGCGGTCCTGTTGATCGTGATAACATGATTTATAGAACAGAATAAGACCTTTTGTTATCTTACATGATGTGGTTTTTACCCAGGGAAACCTCATCAAAAGTTGTATGCCTAGTAAAAACCTTGAACCTTTCTCTTCTTCACCCTCTCTTTGCAATCCTTTTTGAATGTGTCAAAGATTCATGTATGAATAGTTATTTACTGATGCTTGTAATACAAATATTGACTCGTAGGTTAGGCTGAAAGATGAATTGAAAGTTGCGGGTTTGTTTGATTAAAAAAAACATTAGCGAGACATCATTTGTATTTGATGTGAGACGACTGAATTTCTGAGAATCTTATATGTCTACAATTTATCACAATCTTTACAAATTTCATTTGAAAATACCATTATTTGACATTTCCAAACAGTTTTACAATATCTCTATTTGTGAGAGTGAAAAGGGTATGCATATATCGGAGTAGGTTCTGCAACTAAGTTTGTAACATAATTTCAAAATCGTATGGTGATAAGAAGAAGCAAAATTGTATCGCATTCGAAATTGAACTAATATGATACAGATGACTCGAAGTCCAAGTTTTAGTCATTAAAACAAATATAGTTTGATTAAGCAGAACTCGCTTTAGTTTTCACCAGAATCTTACATGTTATTTTTACAAATACATGTACATACAAGTGACAATTCAAGGTAATACCTAAATAAACAACATGTAAAAATACCATGATTATTACAAACTCCTTAATTATGTAACTTTGGAAGAGTTGAAAAACTTGTGTAAATCTGCTGTCGAAATAAACAAATATGAACTGCATTCAATTAAGAAAGAAATGGTCTCTCTTTTTTTTAAACCTCGAATATATGTGTTTCTATTGCAGTGGGCTAGGCGGTGGGCAAGAATGCTGTTACGCCAGTGACGGTAACATCAGTAACGCTCAGATATCTGAAGCTGGAGGGGGATTCGCTCACCGATATCATCATAATGGCATTCGTCCTCATGAAAATGCAACACAGGTAATTGTTTGCCTGCATACAAAGTGAACATACATCCAAAATAAAGTGCATTGATTTCAGACTAGTTAAGATAAATGTGTTTTGTTATGTAGTAAACAGAACATTTATAAAAACCGTAACAAAGTCACGACACCAAAACATGAAATGTTTCCTTACACTTAGATTATATTATGTGTTAATAACATTTGACAATATTGATCGTTAGTAATCCGAAAGTTAAAAAATGTGAAGACTGCACATTTTAAAGTTGAAGGATATCAAATTGATTTAAAGATAGCTTCAATATTTTGTTTTCTCCAATGATCAATAATACAATTGTTTTTCACCTTTTGACAAATCAGGGACACATAATATGTGTGCATAGGTAATTTATTCAGAACGCACTCATACAACTAATTGAATTTCGTCCATTTCGAAACGGATAGGTCCCATTCCTGTCCCATTTCATCGCCGATACACTACCATGGACATACTGCTGCTATCTACCGGGTGACGTCACTGACAACACTGAACTGAGTCATGAATGCACCCAGTATATCACACGGAGACCATCGCAAATGTGCAATGATTACGTGCCGCCACAACTTGGTATGTTGACTTTCAACATAATAGAACACACAATGGTAGTTTATTATAAGAAGCGTGACATTATTAAAAGAAAACTGTTTGTCTTCGTTTACATTAACTCTCTTACCTTTCGAATCCGTCATTGGAGATTCTTTGTCGGAAGAAACGAATTATCCTTTCACAAACGGTTCAAAGTTACTGTCACACTCGTTATGTTTTGAAAATTACATAAACTAATTTTGCATAATTATGAACTAGCGTGTGACACGAAGATACGGATTGAAGTCAGCGTTTTTTTAAAACATGTCTTATTGGAATAGTAGTAGTAGTAGAAGTGGTTGTCGAAGTAGAAGTAGTAGTAGTAGTAGTAGTAGCAGTAGCAGTAGTAGTAGTAGTAGTAGTAGCAGTAGTAGTAGTAATACTAGAGTATGCATTGTAATAGTCGTCCTCAAGGTAGCAGTAGGAGGATTTGTTAATAGGAGGGTCGAACGTATAGAATAATACGATTAGAATATGCATTTGTAATATATGTTTTCTGTCATCCTCATTTGCATTTTCCATGCATATTTCTTTTCGATGTTTCTATTATTGCAACTTTTTAAAACAGCATTAGGGAATGGCGATCCACACATCACTACTCTGGATATGAAAAGGTATACATTCAACGGACATGGGGAATTCACTCTCCTTCAGACTGTGGATGAATCGTTCGTTATTCAAACAAGAACTGCTCCTTACCAAGGTAACTTGAACTTTTAGTTTAGAGGAAAAAAATCGACTTTAATTTCATAAATGCAATTTCAATACAGTTTTAACGTATTCAGTTACGACTATTTTTAACTAAATATCTAGTTCATTCGAAAAGTATTTGTCACTTGTATCCTCGGGAAAAGGCGCTTTGTCAATAATATTTTGATTGTCCTTACAGATTTAAATGCGACAGTATTTGTAGCAGTGGCTGCCCAGTGCAACAATAGTGATATCATCCATGTAGAGATTCACGAGCAAAGGATCCTAGATGCATACGTTCGTCCACAGCAGGGAGGCGAATTCGAACGGATTGATTTTGAGCAGGCGCCATCTTGGAATTATGAAGGTATTAACATTTTCCCATATGAATGTATGTCCAACATGTACTCGCTTTGCTGTTGTTTCCATCAAGTGGCATCTCTGAATTTCACCTCTTGATATGTTCATCTATGTGACGTCTGTCAATATTTCTCCTAGATATCTTCTGCTTCCAAAAATGATAGCTTGCCTTGTAGGTGTAAGATTTGGTTAGTGGCATGTCCGTAACCTTTCTTTTAAGAGATATTAAAATATTCACTAAACCTTTTTAATTGTTCTAAAATGTATTTGTTTATAGCTAGCAGGCTCTCTGTGTTATTGTTCCACATTCCATCAATCCTTTCGTTTTGGCCTAATATTCAGTTGGTTGTAGTTATCAAGCTTCCAACCTTTTCTATGTAAGGTCACCAGTCAGATATATGTGCCTCCTTTCCTGTAATCAGTTTACAGATTTAAACATTCGTTTCTACCACTTTCTCTTTGTCAAGATGTATCTGTAACTGGTCTTGATATCTCGTCCGATGGTATACTCGTTGCGTTCGAAGGTGGCTCCGGCTTACAACTCAAGGCTGCGGAAGGCGCCCTGATCATTCAGGTGGTGCCTCACTCCTCACTCCGAGAGCAGACACGTGGTTTGATGGGGACGTGGAACGGTGACGTCAATGACGATTACATGACCCCAGAAGGAAATATCTTGTCACCCAATTCGACGACAGAAGAGGTTTACTTTCAATTCGGACTCAAATGTGAGCTACGATGATATTGCATGTGTAATCATTCCTGTTTGTATTTAAAAGATTCCTAAATAAAAGAATAGTAGTTGTAGTAGTAGTAGTAGTAGTAGCAGTAGTAGTCATATTAGTTGTATAGTAGTGGTTGCTGTGTAGTAGTAGTAATAGTAGTAGTAGTTATTGTGGTGGTAGTGGTGGTTGTGGTGGTATGAAGTAGTAGGAGATTATGAATATCAGAATACATAAAGAACATAAATATATATAAGAAGCCCATTCTGTGAATCACATATGGCTGGAGACAAAATTTAGATTATCATCACCAAAGAAAATGTTATACTAAAGGGAAGATTCACGGATGTGTTCTATCTTTTGCTACAGGGAACGTCTCCGAGCAGAATTCGTTGCTATACCATCCAGAAGGTACCACCCAGGCTGATGTAGTTGATTTGAGTTACGTACCAATGTTTGAAACTACGACAAATCCAACCATTGACCAAAATCAAGTCCAGGACATATGCAATGACGACGAGTTCTGTAACTTTGATTTACAAACCACAGGCAGTACCAGTTTCGCTCAAAGTACAGCCAATTCCTTTCAGGAGTTTCAAGATGCTGTAGAAAGCACAAACATAGGTAAGCAATTTTTTGTTTCAGTGGTACATTTCTTTAAGATCCGCTTCGGCACCCAGTCACGTATCATTTTGTTCATAGTGTTGCGTTCTCATCATTATTTGCCTTTAACTTTAAATGCAATCGCTAAATTTTGTTATATAAAAAAATGTCTCCTTTTGCTGAAATACCGAAATATTGTTTATTTTTCTGTAGAACTTTTGAACTTTATGTTACTCTTACAAGAAACAATAACATGTTTAAATGCTTTCATAGGACAATTTCGTTGATATGTAGGCGTACTACTGTTGAATCACAACTTGTAATTATTATTATTAATATGTGAAATATGATTGTTGCTTAATATCATACAGTGACGTGTCCTACTCTTGACACACCCGACTTTGGAAACTCTATCATCAGTAGATACACTCCAGGAGGCGAAGCGAACTACACATGTATCCCAGGCTACCAGATCAGTAATGACATCAAATTTACGTGCCAATCAGATGGATCATGGAGCAATGACGTCACACCAGACTGCATAGGTACGTGATGGCTGATACAAAAAGCACTGCCAAAAAGGAGTTTAGAAGTCGAGCATAGGACGTTAGGATATCTGACCTTTATATCTTACTTGAGTTTACGATCCTTATTAACCTCTTATTTGGTTATATTAGATTATGAGAGTGTGAGAGATATTATTTTAATCAGAAATATATTGCTCGTGTTTTCTTCTTAGATATTGTGAAACCTCTCATTACGTGTCCTGGTGTGACGTCAAACACGACAATACCTGGACGATCTGTAGGAATGGTATCCTGGATGGAACCCATAGTAGAGGAAAATTCAGACAACTTTAACGTTTCCTTGCTTGAGTCAGCATCGAATGGCGGAGAGTTTCCTATCGGTGTATCAAACATCACCTATGTGGTTACAGATGCTGCTGGGCTGATGGATTCTTGTACATTTGCAGTAAATGTATCAGGTTTGTAAAACCTAATTTGTGGGTGACTAAAGTGTATAGAGTGGTGAAGTGTGACGTCATCAAAAACCTATTAACATTACGAGCCAGAGCAATATAACACTGAGTTCCCATAGGTCATCTTTTTATTCAGATGGTCAGATGGTCATCTCAGCCAAAACTTAACATATTCCTTTGGTTTTCCAAATTTGGACATTATTTGAAGAAAAAATGGAGAAATTCCAAAAAATAGATTTGATGTCACAGCTTCGGTACTCTATAGGCTTCTTTGTACAAATGGAAATAGAACGCTTAATGAGAAGTATTGTCTATCTTTAAATAAACAGTTTAGAGTCATATGTGACACATATGGTAAGAAAATCAGGAAATGTTAGCCTCTGAAAGCCTCTGTTTCCAAATAAATGAGTAATGCATCCTTCAGAAACTATGGCACAAACCTAACTTTAAACCTAAATCCCCGGCTGATTTGAATAAAGTATAATGTAAAATGTTTCAGCTCAGGACGTAGAATTTGACATTGAGCCATCTATTCTATGTGTTACCTTTATATTTGAACAGACGATGAGGATCCCATAATCCGGTGTCCTGATCCGATCATAGTCACGACATTACCAGCTCTAAACTCGACAGTAGTCACGTGGCCTCGCCTTGACGCCTCGGATAATTCTGGTACCGATTTACAGATCATGCCTGTTGGGGAGAGCAGGAATGGGACCAACTTCACAATTGGGGCAGTCATGCTTTCCTATATCGTAACAGATTCATCAGGAAACACAGATGAGTGTTCTTTCTGGGTCAACGTTACAGGTGATTAAACTCATTTTTAATACATTCAATTCGTTTAAAGCTCATTCTATACTTTGTTTCTAAGGGCATACTCTGAACAGATAGGATAAGTGTCCCGGCTGTCACTTGAAGGGGTGATACAAACACAGGAGAACAGAAAAAGGAGAAAGAGGAGCGAGACTCAAAAAGAGAAGCACGAAGTTCATAATGAGTAGTGTTTTAAAGTATATAAACTGCAACAATTTTCTGAAGCTCGGTTGCTTTTTTCCCTCACATATGTTTCTTTTCTATTGCTTGTCCCGTGCCCCATATTCCTTAAACTCGCCACCGCTTGTCGTTGTTCATCAGACAAGTAGCAAACAAGTGTTAAACAGTGGTAGTGACAATGCCTCTTAATACCTATTTATTAATAATTAGTGAGGGTATAATAGCCTTTTTAGTTCCTCATCGAGCAATAAAAGTAATCTGATTTCGAAATGAATACTTATATATTTTAGACACAGAAAAGCCCGTGATCACATGCCCAGTAGTACCTACATCACCGACCGAAGAAAGTGAATCTTACGCAACAGTTTCCTGGAACGAACCATCCATCTTGGATGGTACCATCACAGATAACTCTGGATCAGCCACGCCCATATTTCTTGGTCCCGGGATTAATGGCGGAAACTTTGAAATTGGGACTAACGTCTTGGCTTATATGGTTACTGATGAAGCGGGAAATTCAAATAATTGTTCATTCATGATTGTTGTCATTGGTAAGAAGAAAAAAAAAATTCTACGTTGTTGTTTGTTTGTTTGTTTGTTGCTGTGTTTTTTGTATGAGGGTGGGGGTATATAGTCATGATAGTTATCCACAATGTGTACCCCACAAAATACACCGACGTATAGTGTGTTGCATACCTTTGTTTTTTTTAATGCCCGTTGTTACATGACTTTTTTTATGCGATATACGATATAATTATGATATTTCTTCAACCGTTTAATTGTTTAGTCGTTTTCTACATGATTACACCAATACATGCATCACGATCCCTATTTAAACTGTGGGGGCAAATACTGAACTTTTTTCTTTTATTTCCTTTTTATTAGTATAAGAATTAAAATGTGAAGGATTCCTAAATAAACAAATTATAGACATAGTCCATTATGTTTTTTTTTTGTTACTCTTAGATACTGAGAGACCTCGGATCACTTGTCCAAACATGACGTCAAACACCACTATTCCTGGAGGATCAGTTGGAATGGTAGCTTGGATGGAACCAACAGTTGAGGAAAATTCAGGCATTTTCAGCGTCTCCTTGCTCGAGCCTGCTTCCAACGGAGGAGAGTTTCCAATAGGTGTTTCAAACATCACATACGTAGTAATTGACGCTGCTGGGTTGATGGAATCGTGCACATTTCTCGTCGTTGTAACAGGTTTGTAAAAAAAAATATATATATATATTTTATGTCAAGATGTAGTAATGTAAAGTTATGTGGTTGAGATTTTTCCAAATTTATGGTGGTACTTTATTCAACTTATGATAGATAACTTGTTATCGTTCAGAACTTTCAAAGAAAATTAATACAAGGTTAAAGTGGAAGCAGTAGTTTATCTTTATGTAAACATATAAATTTAGAATGCAAGCCCATTCAAAAAACTGTCATGCATTTCCGTGTTAGTCGTATTTCTGTGGACTTTATTATAGCTCATTTTCCTCGGAGCATTGTCATACTATTTAATCATTACCCTCCATTCACGTAGATAATGAAGACCCAATCATCCAGTGCCCAGAGTCTATGCATGTCGCCACGCGACCTGACCTTCCCACTGCCCTGGTGTCGTGGGGTGACCCGACAGGAAGTGATAACTCAGGCAATGTAGATATTGACCAGGCTGGGTCATTTACTAGCGGCGGCGAATTCATGATTGGTGTCAACACCATCACCTACCTTGCAACAGATGGAAGTGGGAATTCTAAAAATTGCTCATTCGCTGTTAATGTCACAGGTAATTGTCCTATTTTGTTTCATGTTTCTCAAATTAACTATTCCAGTTTAGGGTCTCTGTCAAAATCACATTTTTCATTTAATATGACCTTTCTAATTGGAGCCCAATAGCCTTAACAATTTGTTTAGTTTCTAACATTATATAACTTTAACACGATCACAAAGACGTTCGAAAAATGTACTCAAGGGAAATTTCCATACCTTATTGTAAACCTCATAGAAATAATGTTCATGTTACAATATACGCCATCGCAATGTTTGCATGTTTCAACGATGATGGACAAGGCTATTAAATTGACTTGCATTGATTTTAGAAAGTTTTTATACCCAAAGCTTATCAAATCGATACATCTGAAAATACTTCTTAGCAGTTGAATGAAATCCTATGTCTTCATTTACATGGACTACTTCGCTGTTTAACATTTTCAGACAATCAAGACCCCATGATCCATAACTGTCCAAGCTCCATAACGACTGTTTCAAGACCGGGTCTGAATGTAACTGAAGTCTCATGGACTTCCCCAAAGGCAACGGATAATTCTGGACCAGTGGAACCAATCTTCCTTGGACCTGGTACTCTTGGTGGGAACTATTCCATTGGGACAGTTGTACTGACCTACATGGTTGAAGATATGTCGGGAAACATGGACATTTGCACATTCTCCATTACTGTAAGAGGTATGTGGAGGGTATATCTCACACGTTCCTTCATGACACATTTGTCCCAATAAAAACATGTCCTCTAACGATAGCAATATTCTTGATGGAAAACTGTGAATTCAAATAACATTTATTTATTTTGAACACTGTAATGATATCTATGAGTCTCTTCCCCGCATGTTGGACAGAACGAATTGAAATTTAAAATCCAAACCGTTAGCATGTAAAGATGACAAGATTTCTTATCAAAACGAATCTTATCAAAGCGATAATATCAATCTGGAGCTAGAACTCACTTGATGCCAATTTCAAGATTTTGATTCCTTTTTTTTTTTTTTTTTTTTTTTACTGGTGCGGCTCTATAATATATTCGATTTTTTGGCCCCACTTATAGATTACAACCATGTCAAGGTCATCTGTCCTGAGAATATCGTCATGCCTACCGCTCCAGGCAAAGCGAGTGCACCTGTCACATGGTCTGCAGCGACCAATCCGATTGGCTGGAGCAATGTCATCATTACATTTGAAGGGTCAATGACAAGTGGAGGAGATTTTCCTATTGGCGAGACCAACCTCACCTACAATGCAGTAGATCCGGATGGATTGAATGACTCCTGTACATTCTTTATCGTCGTCTTTGGTAATTCATTCAATCTTTATTTTTCTAAAGTCTTTTTAATGACCGTTACTTGGGCCCTGCACTTACTATACGACAGTTTATGTACCAATTTGTTTCATAAAAGAACGACAAATAATTCTACGAAATTATCACTTCTGTTAAGAATTAGCACTTATTATTCTGCTGTAAACAATGATTACCCTTGTTCTTGAAAACCATGCCGATTTGAAATTATCGTCCTTTTCTTTTTATAATTCTTCCATCTAGACGAAGAGAAGCCCAACATTACTTGCCCCGCTCTGATCAAAGTCACCACTGAAACTAATCTATCAAATGCCCGAGTTTCCTGGCCAAAACCCACCGCAATGGACAACTCCGGTCGTGTAACGGTCTCACTGATCGGCCCTGGATCCAACGGAGGTATCTTCAACATCGGTGATACCGACGTGTCCTATCGCGCGGTTGATGACGCAGGAAATCCAAGCTCGTGTATCGTAACCGTACGAGTAATTGGTGAGTTTCTCTTCTCTGAAACCTCAAGTTTTATTAACATGTCGTACACCCAAGTCTTTTCACCATATCTGTGTACTTTATATGTCTGTCTGTCTGTCTCTCCCTCTCTCTCCATCTCATAATCTGTATATATATATATATATATATATATATATATATTAATTTATCTATTATCTATATATCTCTCTGTCATCCTTCCTTTCTCTCTTGTGTTTCAATCTTGATTTTGGTATACATATTAACTGATTTGTCCAACATAATTCTGACAGTGATGAAAATGTACTCCAAAGCAGTTTTTTATTTCCACTCTACCTCACACATTGTAAAAATATAAATGAGAAACATAGGTGATTAGTAGGCCCAGACTTCAGCTCTTTGTTTTTCTTCTAAATCTTCTCATTCTTAGATGATGAACTACCAGTACTGACCTGCCCCGAAGACATCTCAACAACCACTCAAACTGGGTCATCTAGATCAGACGTAGTCACATGGACTGAACCTAAAGGAAGAGACAACTCTGGAACGGTAACAGTTTCACAGATCGGGAGAGAACAAAATGGAGGAAATTTCAACATTGGGGTCACCAATATCTCTTACCAAGCTGTTGATGACTCGGGAAATAATATTTCATGTGTGTTCTCCATACTAGTGGAAGGTTAGCAATAGCATTTTTCATATTATACACGCATCAATTAAGCACACATTAGTGATAATTTAATGCTCATGAGCTTATGTTTTGGAAAATTGTTAATGACAGGTACCAAATCATTAAAAACTATAGGTCATTGACAACGCCATTAACGCCACTGGAAAGCATCTGCAGAGAAGAAGAAAAGTTGTCCCTGCTGATATTTATATTCTAATCCCTATTATTTTAATACCAAAGTTAGGACAGTTCAGCATGCAAGAGGATATGTGCATGAATTGCTTGGAGATCACAGACATGAATAAGTGCATTGACCTCCCCCCTCCTTTATAGATGATGAACCTCCGACATTAGAGTGTCCCGAATCTCAGTCAGCATTCACTCAGCCAGGCTCTGATAGCACACCCGTCACATGGAGCGAGGCGAACGCAACAGACAACTCTGGAACTGTGACTGTTTCGCTCATTGGACCCGGGTCTAATGGTGGACGCTTCAGAATAGGCACGACCAATGTAACCTATCTAGCAATGGATGATGCTGACAACAATGATACGTGTACTTTCACCATTACAATTGAAGGTTTGTGATGAGATTATGTCTTCCTACTAAAAATAAATTACTTAAGTATAATTACTAATATTGTTCATGGGTATCAAAAGACATGGATTGTAACACACTTGGAAAATGAGATGAATCAGCTTTTTATTTTGAACTTTTTACATAATGTGCATGCTAAAATGACAAGATTACGAATCACTGGTTAATGCATAACAAGGAATATTGTTGTAAAGCAAAGAAGCAAGCCTATTCATTTACGCATCGATTCCCTGCATTATTTGTTTTCCACTGTACTTTACTTTTTTGTAAATATTCTACATCAGATGTAGAAGTGGACTAAAATCCCGTTTCTTTAAACTTTGTTCATTCTTAGATGATGAAGCACCGGTTGTGAACTGTCCCAGCAAGATATCATCAACCACCCAACCAGGATCACCTTCATCGGGTCCGATCACATGGGAAGAACCCACAGCAACAGATAACTCTGGGTCAGCGACAGTTTCAATGGTTTGGACTGGTACTCACACGAATGGAGGAAACTTCGGCATCGGTATGACCAACATCACGTACCAGGCGGTCGATGGTTCGGAAAACATGCACGCGTGTTCATTTATCATCCAAATACAGGGTATATTACCTTTTTCTCTTCGTAATATTGATAGTCTAGAATTTTACAAACATGTCTCAAAACTGACCTATTCACACAAATGTGTAAATAACGACTCCATATTAAGATGAGCCTGCATCTTTGAATATTTCCAACAGAAATATGTTCCCAAATAATCATCATCATCAATTTCATTTTGTTACTTTCAATTTGAGATGCAGGAGTACAATTTGGACTACAGTAACCATACAACTGTTCGATGTGTGTAATGGGTTTTATCAGGGGAATACTAGCGACACCTTATCCATGGTTTTATCGTATGGTCAAATGAGTTGGTATATATCAGTAGGCAAATTTATCTGTTAAGGCCTCTATAGCTTTTTTAAATAATATGACATCTGACAGGACTGGCACTAGATGTAAAGGTATCTCCTAGATGAAATGTGTCTGTTTTTTACAAACTTATATTGCTTTAAGGAGGAGTTATATAGACACAAATTTCGATTCTTCTTTCTCATGTCCTTAATCGACAGACGATGAGTCTCCGGTCTTGGCTTGCCCCGGCCCTCTATCAGCAACTGCTGAGCAAGAAACTGGTTTAGCTACAGTTTCATGGATGGAGCCTAATGCTACAGATAACTCCGGAAGTGTAACAGTTTCACTGACTGGACCTGGATCTAACGGGGGAAACTTTAGTATCGGAATGACCAACCTTACGTACCACGCGGTAGATGATGCTGGAAACATGAAGTCGTGCGTTTTCTCAATATCAGTAGAAGGTATGGCTCAGGATTTTTCTTGTAATATGATGAAGCTTTTGATGTTGTTACGCTTTCTCTAAGGTCTTCATTTAAGTTACGATTTCTAAAATCATAATCCGCCCTTTTCTCCCCCCCCCCCATGCCTTGTTCGTGCAGAATTTGCTGAATATTGTATTCTAAATCTAGAATGTGGATATTTTTTAGGTCTTTATGTACATTATCTTCATTATCGAGCAATATGGCCTTGAGTGAACGAGGTATTACACAGATGATCGTAAGATTTAAGTAGTTAACCCAAGAAACGGATAGATCTAAATGAAAACACTTCAATACTTGAAGAAGAAAAAAAAAGTTTTAAGAGGTGCTATTTGTCTTTGGAAAAAGAGGTCGAATGCTTTCGTATTTCACCAATAACCATCAATAATGATGCTAGGTGTGCATCGATTAATTACTAGGTCCCTCGGATAGGAATAATGGTATAAATGACTTGGACTTTAAAAGTATGTATTTGCTACCTTGCTACACTGTGCTTGTATGAGTGCAATTCTCCACTTTTAATAAAATATATCATTCATCTTTCTACTAGATCCATCAAGCTGTATATCGGATCCTTGCCTTAATGGAGGAACGTGTAGGGACTTCTCTGGCTACTTCATCTGTCGCTGTCCTCCTGGTTTCCAAGGAGAGACATGCCAACAAGGTAAGTTGGAGTGAAGGTAGATGATATCTGGTAGATACACCAGCTGCAAATTTATGAGGGCAATATTAACGCTCATAATAGTTTTATTATATAGGGCTCATACCAACTACACAACGCGTGGTAATGACTCTCTCCAATAACTCCACTAATCACTGGCTTCTTATAGCTAGGCAATTATTACGATTCTCACGACTTTTAAGAACGGCATTACTAGGTACCGATTTACTGCACTTGGGTCCAGAGTAGTAGATGCCCCACACTCATTCAATTGAACAGTCGTCATGTATTTATAAGTTAGTGCACATTATTTTTGTAGACCTAACATAGTTATTTTTTGTCAATCACGTATAATTTTACGACATTTTCCATTTTTTATTCCAAAGCGACGGTTAGCTGTCAATCAGGATCTGACATATGTGACGCTACAGAACAATGTGTTGATTCTTTCTGCCAATGTCGACCAAATTTCATCCGAATTAATGGAGCTTGTATCCGTAAGTATAACTAATATTCATGTTGCGTTCCCTTATCGAAAAGTCAACAACTATAGTCTTCTCAGTGACATTCGCTCATTAAAGTGTCTTTGAGTATTAAAATTGCCTAATTGTTATGTGAATAATGATTTTTGTAACCATGTCAATTCAGTAAACAAATCTGTTAGAACAACAATTATCAACTATTGTAACAGGGTAGGCATATGGAACTGCTCAAAGCATACGATCATGGCAAATGATCGTATGCTTTAATCAGTCTTGAGCACGTGACATATCACCTGACCAAAGATGATCAGACGCAGCCAAAAAACGATTAAGGCGTAAGCTTTGCGCAACCCAATCCATAATCTTGAAATATTTTGTTTTCTTTTCAATATTTTATCATAACCACCACCATCAGGCCATAACAGGTTTCGCTTGACACTGACAGCCACCTCCCTTCTAGGCACAACCCTTGACTATGTGGACAACTTTGCTGATCCGTCGTCGGTTGAATTTCAGAGCATCGCCGAGGATTTTAGAGGAGTGGTAAGTACTAGTAGGGTTATCATTTAAAATACTTGGAATAAGATACATTAAAGAGGTTTCTGCTTGCTTTTTCATTTAATACTATAGCCTGTGGTAGGACAAAATGTCTTTACAACGATGCTTTAGAAGGGATATGTAATTTCATCGTAGCCTATTCAAGAGTGCACCATTCATATTCTAATGATAGTGAAATCAAAATAGAGGCAAGAGATACGTATGTGTTAGGGGGTACTAGCTTATCCTGTCAGAGGATTTGAACGATGTTCATATAATATTTTATTTATAAATCGATGGCAAAGAGTTTCGAGAAAACAACTCAAAAGAAATTCCAACACCCTTTTGTATGTCCAATATAAATCATATTCAGATTACGCAATACGTCACAGGTAATGGACTAGACTGCTAAAATTGCCCTGGGTTGATCTTTCAAAAGTCTTTACATTCGTGTTTTATGTAGGGTCAACATAGCCAGTGTTATTTAGTTTCAATTTGTTTTCTTACTATCATCAGATTCTGTCCATCATGTCGTTAATCAACGATCTCACCGTCGTTCGACTGGAACCTGGCAGTGTCATCTTTACTTTCGACGGCTTCGTCAACACTTCCACAGAAGCTTCAGCAGTACAATCAGATTTGCAGAACGCACTCGGATCGGGATCTACAAACGACCTTATCCTGTCTCCAAACACAGTTCCACAAATTTCAGGTTTGAGAATAATACTGAATTATGATGTCTTATTTACCTATTTACCAGGGATAGCCCAATGATTATTAATACTGCTCTCCTTAAGGGACCTACTCTTTTGTAATTAACCCCAACATTCGAGTGGGACGACTGTGGTTGTCCAACGAGGAAAGACAGTGCTCCTGCATTCATTGAACATATTGGGCCCTTTCCCCTCAAAGGCAACTTTACATTAGCATATCTGAAATTCAAGACAAGAGCGAAGACAAGAATGAAGTCATAAGAGATGAATATTTGTACAATATCAAATTAATATCCGTCATACTTTGGATAACAGTATCCATGAATCAATCGAAATATATTTTTTCTCTCTTTCCAAATTCTATATTATAAAAACCTTTTTCAAATTTGCTTTCTTGTGACATGATACAGGTATGCCTCCTTTTTGTATTTTCACGTTTATATACTATAAATTTAGGTTAACGAGTATGGAATTCAGACGTTGTTAAAACAACACCACGTGAATGTTTTTCTCTCTTTTTTAAAAAATCACAGATTTTGACGAATGTGCTGATGCCACAACCAATGACTGCTCGCCAAATGCCTACTGTACAAACGTAGTTGGATCTTATGAATGTACATGCCGTGCTAGTTATTCTGATGAGTCCAGTGCGCAAATTGGCAGCGGCAGAACATGCGGTGGGTATTGCAATTTCACCCCCCCCCCCCAAAAAAAAAAAGAAAGAAAAAAAAAGAAAGAGAAGCCATGAAAAGGATATCTCAATCATTACCTGATACTGATTTAGTGGTTATAAATGTGATTTTAGTGAAACCCCTTTTTTTTTGGAGGGGTCTTTTTCCAGATTACCTGTCAATTTTTGTTTCACACTAGAATAAATTATCACATTTGTTTTAACTTTGATGAATGATAACAATTTTCCTGATTATGCTTTCTTTACACATTTATACCATTTATATATTGTTTAACCTTTACTGGTAGAATAACTCGTAAGTTGAAATAGTTGTTTTCGTCTTGCTTACATTATAATATTTATTAACAAAAATTATATCTTTCTTTCGTTTAGTCTTTAAACGCGGTCTTCTAATCGCTATAATATGCAGCGTCGTGGGGTTCTTTCTCATCGTTGTTTTCTGTGGTGCTCTCTGCTGCTGGTGTTCTAGACGTCACTATGTAAGCACACTGTTTTTATATTATACATTTAATGCAAAGGGGGGGGGGCTATTTCACGTTTGGCTTTTTTTTAATTCTTTGCCAACAGTAAAGCTTACCTCTTATAGTTAAGTATGAGGCAGTGACCGATAATGTACGTGCGTTATATACATATTAAAGATTATTTTCATAAACAGCTGTAAAGAATTTTTCTTTGGTCACCTTTTCGTTTCTGGTAGAAGTTAATAGGTGTGCTTTATTTTCATTTTATATTCATGATAAACTTAATATAAAAGTATGTGATACCGTTTAGCTTCATGTACACGCTTCAGAGTGATTAATTTTTCTCTCAGTCATTTACTATTTCCTTCACTAATTATTGTCTCTAATCTTAGGCCATCCATGCTGGTCAAAAACCTGATGTTGAATCACACCGGCCCCATCGGCCACACTCAAACAGCCGAATTCGATCTAAAGGACCTGTCTTCATACACACTAACCTCTCAAAGCCCTCTGGAAGAAACCCAGCCCCTCGTTTCATTGGGGACAACATAAAGATGGCCCATGTCCATGAAGGCCGCCGATCTGCTAGCTTACATCCTTCCAGCAATCGTAAAACATCATCACATGCAAGTCGACACCATTCTTATGTTCCTCCCAGATACTCCACGGATCGAAGTGATAACTTCATAAGACCGCATGTGGTAACCGGAAGTGAACCTATGGTAAGTCAAATCGAACATCTTGTAGTACATCAATTTTACACTACTTTACATTGTTTATCTACTGAACCCTATAAAGATTTTGTTACCTCCTGAATAATATTCAATGTGTGGTGAGAAACAGTTTTGCCAAATTCTTTACCCAGCCTATAATATTCCTATGAAATTCCAGGCAACGAATTTCCGGATCGCTCACAAAAATCTAAATCAGTAGACAGTGGTGTTATCGGTGTTACAGACCTTCTGCCACAACTAACATATTGTCTTGAGGTATTTGAATCACAGCGGCTTGGTTAACAACACAATGTGTACGCATTATATGTAATCCATGGAAATTATACAATTTTAAAGTCATCCGCAGGATATAAGCAGACATCAATATCCTACAGTTAAAGAGCTGTGGTCAAGTTTCAGGATTTTTAAGAAGATTAAGGGCGTTACATGGTGCAAAAAAAAAATCAGCATTGATATGTTGGAGAGTGGGATGTTTGATTTGATTTCCAATTTAAACCCGTTTAAGGTGGTGATAGTTGCATTATACATGACAACGTTTTATCGTCCTAAATATGATCATAGTTTGAGATTCTCGAACGATATTGTGCTATCATGTATCATGGTTATTGTAGCATTGGTAACGTTTTCTCAATATCTCACTTTCCCTTCCATTGATAGGTGCAACAAGGGAAGTCCGGATCGGTGTACCAAGCAAGATTTATTCCCTGAAAGAAATCGAGACGACAAACCACTTGAAGGTTATGCCGACATCTTTAATATGGATACAATCACTCGAATCAACGACGTGAAATCTTGCTTTTGATGAGCTTTTAGAGCATGCTGTACTGATTAGCCAAGAACAAAACACAACGTGTTGGAGTGAAACATCGAAAAGAGTAGATGAGCAAATTTTAGTAGACTTTATTTATCACAATTTGAAGGAAATATAATCTTCATAGTGAGTTGATCTCAATGACAGCAGTTAATTCAGAGAAACAGATATACGATTTAATAGGTTATACTCTTTAAAATTGAGATCACCATGTACATGGACATTTTCAAATCGGCGAGTTAATAACGTCACTGTGACCTGATTATTGTCGGACAACTCTCCCGCTTGATCTTAGACACCAAATGAAAAAACAAATCTAACTAATTTCTCTCCATGATATATCATGAATAAACCCTGAAGAAGTGTGGAGAGAAATGAAATTTCACGATATTTTAGTGTAAAAAACGGGAAAGTTGTTCCCAATTCGTAACAGTCGAATGGCTAACTCGTCAATTTGAGATTCCCATAGATTTCGTGATTTCATGCAGCTTTCATTATTCATAACTGTTGTATTTTTTTGTTTTTGTTGTTGTTATTGAATTCAATTTGTCTGCCTCAAATCTTGTTTTGTTATTTATTTGTTTTTAAAAACTGTTCAGCTTGTTACAAATAATGGATTGCCCTTAAATCTTGATCTTGAACGGTAGTTCAATGAACAAAATAAGACGACAAAGGGTAGCAGGTGAATATAGATGGATGTAAGTGTATGTTTCAAATACATGCAGTTCATTGGACAAACTCTAAAGGCAACTGGATTTCTCAAAGAGAATATAAAATACTACAGATTTTCATATAAGATCACCACAGTATGTATAACACAAGCATGTTTTTCACTATGTGAAAACACCATGTTCACACTTACCATGCTTGGGGTCACACAGTGTGATATATAGTGTGGCACTATATGACACAGTGTGATATATCGTGTCATACTATTTGAAACAGTGTCATGTGTAGTGTCGAACCATATGACACAGTGTGATATATATAGTGTCACACTATATGACCCAGTGTAATTACAGTGTCACACTATATGACACAGTTCGATACATAGTGTCACCGTGACTATTTGACATAGTGTGATTTACTTTGCCGTACATTATGGCACAGTGGTTTTAAAGAGTCACACTGTAAATTGAAAATTAAAAGTCAGCCTTTATTATTCATTCGAAAATTTGTTTTTCACTGGTAAAAGTTTAAAAATAAATTCACAAAAATATAAAAAAATCATAGTCATAGACAGTTACAGTAGTAGTAAAATGCATTCATAACATCTTTAACATTCATAACATATGCCACAGTGTGATATATAGTGTCACACTATATATCACACTGTGGCATATAGTTTCACACTATATGACATAGTGTGATTCAAAGTGTCGCAAAGTATAACACACTTTGACCACTGAATGAATCACAAGATTGTACCCTATGTATCCCGGTGTAAACAGAGTGCACAAGTCTTGTGGGATCCAGTTGTCAAGGAGTATCACGGACGTACATTCTGCTGTACAGATATCGCGAGAGAAGTTTGAATTTGACTTATTGATGGTCCATGTACCTATTTAGGCAATAATGTTTTAATATATTAAAACAATAAATATAAAGCTTTGAATAGAATGAACTTTTGAAAACTGTATGAGAATGAATAGAGAATCATAAAGAAGAAAAGAGAAAGAGAAAAATTAAATTGATTAGAAATGGATAGAACGAGAGAGGGACAGACAGAAAGAGAGATCGGGGCAGGGGGAGAAGTAGAAAGGGGAAAGTGGAGCTGTGTAGGATGGCTTCGATTATATGTTTCATTTAATATGTGTGTCATTCTGTTTCGTGCTATACAGTGTGAGTCAAAAAAAAGTTTACACCTAGAAAATTGCTAATTATTTTTAAAATCATCTATGAACAGTAAATTATTATACATCCTATGAAAGACTGCTTTATCCCAAATCATTTGGTATCATTTTTGTGTGGTATGTGTTCACACTTGGATGAACAGGAGGCATTGTTTGCGAGAGTGCAAAAATCGACCTGCGCCAAAGTTGCTTATGTGATGTTTAGATAAAACAATTGGGATTTGGATTTGGATATTAAATCGATCCAAATAACATCCCTAACAAAATTAATCATGCCACACATATCAAATATCGAATATCAAATATCAACGAACATTTGTGCGCGCGTGTGTGTGCGTGTGTGACTTTTCTTCTGCAAAAAGCATATGCAATGCATTTCATTTGAAACATTCAATTCATTCTCTCACTCCGCTAATCCCAACATAATACATGCTGTAGGCATCACTTTGGCGCAAGTCGATTTTTGCAGTCTCGCGAACAATGCCTCCTATTCATCCAAGCGTTATCACATACCACACAAAAATCATACCAAACGATTTGGGATGAAACACTCTTTCATAAGATGTATAATAATTTACTGTTCACAGATGAGTTTTAAAATAATTAGCAATTTTCTAGGTGTAAACTTTTTTTTGACTCACACGGTATATAGATCCTCCAACCTGGAAATTTTCTCTCGATAATTAAAAATGAATTGAGAAATAAAAAAAATCACTCGTACGACTAGTGCTCTCATCTCAGGTATTACTCACTCGTTGCGGGAGCCGCGAAACCAAATGGGTATTTCCTGTCATCTGTGTAGCAGTATCGTCACACCACAATAGCTTTACAAATAAATGAACCTAAGCTTGAGCAGTCGTAGATCATCGCCTAACTATATGTAATATATTTTGCCTTAAAGTTGAATTGGTATGAAATTTACATATAATGAACAAATTAATCATTTAAATAATTATATACAAATCATACACAAGTTATATACATATGTAATCAGATAATGACGTTTCTTACTCGACAATAACATATTTATTTTGTCAAAGTTGAAGTGCATGTTAATGTGTTAATGTAGGTTTGAATTAAGCTATCTAGAAATTAGAATCGAGAACTGAATCGAATCGAATTCTGGTCTAAACTGGAATATATTATTCTTACTTTATCATACTCGTGTTTAAATGTATTTATATTGGTCAGTAAGGAAATCACCTATATACCCAGAAGAAACATGAAAAGGGTTTCATCATTTTTATAGATAATCCATTGATACAGAGGAAATATTTAGTTTAAAATATTGACCTCTTTTGATGTTTGATAAACTTTGATTGATGTATCATATTAAATTTCACTTTGCTTCTCACCGATATTTTATTTCACTTCCTATTGAATGAATTAATCCCATTATAAACTATCTTGTTAAGTGAATATATAGACATCTATATTGAGTTATGTATTTCCAGTTTCGTTATGTCGCCATTGCAGATGTTTAATATTCATCAGATAGGTCCAACAATTAGATCCGTTTATTTACATCGACCCAGTTTACTGTAGATGCATATTTAAGTTTGTATCAAACACGATTCGCCACTACTTTCGAAAAATCAACTAAAAGTGAATTCAATACCCTATGTCTTTGCAGTGTTCGTAAAATTTCGCACATCAAATCGTTTTAGATTAATTTTTCGAAAGTAAAAGCAAAATAGTGCTAGATCTTGACTGATGATTAATTGCAACCAGGCAGAAGCCATGGTTATTACAAGTTAAAAAGTTGTATGTTGTGCTCTGATAATTTTAGATGTTTTGAATCTCTTTTAAGAGAGAAAATAAAACAGCATTTGCAATATATGAAACAGTAACAATTGTGTTGTCAAGTTCATTTAGAAGTTATGAGTATAATGGTTGCAATTCAATTGAAAGAAAGCGAAATATATGGCCACTTTATTACCAATCACATTTAAGATCATTTATTGCACAAAACACCTGCACTAAGAGTTGGAGAGAAGAATATACAGCGCATAGGAAATATGATACATGAATGCAACTTGTTTTAAAATATTCTCTTAATACATTGGATTGGTATTTACATTAATACAGATTTCTAAAATTGGTTTACGTCGCTATAACGTTAGTTAACAATTAATCGGTGGTGATTCAAATTCAAGAAAAACTGATTTCCTCTGCAATTATTGTCCTATTAATTTCATAAGAAAATATTAATTACCCACCAAAGGTGCTTTCTAACATGTGATTTACTCAGCAATACATTTTATAATTTATTAGGACTAGAATGAACAAATTGTGTGAGCCGTTAGAATTACCATGATTTTATTTCGAATCTGTATAAGGATATTGAGAATTAGTCCTGTAATTTATGGTTAAAGTTCTTTAAAAAGACAAAATACTCATTCTAATCTGAAATTTGATTCATACATTTTTTTAAATACTGTTTTAGCGGCTTTTTTGTAAAACAAATTAGCCTTGATATAAACATTCATGATAAAAGAATCAACATAGTATTCAATGTCTTTCCTGCAAATTCGTAAATTTAACAGTAACTAGTCCATTGTTTCTAGATATTAAAGATAGGTGAAGCTTGTGCGACTAATGTATTTATACATACATTATTCCTATCTATATTATGTGAAGGTTACGTGACTGCAATTACTTCAATCTAGCAGATCAGTGAACCCCATAGGTCAAAGAAGACGTGATTTCATCCTTAGGAGAGACACAACAAATAATTTAAAGCCCCCCCCCCCCTTCGGACAACAAAAAAGGTTTGGATTTTTTTAAAGTCCCTCTCCCTCCTCCAAATTCGACTGAGAGAGCCTAGGGAGGGCCGTTGAGATTCCCAAAATCAAATCCCCGGGGAAAAAATTACCCCCCCCCCCCCTCCCCCCTCCTCCCGCGCCCAATGTGTCATATCAGTCACCATTGGCGTAACTACAAGGGGGTGGGGTAGGGGATGTGAGGGGCGGAGGGGTGCAGGTTTGAAGAGAACCGAGAAAAGTTCTGTTTGCAGAACATTAATGAGTATGTAATTGTTCAACGTCATTGTAGTCATGAAATAGAGAGTGTAGGAATCAACGCGTTGACTACATATTATCTGCATTATGTAGCTCACGGCTAATCTCTTCAAAAAGGTCAAAAGAACGAAGGCACATTCACATTCAGGAAAACATAAATCAAGGCAATACATTTACAAATTAATATCAAAACGGGATCAAAACAACTTTTCATTTTTCTTCTGAGTTGGCTGTCGTCTGCCTGTCTCTGTTGCCAACGTCGATATCTTTGCTTCATTTGGGAAAAGCTGTTCCAAACAATAATCGTTTGTGGTAACCGCAGGCGAACTTGCCGATGTTACAAATCAACTTCCTTCCGTCATGCTCACAAGAGTTTTTTTAGCTTTCCCCGCGGAGATATACTTTCTTATTGGATCCGTGAACCACGTGATCTTCTTCGTTTGAGCGTGTTTCGCTGACGATATCGCTGGATCATCTGACCGAGTTCTTTGATGCCTTCAAGAAGCCCCTCGCCATTGGCGGCGCTTGCAGCTTGGAGATACCATGGGTTTGTATAGACAGAGTGGAGCTCCATCTTCTCCAATACTTGATAGATATCACATGCACCTAGAAAACCGAGAATAGAACATTTTGAGAAATAATCAATTAATTTGTTACAACGGTGTCTTTCAAGTGGTGATATTTATATAGCTAATTAAAGATAATCACCGTAAGAAACATAATATAACCCTGATGAGGGGGGGGGGGGCGTGACTCGTATTCACCTACATGGCATACATACAGAAAAAGACATTATCAAACTTCATGCACAACTTTATTATAGATACTCAGTTGTGACTACGTGAACCAAGCATGCATTCCGTGACGTGCTCGGCACTGGCGTACCTATGGGGGGGGGGGGCAGGGGGGCAGAGTGCCCCCCTGACAGGCTCCAGGGAAAAAAAAGAAAAAGAGGAAAGAAAAGAAAAAAAAGGAAAGGAAAGAAAAAGAAAAAAAGAAAAGGGAAGAAAAAAAGGAAAGAAAGAGAAAAAAGGAAAAAAAGGAAAAGGAAAGAAAAAGGAAGAAGAAGAGAAAAGGAAGAAAAAGGGAAAAGAAAAGGAAAGGAAAAAAATCGGGAAATTAAAAAAAAAAAGACCATGGCCGTACGCACCAGGGGGGGGGCAGTTGACCCCAGATATTTTGAAAACGTACAGTTTTTTTCCTGAAAATGTAGTGTAGGCCTATACCAAATCCTTCAATTCTACTTTTGAAAATGCAAAAGTACCCTCATGACCAGTTCGGTCGCTCGAACTCCCTTTACTCCTTTTGCTTTTGAGATTCTTCGAAAACTTTTAACGCATCTTTCCCCCTCCCCCACCAGAAAAATATTCCGCATACGGCCCTGAAAAATTTAGACAAATGAAAATAGGAAAATATAAGTGATATAACAAATTCGAAACTCTTCGCTGGCGCGAACTGCTTGCTAGCCTATTTTGTATTAAATGTTTTCACTTGCTCGTCCCCCTGAAAAAAGAAAAGGATTAGCATTGCCTAGAATACAATTGTGCCTGCCCCGACGGGCCCCGACCTGCAACCATGGCAACAATAACACACAGAGTATGTACCAAATGTTACTAAAAGAGACTAATTCATTTTTCTCGCTCGCTACACTTTCTCGCGAATAAAATGAATAGATATTGCTTTGGAAACAATTGTGCCCACCCTTGACCTGCAACAATATCATTCAAAATGGAAGAGTTTTTACGCCCTCTCGCCAAAAAGGAATTGAATCGCGTTAAACGCGATTGCGTCCATTCTGACCTGCACTAATAAAAACTAGTTTATTTATTAATTTCTATTAAAAGAGATTTTTTTTTTGCTTGCTCGCTATGCTCGCTCGCCAAAATGGAATTGACACCGCTAACGTGCCCGCCCCAACCTGCAACAACCAGTTAATAATTATGTACCAAACGTTATTCAAAGACGTTTTGGTGTGCTCGTGCTCGCCAAAACGGAATTAACATCACCTTAGACATGATTGTGTAAGCCCTGCCCTGCAACAAAAATAATCTGAAATTTATGAACCAATTATCATTACAAAAATTTTGCTCGCTCGCTACGCTCGCTCGCCAAAATAGAAATAACACCGCTTTTATTAATCACGTCCCTGACATGGAACAATGAACCCAAGTTTATGTACCATACTTTCCCTATAAAAGAGAAGTGATTTTTTGGCTCGCTCGCCAAAATAGAAATAACACCGCTTTTAATAATCACGTCCCTGACATGGAACAATGAACCCAAGTTTATGTACCATATTTTCCCTATAAAAGAGAAGTGATTTTTTTGCTCGCTCGCTACGCTCGCTCGCCAAAATAGAAATAACACCGCTTTTAATAATCATGTCCCTGACATGGAACAATGAACCCAAGTTTATGTACCATATTTTCCCTACAAAAGAGAAGTGATTTTTTTGCTCGCTCGCCAAAATAGAAATAACACCGCTTTTAATAATCACGTCCCTGACATGGAACAATGAACCTAAGTTTTATGTACCATATTTTCCCTATAAACGAGAAGTGATTTTTTTCGCTCGCTCGCTACGCTCGCTAGCTGGAATTATGTGCCCACCACTAACCTGCTACAATATCATTAAAAAGAGAAATGTAGGGGGTTGCCTGCCCACCAAAATGGGATTGACATTGCCTTAAACCCGATTGTGCCCGCCCCCGACCTGCAACAATGAAACAAATTTTATATAGCAATTCATTGAGAGAAAGATGTATTTAGGCTCGCTATCTAAAATGGGTATGAAATCACCCTAAACACAATATTGTTCCCGCACCCTGCATGGGACAATTGAACCAAGTTTAAGTGGCAATTATTACAAAAGGAGTGATTTTTTTCTTGCTCGCTACGCTCGTTTGCAAAAAAATGAAATTAACGTCGCTAACAAGTGAATGTTCCCACCCCCAACTTGCAACAATACCAGTTTATATACCAAACGTTACTTAAAGATTTTTTTTTTGCTCGCTCGCTCGCCAGAAGTGAAAATTAGCATCGCCTTTTTTGTTAGTTTCGGTCGCTTGCCCCCCCTGACGGAGTACCCCAGGTACGCCACTGGTGCTCGGGAAATATGGATATTCTAATCAAGAATGGGAGTTTAAGGTAAACTTGTTATAGAGGGAATACCACAAGATGAAGAGGTGTAGACTATAAACAAGATCAGTCGGAGGAAGAGTGAAGGGAAGGAGAGGGGGGCAGAGAGACAGAGAGAGATGGAGAGGCAAATGAATCAAGAAACATGAGAGCGAGAGGGGGAGAGAAAGAGAGAGAGAGGGGGAGAGAAAGGGGAAGAGAGAGAGAGAGATAGAGAAAGGGTGGGGAGAGAGGGGCAGAAGGAGAGAGAGGGAAATAGCGAGAGATAACTGGAAATGTGTCATTATGACTCATACATCACTGTAAAATTAATGTCATAGCACAATTATAGCGATCTAATTTTAAATTTGTTCAAGCACATCTGATGTGTGACTGGTCATGACAGGTGGAAGTAAATGATTTTGTAACTCAATTATCTTCCAATACAAAAGGGTTACTAGATTGCGCTAAGTATTACGCAAAAGTCAATATTTCAAGCCAAAAAAAAATGTTCTTTAATCAAACTGAAACATTTGACATGATCGTGCCTACCAGAGAGTTCTTGTTTATTGGCAAAGACAACGACAGGAATTCCTCGGGGTAATCCCTGAAGTTTGAGGACTTTGAAGAGAAAATCTCTGGCATCGCACATCGAGCCTGGGTCGGCGCTGTCAACCACGAAAGCGATCCCTGCAACGAGAAAGGTGGAAGTATATGATATCAATTTTATTACGACCATAATATTGAGCTATTCCTTTAACGGGATCAATAAAATGGTGGATATTAATTTGATGGTGAGCAATCATACTACAGAGATCACGTGTATCTATATAAAACATTCACAAAGAAATGAAACGGAAAGCTCTTTAGAGCTTACATTACACAAGCGAAAAGACAGAACCCTGGTAAATGGTATTAAGCAGAAAAGAAAGCTAGCGTCCATATGGCAGTAGGGTGACACATCTGCCGGGGTATAATAAGAAACAGAGTGATATATTACAGACACTAAGCTTTTTCAAACACATAATCAATCTGAAATCTACTGTGGAATCACCCATCTAGTGGCATATCCAGATATTGATGGGTGGGGGGGGGTGGTGGAATTCTTTCTGGGCCGAGAGCAAACGAATCTGGGTAGTCTCACATGCCCTAGATCCACTTTGATTTTTTTCTGGGCCTTCAATGAGGATGGAAGGCTTATACCAGGCTGAATAGGTTACTGTCCATCAACAACACGATCATATCGATACGAACAACAACAACTTAACGCAATTTCAATATGACTGTATACCACCTTTTAAAACAAATTCTGACGGTCATTCGAACATAATTTCTGTAAAATTATGTAATGAAATTGCCCTTGAGTTGATTGTTCAATATTTTCTCCTCTTGAAATTTGAAGTGATCAAACCTTCTATAACTAACTATCAATTATTCAACCTTCGATATTAAAATGACCACGGATCTACAAGCATCCTTATTGTATTATTAAAGGGGAAGTCCACCCTGGTATTAAGTTGGTTTTAATAGAAGCAGAAAATACGAGGAACGGGTCAGTGAAAGTTTAAGCAAATTCCGATCGAAAATAAGAAAGTTGTAAACTTTTCAGGTTGCAATTAATTAAACACAAATTGGCAACTATGTGGCGTATCTTGCGAGCTCCCCTCCCATTTGCCCTGTACCGAAAACTTAAAAAATCTATATATTCCCTTACAAAAATTGTCAATCATACATTCGCCCTAACGATAAATAGTGCAAACATGTTTTATACAACCCCTGTATGAAACAAACCTATTCCGTCATCATTGACTAAGAAAACGAAGTTTATGAATTTTTATGTAACGAGGAAAAGGGAGAGGAGCTCGCAAGAAAGGCAACTTAATATCAGGGTGGACTTTCCCTTTAAGGGTCTACTTGATGTTGAGAACAGAACAATTACACGAACACAATAGACGGAAACTATATTCCTTACATTAAAAAAAAATGTCTTCTTCCTTCTCATGTCTTATTATCAATTCGGAACAGAAAATTGGTTGTTATGCATGCTCATTAATTTACACCGGACAATATTACAACATACATGATTTCCAATCACTCTTCATTAAGATCACATGGTTTATCTCGAAGCAGGTGTAAATCATTATGTACAGTCACTCATATACGTCACAGAGACTGACTGTGAATCGTCCTGCATGTTTCGAATGAAATGTGTTTAATGAAAATAAGGACCAGATGAGACAGATGTATAGCATTATTAGTCTCGATCAGTCCATCAAACTCAACGATAAACCGTTTGGTGTTTGATGAAAGAAAGATATGAGGAATTTCAAGCTAATGAACTTTTTCCGCATCGCATTAAAAGAACAATAAGCTGGGATAAAACGTTTTTAAAAACGAGTTTAAAATGCTATTCAAAACGGAACGAGCATTATAGGTCATTTTCTGAGTAATATTACTAAATATTTGTTTCTGAGTAAAGTATATAACCCCCCGCCCCCCTCCAAAAAAAAAAAAAACAAAAAAAACTAACCGGTCCATCTTCCTGTATCTCTCTCTCTCTCTCTCTCTCTCTCTCTATATATATATATATATTTATATATTATATCTTTCTCTCTTTATCTCTGAACACATACTAGACACACATCAATACAGACATACACATACACTATGTATCTCTCTCTTTCTCTGTCTCTCTCTCTTTCTCTCTCTTACCCCCCCCCCCTCTCTCTCTCTCTCGTCTCTCTTTCTCTGTCTCTCTCTCTCTCTCTCCTCTTTCTCCTCCCTCCCTCCCCTCTCTCTCTCCCTTTATCTTTCTCTCTCTCTCACTCCCTCTCTCTTTACTCCATTTTTTCTATGAACAAATTGCACAGAAGAACCAATTTGGAATTTCCAATTGCAATACCTTGAGATAAGTATAACTTTTTTTATCGATCGGACAGAAGGTCGTGCTTGAACTAAATTGAGTGAGGCCTCTTCAACTCTGCAGTTTCACAAAGAGACTGAAATTGTATGAGTCAACACATCAAAAATATATATTCTGATTACAAGTAACTGATAGAAATTTGATATCAATTTAGAATAGCTAATCTGTAATGTTTTGGTTTCTATCCGAATCGGCAAACTTGTTCAGTGGGAACCGATACTCGTCATGGCCAGTAGTAGGTCGTCTATTGTTTCATCATCATCATCGCCTCATCATTATCAAGCATTTCCTCTCCTAGAATTATCCTAATGGTGTTAAATGTAACAATTATGTTTTTCATGGCTATGACAACATAACTAGTCACGGTGTTCAGGGCATCAAGATAACCAAGAAAAACAGACCCCAAGTTTGATGCAAGTCATGTAGACCCCTCATGGAAACAATCATCATACGTGACTATTATGATGAGAATAAGCTGCCACACGACATAAAGTTACACACCGTTGACATTAATAAATATTACTCTTTGTAGAGGGTTATTTTAGCGTGCTGTTGTCTAATCTCAATCTGAATAATAATTATGACTGACTGTATTCCACAAAACGACAAAATGATAACTATTTTGTCTTAGGTTTTAAACTAGTGCATGTTTCTCTTTAAGTACATGGTGACGAGGCCAGGCTGGCCAGCATGCTGTCTGAATATCGAGGCACATCGGAACTTTTTTAAATCTGTATACGCTGGAAAAGGGGTGGCGGGAAGTCCGCCATAATGGCAAGCGAGGGTGAAAGTATGAGTAAAATTCATTTGGCATGGACAGTTACGAAGTCCCCATGAAACACATCATGCATGCTATTAAATTCACACGCTCCGTTTCAATTAAACCAATCGGTCTGCTTTCTCAATAGTTCTGTCTCATCTGAAGCAATGCAGATTTGTGGAGGCACACCCCCCCCCCCCCCCAATATCATGCTTAAACAGCTTGTCAGAGCCTGGTTTTGGACTTGCGCGCCCCCGTCCCCTTTAGTATATTAATAATTATGTGCAAAATGCTACAGACCTTTTGTAATTCCTGTTGTCTGATAACACTAGTGATCGCTGATTATGAACAAGCGAATAGGGGATGGGACATGATCCTTTTCCTCGTCTCAGATTTGTTTCATTGCAAATATAACAATCTCACGCAAATGTAGGTTTATGTTTATTTTTATGCATAACCAGTAAATAAATATTCAAATCAATAACATTTATTTCCATGATGAATTGATTTAATGGAACTGAATTAACCTGAGTAAATAAATTGATTTGGTTTGAATAAGTGAAGAGAAAATCACAACCCTTTCTCTATTCTACCCTTGACGATGCACACGGGGCCTCTACCTCTGTCTAATGAGTGATCTGTTTGGTACAACTCCGCCCGGATAAGTCGACAATAACAAACAAAAAAATAAAATAATACAAAAAACGACAACAACAAACAAATAACGAACAAACGGACAAACGAAAAACACCTTTGGACAGGTAATTGCATACCTTCAGCTTCATGGTGATGATGCCAGTCACGCGTGCGTAGTTTAGGCCAGTCTCCTAGATCGAGCATGGTGAAAGTGGAGCCAGCTATAGGGGTAAAGGTCTCAGAGTTATAGCCCAAAGTAGGTGTGGTGAAAATGTGCTCTTTCAACATCAACCGGTAAAGGATGGTCGTCTTTCCTGTATGCAGGGTCGAATATATAGACAGCATCAAGAATATGTTGATATCTAGGAAGAATCGATGCTTCATTTTCTTACAAATTCAAATTATTATTATGCATTCACATGATTTCCATTGATTGTAATGTTAGGTCTGTTTAATAACAATTGACATTAAATTTCGCTTTAATAAGCCTAATTATTTGCAATTTTAGGTCAATTTGTAGGTCCATGTTCAAACCATATAAATTATGTATATCCAACTTAATCCATTTTAGAATAAAGACATGAACAACAATAGAACGACTGTCGAAGCAACAAGGATAAACAAAAAAGTTGTTACCTCTCTCGTCAAGACCTAGAATTCTTTTCCCTATCAAGATAATTGAAAATGATTATAAACTTTTCAATTTTTGATAAGAATTATTTCAGTTCCATGCAAGAATCAACAAATCTCTCATATTGAAAAGCCATGTTTATGATTACCATTTTAAATTACGATGATATATATTTGACAGTTATAAATACATTATTTTAATGTTGTATTACTGATAATGCCCCTATTGTAGAAAGAGCAAAAATATTCGCCTTGTGTTTTTTATGGGCATCAAATTCTGAATTGTAATTAATAAAGGTAATGAGAGAGATAAAGATCTAAAATCCAAGGCCCAAATTCTACTAAATTTTAAACCTGACGCTGGGTTTAGTTTTTTATTCACAATCTGACCCAACAAAGGAATTTTGTCTGAGGTCTAAATTTTCCTTTGTTAAACGCGGTCTCAGATCCAGGGTCGTCGGGTCTACTGAATTATAGCAGGAAATGGATCTCAAAGTATATTATTATCCTATAACGCCTCCAAAATATTCTTATTATTCCCAAAATGACTTACTTTATCGTAATTATAAGAAATTAAAATCTATGGTATTCGTTGCTTCCTACGGGGTGGGGTGGGTGCTGTCATTTTCTTAGTACTGTGACTTGCTAGGCGAATGCGAAAAAATAGACAAAGATGTAATAATAGAAGCGTTTCCAAATGTATATTTGAAAATATTAATGCTTTTTCCATTGGTGACAACAACTAGCGGAGTATTATTTCATTCATCTGCTCTGAAATATTGTCAGAATGTGCATGCATTATATTTTGCTATGTCAGGCATGTCCAATACAGTCCATTTCCATTGAGAAAAAAAGAATTTGTAATAAATGAATTGGAAGTATTTGATTTCAAAATATCGAAACAAGTGTTTGTATTTTTTAGTAAAATCTATTCACGTCAAAGAGAATTTGGTGTTATCGAAAAGGGTCAATTAGCTTATTTGTTCTTTTAGAAGTTCTTGTGATGTACGATTCCATATTCACACAATGAAGGACACGACAGTCCACACTAATACTGGGAGACCATACATTAAGGTAAACTTATCCTCGTTTATTTCCACCATGTACAGTTTGTAGTTAAATCTTTAAGGATTCCAAAAATGTACATAATTTCCTTTTTAAACTTGTACTGAATATGCAATTGCAACATTCCATTTATGTATTTCCTCCTTGCCTGTTAGGACAAAAATCAGATTTTACAGAGAGGTAATGGACAAATTGGAAAATCACCTTTGATTTTTTAGTGTAACGAATGTACTGCAAATATTTGTTAAAAAATCGATCGTTTTCATAACTATTAGGGGATAAAAATTAAAACACGCTTTTACCAGGAAAGACGAACAAATGACAATTTTCTGGAGAATAAAAGAGGAAGTGAGTAGATCAATCATCACACGCCTAGACCTGTAAATAGTTGAAAGGAATGGCTATTGGATGAAAAGTAAAATAGATAAAGATTTGTTTCAGATAAGCTAACAAAGAAGAATTATTATGGAGAATGGGTATCAGGAACACCAGTCATGACAAGGACCGACAAAAGTCGCTATGAGTTCTGAACTATTTATTGACAGCCCCATGCCCTTTCCTCGCTTGGATACGGACAAAGTGATCTTCTCTCAATGGTTATGAGGAGCATTGCAATGAAATTGGGGTCAGAGTCAATGTTGTTAGCAGTCGCATTTCGAAAATTACAGATAGGTGCTCTGTCTGATAGGTACATTTGCGTCAATTATCACCCATCGCAACAACGGAAGGAGAGACAGGGGAGGGGGAGAAGGGAGAGATGGAGAGGGGAAGGGCATGGAGAGAGGGAAGGGCAACAGAGGGGGTAAGAAAGAAGAGAAGGGGACTGAGAGAAGGATAAGGAGAGAGAGAGGGGAAGGGGAAGGGAAGGGACCTACAGAGGGAGAGTTTGTTTAATAGTGGGTAGGGGGGGGGGGCTGTGTGACGTGATTATGAACAGGGCTATTCGCAATTCCAGATCCTATGATCATTAGTGTTGACATGCCCTATTACATGCAGACAACCAGTATGCCAAACATATCAGAAGCAAAAACAAAAACAGCACAGATACTCGAAACTAACTTGGAATATGTTGTCCATGGTTGAGAAAAAGAAACCAAAACTATATGAAAGATTTGTTTAAAGCATAAGCATTCTAAAATGGGGAAGTTAACAACGAAAATACATATCGCTTTCTCACAGATACTTCACATTGAAAAGAATTCTTTGAATGCTATCAATTCCAAAACTGCGGAATATATTAAACACACCGAATTAGCAGTACAAACGTCCTGTTTTGTTTCGCATGAATGGAATCGAAACTAATTTTCTTTAAATCTTGTGGTTATTTTAATAGAGAGAGAGAGAGAGGGGGGAGAGAGGGAGAGAGAGAGAGAGAGAAAGTGGAAAGGGATGGTGGAAGACAAAAATAGAGAAGAAAAAATACCGTCTTAGAATAGAGATTTTGATACTTTATCCACTTTATCGCGGTAATAAGATGCAACCAATATGCATATTCACGATTAGGGCTTTAACGCCTTTTATACATGTAGGTGTACGGGTCAGCATATGTCTATTGCCTAAAAATCAACTGTCCAGTTTGCAAGCGAGCAATAATTTGACACTTTATCATAGTGAAATCATCTTTTGGGTGTAGAGCCTTCTTATATATTTTTTTGTCTTTGTAATATTATACTCAATGTGATTTTTTTTAAAGTACAAAGAGACTCTCGGGCTGTCTGAATGTGATGTGACGATTGCCCGAATATTGACAGTTTAATAATGATCGGGCTTGCAGCCCCAAGCCTCTCGTCCTCGCCCGCCCGTTTATTTATTTTTTAATATGATTAATGATAATGATAATTTGCGACTACTAGTAATGTTGAATGAGTTTTCAATCTGATATCAGTGTTGAAATTAACAAAAGCTTCGTAAAACTTGTTTAGTATTGCATTGAACTAACCTGCACTATTCAGTCCTACGATGAGAATCTTCATTGGTGTTTTAGCTGTGTCCTTCCATTGGGGTCCCAATCCAGATATGCAAGCACCCATCTTGGATTCGACTCCCTGGCCTTCAGTTGCTTCACATCAAAGATATATATCACAGCCGCTCTGCTGCACTCGGAGCACGAAAGATCGAATACCTGCTTAGATGCTCTCTCTCAACACGATATTGTGTTCACGAATTCACAAGTAATTTTTGGCTCATCAGAGAGACAGAAAGGCGCAATTAAACATCAAATAAAAGGTGAAAACACCACAATCTTTAATTTAAAGTGCATGTCTTGTTCCAGTGAGTATGTGTCAACTGGTTTTTGCAGAACAAGAACTTAGCCGGAAGATCGAGTTTGTAAACTCGCTGTATATTCATGCACTACTCCACATGTGATCTCGAAACCGAGATTTCATCCGTGCCTCTATAACTCCGTTGTCTGATTGATTCTGTTTAATGGCGGCGTCTAAGGAGGGGGTGGGGGTGGGGGAATCAAATTCGGAAGTCGTCAAGAGCAGATTTCCAATGTGTCTGCTCTTGAGAAGGCTACAAAGGTTAAGACACTTTTGAATATGTTGGCAAACAGGAGAGACGGGCTTCTATTCCCGTGTCTTATTTGAACTGTATGTGCCCTTACCATCCATCCTTTACAACTACTCATCAGTGTTGGCTGTTGGGATATGATTGAAGGGGGTATTCCGAAGGGGTGAAGAGAAAGTATTGAAAAGTGAAATGAATCTTATCAAACTATCATCAATAGCATATAATAAACTAAACAAAAGTAATTAGGGGAGAAAAACTGTCATTCCTTTCCCACTTCAGACGTGTAGTAATGTGATTTTTTAAAGTTAAACCTTCCCATATCTCTTGTAATCGGAAATTATCATTACTGAAGATAACCACATAAATCAAGAGAGTTATATCTCTCTGGAACTGATGGGGGCTCACTTCTTGTGGCATCGATCTTTTTATCATAATTTTTTTTCTACCAATATCTTTATCAGCCATTTCTCACACTTCCCACCCCTCCCCTATGTCTGTTTCTCTCTCGGTATCTCTTGATAATTTACTCTCCTGAACTGATCTCCTCTCCCCCTGCCCCCTCCTCGTTTTTAACTCTCTCCCTCTTTGTTTCATTTTTTGCATCCGTTCTTATTCCAAATCAAGCGCCCCTTCCCTTCCTTTGTCCAAACCAAACTTGCTACTCCCTTTCCCCTACTTCGTAATCACCGTCACATCTACGTCATGTACCTAAGCTGCCCCTTCCTCGGATCCGTCGTGATAATCGTCCCGTTGTGCGCATGTCTTGCTTTCTGCATGGCCCCCTCCCGGAAGAGCGTGCATGACAGCAACATAATTATCACTTCCTTTCAACTGTTGAGTTATTCAAACCACAGTGACACGCCGGTTCAAATCACTTCGCCAAGGCAGAGAAGAAAACAAAAATTAGAGGGGATCATTGGAATTACATGTACATGGTACAACTAATTCCGACTGCTGGTATGATTCTGGATGACCTGAGGGTATGGGCCTCAATCACATTATTTAATAAATTATGACGATTGGTACATTGCAGCGTCACGTCTCTTTTCTCTCTCCAATGAGCAGAAATCAAACCAGACGAAATTTGTTTGTAAGGGGGCATACCCCCCAGCAAATGGCCAAAAGAAGGAGAGGAAAAGAGACGACGAGATAGAGAGAGAGAGAGAGAGGGAGAGAGAGAGAGAGAGGAGAGAGAGAGAGAGAGAGAGAGAGGGAGGGAGGGAGAGAGAGAGGGAGAGAGAGAGAGAGAGAGAGAGAGAGAGAGGGGAACAGTAATAGGGGTAAATAAATAAATGAATGATTAATTAAAAGAAATAAAAAATAATTAAATAAATCAATAAAAAATAAATGACGAAAGAAATATATATAGATAAATAGATCGTCATATGAATAGAAAGCGAATGGGACAAGGCAACATTAACAGATGTAACCAACCCTTCCCACCCCCTTTAGTCAATCAGCTTGCTCTCTCATCTTTTGACTTTATCCACCTGGTAAGAACAGTGCCCCCCCCCCCCCCCATCACCCATAATAATACTACAGCTTGCCTCCACCGACATGGATTCACACTCCACTACTGAGGACCACATCGAGCAACTATCGCAAAGGCACAAAGGTAATTTTGAACATTTCAGGATTAACGTAGCGCCTTTCATCAAGGCAACATGAGCCAGGATAGTTTAGCAGAAAAACAAAGACCTAACAGGAATCGTGACAAAATTAAATTTCCCTCTCCTCCTCCCTTCCCCTCTCTTTTCCTTCCCCTTTCACTCATAAACGCACCATGAGCACTTACATGGTACAAAAATACCTACATTCACTAATACACATTTCTATAATTTAGCCGACATGATAAAAACATTGACAATATCGACTGCTTTCTTTGTAATAATATATAAAGCTTTATTCCATATATGTTTACATTAATTCCATAAACATTTAACAGTGTTACAAAAATATCGATACATGTATTACATGTTTCACATACTGAGAAAACAAACATCATGAAACACAGCTCAGTCCAGACTAATCCAGATTCGACTTATCACTGAAAAGTTGAACACCCTTACTTTTACAATAGCCAATATAAATAAAAGGAAACTTAAGTTCTGCTTATAAAAATAAGAAATAAAACGTAAAAAAAAAAATATGATTATACCACCATGATCCCAATATCACTTGGGAAAGCAGTAAACAAGCAAATGCATCAGTTTTACTTTTGAAGTTTCCACCTGCATTTCATTAATCAATTGACTTTCCTCACTGCTACATACCAACTACATTTGAAATCATCTAAGACTGCATTTAATACATTTCCTTACAATGTTTACTTTGCTGAATACCTTTCATTCCTGAAGCTTAATGAATATCAACTATTTGATTTAAAATAAAAATTGAAAACTTTAATGTTCAAAGGATTAGGAAGTGTTCATATTTCTTTTATTTCTATATTTGTTATGAACTATCTTATACACCTTTCCTTCACAAACATAAGACATACCAACTTTAAAAAAAAATCTTACTGAGTGTCAAAGAGGAAATCTATACTCTCCTTGTATTCAGGAAATGTTAGTAATTGTATTTGATTAAATCGATTCTTATTCCTGATTTACTGTCATATTCACCTTTCCTTTCTGGAACATAAGACATACCATGTCCCTGGCTTACTATTGTAAGTACCTGATGATTATATCTTGAGTCTCAATCATGAAGAAAATTTATGTTAAATATTGCCAAGGAAGTAAAAGACTTAAAAATGCTAAAGACTTAATAAAAATAATAATAATAGTTAGCTCTTATATAGTGCATTTAATTACCGAAGGTAATACCAATGCGCTTTACAAATGTAGAAGACAATAGAAATAAAGACATATATAGAAATAATTACATATAATTATAATCAAAACTTACAAGTTCATAGAGTATGAGAGAAGAGATAAATATGAAGAAAACAATGAATAACAACATTTAATACCCTGACATGTTTACAAAAGCAATATATGAGTTACATTGTTATTCAAATAAAACACTAATGTAAGCAATACAATTGATCTTTATAATATATGTTTTCTAACTACATGTAAATAGAAAATCAGGAACATTGTCACTTTGGCATTTTTTATATCAATAATTTAAAAAATCTAAAAGAAAACAATAAAATAATGTTTTAAAACTGTTAATGAAATTTCACAAAACCATCTAACCTACATGTACTCCGTGATGAAGAATACAATTTGTACAGAGATTGCACTTGACACCAATAACCTTCAGAGAGGCTTGCCTGTCATAGCAACAACAAGTACACAGAACTAATATATGAAGACATTAAAAAAAAAAAAAAGTGAGTAGTGAAAGATATCAACTAATTAATGTGATAGAAATCTTTCGTTGATACAAGCAAATTCGACAGCCACCATCAATAGAACGGTTACTAAAACCTTAACTTTGTCTTTGTACTGAATAAATTGCACTTTTAGTCCTGAACATAAACTGTATCATAAAATAATTCTATAGATTAGTTTTTAAAATATGAACAACTTTATCACATTCCGATTGTGATGTACTATCAATTGATAGAGAACCACTATTACTTATATTTCCAAAAAACGATACATCAACAAACGACAAAAAAAAACAACACTGCAATTTAATAATACACATGTACCGGTATATAGAAATATTTTATCCAATTCATCTATAAATTCAAAACATCATACATTATAAAAGAAGTCCTTTCCGTTTAAATACTTTGTTACTTTTTCTAATGCAAAAGTATATAGCACAACATTTCAAAATGTACACTTTTAAATTTTGTATAGACAGCTCTTTAGTTCAGTGAAGAGATATATTGTGTCATAAAAATTTACTGGGTAACATTTCATCTTTAAAAATGTAATTGTAGAGGACTTAGTAAAAACAACAAAGTGCTTGACCTATCGACATCACCAGTCATAGAAATGATAGACAATGTTCTTTTAGATATAAATTTAAAAGAAAAGATATAAGATTTTGTATACAAAATACAAATGATCAATATTAACTTTATAAAAGGGATTCAATACACACAAAAATATCTCAATAAGTAATACCAAAATCATGAACCCTTCTCAGAATCTTGACTAAGGCAACAAGGATATCTCCTACCCCTCCCTAAAATCATGGTAGACATGACTTCAGAGGCATTTCATTTTGTTTGAATAGGGAAGACAACAAATGTTATATTTTATGGTGGCATTTAGTATCCATAGTGTCATTGCTTATTTGAAGAGAGGGAATCCACATAAGCCTTGTTTTACTACATATGACAAGACTTCTGTTTTATACTTTTCACCAACATTACTGATATAATTGATAATTCATGTTAATGTTTATTTAATGAATATCATTCTGAAATTGAGCCATCATCTGAAAGATTCTCATTTCAAACCTTATTTTCAGGCTTGATTACACTAAATATAATTTAAAAGATCAGTCTTTTTAGCACTATAAAATACATTGAGCACATGAAGAATATGGAACTCATGCTTGGTATACCTAATCTTTCAAAATGAAAACTCTGATATGTAAAAATAATGAAGGTTGAAAGCATATAAGTCTTACTGCCTTTTCCCACTCATAATTCTGACACACAAACCTTAGATCGACCGAGTCAGTCAAAGTACTGATATGTCTTTCAACAGCAGTAATTTCCTAGCTGATCATGATCAATAAAACAAAGTTCAAGAAGTCTGTCAGTAGTCAAACTGCAACTTGGATTATACATGCACAGTTTCTTTTAATTGCTTTAGATAAATCTCTCATTTTCTAAAACAATCACCATCTAGTTCCAAGAACAAGCATGGCCTATTCAGGAGCAGAAAAATAGCATCCTTTTAAGGTCCGGTAACATATCAATGACAACGATAACAATAAGGCCTAAAAAAAGATGTTGTATTGCCCTTTTGGTGCCAGCACCATGGTCGGTCAGTCGATTTTCTTCTTTATTTGCTTTTTTTCCCTCTATTAGTTTTGAATGCTCTAATACATATTTTTATATTCATTAACAGTATTTTCCTAAAAAATTATAAAAACAAAAAAACTTCAGTTTAAAGCCGACCAAAGATTTAAGGATTTTGTTTCAGAATCTGAGACAAAGTTACCGGATCCCTTTACGAGGTTCTACTTACCATTGCTAGTCCTGTCCCAGGATCAAAGCTAGCTCTACCCTATTTCTCACAAGGAAGCATCCGAAGCTATTGTTTCTCCTAAACTTTTGTTTCTCTTGATCATTAATCCTTTTTGGAGCTGGGTTTCTTGTCCTTGGTTGGTGATGCAGAAGATTTCTTTCCAGGAGATGCAGATGTTTTGGGTTTCTGGTCCTTTGTTGCTGATGTAGGAGTTTTGGCAGTCTCGTCTTTTGTGGGCGATTCTGTTTCGCCTTTCTTCTTTTTTTTGGCCTCACCCTCATTAACAAGAACTGTCATTTCCTTCTGCACAACAAGAAAGGAAAAAGAAGATATCAAACAATAGAAAATAATTTCTAACAGGAATGATTTAAATATATTGTCATAAAAAGAATAACAGGTACATTCACCATGCAGAGATATCCTTCCCAGGGGAAGTCAAAAGTGCAAACAATTAATTCTATTACCTTAATTGCAGCCCAACTGCCCTACCAGGAGGTAGCAGTGAACTTTAACCGAGTGACAGTGGCAAATGCAGATTAATGTCTTGCAAAGGACAATGGGACTTGAACTGTGAACCATGTGATCCACATTCTGGTGACGCATCCACTACAGACTATCCTACCTCTATATATATAATGTTTAAGATTTTCCAATAGAATATAGGCTTACTGGTGAATTTTAATCAACCCTGAGTAATGAAGATAGAAAATACAAAGTGAAAATATGATACAATTACCTCTACGCACTATTCTATTTTGAACATATTTGTGGCTTACACCCAGTAAATAAGATCGATTGATCGATCTGTAATTGAAAAAAAGTCAGAAAAAATCTTGGAGCCAGCGGGATTTGAACCTGCCATCTACTGCTTACCGGGCAGCGACTCTACCACCAGTAAAATTGAACGATTACAGAGTCCACTGAAGTAATTTAATCAAAAGTTCCATGGAGGAAAGTGGAAACCATATCCTTTTAAAGTATATGTTTGTTAAATAAGAATCAGAGAATGAGCTTAGTGATACAGATACATTTGTACTTCCAGATCTATGAGATATGATCTGGGTGCTTAGCTTGTGATACAGCTATGATGGCTGACATTCTAGACCCTCTCATCAATCATTCAATTGCTAAATCATGTTCACTTTTTATTTGATTATGACTACAAATATGTTCCCCTGCATAACATGAAAGACAAACTATATCTTCTGTACACTGAATCACTCATAAATGTGAAATTCATCAGCCCTCATTTGTCAGTTATCTCGCAAGTTTTTAATCATTTGGGGGCAGTTTATAATAAGACCATATAAGTACATACCTCTATACCATTTAGGAAAGGTTCAATTTCTAAGTAATATCCAACAAGCCTGACTTTTCTCAAGATCAATGTCAAATAAGTTGAAACTCACCTTCCAACCAACAAATCCAGCAAGTTTCTCACAACCTTCATCGCATGGGCCAATGTAGGCTACATCCCTGCATGCAAGAAAATACATACACGGAGGCCATGAATAATAATAATAATGATAATAATATAGAGCACACATACCGTCCAGGGGCGCTCATGGCGCTAGCTCAGCAACAGTTCTCTTCAATACAAGTAAAGTACACAATTTTGCAATATCTATACACCTGTATCACCCATTTTAATCCTCAGCTCTGCCCGGTGCCCTCCAACTGCTCCGTTCACTGACAATTTATGGGACTAGCCCAGTCAGCACATTGTTCACAGGAGCTCTAGCATCTGAGGCCACCAGGCCCCATACGGGCAGCCAATGAGACTAAAGGGTGTTAACTAATTAATTTCAGATGTATATACAGTACAAATAAAATATCAATCATGGATTTAGTAAAATAAACTTATACAACTTCAGGAAGTACTGGGTTACAGATGGAAAAGGCAAGTCTTAAGACAATCTTTAAAGGTGGAGTATGTTGCAATACAGCAAAGTGATGGGGGAAGTTTATTCCATAATTTGGCTGCTACATGTGAAAAAGCATGGGTCTCTTACGTTGTAAATATGTCAACTGCAGTGATGGATATTTGCTGCTTTAATCCTCTACATGTACACTATCTTGCTCATTAGGAGCAGTAGTCTAGTAACTGAATAATGTGAAGTTTGAAATAAAGAAAAAGATTCCAGTCATATATAATACTCATGCAAGGCATTGGCTCTTCCACCATTCAGTCTCTAAGACTGGATGCATTAAAGCTGTATGTATCCTAGTTTCTTCCTGATTAAAATAAACTTGTTATATAAACATTACAGCTGAAAGATCATACCTATACTTGTCATCTGAGTCAAAGTCCATGCCCGATGGAAAACCAAACATCATCATCATAGGGTCAGCCTGAGGAAAGAGATTCACAGATCAGCAAAGTGTTGATTTACAGAACTTTAAGATTTAAAAATTTAAATTTAAAGCTTGTACATGTATATAAAAAAACTACTTGCACCGAATTGAGATTTTACTTCCCTAGCTAGGCCACAATAATTTACTGTTGTTGTCTGGCAAGGCATGGTAAGGCTTGATATACCAGTAAAGCACAACATCACCTGCATTATAAACATGGTGGATATTGCAAGAATGTTCTGAAGCAAATGTTCCCCTAACCCCCATTCGTATACCTTTTATTTGTTCAGTCATAATCAGAACATTTGCTTCTGGTATACATTTCATCAATTTGTAATAAAATAAAATAATATAATTTGACCAGGTCTAATTTCTTCATATTGTCTACTTTCACACTGGGCAATACTACAGCTTGCGCCCCTACCAAACTGATATCGCATTTTAAAATGATAAAAGAAAACTAATGTTTTGCTACTCAGAATGCAGAAGACATCACACAACAGCCAAGAGATACTGCTATCATTGCAAGGAGGATAATTCAACTTTCTCACCTTTCCTGATTTCTCCATGTTGATCAACAATCTAGGAGTCATCTCTGGCACTCTGATGTAAGAACAACAATGATTACAGCATAAATGGTTTCATACAATCAAATTATCAGTGATCAAAACTAACTGAAAATTTGTTAACTTATAACACTTGAGGCCATCTCATGAAAAAAGTGAATGAGGGGTGGCTTATATCTGATATTTCATGAGAATGTCATAGGAATATAGTACAAGCTAATATTTTTTATTTTTTTTATTTAAAAATACTAAAAGGGAGAAAACTTTGAGCCACATCTCAACATAATTAATGAAAGATCAATTATTTGTCCTCCTAATTCTTTGTACTGACCTCTCTAACATCTACAAATACACATTTGGTATAAAGTATTACATGCTCACACTTAAAACCCAATCATGTGCTGTTGATCATGTATACAGAAACCTTTCTTTTTTCAATTTAATTTCTTTTATCAATTGGTCAACTTACTTGTCAATCAAGGATGCAAATGGCTGGACAACAAGTGAAGTACCCATCACAATAAGGAGATCACATTGTGGAAAGTCCTAGGGGTGGTGAAAGCACATCATATTGACACATCATATTGACAGGTCTTACTGAATACATCGGTTCTATCATTACTACAATTACGCTGTCAAAAATTGTGTTAATGTTAAAACATAATATGACCAGATCATGATGCAGTTTGTAGTTATATATATTTTGCAATCATCCATCCCAGGGGATGTTCAAGGTGCCCACAAGGTTTCATGATTATCCTGGCTTAAGCCAAACAGCCCTAAGGCAATGACAGCAATCAAGGAATCAGTTTGCATTCACACATCATACAACAACAATTAGGAATCTCTCAAGGTAAATTAGGAAAACAGGAACAAATGTCATCTGCTATAAAAACCAAGTATTATAATTTTTTGGACAAATTTCCATTTGATAATTCTATATTCCACATGATTAAGAACTATTCACTTCAAGATTGGTGTTGCTATCAAGATTGCTTCCTTTGAGATATTTGTGTTGCATTGTGAAATACAGAGAAGATAAAGGTCATTTGAATTGCTCATTTACAGAACTATTTCAAACTCTTGCTAAGGATCCAACACACACCTCAGACACCAAAGTGGGAAAGCGAGGAGGAAGAGATTCACCAAAGAATACCACATCTGGAGAAGAAAAATAATGAAAAAATGTGCATTAGCTATTATTATCCATGATAAAGTTTAACTGCCTCTGGCAAGGGTAACGTCATTGTTGAGGTACACAATATGCAACAACTTCCAACTCATTGATGACATCAACTGAGTGGTCCCGATATCAAGACTTAATTGGAATGAGAGAATTCAGTAGTTAACAGGTTAATTTATACAGCATAACATTCTATTTTAATGTAATGCTATGGTCACATTACCCAAAAGTAGCCTGCTCGGCGGCCAAGCGGCGAGTTTTTAACCAATTCTGCCCGGCGGCTGCCCGGCCAACAAGCGACGGCCGTCGAGGCACCGCTCGTTTTTAGGGCATCGCTCGGTCGCCGCTGAAGTTTTAGCGCAGAGTTAAAATTTGGTCGGCGCCTACTCACTTTTCACTCGCCGCCCAAAATACGCTCGGTGCCTGGGCGGTCGCCGCCCGGGGCACCGACCTAATTGCTGGGCAATGCCTGATTCCAGCAGCGACTGAGCAGGCCACTGATTGGTCGGTCGCCGCTCAGATTTGTGACCATAGCTTAAACAACATGATATATGATACATTTTTATAAAGGACTCCTTACTCGATACATAACACAAATGTATCTTATCCCTTGTATCACATATCAATTTAATGGGGAATGTTACAGAAAGCGTCTCTCCATCGGCACATGGCACAAATGTATCATTTCCTAGATGTTGTAGTTCGATGACTTTTTCCTGGAGTATTACCATCTTCTCTGACTCTGAACAATATATTTCATGACCTTATATAGAACTCCTTACCTGGTTTGACAACTCCTGTCTCATTACATTTTGCACATCTTGGAATCAGATCAGCCATAATCTTCTCTGCAAAGCAACCAAATCACAACATCTCAATGTCTTTCAACAACCACAAAGGTAATATATCAACTCTAAATGTCAGGAGTAACTACCGTTGTTTTCATCAGGTCACTGATTTTATTAATGAATATTGTACGTATTTTAAGTTTACAGTGTCTACTGCTTAATTTTGCGTTGTACATTAGATTAAGAAATAGTGATGATCACATTTTAAGTGTAGAGCATTATGATGCCACAATTTCAGTAGCTTATAACAGTTGTTGTAAATTTTTCTTGATGACAAGTTTTGTGAAACAGGGCACAGGATGGATATGGCTTTAATACCTCTCATTGACTCTTCTGTGTACATCTCATTGCAGTTTAAGCAGTGACCTGTATGAAAGGATCCATGGGCCTCCATGATCAGCTCATCAGGGACACCTGCCATTCGATCTAGGCCATCAATATTCTAGGAATATTAGGACCAAAGCAAAAAACAAGGAAGATGGTAATGTTTTTTGTTTGTTATCAGTAGAGAACACAAAGAATATCCAAATCATAAATATCAAGTGCATTCGTGTGTGAAGATAGTTTTGGTTTTATAATACAAGTACATGTATGCTTCTAGGATGTGATGCCTGCTCCTCTGAGCTGATGATATACAAATGACGACAACAACAAAAAAGAAGCCAATAATCATGGATTTTAAATTGTATCCTTCGTCCTAACATATATATGGACATACAATGTATACATAGGGGGAATCTGCTATTAAAGGCATCATTTACCAATGTTAAATCTGAGATGCACGGCCCTAAGTGTTATAAGTGTCTGTGATATGGTGTCATATTGAAGCCCTAAAAAAATTGCGCTTCAAAATAATCAAGAAGTGCCTCAAAAAAGTAAAAAATCAGAATTTACCATACTCGTTTTCCCCAATAGACTGTAGTGTACAAAATTTGTAATTCCAATCATAAATATCTTGATAATAAGACAGACAATCGGCTTGTAAAAGTCATGGGGTTCATGACAGGACTAAAGGTTTATAATCATGATTGCAGCATGAGCTAAATCCAGGATTTTGTTTCAGAATCTGAGACAAAGTTACCGGATCCCTTTAATGGCACGCACAGGGTTAAGAAAAAATCTGAAAACTTGTCTTGTAAGATCTCAATCCAAACATGACAAGTACCGGTATTATTTTGGTTGTGACTTCCTATCCATAGCATGTACAGGGTGAAGATACATCTACAAACCTGTGTGTAGTGTCGTAGTAAGATTCCCTTTTCATGTAGCAAATGGATGAAGAAGTGACTCGGTGTTGGGTAGAATGCTCCTGGAAACAACTCTTTACTTAGGGTAAAAAAAGGTTCTGGATTTTCCTGCATACAAGAATAACAGGAATAAAGATGCATACAAGAATAACAGGAATAAAGATACATAAACTTAGATTTCAATGGGAAGTTTTACACTGATTGGATATTCAGCTGATACCAGATTTTATGATTAGACTTCACCCCGACTAATCAACTTTGAGCACTACTGAGTGCAATTAATTCACATGCTTGGATGGTATGGTATGACATACTTTGATTGATTGGATTATAGCTGATAAATAAAGGTGTTTTTTTAGTGTATGATTCATGTTGATAGAGCTTGAAAGCTACAAGGTATACTTGAGGGATCATCTTCTCAAACAAAAAGGGCAAAACAAACAACAACCTAAAAAAAAAATTAAAAAAAGGAAGAAAAAAAAAAACAATCAATCATACATGGTTATTCACAGCACTTCCTTATTGACAAGGTTAGTGTACAAGAATTTTAGGAGCTGGGCTTAAAATCCATAACCAATCCGGCATACCAATTATTTCAACACAAGGTAATATTGCAATTACAATCACTTGGATCGATTCATTATCTACCTTGAAGAAACCAATCTCAAAGATGGCTTGTGGATTTGGTAAGTTGTATTTTTGAAGGTTATCATAGAGACCGGTTCCAGGAGTTCTGAAGTCTGGAATTCCTGCAGCTGCATTGATAAAATAAAACACATCAAAATGATTAAGATGACTTCACTCCACAGGATGTATGGAATAAGCATACTAACTGTCCTCATTTTAATAGATTTTATTTACATATGTAAATAAATGTAAATATCCTGTTTAAAAATCCAGTTTAAACATGATAAACTGATCAAGGTCTAAAAGCTATTATTCAGATATGATAACTCACCATAATGATCTCTTAAAATAACATTCCAACCTCTTAAGATAGTGAAATGTGAGACCAGTCATTAATCAGTAGCGTGAATACTTCTGATATATCTGATTGACAAAGATGTACTAGCTATTAATGATTACTGGTACTTTTAAATAACAAACGTAGATACTGAATTCAGGTTCTTGTATCAAACTCTTATGATTACACACAATTCTTCAATTACTTACATGTTGATATTCCAGCTCCACTCATGACGATTACTTTTTTACCTGTTAAGAGGAAAAAATAACACATTCACCAACAATTACAAAAAAACATTACATATTGTCAGTAGTTTTAACATTCACTTCTACACTCTTCTTGACTTCTATAAAAAAAAAAAAGGAATTTCACCATCAAAGAAATTGCCTTGAATTTCATTTGGAATTGTTTGATCATACAATAGATACAATATAAACAAACTAATACAAATGTTACTCTTACCGCATAGTGCATAAAGATATGCCATGCATGGATTGGGACAAACTAGATCAATTTCCTCATCAATATTTGCTCATTATTCAACTATTACACATTTTGCACAAATAAATTTATCTAAAGTGTGAAATATTTAGAGTAGGCCTAAGATTTGTTTCATTCCTTGACAACAGATTTTTCCTCCACTATCAGACATTAACGATTTACGATTCAGGGCTAGATATGACCAAAAAGCTATACACAAAGAGTGGCTCACATTTTCCTTCTTTAATGAAGTCTGCAATGCCTTCGAGAGTCAGTTCCTTGAGTAGCTGTTCTGGTTTGGGCTTTTCTTCTTGACCACTACTGCCTGCACTCAAGTGGAATCTTCCCAGGAAGTTTCTCAAACTCTCCACTGTATGCATATATTTCATAAAAGTAAAGGGTTAAAACCATCATCACTATTACTATTGGCAACTGAATATGAAAAATGATCCCGTCACTCCTGGTACACTGACCTGTTGAACAAAGTGACTGAAGCTTTATTATACCTTACACTGTAACATTTGAATGAGCATCAGTAACTGATACATTTAAGATATTCACTATATTCAAACCAATGTTCTTCCAAGAATGTGTGTTGGTATTATGTAGTGTCAACCATTTGAAGTAATTTGGAAGAGTGGTTATAGCAATCTGTGTTCAAACTCTGAAAATAAAGATATAAACTCAAATAAACTCTTATGTAGTTTTCAAAACCTCACAAGCGGATATGAAATTTTGATGCCCCTCAAAGCAACTTATCCATCTAAGTTGCTGTTGTGGTTCAGGCTTTTCTTGAAGAGTAGCACTGCCTTGATTGAATGTGAGACTATCAGAGACTTCCAAGCCAACAATGTACATGATCCTAAATATCCACAAGTCCAACTTCATGCATTTCAGTATAATTAATGCCAATGTGATGGCAATCGATGATGCTTATCATTGTTTTCCCTATTCAAAAGAATACTTCCACCTGTGTATCACTGAATGTACTGTTTGGTGCACAAGTGAAAAATTAGTGAGTAACAATTACATATAACTTTCATGAGCACTTATCCAGTAATTGCTTTTTTGTACAAATGACCTTTATTTGCCCATTTGCAGATATCTATGAACCAGCTTTTTTCCATCTTTAAAGATCACCCTTTCTTATTTCTCTTGAATGATGCTTCTTAATGAATTGTGTTTTAAAGGAAACCAGTGTAAAATACCACCTGCCTATGAAGATCATTTTTTGTGTCACCCTTGGGTGGTCTTTCTCTACAGTTTCAATGTACTTACCTTGTGAATCGACTGATTCACTTTGGTCACCTTCTTTGTCATCTGCCCCTGCTGCAGCTCCTTCTGTTTCATCAGTAAAGGAAGAAAATGTACCAGTATTTACATGTATAAAAACCACTCATTCCACTATCAAATGATGGGTGGGGGGGGGGGGGGGTAACAGAGGGTCTAGCAGCCATTTATCTCTTGCATTAATTTGTATTACCCTTTTCTCACCCTTGTATTTTCCTGAACTAATTCATTGAGATTTGCTGATGAAGAAAAGTAACATAAAATCAAACTATTTAATTACTTAGCCTTAGGTTCATTTCAAAATGATTTTGTCATGTTCACTGATCTAATGTCAGACGTAGCAAGGCCAAGAAAATATGCAATGCTGGTAAGCCGAGCCCTAGGTTTCTGCCATGCCCAGTCTTCAAATCAAAAAGTCTCAGCCAAAATTAATAGTCTACTACTACTACTACTAGTACTACTAAAGACTAACTCCAGGGAGCGCCGACACCGACGCCTCCCTGCCCCTGGAGTTACTAATACTAGGCCTACTACTTTTACTAGACATTAGTTATGATTATTATGCAATGTTGGGGACCAACTAGCTAGTAGAAGTATCATGGGAATCAATCTATTAAGTTAGATATTCAATCTTTTTGGGGGTCAATGAAAATGGACTTCAATTTGTGGATTAACTAACAAACACCCGACTTAGGTGCCACTCCAACAAAGCATAGAGAGTCAATGCTAATGTGTATTGACCTCTAGCGCTGCACTACGTGCTAATAGGCAGCAATTGCACACACAAATAGTCAATACACACATAGCACACAAATGCAGGTTATGAAGACGATGTGGCTGATCGGCAAGTTTGACCATGGACTCACGTCTCACGATTTGAATTTTTAAATTATTCTTTCTAACAAAGTTGCAAAAATTGTATTTTAATGCTATTTAGCTAGTAAGGTACCAATTTTTAGTGAAGTCAGTTGAGTTTTGGACAGTCATGTTTGAAATATTGAGAATCAATAGCACAGCTTTTAATAGACAGCCAGGATAGTAATGCAACTACGTGTGGTCTTTGAGCTGAATCCGGAGACAGTTTTACAACATCAATATACATTAATGGGACATGGTAAAATAGAAACAAATTACAATTCTTCTGAAACTGTGTTAAAAATATGTTTGATAAAAAGAATCATACCGTTCTTGGCTGACATGATGCTAGATAACTGTTAACTGATCACCAAGATACCAACCCCAACACAAGTTATCAAATGATTTCCCGCGACTGACAAGACATTTGGGCTTCGCCTTTTTATTGATATCCTCGACTCAAGTCTCGATGTACATAGCCGGCCCCGCGCGCGAATTTTTTTTTCCCAAACAGGTTTACCTATGAGAGTAAAATCCTGCCTCCTGATTGGTTCAGAGGTATACGCGTCATGAATATTCATGAGCTGAGTTCAGCACTGTGGCTGAGCTGCAGTACCGGCCTAGTATGTATGTGTATTACGCATGCGCGTGGACTTCAGTTTTGCTGGCCATTTAGGTGTACAAAATGTATGTGAGCTAGCTGTGGTGCGAGGGGATTTTTTGGGGGGAAGGGGGGGGGGGGGGTCTGTTTGTTTGTGAACATTTCTGGTTATTCTGGTGCTTGGTTTATATAGTTTTACACTGCGGATTTTTTTTCTCAAAGAGTTCACTTACAGTACACACACTAATATTCTAATTTCACACATAGGCTATACATACAAACACTATTTTTCTCTCTCTCTCTCTCTCTTTCTCTCTCTCTTTCTCTCTCTCTCTCTCTCTCTCTCTCTCTCTCTCTATAAACACACACCCACCCACCCTCATGTATTTACAAACACATAAGCAACAAATACACACACTAGCTGTCAAGAAATAGAATACACAATAGACACACACAAGGGGTATGAATTATCTTATCAGGATGGTCCGACATGAGATGGTTGGATGTGGGTCAAAGCCACTGTGTTGCTCTGAGCATGATATCTTGACTAACATTTAATATTATCACCCGTAACTGACACCAACACACAATTAATATCACGGTATTAGTCTCTTTTTTTTTAGCTCATGTAAAAGTTATAACTCAGAGCCAATCACTGCGCATGCATATCCATGCATGCAGTGTATAGCCTACGTACTATAGCTGCGCTGCATCAACGAACTCAAACTTGGATTTATATGAGCTGCATGAGCAGCTTCACCTTGTGTCACGCGCATGCGTAATACTACTAGTATCTTTCAGCTCAGTCATGAATATTCATGATGCGTATACCTCTGAACCAATCAGGAGGCAGGATTTTACTCTCATAGGTAAACCTGTTTGGGAAAAAAAAATTCGCGGCCCGCGCGCCCCGACCGTCCGCGGGCGCTGGCCGGCTAATTTATAAATATTGACACGGATATGGAGATACCATCGAAATCAAAACTAGAGCAGGTACTTCCTCTATTCCTAATATCAAGGAAGATGTTTGTACCAGTCAATAACAACTTTATGTGCTAGTTAGGGAAATTCCCATGACAGGTAACGAGTAAATCAGGCCTATCTATTAAACCTGATGCCTGCAGAGATACTTCGTTGTCATAATTATTCCAAATATGTAGAATAATGAAGAATGAATACCCAAATTTCTCAATTATATACAACACCAAATTGAACTACTTGAATCATGGACTTCTATAGCAATGATATGAGCTTGAAATGCATCAAAATGTTCTACGATATGTCCGTCTCATTTTCCAAGCCACCCCTTAACCACATTTGTTATAATATAATACACCTTGTGTAAATACTGTGAAAATCCTTGGTGTTTTAATTAAAAACGACCTCAAATAGAATACGCATGATACTGAATTGATGAAGAAAAGTGATAGAAATATTGAAAGTTTATAACCTACCCGAGTGTGATTTGTTAAAAGTGCATATACGGTATACCGTATAGACCAATTGTGGAGTAGACCCATGCGCGTATGCAGGATTTTTTTCAAGGGGGGGGGGGGGGGTTAACAATTTCAAATCGGGCCGAAAATTTCGCAACGCCTCAGCCAGCCGGGGTGGGGGGGGGGGGGGGGGGGGTAAGAGGACATTTCTCTTTTTGGGGGGTCCCGAAATTTGAAAATTTGACCGATCAACATTTCATTCCGTGGGGGGGGGGGTGGGTAAGGTCACCTTTTTTATTAAAAAAAAAACGAAAGGGTTTTTTTTCCTCCAAAACACAAACATAACAAAAATGAAGGGGGGTAACCCCCACCCCCCCCCCCCCCTCCCCCCTGCGTACGCGCCTGATCGAGTACATAGACCTACTGTGTATTACCTCTATTTTCCGGTCGTTTGACTTTGACAATGCTCTAGAAAGACTGAAATTGCTAATCCTAGCTTGTGACTCGAAGAGAAAATCTCACCAAAGATATTGCACTACAAACGAATTTACCGTGCAAATCATGGTTACCGCCACAGATAACCAACAAATACAAATTACGAAGCGTCAATATAAGTATCAAGGATTTTCTTGTCAAATTACGAGATTCCAGGATAGTGATCTCACTTCACTATGCAAATCCAAGCTCAATTGTGTAATATTATGTTATTTTTAAAAGTGAATCAATATCAATCAGTCATGTTAAATTCCGTATACATTTTAATATCATTTCACCAATCAAATTTCAAATTATGCTTGTACACATTATATTTCATTCCATTTTTCCTGATCTCATGTTATTATTTCATATACTTGCTTTGTATTTTACTTGCACTGTAAAAGCATGTAGGCCTACAATTCTGTCCATGACTGCCATTCATGACTTGTCTTTAATAAACCTTGATTGAATTGAATGAATTTAATTGTACATGCAAATCTCCCACGTGTGATCAATGGGATTAGATGCGGGTGAAAGATCCCCTCAGGTTTCCTGTCTCAGGCTGTCTGGCAAAAAAAAATCCGGCTAGCCTAGTAATTACTGTCTTGATGAATATTCAAGCATACGCTTCCCATCCGCGTCTCCAACATGCTTGAGATGGAAGCATTTTCCGCTTTTTCCATTAAGAAAAAAACAAAACAAAACGCAGCCCCTAGCTAGGCCCCCTCAGCTGAACCTATATGAATAGAAAAAACAGAAAGCCAACAATTATCCAGCCATATTTTTTTCATTAATGTATATAGGCCCATGATTGTTTGTTTGTTAGTTTTTTAATGCTAGAAAAGAAATTCATCCAACCAATTACTAACCTCCATTTATTTTAGGGGCATTTTTTAGGGCTGGTTGTATTCCCGCGTGGATGAGCCTTTTCTTTTTCCTTCCGCATGCAAATCAAAATGGAAAGAGGAGATTAACTTTGATTTGTTTGCATTAAGAGAATGGACCTTAACAGGGCACAAAGAGCAAAAGCGAAAGTGGGGAGAAAGGGGGCGTTCGCCCCCCCCCCCCCCCCAAAAAAAAAACAACGAAAAAAGCATTTTCATCAGTAAAGGAGTAAATTTTTTATTTTCTAACAAAAAATATACTTATACATGTACTTATACTCCGGGGCAAAGCCCCTGGACCCCACGCCACTCACTTCGCTTGCTAGCCTCTACCTGATCGGTCATACTCCACTTTGGAAAACGTTCGGCGGGGCCTGCATGCGATGCAGATTTTTCTTTCCCCCCCCCCCCAAAAAAAGAGCCCGGACGCGGATCCAGCCGACGACAGGGGAGGGGGCCAAAGAGGGGGCCAAATTCGTGAGAAAATATTGAGCAGCGAAACAGCCAGCCGGTGAATAAGTGTGGGGGGGGGGGGTAAGAGGCATTTTGGGGGGCATTTTGGGGGTCAGCCAGCCGGTGAATAAAAGGGGGGAATGCCCCCCCCCCCCCCCCCCCCCCAGTCCAAAACTGCTTCCGGCACGCCTGCACGTACCAGAGGCCAAGTATTTGTTTTCATTATGGCGTTCAAATTTAAAAACACTGTCGGTTGCATCGATTGTCTAGCGACAAAAGTAATCTTTCGATTCAGTATAGCATTGATTTAAAATAAACCGCCACACCATCCCGGGCCCCGCCTCCCCCCCCCCCCCCCCCCCCGACCCGCGGTTAATGTTTACGCCCCTGGCCTACTACTAGTATTATACCAGCCCTGTTAGTTATTTTAGGCAAAATAAAGATCACAGCAATTAATGTTTTAGCAGCGTTGTTTGTCGGGTCATAATAGCGAGATAAAACATAGTGCTTGGTATTACTCAGCTTAAACCAACATAATCAAAGCTAGCGTAGCTACATGTACATGCAGCATCACAGTGGGGGCACGTGCCCCTAATTGAATTGGTAAAAACAAAACAACGAGAAAGAAAAGGCGAGAAAGGAGAGGAAGGAAAAGAATAGATTGTAAAAGGAAGAGAAAAGATGACGCCTGGAACATCTCCCGCAACCCTCGGACCGGTGCCCCTACCCCCAATCGTTCCAATACCGCCCCCGCCCCCTCAGCTTGTGGACTCACGCTAATCAAACATTATATTATACACGTTCTGGTGTTTCAAAAAGCATGAACAGCATGAAAGAAGGAAAGAGGTTCACATTTTAGGAGCCTTTTTGCAATGTTTTGTCGTAAATTTGTGCACGGATGGTGGGGATGGGGAACGGGGGGCGGGTGGTATTTGGTAAACGAACATATCAAGACATTATATCCACGTTGTCAAGGTAGTAAAAAACTAAAGCATCAAAAAAAAAATTATGGTGGAGTTTGAAAATCAAAGATTTTAGCTGTCTCGACGATAGTAGGGACTAGTGTCGGCGATTGGATTCGAACCCTCAACCTTTTCATTGAAATTGAATTGACTGACTCATGCGTTACCATTACAAGAAGAATTTTTTATATTGTGTAGATAACTACAACCATTTTGTATCATATATTCTTGTATATCTTACATAAAACATATAATACCGAACTATGTAAACGTTTTTTTTTTTTAGAATTAAGAATTCACCTTTTCTATAGCAATCAAGAAACCAGACTTATCAAACATTATTTTTTTCACTTGAAAATGAGGAAAATATAGACATGTTCGGATTGAATGAATATCATTGTTGTTAGTCATCGTAGTTGTTTATGCAGATAAATATACCGCCGAGAGACATTTCGTTATGCCGTCTTGTTGACTTACTGGTTAATATTAACTCAGATTTTCCCAATGTTTACTGTATAGGCTTGTCCCGTGGCTTCTCAAATAAAGCATCCTAAAACATGTGCAGCAAAACAAAGATCTTGACCTAACAAACGGATAATACAAAGTCTATCAAACATGTTAATAAGTAATCATGATATATTTCTCATCGCATTTTGATGCTCTAAATTTCAGCAAATGCAAGGCGCCGTGCGTGAACTTCGAGCCGCCAAAATAAAATAAAAGTTGGCATCCATTTTGTTTCAAGGCATTCATTTGGATTGATTAATTTTGCATACAAGCAATAGTTCTCTTCTACCAGTCAATATGTCTGGAAATGTAAGAAAAGCCCAGAAGGATGACCTGCCGACAGATAGAGGAAGACCTCGAGATTACCAAAAAGAGGCAGAAGAAGAGAATTTGTGGGAAAGCATCATCCAGCCAGCTTTTGCGGAGTTTATTGGAACCCTGTGTTATACCTTTGTGGTATGCCTGGCCGTTACAGCCCAGGATGTATTCCAATTTGCTCTTGCAAGTGGCTTCGGGATCGCAGCTCTTTGCATCAGTTTCGTCAATATCAGGTAATTTATCTAAGTATTACAGGAATTCATTTAAATATAATAAAAGATTGTTGAAATTATTCTTAGACACATCTGCTTCTTACTGCTTTGCATGTTCAAGCGCTCTCATAAAAACCGAATGCCGGAAGGGCGTTATCTTACAAGTATCAAACTGAGTAACGTATGCTGGTTCTCGACAAAAAGAATCCAGGATGTTTACTAAAGCATTAAGTTTGTATTAACATTCAGCTTTATGTACTCGTCTGATCTTCTTAATGAAAGCTCATTGAAAGATATGGTGGCACAATAACAACAGTGGAAAAACATAACCAATCGGATTCTTTATTATTTCAAGACGATTAAGATGAATCAATACGACCAAAATGAAATCTTTGCCTCCATATTTAATGTCGTAAATGGATCGTATTCGGAACTTGAAGACAATATTATTTCATCATTATATATGAAAATAACATTATAAATTATGTTTACGATATGTCTAAATTACAGTTACTAAGTCACTTTAGTACTTGGAATTATTTGCTTTGGCTTAGTCGTTTTGAGCACGATAGTAGATCTTTAAGTAATGAAATAGAATAAATACTTTTAACAATAAAAAAAAATGAAAGTGTTTTTATTGTACAATCATATAAACCTCATTAAAGTATAAGTTGTTGTTGTTGTTTTGTTGAATACAAGATAATTCTCTACTCGCTGACTCAAAATGTAATTTGATATAATTATATTGTGTCTCCTCAAGCTTGTCTCCTTTCTAATGCACATTTCTCATCATTTGTATTATTTTCTGTACCCCCGATCTCTCACTCCTTGTTAGGCATTGTCTACTCTTTGTATTATGACCGTGTTCTTCTATCTTTGTCATGTAAAGTACTGTCTTGTCCCGTTCTCGTCTCTGTTGGCATCCCCTTTCCCCTATTTTGTAGTTCCTTTTGTAGTTACGGGCTTGTTAATTTAATTACTCATTATTCCTAAGAATCATTTGAGGGGTATACACTTGTACAAGCATTGCTTTTTTAATAGTGGAACCCTCTGTTTCCAATATGTTTTCCTACATTTGTTGTAAATGTTTATAATTGATTAAATTGAAATTAGAATTGAAATCAGTCAGTTTCAAGTTTTAAGATTAATAATGATAGATCATTGTAATCTAATTTACGATAAGTCGAGAGGCAGTTAAATGAATAGTATTGTCTGAAGAGAAAACACCTGGCCAGAATCATTCAAACTCTAAAACTCAATAGTCAAGAGTGAAAAGCCACTGATGTTGTTCATGATTTCATCTCTGAAGTTCATTGAATATTATTCTTTCATCAAGCTGTTTTCATTGAATTTAAATATTTTTTGTGTTAGAAAAAAATGTTAGTGCATTATGAATTCATATGTGGCTCTGTCCGATAAGATTCGAGCATCCTAGCTTCAGCGTTATATGAATAATAAAGCTAATGTCTAATCACCGTAATTTTCTGTCTAGAAATATATAACATGGACAAAATGCTCAAAATAATCTGTATCCACTAATAAATGATATTATACATGTATGTTGTATGTGCCATTTTCGCCATAATTCTAAACTTTGTTTGCCCATTCAGTGGTGGTCACTTCAATCCAGCGGTCAGTCTAGCGACCTTCGTGTCTGGTGGACTTCATGTCATCAATCTTTTAACATACGTCCCTCTGCAGATCATCGGTGCCATTCTTGGAGCTGCATTCGTGAAGGTTAGACTTATAGCCCCCCTCCCAATATCTTTCCAGCCCCCCTCCCCAAAAGGAATTAAAACGAGGCAAATGAAGGAAATGAACCACAAGTCCCCCGCCCCCAATAAATATATGTATATATATTCTAGAACCCCAACTGCCTCAATGTCATTATTAAACATTACAGAAAACATGAATAGAACTATGTAATTTTAAGACTTTGGTTTACCTTAGAGAGAAAATGATGATGCGATTAATGCAAAATAACATTTTCATCTGTCCCAATTATTTGGGAGTGTAATAAAAAATAAGAAATTAAAAGTTTTCAGAATAATGGTGTTCATATATCATTCTCAGTCTTGTTTTATCATTCTTTAGCAAGACGGGTATAAGCAAGTGATTAAACATCAATCTAATTTGAGTTGAATATCTCAGCGTATACATAAGAAGACACACAAGTAGTTAATGATTCATATATAAATACCTTTTTTACTTGATTCAAATGCAAGAAATTAACAGACATCAGAAATTGAAATCAATAAAGAGAAGTTAAGCTGCTTTGTAGAAACACTGTCCACATATCTCTCATGCTATAACAATGGACACATTAAAAAGGAAGAAAATAAAATGATTTGCTAATTACTGATATACCAAAACAAAACAAAAATGAACATCCCAAGACAGCTCCTAGGGGTCTTGAAAATCCATTTCGAAAGCATGACTTTTTTTATAAATAATCATGCCAATTCAAAAAGCTTATTTTTATAATTTTGTAAGATGTAATGTACAAGGTGCATCGATCCCCCACCCTGACATCGAAAATAAATAAATAAACAATACAGAGTGGGAAAGAGAGAGATATAGACAGAGAGAGAGAGAGCAGAGGAAGAGTCAAAGATAATACAACCCCTCCCTCTCCCAGACTCTTCTCTCCCTCGATGGCCTTGTTCTATTTCATTCCATCCAAGTAATATGACCAATGCCCCCCTTCCCATGATGCATGGCACCAGAGCCCTCTCTATGGGCGGGCCATTGCCTTGCCACCAACTCTACGTAATTCTAATTTTTCCCATTAACCATTCATGTATATTACAGGGCGTCATCTATGAACCATCCTACACCGAGATCAAGGGCGGGGCAAATGTGTTTCGCGGCAACCATCTCGTCAATGGCTTCAACGATTGGATGAAGGTCAACAACTGGGACACGTCCCCCATCCTCGGCATGATCACGGAGACCATCCTCTCTACCATGGTCATCATGGCTTACCTGCAGGCCAATGTCGATGACCGCAGAGCAGGCAAGAAGAAGGACCCAATGGTGTACGGTCTCGCCATCGCATCCGTTACTCTTGCCTCGTAAGAATGCTTTTCCCCATGCTTTGGCCATTTACTCCCTATTCTCTTTTTCAATTGTGTTTTCTGCCATTTTATTCATGTTCTACAATCATTCTCTCACTCTCTTTAATATATCTCCCCCCTCCCATCTTGTTATATTTGACCTTGTTGATACATTATTAAAATTATGATTCCAAAAAAACATGGTCATATTGTAATCATATACATGTATACAGTTTGGGCAACACTCCTCTTTTTTGTTTTGTTGATAAGATTCCCTGAAAAGTTTTATTTATGCACACAATCATGATGATGAGGATATTTTCTTTCTTGCTGCTGACAACCTGTATTCTCTGCTCTGGTGTATAATGAAGGAAAAAATAAATTACTATCCTTGTTCTTTTGAGCCTCCACAACTGATACATTATACACTCATTTCACTATTCATACACCCGTTTTCCATTTTATTTTATACATGCATGCAATTACTAATAATGCCACTTTATCTTATGTTGTATTCAGATTCTACACAGCAGGTGCTGGCTTCAACCCAGCCGTGAGTTTTGGCAGTGCCATTGTTTCCCAGGTTTGGGATGCTCATTACATCTACTGGGTGGGGCCTATGGCTGGAGCTGGTATCGCCTCACTCCTATTCAGGTCAGTTAATAGTTCCTTTTTAGGGGGTAGTTTTTCTGACAGGGGGGGGGGGGGGCATGATATATATATATGCAAATTCTGACAAGCAAAAACATATAAAGCTAGAACTATAACTAGGTATAAAAAATAGTCTCTAACAATAATTGGATGGCTAAAGTAAGTAAACAGCATAAAGGGTAATATTCATTTGACATACATTTCCACTGATTCAATATGTAAATTACTACGATTTAACACCTTCTCACTCTCAGCAAATGATGGTGACGATTACAAATAAAAAGGAACAAAAAGTATTACCTAAGGCAAGCTATCCCAATAAAGGTGATTTATTTGCATAGTCATCATCTCACAAACAGTCAAGATCGACAAGCAATGACTCCATTCGCAATTTCATTACATCAAAGTACATGCATGTACATGGGTGTATCTATTCTTAGGTCTCCCAGGTAATGGAAAAATAGTCTTAACATCCAACCAACCCAACCAACCTTTTTCAATCACCCACATCCCTTGTTTTTTGCGATCTGACAAATCTGCAGTGCTTAAGCCTATGTAATCATCATTTCACAAAACCAGCAACATAATATGATAGAGGCTTATAGTTGCATTAAATTCACAGATTTTACACTCTAAAGTTGATTGGATATAAAAAAAGAACATAAATTTAATAATTTGTCAGACTGCTGTGATGTAAATGGTCTCTCTAGAGCTTATGGAGGAATAAAACACAACCTTGGTCTCCGTGTTGAAAAATATCTAATGTTCTTCTTTAAAAATTGTCAGAAAGATTATTCTTAGTCATATTTTCTCCTCTTCTATGTTCTTGCAGGATCTTGATGGGTGACGAGGAACATCGTTTGCTGTGCTAGGCAACCACAAGATGCCTACATGCATTTTATCAAGAAAGATATGTAAATGAAAAATGAAAAAGAAAAAATCTATTTGAAGAAAAAAATCTAAATCTGTTCCAACACATGTGTATGAAATAACTTCTTACTTAGATGTAACACATTAACAATGATACAAAATGTATGATCAAAATTAGTACTTTAATGAAATAAAAAAAATCACAACTGACAATTAAACCTCAAATTAATATTTAATGTTGATAAATGTAATTTTGGCAATTTTTCTGTAAACTGATTTCAGAGGATTTGAAGACCTTGTGAAACAACTTGGTCCAGAATTTATAGTATCAGTTAAATATGATCTTGATTTAAAGTTTAGACTATACACATTTTCAGCATGATCACAGTTTAGTTAACCATATGAGTTTTACCTATATTTTTTAATGCATTTGACCATTAATATCTTAGAAATGAGTTCCAAGCAAGTTTATTTTCTGAATGCAGCTTCTGGATTGAGTGGAATACAAGTTATAGCAAGTAAAAGGCCATTATAAAGTAGGCAAAAATTCAATATATCAAATAGCAATCAGTTTGAAGATAAACATAAAAAACTTGTATATTTCTGTGCTCTTTTGTTTATATTTTGACATAATATAAAATTCAAATAATAAAATCAAATAATGTAAGCAATAGTTATTTTAATATTTTAATCATTCCATGATTTTAATAAACAACTTGTTTCCGTACTATGCTTTCACTTTCAGCTTACCAGTAGTCATGTTTTTGTTTTTTTTAGCTTGCCTTGCCTTTGTAGCATATTCTGAATATCACATGTAAATTGATGATTTTTTGGTCATAAATTCAGTGCTATATGAGACATCCTTCATCACAAACCAAGTACAATCATGATTGTCAAATTAATAATGATTAGGCATCATTGGAGAAAATATCAAAGCGCTACCAATTTATTAGTTGTAGGATGAAAACAACTGTTTAAAAAAAATCAATGACAACTTAATCTGCACTACTAATATTCAAATTCTAAAAAATATTTCAAAAAATATCTCAAAATATTTGCCTTTCCTTTGCTAGTTAACAGAATAATTATTTCGTATAATTTCCATTTAACATTCAGCAATGTAAAGTGTAATATTACATAAGGTCAACTACCTTTCACCCTGTAATTGTTGTGCCTTTTGATCTGTTCCTGTAAAATGTTTGTAGCTCTGACACCTGTAACATTTTTATACAATAAAGCTTGTACATAGTAGCTACTACTGTTCTCAATTTGGCTGCCCTTTGTTGCTGTTGTTTGGTTTGTTACCTCTTTGGAATCGTATCTAGTCATCTACTGGTAATTCTGGTGGCCACTCTACATGCACAGCCTGCAAAGTGGGGTTTAAACAAAAATAAAGAACAAGTTTTGAGCATTAGTGGAGCATTATTCAGTCATCAACATTGAACAGAATACATATTGAATATTTTTACCAGCCACTGAAGGAGAAATACATTACATTTGCTGTGTCGGTTTCATCTGCAGACAAATGTTCCAAATACAGTGCTGAGGTCCGAGTCAAATGAAAGAGATATGGGAGACTAAAAAACATAGGAAAGCTCTGCAGATGATGACAGAAGTTTTTATTTGTGCTTGGATATACTTGAAAACTTCATTTTTGATACTTAAGTGTCAAATTTGTATTTCAACGTACAATGTGATGTGTTTGTTAAATCATATCGCACTGCAAAGTAGAGAGTCTCTTTGTAGAGACTATACAATGTTAGTATACTTACTGTGACATCCAGCATGGTAATATCAGCATCTGTCTTGAGTATTGTTCCTACGTTAGGCTGGGTTCTGCCAAGGTCCCCATGTACAAACTCCTTAATATATCTGACATCTCCATGAAGGAAAATACACCCAATGCTGCCTTGTTAAAATGATTGGTTGCAATAGTGTTAGAGTTAATAAAGTATACACAAACATGAAAATTTGTTTAAAATGTACAGTGTTACACATCTTTCGTAAAAAAACTTTTATTTCATATCTGTTGGGCCTGAATTTCCTACATACATGATGGGTAATTCCTTTGACATAAAAAGTCAAAATTTCCATAAAATGGGTAGCATCCTTTCTCTGTCAGGAAATGTATATACCTTACAACATGGCAATACTTTTTAAATGTTCTCTTTTAACATGCTACAAAATTTGAAGTAAGAGGGTATATCTATGCTTGAGGACTTAAAAAAACAACCCGTTTTTTGCAGTCTATGAAAAAGTTCAGAAATTTCTCTTGAATGTAAAGCAGGCCTACATTTGCAGAAATATCTTGGAAAATTAGAGTTTCACTCTATATAAAGTTTACAGCACTATAACAAAGCATAATATAAATTTGTTTAAATCCATCTCCAACATCGTTGATTTGAAAGGATACGTTCCTGCTTGTGTGCATAAAAAGAGTTTAAAGTTAAGGTCATCTACTCTTTCTGTTGACATGGAGTATACAGAACGCTCCCTCGTAGCAAGTGGACGTCTGTGAAGAACTCGGATTGGAGTTTTCTGCTTCAGAACTACTTCCTGAAAACATAAAACAACATATTTTGTGGTAATGTTTCTGGGGGACAGTTCTTTCATTAATCCATCCTAATTTTCACTAATTCCGGTTGATCTTTGAAAAATTATATTCAATTCATTTAAAAGTGCATGTGAGTGTCACTCCTCTACAACATGAGTAAATACTTACAAAATCACAATACATTTGATTTGCGTATGATTTGCGTATATTCAATTCATTTAAAAGTGCATGTGAGTGTCACTCCTCTACAACATGAGTAAATACTTACAAAATCACAATACATTTGATTTGCGTATGCACTTTCATCCTGAATTCTTTGATTTTTCAAACACAGCATACCCAAATCATACCCTTCATACATTTGTCTTATATAAGGTCCTTCAGAATGGGCCATGAATTTGCCTGCAAACCTTCTGTTTAAACATTTGAAATAGAAAGAGGATTAAAATTACTTGATCAGTATTGAGTAATTGCAGATCTTCTTGGCTGACTGGTGATGCTACTCTCACCAAGGCCATGTAAGACTTGCTCTTCTCAGTCTCTCCTTCCTTTAGTTTCATAGTCGCATCTCTGTTGAAACATCAAGCACGATAGTTTATCATTAAAAAAATACACTCACTGCACTTAGAGGTTCACAAGACCAGGGACTCTTGCACACCAGTCAACTGCACTCTCACATCTGATATAAAATTCAAGGTATTTTTTCAATTGCAGCATCACGTTTAATAAAATTGCCTTTAAGGATATTGTGAGCTGTTATGAGAGTCCTTAAATCGTTTTTTCGCTGTTGACAAAGGATACTAACTGACAATGCTTGGCTTTCTAAATTTCCCTGGTTCATTGACATATCTCCAATCTTGAAGCTTTGAAGAAGAAAAACAAGGGAAACGCTCTCGGCGGTCTCGCCTGCATAACGCAATTCAATATGATAAACCAGAACGTCAATGACGTAGCGCTCATCCGCATCTCACAACAACAAATATCGTAAATTTTATGTGGTACACTTTTGAACTGGTCAAAAAATAGAAATTTGATGCCCTGGAAGGGACATAATTTCATTTCATTTACATAAAGTACCATAAATAATCAATGGAGCAAAATCTCACAATTCTGTGTAGAAGTTTATTGTTCCAAATTTAGCTCTACCAGATAAGGCAAAATCGGTCAACAAATGAGGGAAAAGAAGCAATTTTTGTTATTTTTGGAATAAATTTGCATAAATTACCATAATTAATTAATGGAGAACAATTTCAAAATTCTGTGTAGAAGTTTAGTGTACCAAAGTTAGCTCTACGATATAAAGCAAACCAAATCAAAATCGGTCGAGAAATGAAGGAGAAGAAACCTTTTTTGTGATTTCGAATAAATTTGCATAAATTAGCATAGATAATGAATTTCACGATTCTGTGTATAAATTTTAAATTCCCTCCTAGCCCTATCATATGAAACAATCAGAATCAAAATCGGTTGAAAAATAACGAAGAAGAAGCATTTTGAAAATCTTAATGTTGATGCCACAACAAAGTCTAAGTTTGTTGACCTTAAATGGCCTTTGACCTTAACTTAGTGACCTGAAATTCTACTCACATGATTGGGGAGACTTGATAACCCTATAGTCCAAGTTTCATTGACTAAGAACTTATACTTTCAAAATTATATCGAAAATTCAAAAACTTAACCTTAGGTTAAGTTTTCGATGATGATGCTACAACATCGTCCAAGTCTGTTGACCTGAAATGACCTTTGACCTTGACTTTGTGATTAAAAATTCTACTCACATGATTGGGGATACTTGATTACCCTATAGTCAAAGTTTAATTGACTAAGAACTTATACTTTAAAAATTATACCAAAAATTCAAAAACTTAACCTTAGGTTAAGTTTTTGATGTTGACGCCGTCGCCGTCGCCGCCGCCGTCACCGGAAAAGCGGCGCCTATGTCTCGCTTTTTGCTACGCAGGCGAGACAAAAAGTAAAGAATGAACTCAAAGAAATCAAAAATTAAATGGAATAAATTGGAATGAATAGTTGAAGGATTGAAGATCACTAGGTATTGATTCACGAAAGGATGTTTAAAGAAGGATATGAAATATTATGTAAGAGTTCGCTTGCATACATGACTTACCTGCCAACAATCTGAAGATCTCTCACACCAACATCTGTGGTTCTTCTATTAATCTCCTGTGGCAACACAAATGAAAAGAATGCCATCAAAATTGTGTACACCGGTACATCAATTATATTTCGTACAAATAGCAAGAATGTTTATTTATGTTTAACTGTTGTTATCAAAGGTCATCGATCTGTACTGCGTATTGATTTGTGTCACTCAATAAAGCAGTGCTACATGACCAATAGCACCTCATCCTTTGAAGGCGCCATGTGCACATACCTACAAATCCGAGGAGGACAGTAGTATATGAAATTTCCCCATCTTTCAACACTGTCTGAAAACTATTTTTCTTCAAAACTTGTCTGGTTATTTGACTTTGTGTCCATGCATCTCACAAAAGGGCAGGGAAATATCTGTCTCATCCAACAGACTGATGTCTCTCTACATGACTATATATATATATATATATATATATATACATATATATATTTCCATGAAGCATGTGTTAAGTCTATGGAAATTGAAATAACACAAACTTTCAACCCACCTCTTGAAGTTCCTTACATGCTTCTGTGCAGACAACATTCTTACGTGGATTGAGAACCTCTACCACAAATGGTCTCCCTAAAGTAAATTGAAAGGCAAACCATAGGGTGTAATATAAATGTCATGCATACAATATGGATGTCTCAATACTTCTTGGCCTTTAAGATTTAAGATATTTTTGAACAATAATTTGAATGAGTAGCAAAAGGAACTGGCAATAATTCACAGCATTATCTACAAAATTCACAACACTATCTACCAGATTGGATACATTAGCGACAAATTTGTCATAACAGAATGAAAACAATATTTATTTCATAAGTTCTAGAAGATTACACGAACATACATCTGTAATTCAAGATCAAATTTCAAACTCACCTTTCCCTAATGTTCTTACATCAACATCCTCTCTACCAGATGAAGCAAATCGATAATCTGGAAGAAAAAGAAACCATAATCAATACTTCTTTTTACATGAATTATGTTCCCAACAATGTCAAAATTGTGTCAGTCACAGGTTCATTTAATTTAGGTTTTATTTCCACATTAACTACATATGAAAAGAATTAACAAAGCAACGCATATACAAGCTAGCAAAACATGTATATACATTCGATAGATAGGTGGTATTGCAACAGTAAAAACAATTTTTTGCAAGTCATTAAATGCAAACGATGCTAACAATAATCTACAGTAATGAGGAGGAAACCTTGGAAACCTGTACAGTGTAATAATTTTAGAATAAAATTGGAGGATTACACTAACCTACTGCTCTCAAGGTTTCCTGAATTGGTTGACATATATGCTCCTCTACAGAGGATTCTGTTTTCCTTTCACCTTCTAGGATCCATGGTGTTTGTGACAGGTGACGAGAGTGCTTGGTGTAACGCCCTGTATGAGGGTAACAGGTATGGTTCATTTCAGTGTTAGTGTGGTGCTAGTACAATGGTGTTGGCACCCCACTACAGTCAATTAGACAAAATCTTCAAAAACGAGTCAAGAAATCTATCGATGACTGGATACGGTATATGAACATCAGTGACTTGCCTATCAACTGCAACTCAGGATTCACTTTTTTACAAATTCTACGAAAACCATGACTATGATTCATTTATGTTTGATAGAATGTAATTCCTTTTATCTGCTGTCCAATAAACTCTTCCATTCAAAGTCATCATCTCTAAGTAAAGATAACATGAGGTTGCAGTGTGGTTCCGCAGATAAAAGTTTTTGAAACAGAACAACCAAGTCGGTGAAGTAGTGCCTTACGTTACATCATACATCCTCAAATACCTACTCCCTTGGTAAGAAATGAACACTATAAATCTCCTGGAGCTTATCTCATACTTACAACTTAAGTTACAAGTACAGTTTTGCTCTCCTTATCAGGTGGGGTACGACAGATAAAGCGTCCACCTTTTTTCCCCCGAGTTTGTAGTTCCTTTTGTAGTTACAAACTTGTTAAAATAATTACTCATTATTCATAAATATCATTTGGGATTCGTACAAGCATTGCTTCTAGTGGACTCCTCTTTTTCCAATCTGTATTTCTACATCTGTTGTAAATGTTTAAAATTGATTTGTAATGTTTTGTTGGAAACATAAATAAATTGAATTGAATTGAATTGAACAACCCATCCATTCATCATTGATGTGATGATTGACTTACCTGCAAGGAAAACAGGTTCATGTAGACATTCAATGGAATATGAAGACCCACTCTGAGGCATGGTGGGTGGGTGTGGAAGCAATCTAGTTACATATAACAAAATAACAAATAAACAATTACCAGTTGTAATGACCACATCATCAAACTTATAGAATGAACTAACACAAAATTGTGAGTGGAGCCAACAAATTTAAGAGACATTTATACATTTGTAGGCATTGAGAAATACTAAGTGTCACAGTTGTAACAGTTCTGATGCTATTCTCAATCCTGGAATGATAACTGGGAAGAGATGTACACAATTACTTAATATCACTGAGTTTTTATGTCATTTTCACATAAAACAACAAATCTTCACTGATTTTATCATCTGCTTTGTAGCAATCACTCTGCACTTGACATATCACATGACAAACAGGAATTGATACTATTACAAGAAGGAGTATTAAAGCATTTTTAAGGTTTTGCAGCAGGACTCAGAACCAATATTTCATGAGTCTTTATCAAAACCTGATACAATGGATATGGAGGTCTTCGATTCATAATATACGTTTTCATATGTACATATATATAGCAAAAAACACAATAATATCCCTTACCTCTTAAGATGCCTGCTGGTAAGACCTCTAAGAGCACTTTCAATGACTTGTCTGGTTGGTCCTTCTTCTTTCTTCTTCTTGTGAGCATACCTTCCAAACTAAGAGAAACATAATGAAATACAAACCATGTAGAGTTCAAGTTTAGATATCAAAGTTACCTTTATATTCCTTGAAATGCTAGAGCGCCGCAGTGGCTGCCTTGCTAAAGCCAGAGTAATAATCAGGGCAGCGCCAGGAGCGTCACAAAGTGACGGACATGTGCGCTATATAAGAAGCCACCATTATTATTATTATTATTATTGTCCCCATATTTTGACCCTTTGACAAAGGGCCCTGGAATATCTCTGACTAAATTTTCCAAAAAAATATGTATCAAACAAAAGTACAGTATGTAATGACTTATAGTTTGTGACTAAACTGATAAAATAAATGATTTATATTGTACAATAATAGATGTAATGGGTAAAAATATGTGATATACAATGAGCAGTGAATTCTCTGATACTTATTCCTTGATGCTTTTTTTTTTTTTAAAGAGATATTTAAGAAAGAAAATGAAACCAACCATCATGTCAACTTACCTTCCGTCTTTTGTTTGCTGGTTCTTTATCAGTTACCTCATCATACCTAATAAATAAAATAATAGTATAAAATGCATCAACTATTTCAAAGAAAAATGATTATTATATGAATATATCATATGAAAATACATTACCATTACTATAAAACAAGAGTTTTTATTATTCTAAAAAGGACACTTGGAAGACAAAGACAGCATTAGTTTCTCTATTTTCCTATCCTGTATGGATTAAAATTTACCCAAATCTAGTCGACACAATGAAAGGGTCTGCAGCAACTTGTTAAACCTCACGATTAGAGAGCATGATTCTGAAATCTCTTATCATTCCCATCTTGTAAATATGTATATTTTATTTCTCTTGGACATCTCAAATAACAAAGGCTTTATCATCTCTCTAACTCTAAGTTCAGCTTGATTAAAATGACTTTTCCCACTGGACAAAATTGATAGTCCTGACAAATGAAATTAGTATCTGCTTATTATACAGTTCAGTCTAAAACATACTCCTTCATTCATAAGAGAGGCCTTTAGAACATATAGCAAAGTAAAACCTGTATACTCGGCAATTATGTATCGGTCATTAGTCATCATGATGGTCACATGTCAGAAACACATGAATAATTTCATCTACAAAACAAAAGAACTTTTCTAGTGCAAATGACATTGATAAGATTAAAACAATTTCTCTCTTCAACATTTCACTCATATATTAGAAAGTAAAATGTTATTCTGTCATGCTATGTATATGTCTTGCACTTACAATGTGTCTACCTCTCCTTGCGTCTCCCCATGCTGAAAACTCAAGCCAACTTCAAAAGGGCTCTGAAGGAAAGACATATAAACATAAGCAACATACATTCATAAAAACACTGTAGTGAAAATCCTGAATTTTAAAGTACATGTACTTTAAAAGGTAAACCATCTATATCTGACTGTACTGAAAGATCAATAGGTAAAAATACCCTTTTTTCAACAACAACAAAAATTAAATAGCAGAGGTAAATATATCTTCACCTAATTCAATATCACTATGCGATGTCATCTTTATCAAGCCTACTTTTTTCTACAAAAATCCTTTTTCCATCTTTTTAATATTGTCACCATATTCATAACTGGGGTTCACCGTTTGGAGCTCTTTCAAAGAGCGAGGGGTTGGGGGTGATGGCTCATTCACCCTAAAATCTACACTAACTGACAAAAATAAATAAAAATTCTACATTTCTAAGGGTTAACCTGTTAATTTAGAGTGTCATTGTCAAGTCTTCCTTTCTGTATTAAAGGTTTGATAATAATCACTGACCTTTGGTGAGAATCTGACCTGGAAGCGAGTGCTGAAGAGCCGACCACAAACCCACTTGAAGACATCCTTGATTGGGGTGATGTCAGTGGACTTCAGAGATAATCTGACAAACACCAATAAACATGTATCAACTCTCACATATACTTAAAGTAAAAGCAGGTTTATAAACTTGAGAAGTGATTGAGCACAGTTTGATTCATGCAGGTTATGATTGCAATCAGACATCGGCATAGTAATACACAACAAATCAATGTAATTTACTCTAATGCACTTTCAAGGGACAAAAGGGTGATGGTATGAAACATTTCTAGTAAACAAATTTGGACTTACTTGCAGATTTCATTGAGATGGGTAAGCAAACAATGCTGCAAAAATGAGAAAGAAATGCACATAATAAGAATGAATAGAGGCATTAATGAATTTTTTGAGCAGACACACATATTATGCAAACTAGTCAGGGTTCGTACACTTTTTGCCAAATAAAATTCCATGACTTTGTCGTTTCAACTTTTCTGTTGCACATGGAGGACCTGATGACTGTCGAAGACACGTAGCGACAAAAAGGCATCAAGATTGTGCCAAATTGACGTCTAAGTCTGCTAGGATGGACACCTTTTTTCAGTCCACATCATCAGGGGATCACGGAATAATACAGGGCGAGACATTATTCACACATTTTCTGGTGGAACACAACATCACTCTGTCTGCAGCTGACCATGCAAGTAAATTGTTCAAGTGAATGTTTCCTGACTCAAATATTGCAAAAGGGTACAGCTGCACGAGAACCAAGTCAACAGGAATAACGGGCCAGATGTCGAAAGACATGCAAGTAAAACTAACTGCTCAAATGGATAAGCCTTTCAGTATGAGTACAGATGGTAGCACAGACAAGCCAAAGATGTATCCAGTCGTTATTCGAAATTGGAATGAAGATGATATGATGATCAATGTATCAATGTTATCGGTACCAACATGCAATACCGATGCAACAGCTTGAGGCATATATGAAGTATTGGATCACGAAATGGAAAAAAGGGGCAAACCATGGAGAAACTGTATTCCATTCAGCAGCGACAATGCAAGCGTCATGACAGGTTGCAACAAGGGAGTCATTGCGTCCATCAGGAAACAGCATCCACAGATTTACCTATATGGGTGTCCTTGTCATCTTTTGCTCTTATGTGCAAAGAAAACAGGGAGTGCACTGGAAGCAGAGGAAATTCTAGTGGAAATTTTAATATTTAAATTTGTATTATGAATTATATTTGTTTTGTTTATGTATATTGTGCAAATGTTTTTTAATGGCCTTGCTGAAAAACAGCCGTATGGCTGATAGCAGGTTTTTTAACCATGGTTAAATAAAACAAACAAACAAACAAACAAAGCATGATTTAAATATTCGGTTTGATCATTAAAATATTACAAGTGACTGAATTCTGATAACTATCTGTATGTTTTAACCCCAGCCATCCACCATCAGATCTACCAAGCCTCAAAAGAGTGGCACAGCTTCAACACTCACCAAGCCTGAAACATCCAAGTCACACACACCAACTGGGCATGCTAATCAGGTCAAGCTCAAGTAACTGACATAGCAATAGCATATCATTACAGTGATATTTGTTTTTAAATGTATCTCTGTCAGGAGTAATAAAAGGGTGTAAAAGAGAAAAGAGGATCACTATTTTTGTAACATATAATTTTTTTTTCAATGTAACAATGTAAGCAACCTGCAGGCATCTTTCAGGCTCCTGACAGGCACTGCAACAAAACCTGTAATCAAGGTTCAGAAGTCTACCAAACCTGTGGCATCCACCAAGGTTGATAAGTCTGCTTAGCCAGCATTGACTCCTGGAACAATCTCTGCAGGGAGCAATTACCGCCCTGACCGTGTCAGAAGAGTTAGTGATGCTCTGAGCTCATCCTACTTCAAAGTAAACTGCAAGTAGAATACAGTGAAGTGGAGAACCAGAAGGAGGACATTGACTTGATGGTAGGAGATGATATCAAGAGGTTGCTGGAGGAGTGTACTGTTCAGGAGAAGATGAAATTCTATGGCAATGTGAGGAAGTTCTGTGTCAAAGCATGTGATTATGCCAAGAGTAATCTTCCTCTCTCTGACAAAGTTCTCCTACATAGTGAGGTCCTGGATGTCAACAGGAGAGAAGAAGCTTCCTTTGCCTCCATCAAGTTCTTTGTCGAAAGATCATGTGCCTACTCCAAAGGGATCCTCCTTGCTCTGTAGATGTTCTGGAAGAGGAGTTTTGCATGTACCAGATCGATCTCGACTTTCCTGATGAGATCATTGAGTGTGATAGGACCGACAAGCAATGGTATCTTATCGGCCAGTTGAAGGAGAGCAATGGCGTGCTCAAGTACAGGAACTTGGCCCAAGTATTAAAGAGTTTTTTTGTGATACCTCACAGCAATGCTGATTGTGAGAGAGTGATCTCCCTAGTCCGTAAGAACTCCAGACTTTAGACCGAATCTTGGGGACAAGACACTAGAAAGCATCCTCATAGTTAAGGCTAACTACAGAGGGCATTGATACAATCAGGACATGTCCAATGACGACTTAAAGCGAATGAAGGGAGCAACCTACTTAAAGAATAAAGAGCAATGCAAACTGTGAGAGTTTTATTTTCCATTATTTCCCTGTGAATGCAAAGTCCAGATAGAATTGGTATGAGGAGAACCATGTAATTTTGTAGAAATAATCCTGATGTCAGCTTGTCATACAGCTAAAACTGGGATGTCTGTGCAGTGTGTCAGCAAAGTGACAGTGCATGAAATGATGCAAAACAGTGCAAGGTGGCTGGTATTTACACTAAACAGTGGGCATGCCTGTAAAAACCAGGATAGGGAGTCTACAGAAGCATGGATCCAAATGGAGGATGCAACAGTCTGATGATGGGTAGCACAACTTCCATTAAGATGGTATCTGATGGAGATGTTACCACTGCAGCTGAAATATTTTCATGTTGAGTCAAATGAAGAGTTGATGAAAGGACCAACTTACAGAACTCTCAGATCTTATGACTGCAAGCAGATTTTTTTGATGCACATCTTTATTTCGAGCAACGTCGATCTGGTGCTGCTCAGTGGCTGCAGGGCTCACGATCAATTGGGCAAAAAGAATTTCCGTTTCGGTTTAATAAAATTTGGAGTGGACTTATTAGGCTATTATTATTATTATTATTATTATTATTATTATTTTAAACTTAAAATGGTATGCTTGAAATGTAATAAGAGTGATTGGGTGTTTGTGCGCATTTTTGCACAAAAAATATGCTATGTTGTCATGTGTTACTGAAAGACCCCAATTTGTTACTGGAAAATGTGGTAAATGTTCCTGACAACCATCATATAGGGTTGGCATCTCTGCTTTAACAATGCACATTGGTAGCATGCTTTATTGGTTGGAACCTTCAATATCACTTCAATGATCAAACAAAAATAGAGCAAAGATCACAAAGTACTCTACCTGTCTAATATCCAACTGAAGAGGGAGTGCAAGAGTCAGCATGTAATTCTTGAAATCGTAGTTCAAGGCTTCCACATCAGAACAAATCTAAACGTATATATGAAAAAAGTAAACAAACAAAAAAGAAATATTAATATAAATAGGTCAAGTTTAAGTAAAGATTTGTTTTCAATAATTTAATTGAATGGAAAATATATTTATTTTATTGGCCTGTAATTGAATTAAAATTTCATGCATAAAAAGCATTATTAAAGGTAAAGACCAGTATTGGCAACGCCCCAATTTCAAAAAATGAAATGGAAGCTCTCATTACCAATCATGTGAAAGAATATGTTTTGACTAATACATGATGATAACAAATTTGCCGGGAAACCGCCTACTAATTCATATATTTGGTAAACTTATTTCTCTCATGGTCTGGTGAGAGAGATAGGGTAGTCCCATATACATCTTTCTGTGTATAGTGCTTGTAACTTTACGAAGAATGGGCCAAATTTCTTATCATTTTGATGATTCCAGAACCTTGCAGATGCTAGATGCTAGATGATCAACCTTTTCTGATCGATTCCACAACGTTTCTTTCACAATGCAATCGCATGACCATTACTGGTCTTTACCTTTAAAACAAGGAAATATATATCGCACTGTTATTAATAAAGCATAGCAAACATCTTTGCCATGGCGACATGTATCAAATCAGACATTAATTTACAAAAAAATGAATTGTGTTCAAAATTAATTTCATTCTCACATAAGCCAATTACCTTTTCCACAGTCTCTTCATTGCACAATGTTTGGAGTATACCAAGACAAGCTGGACAGGTCTGTTCCCCATTGCTCCCTTCTTTTGGTAACTCAGGCTGTTCAGCTGGGCAGATGTCTTCCCCTTTGCACGATTCCTTTGGTAACTCGGGCTGATCAGCTGAGCAGATTTCTTCCCCTTTAATCCTTTCTTTTGGCGACTCAGACTGATCAGCGGGGCAGATTTCTTCCCCTTTAATCCCTTCTTTTGGTAACTCGGGCTGATCAGCTGAGCAGATTTCTTCCCCTTTAATCCCTTCTTTTGGCGACTCAGGCTGATCAGCTGGGCAGATTTCTTCCCCTTTAATCCCTTCTTTTGGCGACTCAGACTGATCTGCGGGGCAGATTTCTTCCCCTTTGCTTCCTTCCTTTGGTATCTCGGGCTGTTCAGCTTGATCAGTAATTGGGCTATCTTCCTGTGGACCTCCTTCTCTCACTTCTAGTTTCCATAAAGATGGGCAGGACTGCAATAAATCAAAGAAGTTGTAAATTGTTGCAATTTGAATACGCTACAGTACTTTGATTTTTCAATTTCTAGAATACATTACTGACAAGGCCTGTCTTTTGTTTGCAAATCCAAGTAGAGTGAAATATTACATCATCATACAGGTATTCTTTGTACGTGATTATCAATCTGATTGAGTTACGCATATTGCTTGTTTGGAGTCAGAAGGATGTTAACTCATACTTTAATACAAAGTTAACACCCTTTTGGCTCTGAACATAAAAAATCTTCAACTTGACAAACTAGAGTGCGTTCTTCAGTGCAGTAACTACAATCGATTACCTTTAAAAAACATCAATTTATTGCACCCTAGTTTAATGATTCTACACAATTCCTAAAGCACAGTTTCAAAGCACTTGCTAGCTCTCAAAAGATTAGTTGTGTCACTTTCAGTCAAGAGTGCTGAAACAATGACACTGTGAAATTGAAGATTCCTGTGTTCTCTAAGAAATGCTATCACAATTATGAAAATCTACTTATCAAAGGGACATAAATATATATATTATGCCTTAATATTAACTATAAAAGTATTACCTCTAAAGGGTTAGCATAGACATGAATATGCTTCCTTCCCAAGAATCTCAGGACACACCTCTGACAACAGTGGAGGCTGCGCAGCATCAGTACAGTTTTTGATTCATCATCCTGCAATTATTTGACGAGAGCAATATTAGTCATTGAAATTTGTAGGGGTTCGACAAAGCTGCATGACCAAAGAATGGTTTTCCTACAATATTTTGAGTCAAGTCTAACCCTATAACCTTGCCCTTGCCTTTAAACCAGCAAAAACACAAACTACATTCAATTTCAGTTTTCAACTTCACAGAATTTTACTCATAAAACTAGCTAGACATCTCAATTTCCAGGTTCCTTAGGGGAGGGGATGTGCTTGAAAGCTAGAGGTGCTGTAATATTCCTGAAAGTTTTATTAACTTCAGATATCCTGGGGGCCGTTTCTCGAAACCGTCATAACTACAAGATCAACGACATCTCGCCACTGTCGCGCAACTTGTCAGCAAAGTGTTTCACGAAGCCGTCTTTGCCAAGATGAGCGACAATGAGTTGTCACTGCTCCGGACCCATCATATCTTTTTAATTGCTGTAAAGCGCCATCACAAGTCAGTTTGTTGGTATTCCATGGGCCGCGAAATGTACGATTAGTTTCACTATCATTTTGAGAAAAATATAGCCGAGTTCGGTACGTAATTCTCTGGGATGTGAAATGCAAATGTACAGAAGTGATAATACAAATTATACAGAAATTTTAAAAAGCTCAATATAAACATTAAATCACAAATCATGAAACTATAAGATATAAATAAAAGAGATAAGAATGTTACACACCGTTGTCCATAGTCAATCCAGTCTTTCTTAGGATACCATCATACCTTTGGGGCCTATGTGCATTATTATTCCCTCTCTAATTACTTCTTTCAAATTATATTTTCAATATCAAATCAATTATATAACGAGTATTATCAGACTCTAGAATAAAAACTGGCTGAGAAAAGGTATTTTGCCTAAAATTCCTCGTTACAATAAACAAAAAAAGTACGTATTGATAAACTATCACATTACGGTATCCTTCAACTATCTTTTGAGTGAATGGTCGAGAAAAAAACCTCACCGGTTTTTCTTCAATTTAAGAATCTATACAGAAATATGCAAATCGTTTAATGATCTACATTTGATAATTATATTATTTGTTATTTATTTTAGGAGAATTAATATGTAAATGTTTCTTTTTAGACCGCCGGGTGAGCCCCCAAATTCGTCAGTTTCGTGACCTCGGCTCGGCATCTACTTTTTTAATAGTGGATATTATTAAAGAATATATTTTGATATTATAGTCACAACTCGTCAATCGAAAAAAATGCATATAAGCTCAAAAAATGGAAAAAAGGTGCCTAAAATCTTTTTTTTTTCTTCACGGAGGTTGTCCAATCACTGTGCATGTATCAAGTAAATGTTACAGCGCCTCAAGCTTTTTAGCCAATCACAGGCAGTGTTGTGCACGTACCACTGGCGCGCGCTATTTCGAGCTTCAGGTGTAGTAATCTGTCGTCAACAACTGAATGTTTCAGAGGAAAACACAGGTTTTTGCTGTATGCATACAATTTTGACTCAAAGTAAGGTGATATCTTTCAGTGGGAAGAGTTACAGAAAATTCAAGGAGTGAGCAGATCTTTGGAAGGACGTCAGTTTTGGGTTTGAACTAGAAAACAAAATTGCTGCGATTGCGGTCAACTTCGACTTCGACTCGTTCGAGCTGCAGACAGAGCAGTACTCGCCCGGCGCCTCGGGCGGCCGGCGGAGGAGTGTACCAGGCCAGGGAGGTGTTCGAGCTGCAACAAGTTCAACAAAAAAGAGGTAGATATTTCTAGGCCTAGATCTATGTCATTCCATTCCGAAGAAATGATTGTATTAACTTTTTCAGCATGTTCAGAATAACTCTGATCCTATTCTTCTTCTTCTTCTTCTTCTTCGAGATAATCTGCCTCCGGCCTCCCTCAAATAATACTGAAGACTGAAGTGAAGATTCTTGCACTTATTACACCGGGGTTTCCCCCTACTCTTACTCTTAGTCTTATACGAATAGTGCAATGGGTTCTTAACGTGCCTCCATTTAACGTCCTATCGGAGGGACAGAGTGTTTTCCACTTGACATAACCTGTGTCTAACAAGGGAAGGGGCACGTTAACAGTAACGCACAACGCAGGCCTCGGTCATCCGCCTGGGTGGGAGTCGAACCCGGGATCTTTGTCTAGATGTCATATGTCTATTTCCCGGCCCTAAACGTTACAACTAGAATCAAGAAAAAAGAGAGTCTAGATTAGAATATCTACCGGGTAATTTCTACTTTCTAAAAAAATGCTATGCTCTCGAAATTGAGGCCTAGCTGACTTGATCAAAGTGGTTGATCAAGTCAAATTGGATACTGGTCAGGCTTGATTCTATACTACATTAGTACAGATCAGGTCTTCATAATTAATGTGGGTATTTATTGTCCACATATCGATTACGGTATCGTCTGAGAACAGCGTACTGGTGGGTTTTTTTTCGGGGGGGGGGGGGGGAGGGGCCACTGTCCCCTTAAATTTCCACAATCAAAGTGGTTTTTTTTTTTTTTTTTTTTTTTTGCATGTTTGAAAAATTCTGCATGGTGAGGCCCACAGTCCCCGTCAATATTTGACACATTTAAATTAATATGCCACTTGTGTTGGAGAATGAGTCTTGCCCTTGCCCTGGTGATCTTTTTCATTCATGATGAAAAATGTATTACAGTACCCTATGCCCTCCATGCTCTACACACAAAAAAAACACTTCATAAAAATATGAGACACCTCCTTACGTTTTCTAATAAGCAGTTCTGAATAATTTCCACTGTTAGTGTCACTGATGTCCAGTCCGTTCAGTTGGAGACAGTAACCAGTCAGCACAGATATTTTTTTTAATTTGTATTTTGATGATAGTTATATGCTAGATTCGACTCGTACTGTAGGTTTTGTAGTGATGAATACTTCAGTATGTCTGTCTCGTAGAACTATAGACCTATTCTTTTTTATATGATATTAAATGATCCTTGCTTTTATTTATTTTCAATAAAGGTATGTCCAACCAGGATACCATGCGGGCTGCTACAGGCACTTCTGCAACATTACAACAAACAAGTGAGCACAGATGACATCAAGGCAAATAAGGAACAATATTTAACTCATTGTATGTCACATTACTTGTAAATGTAAAGCTTTTTTAGGAAATTCAATGTAAAGACCTTTCTTGTGATGCTCTATTTTGCCAATTTCCGTCAGATTCGATAAAACAGATAACTTTTATTAAATGGTATTTGGATAAATGTATGAAATTACCTGCTGGAAATTTTAAAGAACATGATTTAGATATATTAGACTGAAGAAGAATAGCAGAGGCTGGGACCCTGTCATCCATGAATTTTTAAATTTTATTTACAATGTATATTTTATGTGTGTTTTTGCTAATACATACCGGTACATACATGTAGTAATGCTTTTTGAGCAATTGCTTGAAGGAATGTTTGTTATTGAAAATATTACTTGTAAATGTAAAGCCTTTTTTGGAAATTCAATGTAAAGACCTTTATTGCGATGCTCTATTTTGCCAATATCCGCCAGATTCGATAAAGCAGATAACTTTTACTAAATGGCATTTGGACAAATGTATGAAATTACCTGCTGGAAATGTTAAAGAACATGATTTAGATATGTATATTAGGCCTGATGTATATTAGACTGAAGAAGAATAGCAGAGGCTGCGACCCTGCCATCCATGAATATATAATTTTTATTATCTATAATGTATATTTTATGTGTATTTTTGCTAAAACATACATACATGTGATCGCTTGAAAGAATGTTTGTTATTGAAAATATTTCAATGTGAATTGACAATGTGCTGTATAACTGATGATGAATCATTTCTCTACATCAACCCAAAGAGCAGTATCCATGTAGTCAAGCAGGCTTACAATTTTATTGACCATGTATTTTGAGAATATGAGATAGTAATATGTCATATATTTGATGTGAAACCAGATTATAATTGGTCAAACATGCCTTACAAACTTTGTTTTAAATTGTGATTTATTTTATTTAAAGATATGCCATTCCCTGAAATATATATTGAAGGGTATGACATAGAAAGAGATAGAGAGGTGGGAAAGAGGGGGGGGGGGGGGGAGGGAATGGGAAAGAGAGAGCAGTTAAGGAAACAAAAGAAAGGGAGGGAATGGGATGAAGAGTGAGAGAGAGGGGGGGGGTGAGGAAAGAGGAAGAAAGAGATGAAGAGAGAGAGGGGAATGAGGAAAAATGGGAGGGGGATGAGAGGGGATAAGGAGAGAAAGAGAGGGGGATTAGGAAAGAGAGAGAAAGGGAAGGAAAGGGAAAGGTGAATATTTTGAGTGCACTGCAGCTTTGCTCGATATCAATACAAGTCATTTTCCCATAGCATAATACACTGCTGTCTCAGACTGGACCCAAGAGGGCGTTTGTCATATTTATTAAAAATTAATCTGGACATTATTAATTTGTGTGCAATTTTTTCTACTGACGAGTTGCACCATCATCTTCAGTATATTTTTCTACACATTAGAGGTTATTTTCAAGTAGATGCCGAGGATAGGTCACGAAACACAAAAACTAAGGCACTTTTGAGGGTTCACCCGGCGGTCTATTTTGAACAATTTTAGCCCCAAAACTTGTTTTGGGTTATTCGTGATAAATCAAATGGATCGTGACAAAGATTATGTTCTTGAGCTGCTAGTATTACAATACAATATATCGATGTCATGTCTGTCATGGCTTTGTGAAACGGTTTATCCACTTCATGACATCTCCGTAGGTTGGCGACAAAGATATGACTGTCATGGAGTCATCAATCGCATATCCATAGAATCTACTTCTAACGTTCTATTACAAAATATCAATACTATTGCATCATCATAGCTGCGCCAGGAAAAAGAATGACGAGAGAAAGATTAACAAGGCCAGTTAAATGCATAGCATAAAAGAATCAAATAAGCCAAGAGGAATGATTGAAATAAGAAAGAACAAAAAATTCATGCCACTCACATGATTCAGAATGCCATGAGATCATGGATGATGGAGGTCAACAACAAATAGACAGAAAAATAAGAGCCTATTAATTGTTTTATTATTCAGTACCAGTATTAAAAAGACAATTAAAACAAGTCAACGCACAGCCAATTTTCTTTGTTGGCTTTTGTGTATGGCATTTTTGGCTTTAAAACCAGAGCAGATCGGCCTCTCATTTCAGTGTTTGAAAAATCCTTTCATTTTATTACAGGCACAGTTGAAGTGCTTGTGAACTAAGTTAGACCTAGTACAATGTTGTTTTTAAACTATAGATGACAGAAAATGTTTCCTCTGAGTCCAAACAGAAATTTGGACAGGCTAGTTTTTGAGTGGTGATTTTTTATCCCCCATGTTAGTGAGCTGCATGATACAGGTGAGTGAGCTGAAGACACGGGAGAGCTTTGGTCGGCAAAGTGCTTTGTGAGGGGCATAATTTATCGAGACTAAAAAAAACCAAAAACAAAGCATCTTCCCTTCAAATTAGGAACGTAGTTTTTTACTTCATATAGTAGGCCTAGATTCTATTCTTTATTTGCATTATGTGCATTATTTGCATTATGAAGTGCTTGTGAACTAAGTTAGACTTAGTAATAAGGTTGTTTTTTAAAACTAAAGATGACAGATTTTTTTTTTTTCCAAATTTTTTTTTTCCTAGATCTAGATCTAGATTTTTTTATTTTTTTTTGTCTTCAAAATAGGGGTGCGAATACACAGGTGTGCCTTATACACAGATATTTACGGTACTGTAGAGTTGCCTCATGCTTCTACATATATGAGTGTCAAAACCTGGCTCATCGCGTGCCCGACTAACAGACGTGAGCCGAGGCTGAGCGAGGGCGGCGGGGCGGCTGGGGCGCGTGACGGCGCAGCATGCAAGCTCATAAGAGGATCCGCGGTGGGAATTCCACTAGCGGGGAAAGCAAGGCATGGGACTGAAATAAATGCCAGTGCCAGTGGCAGTGTCAACCTCTGAAACAAATCAAACAATTCATCAAAATATCACATTTTAATTGGCACAAATTATCATACGTAGCCTAAGAGCAAACTGTTCGAATTTAACTGAGAGACTACAGCTCACCATCGTCGTAAAGCTCGTATTTAGCACAAGCAACCGCCACACAGGATCGGAAAACGTGCAAGCCACTGCACTGCACTGAATCCAATTATACGGTATCTTCAACCGGACAAAATGCTGCATGCATCGACAAAAAGTTCGTTGAATAAAGCATAGACTATAAAAATTATCCTTCTGCGCCAGTGTGGCATATTAACAATCAAATTGGCTTTAAATATAGTTGATGTGAATCATGTCGTGCTATACAGCTTAACATGGTTCTATAACAGGACCTTCTTGAGCCTTGAGGCCCAGATCGTACAGTTCTAAATCAATCTAAAGTAGATCTAAAGTTAGTTTGAGTTTTGGCAAGCCGAGAGTACAAATACAACGGGTGTACTTCTTGTGTTACTTCTTCTAGATCTCTTCTTGAGTTTCTTCTTTTTTTCTTTTTTTTCTTTCTGTTTTTATTGTTTTTTCTGAAAAATTAACAGAGTAAAAGCAGCAATATAAAATATAATATCATCTTAAAACTACAAAACAGGCACGCACTCATGCACCCATAAACACGCACACACACGCACACACACACACACACACACACGCACACACACACACACACACTCACACTCAATTCTTGAGTTTCTTCTTCTTCTTGAGTCTTCTTCTTCTGATTAATTATGCATCCTTGAATTGATTGAAGATTCTTGCAAACTATATGCGTGTGTGTGTGCGTGTTAACCGAAATTTACGTCCATTCGAGTGCTATTTACATTACAATACAGTTTATTTACAAATATTTATAAGCTCATGTATATGAGGAGTTTAAGCAGCGGCCATTACGTAGATTGGTTTAGGTCTTGAGGATGAATGAACTTTAATGAGATTAGATTTTTCAGGAGTACGTGTAGTCCCTGAGAGTGTTGTGGTTTATTTTTTCTTAGGGGACGAAGTGTCATCAACAGCCGCCCGTAACCAGAGTTTTCAATTAAGAGGTTCGTTTGCTTAACGGCTATAGATGTCCAGGACAGGAGCAACGCCCCTGAAACCCCTGGGTTTTCATGCTTTTTAAGTCCCCAAAACGCCCTATTTTGCTTTTTTTTTCAGGCAAGTTTGTTGCAAAATTTATTAAAAGGCCTTTCAACAAAATTTGTTGAACTTTAATGAGATTAGATTTGGAAAAAAAAGCAAAAACCCAAAACGCCCTATTTTGCTTTTTTTTCAGGCAAGTTTGTTGCAAAATTTATTAAAAGGCCTTTCAACAAAATTTGTTGATAGACTCAAATTTTCGGCCCGATTCAAAAATGTTAACCCCCCCCCCCCCCCCTTGAAAAAATCCTGCGTACGCGCCTGCCTGTTGGTGGACAGTTTCCAATTAATAATCAGTAATATCATTGGTTTTTCTATATGACCTATTGGATCGATAACAATTTGTATGTAACTCCAAAATTGGAAGAAATAAATGATTATTTTTAATATCTGGCTTTCCCAGCAAAATATTTGAATTATTTGTAAATATATGGATTGAGATTCTCAGACTTTATTTGATTCATGGGGAGTATTGGATTCTCTTCACTGACGACTGGCGCAGCTACCGTTCCCCGCAAAGATCCCTTTTAAGGAATGACCACGCCCGAGGCTCCCTTGTAGTTTTTTCTACATTGCTCCCCCCGCAATAGGTCCCTATTTTCTTTCTTTTTTTCATCAACAACAATGATAAGACTCCAAAATTGTAAACAATTATTATATTTTAATATCTGTTTTCACAGTCAAATATATTACCATTAAAGGACTTGATAATCTTGAATTCCCTTGTGTATAAATTTCATGCCAAAATATTGCCTCCTCTCCTATTAGCGATATCTTTGTTCTGAATTCCTCAGTTCATTTTTAATATATTCACCAAAGTAATTTAATACACTTACATCTCCCGTTGCCTTAAATTCATTTAAAATTCATTTCCCTAAGTTATGGAATAAACTCTCCAACGATATTTGAAATAGTTCAACCCTCTTCAGATTAAAAAAGCTAAGCAGGGAAATCTTAACTTCTTTATAATATGTTCCTGATATTGTTGTTTGCCCTTCTTTTCTCTTTGCCCTCATATATACATGTAAATATAAACCTTGCTGCTGCTGGAAGAAGTGTACTTCTCTTTTTTCCTCGTTTATATTAAAGCTTGATGGTGTATTATTGATCTTTTTATGTATTTCAATTTGGTCGCCCCTTTTTATAAGCCATGCTTTCTCCGGGGTCACCAAACCATCATTGTGTTCTGCTAAATTTTTGATGTTACTTATTTTGATTGTACATGTTTATAAATTTTGATGGTTGAATAAATAAATGAATTGAAAAATGAATTGAATTGAAATATCATCGTTTTAACTTTGGCCTTATTAATGAGTAAAGGGAGCAACATGATTTAATAGATTATGGGAGAGATTTCCATAGGTCTGGACCATGATTTCTAATGGATCTATGGGCAATAAGTTATTTCGGGTTGACTAGATGAAAAATTGAGGAATTACTGGTATAGGGTAAGAGTGAATGGCTTCATTTATAGTGTAAAAGTGTTGAAAGTCTTTAAAAGTTTTGAAATGTTAACTAATTGACATTAAAACTAAACACCTGAAATCTGTTTCGTATTTGTAGACTTTGAAGTTCAAACATGATTTGTGTGTCTTCTCTCCGCGGAAATTGTAACGTTAATAGTCCCAAATTTCTATACTTTATCATCACGTAGATTCTCTGTCACATCTTAGTAAAAAAAGAAAATTTGATACTTTTCAATAATGATGAGTACCAATATTATATTTATTACAGAATGAACATTAAACAATTGTTTATATAGGAATTTTTAACATGTAGTTTATGCTGCTAATATACGCCACATTGCCTTTAGGTAGAATTTATTTGTAAGAGTTTGACAACGACTACTACAATGTGATTACACTATAATATATGATAAGCTGTTACATGTATTTCATCATAGGCACGGGCTACAACTCCACCAAGTTAGAGAAACCAAGAAGCATGAACATGATAGAAGTGTTATTTATAAAGGAAAACATGGCAAATGATGACTGTGCAGACTGGAAATGGTGATCAATTCATCAGATATTGTGTTGTATATAGTTCATACCAAGTCATTGTTCCTTAAAATGGCCATAAAATCTTGGTAAGAGCAAAGGTATTTCAGTCCCAAAGTGTATTGTAAAGTTAATGTATTTTAAGACATTTTCAAGATCGTCTGCGGGTTATCAATAATGTATCAACATGAATAGCGTAATATGACTGATTGATATCGTACTTATCAACTCATTATATTTGCAGTATAATGATATATATAGGAATACTTGTTCATCATAATTTTGCTTATTATACAGAAAAGCCGCAACAAAACAAAGTAATACCTTATACGCTGTTAATACAATCTTCACTTTTCATTCATAAAGTAACCCGATGCATGGGATGTATTTTATGTTTTCCTTTTGATTTAGGTAATACAATTCGTATACAGATACATTTTTGTTCGACTGTGTTTGAGTATTTAGTCACAAATATTGTCTTAAAGTATTATGTTTATTTCAGAGTGAATGAGATGGATAGGTTGGAATAAACATTTGAAAAGGAGTAACAGGCTAGATTTTTTCTTTACAATAATATTATATTGCCAGGAAATGGGCGGATAAGAAAATTATGTCAATGTGCTAAATGTGCTTAGCTTTTATATCAGCAATTTCTCAAGTGGAAATCTGCATGGAAGGCTCATTTGCTACAACTGATCATTTCAAGCTGATTATGTAGGCTACCATATACGATCCAACTCAAGAAGCACAATGTTTCTGGAAAACTATGTGTTACGTTTTTATAAATGGACATGTTTTAATATTGTTTTGTTTGATCTCAGATGGATTTTTCCTTGATGTTAAAAACATATGTGTTGCGTTCTGATATTGCCTTCAGAAACAAAGCATTTGGTTGGACATTGTTTTTGTAAATTGTAATAACTAAATAACAAATTATTACTGTTAGGCCTATAGGTAAAGGTAGATAGATTTTGAAAAAGTTCGTCATTGACTTTTACAGTAGCACAGGACTTAGGCCTAAGTCTCGCAAAGAGAAGGAGAATCATGATCATAATAGGTTCCATTGGGTTTCTTTTCGAGCTGATCTAGCTCAATTTTGGGGATTGGGGTACTTTAGGGGCGTCTTGCAGGCACTCCCCACCACTTAAATCGTCTGGTAGTGGTTATTTGTGTATCTGTGGACTCTGCCGAACAATTTCCCATTTGTTTCATGGGGTTTCCTTTCCAGCTGATCTAGCTCAATTTTTTGACATCTTTTGGTGCGTATGGCGGGCACCTTCCCCCACTTAAAACGTCTTGCATTGTCCATGTATGTGTACCTTGAGACTACAGCGAATCTTCTTAAATGGGTGTCATAGGGTTTCCTTTCCAGCTGATCTATAGCTCAATTTTTTGACCGCGTTAGGTCCTCCCCCTGGCCACACGCACCATTTGGGACATGCCAGACGGTCAATTCGTTAGGTGGGGCATAGGCGCCGGAAGTGGGGTGGCGGGGGGGGGGGCACTTGCCCCCCCCCCTAACCAAAAATTTTGGGGGGAAACGAATTTTACACCCCCCCCCCCCCCCAAAAAAAAAAAAAAAAAAAAAAAAAAAAAAACGCCCCCCTCCCTCCAAAAAAAAGAAGAAAAGGCAGTAAAGGAGTAAAGATGGTTTGTATTTTTAACCCAAAAGAACACAACAATAATAAAAAGAGAATGAGAAGAAATGAGCCCTTGAACGCTGGAGTACTGATGGGGGGGGGGGGGGGGTATTCAGTACCAGTGATTTACAAAATGTTGCTGAAATGACATGATTTTCAGGTATTTTTTCTTAATTCTTTTGGAAAGTCAAACCTTTTTATGCGTTTGTGGAAAATTAGAAATTCCCAAGTTTACAGTCGGGCGAAAAATATGCTTATTTAGAAGCCTTCATGTCAGGGCCTGCAGAACGGCTGGGCTAGGGGGCTCGAGCCCCCCTCACTTTTTGAAAAAGCATGTTACAGAGAAAAAGAGAGAAAGAGAGAGAACAAATTAGTGACCTGCCAATGTCACAAATGAGGTATCAAAATATGCTCATCTGACCGTAATTAAATGCCTAAAACCCAAAAACCTTACGTGGGCTCCGCCCCCGACCTAACCAAAGGCCCTAAGGCGGGCCCCTGGATGCTCATCTGACCGTAATTGAACACCTAAACCCCCGAGCTTCCGGGGACTCTGCCCCCTTGACCCCACTAAAGGCCGTAAGGCGGGCCGCTGGGTGCTCATCTGACTGTAATGAAACACCTAAAACCCCCGTGCTTCCGGGGCTCTGCCCCCTGGACCCCACCAACGGCCCTAAGGCGGACCCCACGCCAATTCACGCTCTACCTGAAAAACGCTCCGCGGGGCCTGCTTGTAAGAGTATAGGTGATGCAGATTTTTTGTCTGCCCCCTCCCCCCCCCCCTTCCAAACGTTTTTGCTCATTACGCCACTGCGACTGGAAAGTGAGCCGCCCGCTGGAATGTTTGCCCCCCCCCCCCCATCCCAAACTGTTTCCGGCACGCCTGATGTGGGGCTATTGGATCTTTACATCCGTGGACATGAAAATTGGTTTCTTTTCCAGCTAGGTTGACCCCCCCCCCCCCCCCAGACTTCCCCCTTGGCTCGGTTGCGTGTCTTTTGTGAACACCATCATTTACGTGCGTGCGAATATGCGAATATTGTGTATATGTAGTCTCACTCCTGAAAGTCAAGTCAAAATCAAATTTATTTCCACTCATTAAACATAAAATACAACAAAGCTAAATATACAGATAGCCATTTTTTCAAGTATGAAAAATAATGAAAAGTGTAATATGTATTTATGCATTTAAAAAATTGACCAAGGCGCGAGTTAAAATCAGAAATAAATATGAGAAAGCGAATGAATGAATGAAAGACTAATCTACACGGACTAAAATTACACAGCTGAAAGTTGTTATTATTTTTTTGCTGATGTACCGTACCAGATGCAGAGACAGATTTTTGAATGAGTAAGTATTGCAATGTAAAGTTTAAAATGATAGAGAGAATGTGGTACTGTATGGAAACATTTAATGCTTTCGTTTAGGACTAGTCCTAATTAGTTTTGGCTGAGATTTAGTCTAGATTCACTTCATTCCCATCCTTGCATGAGCGTGTGTGTGTGTTTGATTCTCCTGCTCGCCCTCGCCCCGACCTCCCCTCGCGCTCCCCGTGCCTGCCGCGCCGAACTCGAACCCGGCCCGTCGCAGCGCCTGGTAAGCACGAAGAACTTTGCGCATTGACTGACTCTCATACACAAATCCTACCCAACCGTGTCGATCAACATCTGAAATGAACCCTTATGGCATATCACACTTTTCCTGAAATGACCCTTTTTTAAGAAAACGTTGAAACCTGTGTTCCTGAAAAGGTACCCTTTTTTTGGTTTTTGTGCGATCAGTGCTTGAAAAACACCCCTTTTTAGGGAAAACGTTGACGCCGCCGTATAGCTGAAAAAGACGGTGCTAGTGTAATTCTGTATCCGTTTAGAGCTTCGATGTTGACGTCGTCGCTCAGTACTGTCTCTACACTATAGCTCTGCAACTCAAACTGAAGCTAACAGTCCAAAATTATGCAAACTTCTCGTATGGTTTATGGTATTACGTGCATGCACGATACCATAACCCATACAAGAAGTTTGCGTAATTTTGGACTGATGGCTTCAGTTTGAGTTGCAGAGCTATAGGCTAGCGTAGAGATGGTGCTGATCCTTGCTGCTGGATTAAAGTGCAAGTAATCTAAAGTTCTATGTGGTAATCCTAGAATTTAGGTCCTGTACCGGTAGTTATTCCATAAATTGAATTATCATTGTATCACAAAAATTCACGATAAAAAAATTTGTTTTACCTGTGACTGAGACTTTCGCCTACTCGTCGCAGCCTTAATTACAATTATTACATGATATGTTGTACACAATCCCTGAGATGTCTTTCATTGTTCGCTTATCCCACCCAGGCGGATGACTGAAGCCTGCGTTGTGTGTTAACGTACCCCTTCCCTTGTTCACAGATGCAGGTTATGTCAAGTGGAAAACACTCCGTCCCTCGGATAGGACGTTAAATGGAGGCCCCGTGTACAGGAGAGTCACCACCCATGCACGTTAAGAACCCATTGCACTATTCATATAAGAGTAGGGGGAAACCCCGGTGTAATGGTCCACCTGCATACCCCAACCAGGCCGAGTATACGGCATCTGCAAGAATCTTCAGTATTGAAGGAGGCAGATTATCTTGAAGAAGAAGAAGAAGAAGAAGAAGAAGAAGAAGAAGATATGCAATAAGGAATCATTGATATACATGTATGGAGTGGTAACCAATCTAACACTCCTTTCCGTCTAGTGTTACAGGTTGGTTCTGGTTTAGGGGTCGGGGTTTCATGGCTGCTTCCGTTCTCCTGAAGGCCTAATCCGGGTAGCCACATCTCTTAAGGCTTGATTTGATGTGGTTGGTTTCTGTCTCTAGATCATCAAGGTCTGTGATGATGCTTTGGGCTCTGTCCACGAGTGTGCGGAATACCCTGAGTTTCTGCCATTTTCTGGTACCGGGGTTGGTGTGGGGTGAAGTGGAGGTTTTGACTTGTATGGGCTTTTGTAAGGTAGACAAAGAGCTTGACACTACAATACGGTTTTTTGTGATACGTGTGTCCAGAAATGGGATGAAATTATCTTCTTCCGTTTCATGTGTGAACTTGATGCTCCGAGTGGTGTCTACTTGGTTGAGATGATCCTTGAGTTCGTCTACAGATTCCACTTTGAAGATAGCAAGTACATGTACGACATCCACATAACCCTTCCATAATCTGGGCTTGAAGTTGGGGGTGGCGGTAGAAAGGACTGTCTCTTCAAGTTGCTCCGTAACCTACTACAATGGGGGAGACTGGATTGCCCATCGGCCGTCGAGTTGTAAATAGGTGGTGGAGAGTATGAAGTTCAACAATTCCATGATATCGTCTACCAAGAGATTAGTCCTGTCCTGACGTTCTCTTATGATGTTGAGCAGTGAAAAAAATACATTGGGGCTCAGGGCGAACGAGCCCACGAAATGCAAAAAAGATCCCCAGAAAGTCATAAAAGAGCCCCCAAAAATTTGCATAGAGTTCAATGCAAAACAAATTAAAGAGTGTTATTTTCATGCAAGCAAGGTTGAAAAGTAGCCCCCCAAATTTTTTAAATAACTTTTTCCCTGATGTTGAGAGATCGGTCGATGGGAGTGTTGGTGAAGAGACTGAGGACGACGAAAGACACCAGTACTTTGCTATTATCTAGAGTAATAGCCGCAATTTCTTCAACGATTTCCTCCGAAACAACTTGACCATGTCATGAACCGCGACATTGACCAGTTTAACCTATCATCACTGTACATTCCCATTCTTTCGGCCTGTCGTACTACTGACGATAAAATGTCAGTCTGATGATGCATTGATTGTGGTGATTTAACCATCATTTCTCTCTGTGGCTAGGTCTTGTTGCTGCAAACTGAATTTTTTTTACTTCATTTTATATGAAATATGATTTTGATATCACCTAGCCTTAATTGGCACCTATATATATACCCCTGCGTTTTGCTTCAGATGCCATTGAGGGTCAACTCAGAACTCTGAAAATATCTCGCTAAAAAACAGCAATTAAAACATTATTTTTATTATTATTAGGCATTTAGCTATGCTATTCATTGTACACTATATCACAGCGCTTACAATAATATGCAATATAACAATATAACCACAAATCTTAACATAACATTGAACAAACAAAAATAATAGCGAATCAAGTAGGAAATAAGTAGGTTTTAAGGAGTTTCTTAAAAACATCCACTGATGGAGCAGCTTTTATTCTGGAGGGAAGATTATTCCACTCCTTAGCTGCTGCAACAGTGAATGTGCAATCTCCTGCCTTACTACGAGCCACATGAAAAGTCAATCGAAATGGGTCTGCATTGGAGCGAAGGTTTGTACGTACAGGTCGATACAACTCAAAGACAGTCAGTAAAATACTCTGGCGTCTGATCATGAAAAAAATTTGTATACAAATAAAAGAATCTTAAAAACAATCCTCTGTTTGATTGCCAACCAACAAAGGGATGTTAGTAGAGGCATAGCATCATGACGACATTGATTCCATTGTAGCTCTGAAATTCATGAACTGTCCCTTTGAGGGATAAGTAGTTCCAGACGCAAGGAATATACCTATGGGCTTATTTTTCGCTAGCTTAAAGGAATCACATGCGATTACAGTTTGAAAATACCGTAAATCTCCGTGTATAAGGCACACTTTTTTTCCGTCTGCAAAAATCAAAAGTCGGGGGTGCGTCTTTTACACAGGTACAGGATATTTTCAGTCCTCAAAATGCTACTTTTTAGTGGTTTTCGAAAATCTCTGTGTCTCAAGATGAATCACATAATGCAAATAAAGAATAGGATCTACTATTTGAAGTTAAACTACGTTCCTAATTTGAAGGGAAGAGAGTTTTTTTTTTTTTTTTCTTTTTCAGTCACGATAAATTATGCCCCTTCACAAAGCACAAAGCACTTTGCCGGCCGAAGCTCTCCCGTGTCTTCAGCTCACTCACCTGTATCATGCAGCTCACTCACTCACGAAACTAGCTTGTCGAAATTTCTGTTTGGACTCGGAGGACATTTTTTTTGTCATCTTTAGTTTTAAAAACAACATTGTTACTAGGTCAAACTTAGTTCACAAGCACTTCAACTGTGCCTCGTAATAAAATGAAAGTATTTTTGAACACTGAATTGAGAGCCGATCTGATCTGGTTAACAACAAGCCAAAAGAGCCCAGATAGCTTTTCTGTGGCTTTTTTGGCTTTTTGTTAACCAGATCAGATCGGCTCTTATTTCAGTGTTCGAAAATACTTTCATTTTATTAAGAGGTACAGTTGAAGTGCTTGTGAACTAAGTTAGACCTACTAATAATGATGACAGAATTTTTTTTTCCCTGATTTTTTTTTGTTTTGTTTTGTTTTTGTCTTCAAAATAGGGGTGCGCCTTATACACAGGTGCGCCTTATACACAGAGATTTATGGTACCCTTTCCCTTCATATTTTCAATCATCAAAATAAGGAGGCTTGACTGCTTAGTGCAAATCCATGGTGACAGTACAAATGGAACCCATGTAATATACAGTGTAAAGTACATGTATGTATTAATTAATTACTGATTGAAATGATATGTTATTTATAAAACAAAATTAGTTGTAAATATATTAAATGGATTTGAATTTTGACATTCCAACAATGTCCTCGAAATGCCTTAAGACACATATTCTGTCAGAAGCATATTCTGATATTTTTTATGGTCGTCCAGGTCGAAATCAGCTCCAAAGGCAGCTCCAAAGGTAAAGAAATATCTACTGATCTGTTATGGGTGACTAGTAAATTGATGTCATAGCTTCTGACAATTTGACATAAAGGTCAGCCTTTAAAAAGTTAATCATACACATGAATCAGCCAGCATACATGTATGCCATATGGACCAAGATTTTGTAAGACAATCATGTTTGTTGACATGTATAGAGATATTCACGCTTGCTGTAACCAATTAACATAAAATGTATCAAATCAGTTTAAATCACCCATCTAACAGGAATGATACCTTCTAACTGTTCCGACTTAATTTTCAAATTTCTGAATGACCGAATATTTTTTCTTTTTTCTTTTTTTCTTTTTTCGTGGGATTTACCATGTACCGCATTTATAGAGTTCACATATTGCATGCGTTCAATTGCTGCATGATCGAGCAGCGAATTTGTATTTGCTTTTTTTTGTACATATTTACCGCAAATACACGTAGTGTTGGAAGTACCTCAGCTACATGAAGCAATGATATACCAATGCTGTATTATCATTATGCACATTGATCTAATTTTTTCTAGACCTCAATATAATTCAGGACAAATAAAAAGTTCAGATCCTAATAATATTTTGTTACTCTCATATATATCTCAAATTTATTTGTTAAGCTAATAGTGGATTCAAGGTCCCAATTTCCTCTAATGGTGCAAGAGGTTGGTATCTTATCATGAGAAAACACAGATTGCTGGCTTGTCGCAAAGTTCAGACTCTTTAACAAAAGTGATGTTTACCGGTATATGTACCATTCAGAATGGTACTTAGTAAATATTTGCATGTTGTTACAGATATTTAGCAGATATTTACATGACATAGCAAGAGACAAATCATTTAAAATACTCAAGCTCTTGAGTGTTTTTTCATGTACATGTATGTATTACATTGCTATAGTTTGATATTTTGATATAATTTGATATGTACTGAAATTGAAATTTAATGCAGGATTATCATTCTCAGGGTAAATGCATAAGATAAGGGGAAAAACACCTTTTTGTTACATCCCCAATGTAATGCTGCATACAGTACTGTTGTATTTCATCGTCCTACGTTGCTTTTCCTCTATATTTTTACACTGTATTTTGATTCAATTACCTGGGCTACCGGTCTCAGACATATTGTTGACCTCGCTAGCAAATCATCGTCCATGGTCCACTGAAGATTTGTTGACAGCAGGCCCTTTGCCGACGTCTAATGAGACTGACTCTTGAGGTGTGACATTCTGAATGTGACATGGTGATTTAATGAAAGCTGGTCTCCATACAAAAATAGCTTTTCCTGATTCCTTTTTAAAGGTTGTGATGGGTTCTGGTTGGAAGATTGTGTATTGAAAGACACTTTTCAGAAGTTATTCTGTATTTTCTAATGGGTATTATGAAGTAACAACTCTATTGGAACCGACAAAATAACTAACGAAATAATTTTTTGTACTAATGGAGTAAGAAGAGGAAAAAACTCATTCTGAAGCTCTGACCCGTGATAGCAAAAATGCCAATTCATGAAAAAATATTTAGTGGCGAATAAATTTGAGCAACAAAAAAAGGAAAAATTGTGGTTAACATCTTTTTTTAATACTTTTTGAGTTTCAAGTAGCCTTCAAGTTTATTTTATTTGTTTCACATTTCACAAAAAAAGAATTCACATAATTGACAAAATTAGAACATAATATGAAATATACTAAAAGTGTCACATTATATAATTAATTCTTTGAAAAGACGTTGAAATTAAATAGAAGGTTAAACAGGGTGAAATGTGAGGAACCTATTAAAAAGCTCAGCTTGTAGATTATAGGTTCCCAGGGGTGGGGGCCTGTCTTCTTTAAATACAAAAATACAAATCTTCTTTTTTTTTGCCAGGGGTGGGGGTCCGTGCCCCCCCCCCCTTGGATCCGCCACTGTAATATATTTTTTATGTCCAGAAAATAAAATGTAGGAAATAGTCATGATTCCTTGAGTGAAACCAGTATTGGAATGTAAATTAAAATTTTTCAATCATTTACAAGGTAACAGCTACCATGTACATGTAACATGTTATTAGATAATTATGCTATTGCATAAAGTCTCCAGAATTTCTTGTAGGCATCACCTCCTGATAAATATACCTCCAGCTCAAAATTGATGAGTCATTCAATTTGATTGCATGATGTAATTCTGGCATTTTTTTTTTTAATATCATGGTCATTGATTGTATTATAATACAAACATTCAGATAATTGTCTGATACAAACATTCAGAGGAGCTTTGGCTGAAATGTCTCCCCATTCCTTTTATATCTTGTCTTGTTCAAATAGAATTGTTAGAACAAACACATGTGTGTCAGGTGACAGGGTACAAGAAGGCAGATCCCGTCTGTCATGGTACATGATTAGTCTGTAAGCGTGTAGTAGCGTCCAGCAAGGAACTTGGTGTGACAGATATTGAGAGCTGTTAATATTTATTGCACATATAAATTTGTGAGTATTAGTTATTGTATTAGCATTTGATTAAGAAAGGAATGAATAATTGTTAATCAAGTGCTCATATTCAATTTAAATATAATCAACTTTATTCTATGTGTACCTTTAAATACATCTGGTAGATACCAGTAGCATACTAGCGTTATAAATTAATTGATTTTCGTAAAGGCTGGCTGCTTTTGAGTGCAACCATGCCAAGGTTATAGCTTTCCCAAAACAAGCAGTGTTATTTCTAAAGCAGTTGGGAAGATCAAATCACTCAGCATTTTCACCAGATAAACATAGAGCTGCTCAACTTTTGGTAGGAAAAATGATTTTTATATGATTTTTATCATTGACATTGTAAAAGTTAAATGATTGTATGGAGTCCTACACATAGGAATATTACATTTCTGAAACTTAAAGCTACCATACATGTTGTCTACTTATAAAGCCAGAAGGGCATTAAAGTGACTTGGTAACATTGTTGAAGGTTGATGAAAAAAATTGCTTAATTTTTGTATTAAATGTTAGAGCAACGTCGATCTGGCGCTGCTCAGTGGCTGCCGGGCTCACGATCAATTGGGCAAAAAGAATTTCCGTTTCGGTTTAATAAAATTTGGAGTGGACTATTAGGCTATTATTATTATTATTATTATTATTATTATTATTATATTCCTTCTAGTATACTTATCCTCTGACATGCAAAAAATCCTGAACAAATTCTCAAACCACGAAGATATTTATGGTTTTCTTTGAAGGCGTCGATGTGAGGCACCCTCTAACAGTGATTAACAGTAAATTCTCCCAACCATTTTTGAATTTTCGCAACCGTTTTTCCATGAGAAAAATACATAAAACAGGCTATAAAATCTGTCAACACTTAACTGTCTGGAATGGAACGTAGAGCCATTTTATTGCTTTGTGAGATTTACATTCACCTAAAATGTAATTAAATTGTCCTTGTCTTGATGCTGAACAGGCTTTGACAAGTAGCAGAATAGAAGTAGAATGATATACTGTAGTTGGGAGAATTAAGGAATCGATCAGATCAGTTTTTCCAAATTTGTACGATGAATAATGATCTGTTTTCACTCAAATTTTCAGATTATCTGTAATTGTACATCTAGCATTGAAGTCACTACCTTAGCACCACTATCTCTCATCTGAACAATGTTACAAAGTCCCTTTAAGACTCAGCAACATTGTACAAGTAATAACCAGAATCCTAACAAACCATGTATTCCACCTCGTGCCTTGTTCAGGATGATAAAGGGAGACCACATGGAGAGAGATTTGGATTTTATTGACTAGATTGAGTAGGCTTTGATAATTGATTTGTTTTTTGTTAAAAGTATAACTAATATGTCGACAGCTGATCTTCAGCTACAATTAGTTATGAGTAATTTCTTTTATAATTTACATTAATATGAAACATATGAGATTAAAAAGGTATTGTATTACCCAACAGCTGTAGGCCTAGAATAATTCTGTATGATACATGCGTCTTCAAACAAAGTTTACAAGTTTCTTCTATTTACTGTACAAGAATGTGTATTAAATACACATTCTTGTAAATAGAAGAAACTTTTGTCATTTTGTAATCCAATCATTTATGTTTTTCCAGGATGTTGATTCTTTGATTTCAAGGAACTTATTTTGCTATCAACTTGGCCACTCTTTCCTTCCTCTTGTTTTTTTTCTGATGATCTGTTTTCTTCACTAAAAGTTTCAAACTCCTTTCACCAGATGTTGAATGGTTTGGGTTCTTCTTGCCAACAAAAAGAGAGTTCTCTATTCTTGAGTAGATAAACTTTCACAAATCGCAGCCCGGGACATTCCATGCATGAAGGGAACTAAGAGTGTGCCTTTCTTTTCAAAGAAATCTGATGAAAAGATTCATTAGTATCATCGTTTTGTGGAAGAGTATTCAAGCTGGACAATGTGATGTGTTATTTTCCAAAGACTACTTTGTTGCCATATCTCTAGATGTGTAAGTCCAAAAAGCAGCATGCTTTCCCATTTATTAGAGTTGTGTATTTAAAGTGAGTTCACTTAAAAGTAAAGAGGAATTATTGTGCCAGATGTCGTCATACACTGTATGGAGATGAGATGAGATAACCATCATTTATCATTAAGACGTACGAGGCTTCTGACTAACTATTGAATGAAATGTTCTTGTATTTGTCTTCAGAAATGAATTTCTGAGATAAATAGCTTAATTCAATTGGAATATCAGGCTAATTTTCGTTCTCATATTTTGAAGAGTTTTATTAGCCCAACAATGCAACAAGTATTAATCTTACTGTATATGATTTTCTCAGGATTTGATAATGTTATATCATGTTGTGTTCTGACAGGATATACCTGATGACACCTTTCTAAGATCCGGATCGGGTGTGATATCTCCTCCAAGATGGAGACCGGACGGGGACTACATCAGAATCTCAAGGTTCGATGGGACCGTTACACGTCCTGTAACCAGGAAACACAGTCTGAGGTAAATTCTTCTTACTTAAAGGCCTTTTATCGTAGCCATTATCAATAACTTAATAATAAGTTAATTTAAAGAACAGGATTCCATACATGAACATGTAATTTTATTGTACACATAAACATTGATACTGATTGATTTCTTTCCCTTTGTTTTATATATTTGTTGTTCAGATTCATATATACTATACAAGTATACAATCCACAACCAATCAATTTGTCCCTATTTTCACGAAGTGACGGTAGTGAGGAAAATCGTTACGCAAATTGTATCCTCATTACCGTCACTTCGTGAAAATAGGGACGAATTATTGTATTGCATTTGTATGCTTCTAATTCTTGCTTGATATGTACATGTACATGCAGGACGGTATGCTGATTGTAGTTCATTGTGCTAAAAAACATGTGAGAATTCAGGGTGCAATCGCCCCTAAGACTACAACTGTATGAGCTAAAATACCCAATGTTGGAGCCCTCTATGGGGAGCCCCTATATATTTATCATCTAGTAATACCTCAATTCACATGGACAATAAGAAAAATTTGCATACAGTATAAAAGAGCATCACAGAAAATAAATACTTTGAGGGGTTTTGAACATCTGCAAATATATTTTGAAATATCTTTTCATATGTAATGAGTTGAATTATAATTCGTTTTATTGTGCTATAATTAGAAATAACAATAATTTATATGTCATTGGTGATATACTTCAGTCATCAGTTTTGGCTTTCCTACTGAAATATGAATGTTTGTTTACCCTCACCCATCCAATAGAATTGCATAAATCAAGATTTGTTTAAAAGTGATTTTGAGGTTTACCTACGTACATGTATGTTTTGAGGTATCTTTAATTTACTGTTTAAAACTGGATCAAACCAGTGTTAGTATGTTATACATGTACATGTATGTTTTAGCAATATAAACTGTATCAAGACATCAAATGATGTTTGAGCAAATGATCTACAGCTTCAACAGACCTCCAAACAATCACTAAACTCTTTGTGTTCCCTCTATCTTAAGTGATGGATGTTATTTGCACATACAGATAACCTAGCTCCTGACTGAACTCTGAGAAAGGAGGATCATCATTTTGTCTCTATATCCATGTATCATGTTAATCTTTGAAAGAATGTGGATTCATTGTAGAATTACACTACTGTTGTTTTAGTACAAGTGCATGATAGCATTCAAATGTGCTGCTACTGTAAATCACACAAGTTGTTAAGTAGGGAACAGTACAGTATGTAATTATATAGGTCAAATGTCACTTGTTTTCGTGGACCTGCACTCCCCCCAAGGTCATATAAAAGTGTAATCTAAATGTTTATCTTAATCTCCTTCACTAGGCCATTTTGTGTCATCACTAATATCTTTTATCTAGTTGTTCGAGGGTCAAGTACATTGTTCAATTTTATGTCAATATGAGATTTAGGCACTAACCAAAATTTGTTGTTTGTCATTTTCACACCAAATTAAAGGTAATAGATTCAATTATCTAAGTGTCAGGAAGTGCTTGAAAAGATCTGATTTCTGATATTCAGCAATTTAATTGATTTTCTAAAAACTTGACACCCCTTGTTTTTATCGTCTACATCGTGTGCATGTGTCAACAATTTGTTAAAAGATATTTCCCCAATCTCAGAAGATAAGATGTTTATTGTTTAATCTCCAATTTTTATCCGATTCCCTTATTTTGTGTCTATTTAGACCACAATGGGTGGTATTCCAATAGCGTGTACTAAGTTAAGCCTGGCTTAACTTAGTCCACACTTTTATGGAGTGCCTGTTGCCAACTCATTTACCCTGTACAGATTATTTTAATCCTGCAATGAAAAGTGTCCAAAAAACTACTTTTGCAATGAAATAGGAAAAACAAAATTAAATGAGTATGAACTGAATTTCAACAAAGTATTTGGTAGATTATCGTTGTCATGAATATTGAAGGAGGGAGATGAAACCTAGCATTCCATACAAGTGTGTACTAATTTCTTGTTTAGTCTGGACTTAGTCCCAGCTTAAATTATGAGAATACCAGTTACAGTTGATACTAGTTACAGAGTTTTCCTCCATTTTTTTCCCCATGTTTACAGAAGAAGTCTGAATACCTTGGTGACTTCCTGGAACATCTCATTTCAATGTCCATGAATTCTTCTATAGATACGGAGGATCTTTACAACTTTTGGTGAGTCTCTGTCATTTTTATTTGTTGCTGTATTTTTGATATTGTGAGCTGATGAAGAAATTTTGTGGTAGTTGTGCCTATCTACAGCCAGCCAAGATTCAACTTTACTATTGCGGGGCGGTTGTTTACAAAGACTACGATCGACTTAAGTTGAAATTGAACTATGGCAGGCCATTCATGCCACTGGTTGCTCTCACCATTGGTCTCTCAAGGGATGTCACAAATCTACAGAAATTACATTTTTTGATAGTTTATTGTTGGAAGAAAAAAAGTTACTTACATTGTAAACTGAAGTTAATTCAAGACTTGGACTTGGACTTATACTATGATAGGTGATTAATGCCTATAAAAAGCCCTAAACCGTATGTAAAATTAGAGGGAAAATTTAAAAAACCTTAGAAATTATGATATTTAGATAATTTTTTTCCTTCAATAATGAACTATAAAAAAAGAGTAAATTCTGTAGATTTGTGACCACAATTTGTACGTCCCTTGAGAGACCAATGCCAGGAATAGTGAGAGCAACCAGTGGCATGAACGGCCAGCCATACAGTAGTTAAAGTACAACTTAAGTCAATCTTAATCTTTGTGAAACACTCCCCTGGTGAGATAATTTAGTTACTTTTTCATAATAATATTTAAAGTAGATATGCATTGATTTTAAAAACTAACTTTATTTTCATTATTGCAAAGTTGAAACTTTGATTCGACAAGGTTATCAAAATTCAATGCTTGGATACATTCGAAGTAATGAATATTATAAATAACAAAACGCTTAAATACAGCCCCGGCATAGCACCTGAAGAGCTCTCCGAACGCTGCTGAGATGTGTGAGATCACAGTATGGACATGATTTGCACAAGCAGACGATGTCCCATGACATCTCACACATTTTCAGTACCTGTGTTTTCATCTTCTCTTGAGTTCTTTCTCTTACTTCACTACCGTCAGGCTAAATGTGTAATCTATTGCCTCACTCTAAACCCCGCGCATGGTTTCATTTGATGACAAATGCAGCGATACAAAAATAAAGGAATCTGTCGCTTGTAAACAAAATGAGACGCCATTGTATATTCAGCTGCACACACCGCGGTATGTTCGGCGTTTCAAGAGGGAACAAATGCCGTCCTTAATACCATTCCGGGGGTTTTTCAATTTGAAAGTCTGGTTTCTTTGGTTGTTAATTAACCCCTATCCTGTGAATTTACAAGCAAAAGATTTTAGTTATCAGAATCGGGTCATATCCCCTTATGAATGGTTTGACATGCTATTACATTTATAAACACTAGACTCATTATAATTTGAGAAATAATAGCTTTGCAATTATGTTCATTCTTTATGGGATGTCGTCTGCTTGGACAGTATTGGTCCATATAGTGACGTCATTAAAACATTGTTATTTTTCCAGCGAATCTCGCGTATATATCCCAGCTGCTATGGAGGTGGTTGTATTTGTATTTTTATATTTCACCCGATGTGTAGTTGACCTAAAACTTGTACGATGGCCATCTGTTAGCTTACAAGTTTCTAGTGATACTTTAGTTGACATATTTGTGATTTTCTTTAAATTTCACCTTTAAAGTGCTTGTTTCAGTGCAGTTCATGAATATATGTAATGTATACAGTATGCATAGTCGTTAAATGGGATAGCTTTACATTTGCTGGTTGTAAGAAAAAATTGTTGCAACTTTGTTTTGATCTTCAATAATCTCTAAGTGCTTGTTTAAATTCAGTTCATATTCTTTTGGTGGATTCTGTTGATCTGGTAGAATTTTCAGGAAGACTAATTCCGGTCCAAAGAAGAATTTCAGTTTAATTCATTTATTTAATTTAAAATCCATGACAATATTTATTAGGGCATGATATAAGAAACACACAAATTCAAATGTAGGAAAAATGGAATTTTACAGTCGCCTTGAAGCTAAACCAGGATCCATAACCACATCTTATATCTTTCTAAATGTACAATGGAATGTTATTTTAACTGTTCTTTATAAACGTGCTTTTTGATGTACATGTAACTATGTTCTTATTTATTCAGGGCCCCATGGAAGACCACTACTTATTGGTGAATGGGCTACCCTGGCAAAAGATTAGAAATCAATAAATCAATAAATGAATCCTCCTAAGGGTGAAATGGGGTTTTCCCCTATCAAAGCCCTTTCATATAATTGTAAAATTTTAAAGTCTTAAAAAGTAAGCCTGGGCATCACCCCCTTATGGATTCCAGTAGTCATGACATGAATTAGCCTCTTTTAAGGTTACTGTTAGTGTTATATGTTTTGACTTTCTCTGTTGAGTATTAAAGTGGCCAGAAAGCAAGATCCTGTATTATTATTCTGGAGTAGCATTCTGAAAAATGTTTTTAACATTATTTTGTTCATCATAAAATATTCAGATTGCACCTTTGTATTAGAGCTCATAATGGTGCAATATCCCTTTACCCAGTATCGTGTGTGTATGGCTGTATACACAGTCATTAACCATTGACCAGCCATAGTTTAGATGTGTTTGAACAATTAAATTATCTCTTAATAATAGGAAGAGTTTGAGAATACCACCCATTAGGCAAAATGCATATCTACTCACCTGTACAGTGCTTTTGAAGCAAACTTATTGTTTGCCAAAGATAATGTCTATTAAACTTTAAAGGTACTGTAATATAAAGTTTTGGAATGGGCCGGTCATGAATTTGGTTCAAATGAACATATTGGAAGTATATGCGATCCTACAATATTCAGTGATCGTTGTCGCGGTTAAAATTGAGTCTAAACTAAAGAAATGAAATTGTAAATAATATGCACTTTATGTTGTATAGCTCCCTCTCAAGGTCAAGATATTAATTAAGCTATAAAACAATGTTTCTTGACTAAAATAAACCGATTAGCTATTTCCATTTGGAAATTATACATATTCTGAGATTTTCATGGTCGCAGCTACATTACCATTGTACGGCCGTAGGCGCTATTTGAAATTTATCAAAATTTACCGGGAGCACCGGTAAATTTTTATATTCAAATTTTCTTGAAAGCAGAAGTGTTTTAGAAGCCAACAATTGTAGTGCTTATAATACATCCACAGGGGCATCCAAATATATCAAAATTGTAAAGAATCACTATCCACCAAATTTTCAAAATTTCCAAAAATATTGTATTACCTTTTTATTTGTACATGTATTTCTTAATCATTGACAGCAATGATGTACACAGCACCTTCAATATACTTGCCCTTGAGTTCATGACCTCTGTGAAGGACATTTCCACCAAGCCACCGGCAGCCTTGGCGGCGCCGGCTTCAATGACTGATTTCCACAGAACTCTAGACAGCGCCATCTCTAGTCAGGTATCCCCAGAGCTTCCACAGGCTGATTTGATGGACTTTCTGATGCACGGGAGAGGATGGCTGCTTCTCAATGCTATGTCTATACTCGCCACACAGGTGAGATACTTGATGTATTACATAAGGGGTGTGGGATGCATCAAAGGCTTAAAAACAGGGCTAGTGATAACAGTCAATGCCAATTTGAATCATTGCTTATGATTCAAAATAAGAATTGATTGAAATATTGGTAATTAAGTCAGTGAATGAAATTAATTCATTTTATTCATTTGATTTAAATGCTTATTTGATTTGCAGTTCTATATTTCAAAAACAAAACCACTTGCCCTGCTTCAAATTGAATCAATCAACTTTGTCATTATTCCTTCATTACTGAAATGTATATTCTAAATTGTGTTTCTCATGGTGCTGTGTGATGTGGGTAATTAATATAAGTGACAGAAACAGAATGACTGAGGATATGTGTGATTATTTATTGCTCTTTTGCCGTCTTGGAAAATTGATGTATGATTTGATTTTTGAAAGTGCGTTGTTGAAAATAAACCTTTACTTTAATCAAAATTTTATTTATCCTGTGTATACTCCATTCCTTTGATATGTTGTTACAATTGACTGGTTTATTAACATATTCAAAGTGTATGCATAATTTTGAAAACAAAGGTTGTGCTTGATAACCTGAAAGCTTGCCAGAGGCTTGTCCAACATAGCAACAAGTAATGTATGCAGACTGGATTCCAAGTATTGTAATTCGTTCATTAAATACAGGTTAATGGAATAACTTGTCACTAACTAGGTCCCAAGGAAAGAAACATCGATACATTCGAAATATGTTAGTAACCCAGTCTATTCCAAGAAAGGTGTGGTCACATTTGGAAATACTCTAGGATATTTTATTCATTGTTATTTCCACAGTCTCTACTTTACATTCACAGTACAGTTTAAAAAACCCTGAAATGTCAGCTCCAGGAATTTAATCACTCCTGTGCACACTAAAAATGACATGAATCATGTGCATGAGTAATAAATTATCCCAGTTGTGTGACTAACTTATCAAAGTTATTTGGCTGCCTAGCATATTAATATCCCTGGAATCAAAATTGCAAAAATCTAATCTCTCATGAATATATATGTTAGGAATTTTGCTCCTATGGTATGGTTTCAGGAAAATTGTGGTCAGACTGGAAAAAATTCCTGAAATAAATATCCCACAACTCATATTCCCAGGAATGTTTGCCAGTGTGACTGTACCTGAATGGGTACACACTTGTCTTTGTCTATTTAAAGTCAACATTGAATATACAGTTTAAATGACTGTACTAGTTTACAGGAAGGATTAGACCACCCTGCAAGGTCACTTACATAACAGGTGGTTATCTCATCAAATCATCTCTCAATTAACATAAGAAAAAGAGGATCATGGGGGACCAATGGTCACTGATTATGTTGTTTGCTATATAGAGGGCACAAGTAGCTATAAGTGGTGCAGTGGGGCTTTAAATGTCTTCTGTTTGAGAAGGGAGAAATATTGAGTCATGCTGGAAGCCAGACTAGATCTCTCCATGTGAATCCTCTCAGGCATGGAAACCCTTGAAGCAAACACACCTATTGTTCTTCATCTCCATACCATTACCAATGCACTAACGTCATAATGGCTTACCACACAGGTATTGAGGGTTAGGAGCTCTTACCGGTATTGAAGGCTTTTCACATGCAGTATGCAGGGAGTGCGATGTACTATTGTACAACCCTGTTCTCTGCAGTCAGTTGTGTAGTAGGGAAATTTATAATCATTGATTGATTTGCTGAACTAGTTATCAAATGGATCAGCTTGGATGGAACATAAAGTGATGAGAATTTATTGAATATTTGGAACTATCAATCATTGTGAGCCATTCTGAGCAACTTCTGCTAAAACAAAGTACCGGTACCGGTAAGTTTATACGTCTAATTTGATGAGTCTTAAATCTGTTATGACAGTATCAATAGAAGAACTCTCGAAAAAGAAAATGTGTGTGACTGAATGTGCTTTTATATAACATATGAGATAGCTCATGTTGATGTTCAATATGTCATGTTTGATGTTGCTTTTATACTTGTACAATTTATGTAAATGCAACAACACTGCAGTTTTCCTACCAATTGTACAGAGTGAATATTTTAATGAGATACTATAGTAGGCCTAAAGATTGGGATTAAGCCATCATATTTCCATCTGGTGATTAATGAAATATAAACATGTAGGAGTATATGAACAATTTGAGGAAAAGACGAGTGTGAATTCTGACAAACTTCCTGAACTTTTGGCCTGTATATACTGTACGTACAAGTCATTGTCACATGTCTGTATATTGGCCCCAAACTTCAGAATGTAAATTTGAGTTTGACCCTGACTTCCAAAAGGTCACATTTGTTTTTGTCACATGATTTGGGGGTCAAAGCTACAATGTTGGAACTTGGAAGTCTAGTCTTGTATGCTACATGTATTTGTGCACCTTTAGGAAGAGGATTAAGTCTTATAATTGGCAAGTTTTGTAAAAATGTTCACCTGTTGCACACCTGGCTTTAACTGATCTAAGTTGAAAAGGTACTTTATCATTCTATTTCATTACTTACATGTATAACAGGCTTTTAATATGTATTTGCTTTGAATTTGCTAAAACTTTTTTCATGACAATGAACTATCAGTTATGAATCATATTATTGCTAGAGGCTGTATTGACGATTTGTGAATGGGCAAAAAATGTTTTGTTTGTGTACACTTTAAGGCAGAGCTTTTTGGTCAAACTTTCCATAGAAAATATTGTTTTGGCTATGTACATGTAAGTACTGTATATCAAAATAAATGTAGTGCAGAGAGAAAGAAGGAAAGAACAGTAGACAGAAATGGATAGCTGCTTGCAAGGGAAATTACATTTACAGTTGCCAGTTTCCTCGGAAATGATCACCATTGTCTTGTAGACTCTAGATCATAACTTGAGAACTTCTAAGTTGTTTGTCGAATTTTCACCAATCTGTTCTTTCGTTTTCTACTTTTATTAAAGTAAGTTTGATGATAAGTGTGATCTCCTCCTTTAATTTCACTCTAATTGCAACATAATTAATGATATGTAGCTTTGTATAATGACAGACTAATTGGACTGATGGCATGATTAGTATCAATGATACATGTGATTTAGTCATGTGAGAGGAAGAAGATATGGGATATCTGAACAAATCCTAACAACAGCCAACTTTGAAAATGTTGATCTAGAAACATATGGTACTGTATGCATGTTAATTTAACTTGTGAATATACATCATTGGTAAGCAGAAATGTTTCTTCTCCTATTTTAGAGTTTGATCGTTTCTGATGGTGAATAACAAGTTTTCCACTATTCTAAAGCTGCTTACTTTTTTTTTCTACTTTGGCCAAGTAATGGAATTAAATGAAATGCTGAAATTATTCCATCCTTCCTTTCTTCAAACATGATCACAAAAACGTATGCTGTTTCTCCATTTTTTAAATTGAGATAATGGACTTTTTCAAATAGAAAAAGTAATGCATGAAGAATGCAGATGTGATATTTTTTCCACACTTTTCATTAGTCTGTCAAGAGATTCACGAATTCACCTAAACGTACAATTTGTATTTTGTGACAATTTATTGTGAACAGTAGAAGGAAATACAACTTCACTGCCTTGGGATAATTGGATTATATGATAAAGGAAAACTAGCTCCGCTGTAAAGACTACATGTACATGTACCTTTAAAAAGAAAAATTTGGCCTCTTAGCTTATTTGCTCATACATGCTCAGAGAAGAGCTAATTAAAAATCCTTCCATTGTTTCTATTCAAAGGGGAATTCCCTGCTGATATTTAGTGTGAGGTTTTGTTAGCAGAGAAATGAGAAAAACAGATCAATACAAGTTTGAGCAGAGTCCAATAAAAAAAAAAGGAAATTGTGAACTTTTTAAGTCATGGTCAATCAAACCCAAAGTGATTGCATCTTTGCGCAGCACATAATGTACGACCATTCGGTACAAGGGTCTGAAAATCAGACTATTTAATTAAACGAGCTCGTTCGCTACATTCAAATCTACAACTAAAGGTCATTATTTTCTCACAAAAAAAAGACATTTTCAAGCCCTTTTGTTTTGAGGGAAGTTCTAAATTAGTATTATCTTTCAAATGACTTTGGAATCTAACCTTATCATTTTTTTGGCCTGCAAATGGGAAAGCAAAATGAAGATGGCTTTCCAGTGAAAATAATGCACTAAAATAAAATGGAGAGAGAGGAAAAGAGAGAAAGAGTCTGGAATGCTGCGTCAAAACAGCCCTGCAAATCTTCAAGAAGCTTTGATAAAACTTGAATGGTTTAATTCCTGCTTTGAAATATCAATTATGCAATCTTGTTTATTGGAAAGCTCTCATGACCACTAGAAATGGTATCTACATTCTTGACTGTACATCTTTATGTTTACTTTGGTGTGAGTCATGATAAGGAGTAATTACAATCTAGATAATGGTCAAAACAAACATTCCGATCCTTATCTAATAAAGGATGGTGTTCATAAAGTTCAGTGACCTACATGTACTCATCAAAGGATAAGGCTTGTAGTCAATTATTTATGATCCTTTGTAGACAAAAGGTGTCATAGTTCTGTTTTGCACAGCCCTTGAATCCTTGATTGAACTTTAAATTTTCTTGTAAATTTTACACAATTTTTTTCTTCTCCTGGGAACATCCTTTTGAATTCCATGATTGCGTCTTGATGAATAGTGCATGATCATTTTAGCTCTTTTTTTTTTAGTTACCATTTGGATTGTCATAACTGTTGTAAACATTACAGGAAAATGAGTGTAGTTTTGTTGGGTGACATAAACTTTAGAGGCAATTTTCACTTTGTCCAGTCCTCTTCTATTTTAAATCAAAGTTTTCTGAAAGCTTTCATTGAAGAGTTAAATTTTCTCTCTGCTCCTTGGTATTCTTTCACTATTCAAGGTCATTCTGTAAGCTGCAGTAAAATGCAGCAGCTTCTTTTTGTACGAAATGAATGGCATGTGGGGATTAAAGAAGTTAAGCTGTATCTTGCACCACCTCTCTGCTGTAACAAATTTAGATATATGTCTGTATTTTGTGCAGTATTCATGAATGAGAAGTACACATACATGTACATGCATAGAACATGTATTTCTGTGTAAATTGTTGCTTTGTTGTGAATGTCAAATTCTATAGTCCTTGACTAGATTTACAACTGTTTCTGACGTGCCTGCGCCTCCTTCATTGGAGTTGGGTTCCTATTGCATAAGTCTAGGGCCGTGTTCATCAAGAGGGTCTATCCTTGTCTTACGTAGCGACAAGAATGAATCTCTCAGTCTTGTGTACCCCCCCCCCCCCCCCCATGGTGTCCGGAACAATAAAAAAAAAAAAACCTGCAGTAAACGGTGTTGTTTTACCGTGGCATGTGTGAGCAAGGCTTTAAAGAGAAAGAGGGACCAAATGTAATGTGTGATTATCATTTATCATTTACAAAATGACAGTGCGGAAACAATTGCTGAGTACAATCAATATGATGCATAGTACATTGTACAAGTTCTTCAAGTGGATGCAAGCTCTATTGTAAAGTACTTTAATATAAATAAATTAACAAGTGTTTTATTAATGCTTCACTGTTTCTGGTACCAAATTATTTTACTTGCCAACATCCATTCTTTCCCCTCTGTCTCATTTATACACTTCCTCATCACTCTCTTCTCACCCCCCCCCCCCCAAATCAGGGCAGCATTTCACGAAACCATCATAAGTACAAGTTAGTTGATAACCAATTGAAACTTGTGTATTATTAAAATAAACACCATATGGGTGGACTTGTACTTATGCCCAGGTGACTTATGAAGAAATTTTATTTATTTGCTTTGAATAGCATTAGTACAATATGTATCTTTTTATCAAGTCATTACCTTGTGAAATCTGCTGTAATACAGCCATAGGGCTGCAAAAGAAGTGTAATAAATACCATCTCACTGCAATTTGGTTCAATCATTGATACATATCTACTCTTGCATGTCTTTTCCATGACTAGGCAAGATCCATTCCATTCATTTCAATTCAATTTCAATTAATTGTAAGATTTCTTTGTATTTCTCATTGCAGGCCCTATCACACCATGTTGAATTTATCCGTCTGCTGATCGCTCTCCTGGAAGAAGCCCTTAAGGTGCCTGTGAAATCTAGACCCATTCGAGGTAAGTTAACGTCTCCTTTCAACTTTGATTAGACCATGTATTATTATATGTTCATGTGTGTCTCTCTTGGTTGGTATTTGGACCACGTCAAGTAGCAATTGCTCAATTGTGATGCGAAGCTGAATGTTCAGAAATGGATCCTAACATGGGTTTTACTATCTTAGAAGAAATGCTGGTACATTTAGTACTATTATGATGAAGTTTTTATCAAGAGTATCCTGTAATGAAGAATTGCCCTGGAACCCCTCCCCTACCTTCCTACTAACACACAAACAGCTAAAAGACGTACCGGTATACAAAAGAGTGAATGGAGCTCTGGAAAACTTTAAAAGAGCAATGAAAAAGTGCAGTGAAAAGAAGAGAAAATGTTGAAATTCCATAAGTGCTCTCAATTTTACACAGATAGAAAGATAGACCATTCAATAAGATACACAATATATAACATTTGTACAACATCCACTTTTGTAAGTTGCAATTAAACAGAAGTCCTACATAATCTACTGTAGTTGTTTGAAGGTTTAAATTGAATTTAATTAAAACCTTTATGCAAGAGGCCCATGTTAATGAATCGATACAAACATTGAATATTTTCAAGTTAAAATTTAGACCAAATTATCAGTATTGTGTACATACTTACATGTATACCGGTACATGCTGGTGTACCGCATGGAATTCACCTACAGTATCTCTTAAATAGTGTGAACTCTACTTAGCAATAGACACAAACTTTTTGAATAGCACTGCATGCTGTAAACTGTCCCACTTCTCTCTATATCCCATATTGACCGATATCCTTTCCTTTCTTTTGAAAGAATTGAAGAACTATGAATCAGGTCAAAAAGTTGATGTTTAATCAGTCTGAAGACTGAAGCAGTAGTGAAGTATGGCCCACACGATCAAAGAACAAAATGTAGTACCGGTATGTGTTTGTGTATTTGTGCTTGTAAATCTGTACACTCACCAAAATATCTTCAAGTATGAATAGAATCTGTTCAAATTTGAATAGAAAAACTCTCAAGAGAATTAGAATCTTTTTTGAATGATCAGATTCTAGTTTTTACATTTTTAATCAATGATATTGAAGGTGGCTTGAATGCTGGTTAAATCAACAAGTTTTGGGTTCAAAAATGTTGAAGAGCTGTTTTATTTAGAGAAGTGATCGAATCTGCTGTCACGAGAGTGTATATCATCTGATGAAATGGTTTACACATCATCTGCCGAGAGCGCAATGGGAGGGCAACTCCAGGTAATAGTCCACATTTTTCACGCATTCAACGTTATGGGTCTTCTGTCCAAGAACCCTTGGTGACAAGCCATCTAATTCAAGCATGTTATTCATTGCTATGTTGGATAAACTTCTGGCAAAGTATTTGGGCATTAAAGGACATTTTAGGACACTTCATGCAATGCAGTGGGAGTTTCTTTTAGTGGCTGTAAAGCTTCTAGTCCTTGAATGCTACAATGTACTGCTGCAACAATGCACACATACAAATAGACTTTTCCTTTTATAGAAGGACAGGGAAACAATTAGGGTTTATTTACTTGACTGACAGTAAGTGAAAGCTTTCCCATGCATGCTGCTTAATACCTCGCCCCTTTCTATATATCTGCCCCTTTTCTATTTCTGCCTCATTATTTTGTCAGTGCAATATTTCCAGACAAATACATTTCTTTACTGTTTTCTTTTGTATTTTGGACAAAAAAGCAAAATCATCATCAACAAGTCATGAAATAAAAATGAAACGAAAGTCAAATTTTACACAGGTATGTATAACACAAATGGTAAAATGTTAAGTGTTAAATTCTTTACATCGATTAGCAATTTCTATAGGACAGCGAAATCTGATTCAGTGGTTCTGTGACTGGTTTCGTTTTATGAATGGCATCTTCGCCTCGCCTATCTGGACCCATCTACATTGTGTACATACAAGCAATCATTCAATCCCCAAACTACAATTAAAGCTCTTCCTCAAACAACTTGAGGGATCTTATAGTTTTGGACAAAATGCTCGTCATTGAGGTTGTCATTGAGCAAATGTCTCTTCATCGCATGTACAGATGAAAAGAATGACAAAAGTGAGCTATCAGTACCATTAAAAAAAAACACTTTTAAAGGGATCGTTTAACAATGTTAAATCTGAGATTCACGACACTACATGTTATCAGTGTCTGTGATATGGTGTAATATTGAAGCCCTAAAAAAATTGCGCTTCAAAATGATCAAGAAGTGCCTCAAAAAAGTAAAAAATCTTTGAGTGACCGGTTTTACCATACTCGTTTTCCCCAATAGACTGTAGTGCTATGAAAACCGTCAGGCGAACGGTTTTCAAAATTTGTAATTCCAATCATAAATATCTTGATAATCAGACAGGCGATCGGCTTGTAAAAGTCATGGGGTTCCTGACTGACCTAAAGGTTTATAATTATCATTGCATCATGAGCTAAATCCAGAATTTTGTTTCAGAATCTGAGACAAAGTTACCGGATCCCTTTAAGCTTCTGTAATGAAATATAAAGAATGTATGTGTTTAAAGTAATCATGTACATGTTCATGTAAATCTTTTAATTTCTGTTCCTGGTCCATCTCAAATGATGAAAACATGGTTCACTTGGTCTGCTGGCACAGACTCTGCATTGACACTTAGCCACAATTCCTTTAGCCTTGAGCAGAGCCTAGCACTGTCAGTCTCTGGCCTTGTCGAGAGCATACTACAGTGCAGTGGCTACAAGTACATGTATCAAGTGCAGTCTTTAGATAGTCTCCTGGCTCAGACCCATTACGACTGACCGGGGTTTGTGCTTGCAAACTTGTGTTCAAACTTGTGTTACAAATACAGCATTCATACTTTCCCTCCAGTATCAAAACTAATCTTTGGAATTATGTATAATTGATAGACAAGTTTATGCATCGGTACGTGCCGTACCTGCTACGTTGTAATTGTTTGCATATTAAGCGTTATATCATATTTGCAAACTTCAAAGTTCACTCTGCTAGGGTCATATTTGTTGATTTATAATGATAATAATAATGTCCATTTATATGTTAATATTCTCTACTGCGCTCAATGCAGAGTATCATACTATTACCCTGGCTGTAGCTGAGCCTCCATGATAAGGCACTATTGAAAGGTTGGGAAGTGCAAGGGACCAAGGGTGATGTGAAAGAGGCTTCTATCTTAGCCAGGATGGCGTCTAGGCATCCAAAAGATACTTTGAGACTTCTATTCTATTTAACAAATTCATATAATGGATTTCATGGACACCTTTTTCCCAATTAGGGCAATCAATTTTGAAATCCTGGCTTAAAGGTAAAGACCAGTTATGGTCATGCGATTGCATTGTGAAAGAAACGGTGTGGAATCGATCAGAAAAGGTCGATCATCTAGCATCTAGCATCTGCAAGGTTCTGGAATCATCAAAATGATAAGAAATTTGGCCCATTCTTCGTAAAGTTACAAGTACTATACACAGAAAGATGTATATGGGACTACCCTATATCTCTCACAGACCATGAGAGAAACAAATTTACCAAATATATGAATTAGTAGGCGGTTTCCCGGCAAATTTTTTATCATCATGTATTAGTCAAAGCATATCCTTTCACATGATTGGTAATGAGAGCTTCCATTTCATTTTTTGAAATTGGGGCGTTTCCAATACTGGTCTTTACCTTTAAGTTAGATGCATTCAAATTTTGTATTTACAGTAGGTATGTTTTTTTTCTGCTCTTGCTCAGAAAAAAATAGACGAGGTGATAAGTGAGGAATTAAGCTCTCAAAAGCTCTAAAATCGCTCTGGTAATAAACAATAACATATATAAATATCGCTGTGAGAAAAAAAGCACGCGTACAACACTATTTCTTAAAGGAACCCCTGAAAACAGAAAAGCAGCCCCTGCGAACAGAAAAGCAATTATAAAACTTTGAGTCGTGCTGCAAGTACATACTCTTTTACATGATATATGAAATCAAGTGAGGCTTAAAGGTAGACAAGAAGTATATAATATGTAGAGCCTGTTCCTCCTCTCTATTTCCCTAAGAATGACACTGAAGTCCTCTTTTCATTTCATCTGTAGAGCTTGATACGCCTCCCCATGTCAATGTTTGAAATAGAAAGATTCCATGATCGTACTTTGGTCCCTTGATAAGTTTGCTCTTGGAGAAATTTATGTATGTATTGTATTTTATGCTAGGCCTATATTGTAAACATGACATGATTCTTATACGTAATTTTTGTCTCCGTCCCATGCGCATTGTCACTTATGTAAGATTTCACCATGAATCGTGACTGGGCATGCTTCTCTGTGAATTCTCTGCTTTAGAGAAAAGAGTGGATTTTAATTATTGTCATTTACTGAATTGGATTTGAACTATTTACATAGTGATATGATGAATTTTGTTTTATTGAGAGTACAGTACTTTATGTAGGATTGGAGGTTGACAGTACCTGGTACATTTTGATGGGATGATACAGTGTTGTATGTTTCTTGGATTCAACTGAGTTTACTGACATGTATCAAGTGTGCCTATGGATATCAATCACTCGCGTGGTGGAATTCGAGAGAAGTCACAGATGTGGAGGATGTGTAGATGGGCTGTATGATTGTGGAAATGAAAATTTGTGCCACTTGTTTTGAAGATTGATCAGAATAATGGATTTCCTTTCTAATGAGGTGGATAGATATTCGTTGAGTGAGTACACGTCATTTATCTACTTATGTGGACTTTGTTTTAGAAAAAAGATGAAATCAACAGATATTTTTTTAATGCTGCAAGATCTTGTGAATTCCTTGGTACAGATGATGTATCTTTACATAACTGAACCATATATTTTTTTAACACATCTCCTTGTCTCGAAATTCTCTACATTTTTGCAATGTATTAATAAATTAATGAAATGAATAGACAATTTATTATTTTGGTTTACTCTAGTATACCTGCCCCCTTTAAATTATGTTTTCTTCCTCTGCATCTAAAATTGTGGAGTTTCCCCTGTACTGACTTAATAAAAACCCAGCTACTGAGAAACATGGAAGCTTCATGCTGTGTATTAAAGTATCTTGGCTTTACACTCGCTCTTTATCATGCAATGCAATGTAATAAATAAAATGGCATGGATTAAACCCATAAACTTGCCTTGTAAGTTTGAAACCTCTGTCATAAATACATAGTTATGATGTTGACTTTATGTTTATTGATAAGAGCAGTGAAATTTATGGCCATAGGGTCACAGATGATTCTTCTCAGGTGATTTTAAATCTTCATTTTAAAGCTCCAGTATTTTGTTTGTCTGCTTGTAAAAGCTTATTAGTTCCAGTCAATCCCCAATATCAACTCATAGGATCTTCTTGGCATTTAGTTGATTATTATCAAAGATGTTCATGATTATAAACTGTTCCATTGTTCTTAGTTCTTACTCTAAACAAGGAATAGTACAGTGAGTAAATCAGAGATGTAAAATAGGTAGAACCATGGATGTGAAGTACATATTATTCTCTGCATTGATTTTGTTTCCTCTATCATTCTTTTGTTAAAAGTTTGATGTGTGTATATCATAAATAGTTCTCTTATGATTGTAACTCATTTTTATCATATACCATGCTTTGACTTCTAAAGGAAATAGTGGCATCCTGGTCCTTCCTGGACTGTAACAATACACCTTCCTAGTCCTCTTCCTATAAGCCTACTCGTGCACATTTTGAAAAGTTTGCGAGGGTCATATTTACATATCTCTAGATTTTGCATACTCACTGTAATGTTTTACGACTCTGACCCACGCACCTTCCCCATGTTTTTCCTTCTTTTCCTGGATACCTTTTTTATGCCAATAAATTAACTTTTGTGACAAACTTTCACCAATTCTTAAGGACAGCCACTTTTCACAGCAAGAAACTCTTATAAATTCTGCAAATCTGAATGTTTTGTCAATTGTGATTTAATCATTTTGCAGCATGAAGCTTTGTGAATTTAAACCACTTGCAAAATTTGCAAACATGTCATGTACGAGGGAGTTACTGGTTTTATAGTAGGCTTTACAAAAGACATGTTGGCATTTTTGTACATGTAGTACAATGTACATCCTTATAGTACGGTTAGCATAAATAAGATGAAGGATTGTGTATGGTTTGAGAAACATATGTCGGCCTATATATTCTTGTATTTTCAATCTATCGGTGTGGAATTTCATTCATATGTACATCTAACAACACGCTGAATTCAATCTGATTTTGACACACCATTAATGCTTTGAGTGTTGATGACAAGTACATGTACACCCATCAAATTCTGATTACATCAGTATTCAGTAAGAATAGATTTTTGACTGAGCTGAATTTAGGTAATTACTATTCTTATATAATAATAATGTATTTTGTATTTGTAAGCCTTCCTACCCATCTTTGAATCTACTATGTAATATGTCCTATACATTTATACATTTATGTGACCCGTGACTTTCTTGGAAGAAATAATTGATGTGATGTTCTATGACATTGCATTCCCCTGTAGGTAAAAAATTTCTGGCATGACTCCAAACATTTCTACAAACATGTATGTAAACCCTTGAAAAGAAATTATTTCTTAACTACAATGAAAAAGAGGGTGCTTGCATTTGACATTGACCTCCCCCCAAATGGATGTTTGTTAAGAGCGGTCAAATGTCACAGTGCATTGTTAAAAAGGAATGTAGTGTTCAGTGCATATTTACAGTCTGAAATTCTCATGTTTGCAGTGTAGTGGAAGTAAAGTCAATAGAATTTCAGGTCGATCCATCTGCGTGTGTGCATTCTATAGAATTGGAGTTGCAAGGTGATGAAATGTGACAAATATCAGTTTGATTTGGATGCAGATTACTACCTAAAGTTGAACTAGCCTGGTTTGTGGTCCATACATTAGAAATGTACTGATTATTGTTTTGAGTTACACTCCAGTTAGAACGAAGCTCATATGTGCTTTTAAGTATACTTAACTAACCAATAACAACATTTGTCTATTTCTTCTTTATTGTACTGAAATATCATTCATGCGTGGATGGTCTACCACAGTGTTCATGTGTTTCTTTGTTTGTCAAATTCACTATTTGTGTGGAAACGGATCATGCTCCACTAGAATTCTAAAACTACTATTGACAGTGTTATGGAGCAAATAAGTTGAACAATCAGGGAATATTTATTTGGTATATTCATGGAAAAATGTTTGGCATAATTCTGTTTTCAGTGAATTGACATTTCCTGTGTATTCAAGTAACATGATCCTTTCCTGCCCAGCAGTACCACTAACAGGAATACCTTTCCCGTTATTGTTCTTTCAGATGTGGCCACTCTGGTGCCACCGATGGAAACGTGCTTTCCTGCCAAGCTAAACGGGAGACGAACCAGTCAAGTAGAATCGCCTACCACGATGGCGTCTCATCTTACTCATGATGTCTATCGCAGAAAAACAGCCTTTCTACGCACAACTACTTCCTACCAGGGAGGTGGGAAGCTACCTAGGACAGCGGTAGGCAGCCAGCGTAGGAAGAGCATGCTGCCACACGGCAGAGAACAAGAAAGCACAGATTCTGAGAATGAGACTGGAAGACGGTACAGAGGCAGGCACGCGTCTGGCAACGTTAGAAAGCACAAAGTGACAGCTAACTATCTCATGGCCTTCAGGAACTCTATTCCAAAGTACCAGTGGAATGGGGGGAACCTGATCATCAGGCACAGGATGAGTATTGATGATGGACTCTCAGGTATGGATCTTTCCAGCACTACGCCATTCGACCTGTGCATAACTCTCTTATCCCTCTTGGAGAAGTTGTGCTCTAGTGAAGCCATGAATGCAGCTCACAGAAACTCCCTTAGTCTCTTCCTAGCGCCACAGCTTACCAACTTGCTTATTAAGATTGATCACCAGTGCTCTGGCCAGGGTATCCACTTGGACTACAACTGGGGACCAGAACTCCTGGGAGCACTTAAGAGACTTATCCTGCGCATTGTGTTGAAGGTTTGCCTGTACAGCCTGACACAGCATCAGAAGATTCTTGAGCTGTCTTCCAGTGGGTTGCTGCAATCACTCCTATCAGAGGCTAAGAGCTCTGCTCAAAAGATCATGCATTCTCTGTCAGAGAGGTCAAAGGAGAAAGAAGATGATTTTGCTCGAGATGAGGCAGATGAACCTGAGGTGTCAGACTCTGTGTTTGAAGGATCAGGTGAAGACCATGGAAGCTCGCATGGAAGGGATTCAGCCAAGAACAGGTTTGATTGTGATGCTGCAGGTATGACATACATCAGTGAAATTCTCCAAGGTGTGCTTCTCCTCCTCTCGTATGTGATGTACAGTTGCCATGACAACCAGACTGTTTTGACGCAGGGATTAGCCATGTTGAATGAATTTGAAGAAAATGGAGGATATCAACTCTTCCTCATGGTGATTGAGGCAATGGATGGTTTGCTGTCTAGTGGTGAGGATGATGGTGAGAAGGTTCACAGCATCAAGGAGATCATTATCTCTTTGGTAACATGCATGTGTAAGCTCACCACTGCTACCAAGAAAGCCAAGTTGGAGTACCTCCATAAATTCCAGTGCCTAAAGAGAACACACAGTAATTGTGATTACAGTCATTACATGCATCACCATCACAGCATGCTAGGAATGACCTACACTGCCTTTGAGGAAGACAAGCAGGGACACTCTGACTCTGGTCATGTTGCAAGTGGTGGATTGATGGACAGGAATCCCATTAGAGCAAACAGGAGCAAGTGCTGCATTGCCACAGTAGTGGATGTGGTCTTGGAATTGATTTCTAAAGTGCAATGTCGAGTAACCCTTGTGCGGTTACTAGGAATGTTAGAACAAGGAGGGATCTGTTGTTGCATACCACCACACATAATCCTCAGCAAACTGTTGCATTCCATCGAAAATAGATCCCTGGCGCTGTCAAATTATCTTCTTAGTGTCATAGCGAAGTTGATCCTGGAACAGTTGCGTGGTGGAGAGAAGGCTGAAGCAGTTCCAGTTGACCTGTGTCCAGAGTGTGTCCAGTTAGATGCAAGGCACAGATTGACAGGCAGCCAATTAGACATGGAAAGCATCGCTGATAGTAGGACTAGTGATAGTGCAATTGGAAGTGATGGTAGCATCCAGGATGGTGATATTACCAAGTCAAGGTGGCAGGTCTTGGGAACATATGCCAATCTAATCACCAGTGGAGTGAATGAAGTTTTGAGTGTCCAGGTGGCAAGGCATCTGTTGCATCTTGTCAAGCATGGAAACTACCACATCAAGCAAGAACTATATCTTCATGTATATCTGCCATGCTTTGAGTCATCAAGACCGATAGGCTTAGAGGAGTCTATTGGACTTACTCCCAGGCTGCCATACCGTATTACTTCATCTACTGTCTTGGAGTACTGTTTCAGTGCCCTACCCATCCTTTTGACCTCTACTTTTGCCCAGGAGCTGTTCCTTAGCCAAGGAGGTCTGAATCAGCTCCTGCATTTGCTGCAGTTAGACACCACAAGACCTCATGTCCTGCAGGTCTTTGAAGTCATTATCCTATCAGGCGATGAAGAGAAAACGAGGCGAGACAGGAGTAACACAACAGATAGTGGACTGAGTGCTGCATCATCCGTGACTACAGCAAGCTCCACTTCACAACTCAGATACAACAATTCTCGTTGCAAGAGAGACCATGCAAGCACAGTTGTCAGTGTCCTAGATGCCTTTACAGGAATTGTCCTAGAAGTTATCCCTGAGGACCTTCACTCTAAGAGTGACAGTTCAGATAGCAGTAGCTATCACAATCAATCCGGAGGACTGCACGAACGTTCCATTGACAGACTGTTGTCATCCTATGACATTGTGGATGAACCATTTGAAAGTATGACTCACCAAAGCATCGAGTCAGTACTAGGCACTCTTCATGAAGGGGTGCCAGCCTTGCCCGAAAGAACAATGTCCGAGAGCAACAGCTCAGACTCTTCTCAGACCAACACAATGACACCGACAAAGCTCTTCATGCCACAGGACAGTATCAGTGTTCTTCCGGATGCAAGACTTGCCATGGCCAGTGATGTCTGGAGGACTTGTGCCAATCTCATAGTGTACAGTCAAGGGTTCTCGGAACATTTCATGCAAAGCTCTGTGGCAAACCAGATCCACAAGATCTTGAACGAATCCTTCCTTGCCTTAGCTCAGATCACCAAGGAATGTGACGTGTTAGAGATCAGCCTGGAGTCTCTCCATGACACCACCAGGAACTACACTGATGATGAGATCAACAAGAGAGACAGGTTCCATATCATGCTTAGCATTGTGGGCTCTCTTATGAGGATACAACTCAAACTGTCTAAAGAAGTAGCTGCAGGAAAGTTTGAGGTAAGCATGAATGAAAAACACAATTTTACAGGTCAAATAGTAATCTGATGAACATGCATGATCCTTGCAAACCTAGCAGAAATACTGATTTTTGTAGTATTAAGAAAACTTTAGGTAACTGTATTTATTTAGTCATGCAGGTATGGTATACACCACAGTTATTTTTCATAGTTGTGAAACAAGGCAATCTTTCTTTCTCGTTGGCTGCTACCAAATCTTTTCCATAATTTATATATATATATATTTATATACAACTATATAACCATACCAACAAAGGTTACTAAAGGATGGTTTCTCTTAAACTATAACAACATTTCTTGAGCACCCATGACCAACTCACCAAAAGTGAACACTCCTTTTTGATAACCAAGGAGAAGGGAAGTTGACTGTGGAAATATCTATATCAAAAGGTTATTAGGATATATTGATTTTAATGAAAGATTGTTTACTGTTTACCGGTAGCTTACTGTTAATCTTTGTAATCATTGCATTGATTATCTGTGGTTTCCTGTATTCGGTTTAATAGATATCAAGAAAATGCAGTTTTGTGGTTTGGGCAAAGTTCCATTATTTGTTTGTTTAAATGCAACATGTACATGTACTCACTTTATTTCAATGTACAAAGTGCATGTATTTGCCTCTTTAAAGGCACTTGTAAGCTTTAGTATAAACGGAATGGAATACTATGACAATGTGCTAAAGTTAATAGATGCTTCTCTGCTAACCTAGTGACAGCAAATTTCTTTAATATTTTTTGGAAGAGTTTGCTAGTCAGCGTTTATTCTCTGCAGTAACGAAGTTTGAAGCTAGAGTTATCTACATCATTGCAATTATTTTTCAGAACAGCATGCACAGCATGCCGTTGAAATACATAGTGACACATTGGTCAAAAGATTGTCTATTTCAATCCCAAATTACACTGCTGATGAATATCGATATCAAAATGGAGATCACTGTCGAACACCAGCAATCTTATCATCAAAGGATGCTGATCTGGCCTAAGTAATAACCCAAATATGGTGATACCCTTTTAAAAGTAAAACCAAATTACCGGATAGATATGAAATATACTTGTTTGATTTTTCATCATAATTTTTTTACAAGAAACATGTTTATAGTTTTATTCTGTAGCATGTGCATGCTTGAGATAATATCCATTTGGGAGGTGTGAGCTCAGAAGCCATTAACTATGAATGTGATTTCCTTAAGCATAATCTAGAATGAAGTAAATTGTTTAATGATAACCTTTGCAACCAGTTTACATCAGCACGTATTCTACATGTTTACATGATGTACCTGTAACTAGGTCATCCTGATACGTGAAACAATTGTAGGGTTCATGATAACTGTGTGACGTGATGAACAATGTAATGAGAAAAGCACAGATAAACTGTGGGGTGATATTTCTAGTTAATGCATTTGTATTTTACGTACGTGTATGTGCATGCTTATAGTACAAAGGAAGATTATTATCTACATCTATGTAAGAAATCAATGCCCCCTTAAATACACAATTGATTCCTGGTGCAGTGGTGCCTGGTAGGAGGAAAACCTTTTATAATTGGCTTTAAATGCGCTGTCTAGTACCTTCTTTTGGAAGCTTGGCTAAAGACAGCTTAATAATAGGATTCAGCTCTTTGTATTCTTTGTATGCACTCAGGTTTCTAATGTCCAGTTTCAGTTTAAAAACCTAAATGGGGATTTTAAGATGGGACAGATGTACATTTGAAATAGTAATAATGCCAGTATGTTTCCAAGCAAGTAATCATTCTTACTGGTATTTCATAGCTTGAATAATAATTGAGTAAGACACCCCAAGTTATTGTGAGATAAATATGCAATCAAATATTTGCTCATACATTGCATATCTGCATTAGCTACGTGTATGTATCAAGCTTTGGACTTTGTCCTTCAGATTAAGAACCATACATATATTAATCAGATGTGCAAACTTCATACCTGTATACTACATGTACATAATTATGTAAACTAAATATTTGATGTGGTTATTACTATAAGGGATTTGTTCATAGACCGGAAAATTGTCCTGTTGTTAATGTATGTACATTCTTAGAGAGAGACATTTAATGTGAAACCTCTAAAATTAATAGTTTTCAGATAAACCATATACTTAAAGATGAAGTTGAGTTCTGGTCATGCGATTGCATTGTGAAAGAAACGGTGTGGCATCGACCAGAAAAGGTTGATCATTTAGCATATAAGATTTGTGTGTATTGCAAGGTTCTGGAATCATCAAAATGATAAGAAATTTGGCCTAGTCTTGGTAAAGTTACAAACACTGTACACAGAAAGATGTATATGGGACTACACAAGCATGTGGCGTAAAAATCCTACCCCCGAGTTTTACGATGTTACATGACATATTTGAAATATTAAGGCATTTGAAGAGCCATGCTTTTCAGGGAACATGTCTTATCTGATGTTCTTTCACACTTGCATAATAAGAATGATTAACGCTCACAAATTATTTTTCACCTCTTCCCAGAACTCAACCTTCTCTTTAAATATTCTAAATCACATGTTTGCGTGTACATGTCCTGTATAGATTTTGTGTGTGTGTAACAATGTTGTATTTAAAGGTATAGACCAGGGGTTGTTTCACAAAGATCCTAAGTTAAATTTATCTCTAAGTCGGACTTAACATTTGTGGAAAGCCATTAGCACCTATGAAAATATTTTGTAAAATTCATTTTAAAAGGCATGAAAAGTTGATTCAAATCATTCATATTTTCTATTATCAAGGAGATTTCATGTTCTTGATGTGGAATTTATAAATAGTCTAAAATACTTGAATTTGCTCTTTTGAATATATTTTATTCATGCATGTTAAGAAGAAGAGGCTATCTACAGGTGTAGGATTTATATAAATGTGTTTTTAATTTGATTTCAAATGACTAGAAATACTAGCCGTTCGTAGTCAATTAGTCTTTACTATTACTTGTTTTGTTTGTTGAATAGTTTCATTTGTTTTGTGCAAGATCAAGGTAAAGTCCATAAAAAGTATAAATTTCTTTATGTAGCTTCATCCTACCTTATGTCCATTGTTGAGTTTCATAGGGACCATGATCTAAATTTACATTTGATACTCTACATGCACAACAATAGAACAGAATTTGGATTTGAGGTTGGAGTAATTTTAGAGTACCTGGAGCACCGGATACTGTGTACAGACGAGAGTATACATGATGTTTATTATTATCATCATAAATATACTTGTATTGGCATGCAATTTGATTAATGTACAATTGCTATTTTTAGGGAGAAGGAATGGGCCACATCCTTCGCAATGTGAAGCATCACCTGACAGAGTCAGACCTGCTTGGATCCAGCCCAGGCAGAACTGTAGCTGACACCTTGCTCAAGCTGGCCCAACTAGAACCCCTGGACTCATCACAGTACCAGATCGGTAGCCTTTCCAGGAATTCAGTAAGTATTCTAGCTAGGCCATTGTGTAGGCAGACCAGAGAGTCTACTGCCAAGGCAACTCACATTCCTATTGAATCGCCTGAGCATGCATCTAAGGGTGATTGACACTTTGAATGACTGAAAAGTAATGTAGATGATTTATTAATATGGAATATCAATATTTAGTTACTACGATAATCCCAAGGAGACTGGTTAAACTGGTAAACAGAACTAGATTTAATTTATTCCTAAAAATATGTAGGCTTCCTTTGGTTGGTTTAAATATTTAAACCAGAAACTTTAGGAACAATACGAATTAGGTTATTTTGGTAAACAAGATATCAAGAAATGTATGCTACTGTGCATTAATTGGCAGTTTGTTTGTTTGTTTGTTTCTCATCCAAGGATGATGGTGTAAAGGAATCAAGTTAAAAATATTTCAAATACTCCAATAATTTAAAGGAGTTATATTCTGGTCTCCAATTATTGTAATGTAATTCCAATCTAGTTTTATGAATGTCTGTTGTTTTGTTTGTTTCTATCTAGCCTAAGGATGATGGTGTCGATGGAATGAGCTGGAACCTAGAGGAGCTTCAAGAAGCTTCTGATGATCAGAGCAGTGAGCTGAGTGATCTATGGAGTGCTGAAGGAGGTTATGAGGCTGATAGCGAGAGGGACGAGAGAGAAGATGCCCTGACAAGTAAGATTGCTTTTCTTTTTTTTTAATTTTTCCCTGACCATAATTACAAATAACAAACACATTACAATATCAGTAAGCTTTTGATGATTGGAGCAGTGAAATGAACGATTTGTGGAGTGCTGAAAGAGGTTATGAAGTTGATAGCAAGAGAGAAGATGCCCTGACAATTTGTATGCTTCAGTATTTGGAATTGAAGTCTTTTATTACCAAATCCCAATAAAGATTAAACAATTTTTAAAAAGTCTTAAACAAAGTAATCCAGTCTGCCCATCAATTCATGTACATAGTACATAAACTAAAGCATGGGTGTCGATCTGTAACTGATACCTATTCATCAGGGGGGGATGATCGACACCCATGAACTAAAGCATAAAGCAGAAGAAGCATATTGACCAATTATGAGTCTGAGACAGCTTTTGGGTTGGTATTGTTTTGGGTGGAAATGAAACTTGATTTCTCAAGAGCTCTTCAGAGTAAGATTATTGACCGTAATCCAATGTGAATTAAGAACTCTTTTATAAGTGATCTCATAGGTAGTTTTGTTGTGGTTTTAACACAAAGGATTATAAGAGCATATTCTGTAGGAGTCTTAAACAAAGTAATCCAGTCTGCCCATCAATTCATGTACATAGTACATAAACATGACTATGCAGTCATGTAGATTTTTCTCAATAAAAATAGAAATCGAATTTGTTTTTGTTAAATGGGATGGATGATCCTTATTTTTGCCTCAATTTAGCATGGTTGTTTTTGTAGAAATAAAGTAAAAATGGAAGAAGAAATAAAAAAAATGACTGTATGAAATAATAAAATACACAACAGTATAGCTCAATATGTTTCCATTTAAATTTTCATGTGCACATGTGGTACATTAGCCAGACAATGTATGAATACTAGTCATGGACTATTGAGCTGGTTTCAGGTAAAGCATTGACAATAACTCACATTTTAGAATTTGCACATAAAATAGCCTGTAATTTTGAAGAAAAAAAATCATGAACAAAAGACGAGCTACCTGAAAGTAAGTTTGATCCAAGGTTTTTCCAAAGGATATAACAACCAAATTGACAAAGGAATAACACCTGAATAGTTTTCAATATAATGATGTAGAATCTGTCGCTCTATGTTGACATAAAAATGTGCTTGAATTGGTGAACTGTAAGAAAACCAGGAAGTTTTCATATCAAACAAGAGCTTTTCCTCGATAATGCACAGTGCCAATAAAAGTTTGTAGACTTCACTCATATATATGCAAATCATTGATTTTCCATTCTAAAATTTGTTTGTATTGAAAATGTGTCAGAATACTACACAATGTGCGGAAATGTATTTATACACCAATACACCCACCCTTTTATTTTCTTGATGATTGTTTGAAACCTATCCATAGAATCATAGATGTATGCATGTAAATATAAAACCTGAAAAGGATTTCTAAAAATACTAACAAACAGTATCAATAAAGGACACTTTATTGCCAGGACTGAATTGTAGCTTACTGGATACATGTCCACCACATGTACGAAATTTGATTAGTTTCCTTAAATCTCCATGTATACTGCAATAGGCTAAATGCATTTTTTTGTACATCATCTCAATATTATTATTTCTCTTTATTTGAATACAGACAACAAGCCAGACAGGGAAGACTTGATTTTTGCCCAATCACAGCAGTCTTTGGTCTACCCTGAGGTAAGTGTCAAAGGTTGATCATTTCTTACATGGTTACCATAGTAACGGTCATGAAATCCGCTGCTAACATTTTATCGCCAGTATAAACTTGTTTATTTTGAGTTTCATTAGAAAAATATGATACTTGCTGAAGGGTTGATGGGGAGTGTTTTATGATGTATTTTTGATCCACTGTTATTACAGGCATGTTTATTCTTGTATATACATGTATGTGGACAATATTCTCACGGTGTCAATTTCATTCTTTTCCCACCCCTCTGTTCCTGTCTCTGTCTCTCTACCTCTCCTTTTCTATTTTCTTTGTGTGTATCCCGTCTGTTATACATGTATATACCTCTCTTTCTTTCTCACTTTATGTACATTTCTTCTATCTAAGCTTTCTTCTCTCCCTTTTTCTATCATTCATATTTTCCCTTGTTGCAAATTTGTTTTCACTCACTAGATCCAAGACTTTTCATTTGCTCTATTTCCCTTGCATTCATTTCTTTATTATCAGAAAAATAAAATACTGTATGGAATACAAATTCAAGTATTTCAAGTATTCAATTTATTTCACATCACTTTAAAAACACATCAAAAGATATACAAACAAATCATAAATTAAAACAATATAAATATATACACAAAAAAACAACATTCATTTACATTGTACTGATGAAAGAAGGATGAAGGGTGGAGGATGTGAGGGATCAACAAAGGCCATTGGCCTGTCAAGGTTGATCCCCTATATTTCCACCCTTCAAAAAAAAAATACAAATACAAAATATAAAAAAATAAAAACAATCAAACGAACAGATAATATAACATAGCATAATCACATAAAAACACAACATAATTATTTACATAAATCTCATAAAAGGCAATTAGATCAAATAAAACTACTCACAATTAAGAAGATAACATTTATATTTTTTCCTGAATGTAAAAACAGTGGATATTTCTTTTAATATGTTTGGCAACTCATTCCAAAGATGTGGGCCTTTAAAACTTACTGTAGTTCTTGAAAAATTAAAAATATAAAAAGGTACATACATTTTATTGGAGTTTCTTGTTTTATATTTATTAATGTTGCGATTATATTCGAAATAGTCATGAAAGTTATTGGGCAATAGTTGTTTAGAATAAGAAAACATAAACGATGCTAGTTGTAATTTATTTATATCAAATATATTCAATATTTTTAACTTTTTAAATAATTGTTGGGTATGTGCTAAATAGTTTGATTTGGTAATTGCTCGTATTGCACGTTTCTGTAGTAAAAACAATTTTTGTGATAAATAAAATGAGCATCCACCCCATACAATATTAGAATACATAAAATGTGATAGAATCATACAGTTATACAAATTTGTTAAAATCTTCAGAGGTAAAATGTGTTTTAAAATATTAAAGACTCCAATGGATTTAGATATTTTTAAAGCAATGTAATTAACATGTTCCTTCCAGTTCAAGTTTTCGTCAATGATTACTCCAAGAAATTTAGTACTGGTTTCTCTCTTTATACTTAGATCATTAAGTTTAATATTTATTACATTATCTTGTATTCTACAATTCCTACTCTTAAATATCATATAACATGTTTTATCGCAATTAATGTAGAGTTTATTGGCTGTAAACCAAGTTTGTATGCTTTTCATTTCTGAATTTAATAGATTATTTAATGCAACTGGATCTTTACCTGATAAAAATAAACTTGTGTCATCTGCAAATAAAATTACTGATAAAATATTGCTAACATATTGCAGATCATTAATATAAAGTAAAAATAAAAGGGGGCCGAGATTAGATCCCTGAGGTACACCTACTGAAATACTTTTATGTTCTGAATTAAAATTATCAACGCTTACATATTGCTTCCTATTGCACAAATAACTTTCAAACCACTGTATTGCATTTCCCCTTATTCCATAATATTTCAGTTTTTTAAGTAAAATTGAATGGTCAATACAGTCAAATGCCTTTGACAGGTCTAAAAAGAGAGATATTACTATGTGTTTCTTTTCAAAGGCTTTGGCAATTTTATCTGTTAATTCAATCAATGCATGGGTAGTACTATATCCCTTTCTAAAGCCAAATTGTTTATTGTGCAAAATATTGTGTTTTTCAATAAAATATATTAATTTATCATAAACAATTTTTTCTAAAATTTTACTAAAAATTGATAAAATAGAGATTGGTCTATAATTATTCAACATATTTTTACTGCCATTCTTATAAATTGGTATAACTTTAGCTATTTTTAATGCATTAGGAAATATGCCTTTTTCAAGAGAAGAATTAAATATATTGCACAAAGGAGACACAATTGCATTAATAGAAGATTTAACAATTTTAGCACTAATTTCATCGTAACCAGGACATTTACTTACATCAAAACTCGATATAATATTAATTATAGTAGATTCTGTAATTGGGCTAAAAAATAAAGACTCACAAACAGATCCCTGTAAAAAGCTATTAAATGATGTAGTTACTGCACTATCCAACTTATCATGAATCTTCTGTCCAACTGTACTAAAGTAATCATTGAATAAATTTACAATATGAGATTTATCCTTTATAGATCTACCTTCATATTCGATTTCATTAACATCATGCTTACTTTTTCTTTTGTTCAAAACTTCATTTATAACATTCCATGTTTTCTTTGCATTGTTCATTACATCCTTAAACTTATTATCATAATATTTACGTTTTGTATCACGTATCAAGTTATTAAATCTATTTCTAAAATTTACATAAGTCGTTCTGCGATATGTCGTAGGATTTTTAAGATATTTTTTGTATAAAATATATTTATGTTTACTCATTTTCTTAATTTCTATTGTAATCCAAGGTTTAACGTTTGCATGTTTCTTTTTTTTTATCTCTACCTTTTGGAAACATTCGTTATACAATTTCACATATATTTCAAGAAAACTTTCATACTTCTGATTAACATCATCAAGACGATCTAAAAATTCCCACTTCACAGACTGTAACTTTGAACAAAATGTATTGATGTGAACATCACTGAAGTCACGTTTTGAGTAAATTATTTGAGGATCATCTGTATCAGTGTACATGTAAACATGCCCATAGAAATTTTCATACCAATGCACGGGTTTAACAAAAAATTGACAAAGTTGTGACAAAGGCACAATTATGAGATGGTACCAGGTCCATTTGCCTATTGTAGCAAATGGTAGATTTTTCATGAGAGTTACATTACATGTGTGTATACAAATATCTAATACATCTCTGTATTTAGTATAAAAGAATAGATGTAATTATACCTGTTCAGCAAATCGAAATGATGAAATCAAACAATATATGCAGCTTTTCAACCTTTTTCAAATATATCTTTCCTTTAGGTGTGTCAGCTAATGTTAGAGGTTCTCTCAACCACTGACGGATGTGCTAGGAAGAAAGTCCTTTACTTTCTCCTCAATCAACTCATCTCCTTGGTGAAGGGTAATGAGTCTTGTAAAGCTAGTCTCAACCAGTGTGGAGTTCCTACCATCATCTTAGAAGGATACCAAACCATTCTACAGCAAGATGATAAAGAGACAAGTGGTAAGCAGCTTAAACACTAGAGATATTAAAGAGCAATGTGGTTATATAAACCTCTAAAAGCTGTGAAAAACAAAAAGTGTGGAGATGAAAGTTTTCTTCTTTCTCTTGAATTATTTCATCTTCCTTGTTACAGATAAATAGTCTTGTAAAGCTATCTGCTCACAGTACTTACATTAATTTTCTAGGTTATTTTTGTTTGTATTTAAAATTTATCTTACCAGTAGTTATTGTTAATTTTATCTTGTAAATATCTATGTCTCGTTTGTTAGGAAGGTGAACGTATGAATGTCTGATGTTAATAAATATCTTGCATTTAATATTTTGTGTATGATTGAGTTAAAATAAAATACTTGTTTATATCTTCTTTTATTCTATGTTTTAGTTGAGAGAGCTTTGCTTCTGGAGTTGTTTTCTGAGCTGGTTGAGAACAGTATCACATCATCTCAGCTCAGGGGATATCTTACTCTCTTCCAATCACCTTCATCTCCTATGGTAAGTTATGAGAGGATCAACCTGAAGTTTGTATGGGGTTCCACAAATCATATCCTGCACTCTGTACCCCCCCCCCCCCCTCCCCCTAGAGCTGCCCACCCCATGATAATAATTTCATCTTCCTGGTCACACATCCATTTTCGTATCATAAAAGTGTTGATGCTAACTCTGTTGACAGTCCCTATCTAATACAAAAAGGGCCACTTAGATAGTAACATAATACAGTGTTGTTGTTATTGTTTTTTTCTTCTAAAGAATTCATCAATCATTCATATACTGTGGCTAAATATTTCTCTCTATCCCAATGTTCAACCTTCAGAGCTGCCTGTTGTCAACCCTCTTGACCATTGCCAGTAGTGCTGTCACCCAGCCTGCCACTGCCATCACCTTTCCAGTCATGCCTGAACCCTCCACCAGACCAAACACCCCTCTGCCAATGAAAGTGGAGTTGTCCAGCACACCAGAAGTCAGTGCCTGGAATGCTTCAGCAACACATCTTCCACTCAGGAACAATATCATGTGGACTGTTCCACTCAGTAAGGGGGTTGGTGTTGCCATGTGGCTGAAGACAGAGGAGAGGAGGAAAGGAGAATTTGGAGAGAAGATGAAGAAGAGCAAGACAAGAACGAGATACCTGCCCCACTCATCTAGTGCTTCATCAATATCAAGCTGTAAGAAAATCTTCCTTTTCTTCTTGTTCAAATCTTAGAGATTTGAGGATAAGAAAACAAAGTTGATGTAAACAATTTTGTTTAGAGTGTATATATGAAGCTTTGTCATTTGTATGAAGGTTAATACCAGTACTCAAATTTATTGAAGGGAAAACAAATTCTCTTGGGTTCATGTATATTTATCCACAAAATGTTATTCATTCTTCAGAACTCTAAATTTCTTGTGTTTTCCTAATTATAAAGTGTACATGAATTTAGTTTTACTGACATATCTTTCCATGTCTTCTCAGATAATGAAATCAAGCATGTCTTCTGATTGTGATGGCTCTTAGTTAAAGTTTCCTGAATAAGGACAAATATATATTTTTTTTTTAAATGAATCTTTAAAAATGTACACATGATTGTGAGGTTCAGATGTATCATAGATATTTGTGTTTTCCTCACATATATTTTTTTTTACAGTGAACAGAAACCCCCTCTCATCCCAATCTAAATCAGGGTTGAAAGGTCACCAGTTTGACCTCCATCTTGTGACCCTTGGTACCCGTGATATGACCTTTGAGGTCTGGCTGGAGTCCAAGACTTCAAAGCTGATCTTCAGGTATGTTGTACAAAGAGCCACGACATCTCCAAATTGAAATTAATGTATTAAAACCTGTCCATGTGTACTAATATTAACTGAGATATTATTGCATTAGATGAAGGTAAATCTTACAGAACAGATTTGTTTTTTCATGGGCATCCATCATAATTATTTTTTTCCCCCGTTTTTTTAAACCCTGCTTATTCATGATTTCCATTGTCAAATGAAACTTGATAAAATAAAATAAAAACAATGATTTTTATTGGTACACATCAAAATGAAATGATGCATACAAACATAATAATGCAATGTAGACATTTTTTCCCTCTTTTATAAAAAAAAAAAATTCTATATTTGGTTTATATATACACTGTGAGATTCTGACAAGGATATTCTCAGCATATTTCTAAGTTAAAGCAAGAACATTTAAAAAAAAGTAATGCATACATTTTTTTTTTAATTGTATCTTTTTTCACAGAATTGGTCAGTCATCAAATGACCATCAGAGGACTGTGTTACTAGCAGAGACTGCCTGTGCTGGTATGCTGACCAGTGGTCAGTGGGAGCATCTAGTAGTGACCTATCATGAAAGGAAAGATGACTCCATGGTGCTAGGCATGGTAAGAAAACTGAATTCCTATATAATTTGGTCTTGACATTGTACCTAAACAAAGAGATCACATTCAGTTGAGTGACATATCTTGTCCATACATGAGGTGAAACTTTTAGTGAAATGATTTAGTTTGTGAAAGTTCCGAAGGCTAAAGCGCAAGGAGTATCAGTGTGAATACTTATAATAACAATCTGCTTGTAGTCTACTTTGTGAAATCTGTATTCCTTTCATATAATATTTCATTCATGAAAATAATTAAAATCTCTTCAATATGAATTCAGGTATTTATGAGCTGGCACAATGAAGTCGACTATTTATCACTTTTTTGTTAATGATTTCCTCAGATCTCTGTGATAGTGAACGGTCATCATAGGAAGGACGTGATGGTGGACTACAACTACTCCTCAGTCATGGTCAAGATTGCCCAGCAACCCATGTTATGTCTGATTGGTCATTGCTTGACCAATGGCCAGACACAAGGACATGATGCAAAGCCACAGGGGGCATGGAGTCTTGGACATATGCACATCTTTAATGGTCAGTATGTCTTTTCAGCGTTGGATGAATTTAGAATGCAATGAATTTAGAATGCAAAATTGTAAATGGATTGAGTACAGATTATAACTTACAAGGCTCCTTGTAACAATTTCAAAGTGTCACAAAACTCTGTAGATTCTGATTTATGAGCTTTTCCCCTATTTTGGGGTGCTGAGCACAAAAATATATGTCACCAACTTCAACTGTTTTCATGTTAAAGAAATAATTTTAAAAAATAGATTTTTAGAAATATAATTAATCAATTTAAAATATCATTCAAATGACCACATACACTGGCCAAGTACAAGTAGTTCCTTTTGGTCAAGAAGGGGCCAAACTTGGAAGATCCCCAAATAAGGACGAGAGCGTGCCTGTGACTCAACATACATTATTCCTTTCAGTGCTGTTGGAACTGCCTTGTTCTTTGACTAAGAATGCTTACGGTAAGCAAAACGTTCCTGTACCCGTTTCACAAAGCCTTTTTTCAATGACAAATGACAAATATCAGTGACAAATCTGTTGATAACCAATCAGAAGCAAGGATTTCAGTAGCTTATAACAAAAACTGTCATTTGTCACTGATGACAAGTTTTGTGAAATGCCTCCCTTGTCTCTGGTAATAGATGCCAGCGCATTGCAGAAGGAAGCAGCGGCTTTCCACTTGTTCTCCATGGGACCTGACCTGTACGCACTCAGCCAGTGTGAGGGCAGCAAACGCACCCGTCTCTACAGTCGTCAGATCACCAAAGACATCATGATTGCTGGAATCAAGCCTGATATTCTCTTTGGAGACAGGGAAATTGATGAGAAACTGTTGAGGGTGAGCCAGTAGGAGATTCCAGACACTTTTTTTTAAAGAATGATGGTTCGTTATGACAATATATGTAGGTTCATGAAGTAAGAGTATTGAAAAACAAAGGTGTAGGGATCAAGGTGACCTTTTATTTTGAAATAGAGAGATAGATCAATAAATTTTGGTGAAGAGTGATATGGTGTTTTTTGAAATTTTATCGGAGTTTTCAAGATATATTATGATTATCCTATTAGAAGATGAAATATTTTCCTGAGATCTCATCTTGTGTTTATTGTGAGCATGTTGATACATGAAATTATAGAATCAAAGAGTGACAGCAAATTTAATTATTTAACAGAAAGTAATGAATAGCAGTAGCTGCAGTTTTCATAGGTATCAAGGTTGTAATACTGCATGGTGCTTGCTCAGCGATGTATGCAAAATATTTTCAAATCATCATAACCATCATCTCCCTTTTATCTTCCATTTTTCATGGATCTTGAAGGAGAGTCTAGTAGCCACCTACTCTGCCTCATCCCCGTCCAGCTTCAGTCTCTATCAATCCACATCACCAGGCACCCTTAGCAAAGTTCTCCCAGGAAAGATCATTCCTCCGTCCCTCCTGCACTCACCAACCCTCATGCAGGCTATACAACAAGCACACCCCATCGTCAGGCACCATATGGGACTACACAAGGCCGTCTACCAAGTTGGGGGCATCAGTGTCTTTGTGTTTCTCTTTGCCAAGGTATTATATTCATAAACTAGAAATTGTTCACTATTCTATGTACTCTTTTCATTTATTGATTTTTGATGATGGAAATTTATTGCAGTTCAAATGAATATATCGCAAATAATATACCGGTAGTCATTTTAATTTTCATAATTATTCAATCGATAAGAATAAAATGTAAGATCTAATAATCCAATCCAATCCAAAAGATATTTGATATAGCGTCTTTTCCTTGCACAATGCTGTAAATTAACTTTGCACTGGAAATTCTATTTTCAAGTTATCAACTTTTTATCTTATGAAAGATGTTTGTTTTTTGTATGTGGAGTGTGGTGAAATAAACATTTCTAATTATTTTTGTTATTGTCCCTGTGTACCATGTACATATAGCAGTGAAATCCATTACACGTAGAAATATCTGCATTACACACCAGTATTTACCAAATGCAGCTGGGTTTTTTTTTTCTGCACCTTGGGTTTTCACTTTCATTCAACCTTCTCCCAGAGGCAAGTTTATGTATGCAATGAACTGTGTTAATGCTACTGTCCTTGTGTCACTATTCAGGTGGTTGAGACATCCAGCGATGGTCATCAGCAGGCCAGAGCACTGCAGCTCTTGATGCAGCTTCAGAACAGCAGCTACGAGATGGCCCAAGAGTTCCGCTCCATTTCCGGCCCTCTCATGTTGTCCAAGGTGTTGGCCTCAGAGAGATGCCATGTTGGTCCAGAGATGTTAAAGGTACGATAATACAGGGGTGTTCTGTATTATTTTGAATGGACAATGGGTATTGGGGTTATTTATAGTGTGAATAAAGGATATTTCTGGTGTGAATGATCTTATTATTATGTTAGGTAAGCTGATACAACATTTCCATTGTACCCGTTGTCAGTAAAGCAATGGGATTAGCTGTGGTATGAAAATAGCATAAGTGTGCTTGCTGCCTCAACTCTTGGATGAATCCTCATTATGAGTGTCAGCTTATTGTTTTGCTCTTAACAGAATTGCTTTATCCTTCCAATCATGTTTAATTATAATATATTACATAACCTAATGACATGGTATATAAGATTATTCATCACAACTGCTTTAGAGGATGTGTGTTTCGTACAAAATTTTATTCAAATTCTCTGTATGATAGGTGCTATTTGATGCCTGCTGCAGCGAGTCAGTCGTCTTCCAATGTTCCCTCCTCCACCACTACAAGGTGAACGAGGAGTCGACAGCCATCCTCCAGGACACAGAGTTCTTCACCCAGTTGCTTCTTAACTGGAGGGTGTGGGACCGGGCCACGAAGGGAGCCTGGAGGATACTCCTAGAAGGCATCCTGGCCCTGATCAGACATGATCATCCCTTCTACTCGTTCAACATCAATCAGATGCAGAGGGTCGGGCTGGTACAGAAGCTCTTCACCATATGCAGAGTAAGGAAACTGCTTTTGTTTGTCTCGTACCTGGAGCTAATCAGCCATTGTTCGTTATTCTATAATTAAAAGTTAAAATCCATAGATGAACTTGATAGGGTAGCTTCCTTTTCCTCTTCACTTTCTCATGTGTTGTTTATTTTCCATGATTCATCACATGATTACAGACATACTCACACAGCAATAATTTGTTTCATTGCCTTGTGAATTGTAGCTGATACATGATTATATTTCTTTTGTAAGGAGAGACACAGTGAGGATCTACCTGCACTTCCAGTTGACTCATACTCATCATTGATAGAGATCATTAAGACTATGGTAGGCATACCAGCTGACCCTCATCTCATGGCTGAGATCAGTGACTTCCTACTGGCTGTCCATCCTGCAGTCAACACCTTTGTGTGCCATGCTCCATCAAGCTTCTTCTTCATCTTACACAAAGGTTTGTATACGAAATTAGACTCTATGACTGTTGTTCTTCTCAAATTTGAAAGCAAGTCTTTGCGTTGAGCTCAGTTTTCACAATGCAAAAAAATTAGACCTCATTCGTTAACTATTTGAATTAGAATAGGAGCTGATAGTGATATATTCTGTATTGAATCATGCATCCAAAAGGGCAATGTTGCTCTTGAGAGACAAATTGGTAGATGAAATGGAATCATATGAAAATGTACATTACGTTATTTTATATGAAAATTTTGGATTGTGTGGGGGGGGGGGGAGATGCAGGAATGAGTGAGTGAGAAAAAAAAAATACATGGCCTGATCATGTAGATGTATAAATGTTGGAAATGTAGCATAAGTGAACACCAAGATTATCAAATTTTTTCTTGTCAGGGAAATGGTACAAGTCACGGTCCAGCACACCATCAGAGATCTCGTCACATGACATGGATGACGTTCGTCGTCATGACTTCAAGCTAGGTCTGCCTCCAGTTTCAAGAGAGGAGATGATGAAAAAAAGTAAGCTTTTGTATTTCAGTATTTTCATCTTCCTAATGATGTCTGGTTATTTTGGAACCTTTCCTATCAAGTTTTGTGTGACTGTCACTTTATTAAATGAAGTTTTGATGCTTCATTTTGTTTAACTCTAATTAAACATGAAACAAACAGGTCCATTGTATATTACATTGCAGAAGATATTTTAGAGATTCACTCTTTGCATTCAAGTTCTGTTGGAAAGTTTACTGTTTGACACACTTAGCAGATTGAGATGATATAGAAACTTGTTTTCTCCAATTATGTTGATTCTTTGCTAAATGTTTCCAATTGCTTACTAAAGTTGGAAGTAAAAATACATATTGACAAAAATATTCTGGGTATTTGGTATTTACTGTGAATAACATATCTCTTCTTCTCTCTCTCTCTCTCTCTCTATCTTTTGTTTAAATTACAGAGAATTCAGTGAAATATCAGTCACCTGTTGAGCACTCGGATGGTGACAAGGCTGTTTCCATCCAGAATGCAGTCAACAACCCCCCATCTCAAGAGGAGGTCCATACGCCAAGAAAAGATGCAGAGGAGGATGTGAACGTAGGAGGAGGAGGTGATGAAGTGGATGGTGGAAGGACACTAAAAAGCAGCCATCATAAGAAAAGGACTCCAAAAGATTCAACAGATGGTAGACATTATGGGAGAGAGCGAAGAAGGAGAAGTTCTTCCGATTCTTCTTCCACCGATACCAGTGATGAAATCTCATCATCACCATCATCTTCAACCTCAGGAGAGAGTGAGATCTTATCAAGTGGAGATGAGCAGAGGAAAGAGGAGGAGGAGGAGGAGGAGGCAGGACTTGGCCACAAGGCTTGCCATATAAATGGTGATGAGGAAGGTGGGGAAGGTATCGATGATGATGTTGGTGAAGATGATGCAGGCCCTGGTGTAAAGAGAAAGTCACCGACTGTAAGAGAACGGAGAACACAGAGTGTGAACTTCGCTGGTATGCAACTGGCTGCCATACCCGAGGATGCGTCTATGGACCTCTCTCAAAGAGGTACAACCTCTTTTTTTGTAATTTTGATCCTTCCTAAACCCTATGTACAGTTTTGATGAGCCAAAGGAGCAGATTTTTCTATTTTGATAGATACTTTCTATTGTAAGCTGCTGATCTGAAGTGACCTTAGACATTATTCTAATTTTTTTGTATACCTTGATAAAATTTTGTGCAATGTATGGTGTCTATGATGAGAATTTAGCAGATTTTGATTCTAATGTGTTTTCATAATTCATTGATCTGCCTCTCTCAGAAGATGATATTGCAACATCGCCCTCAGATGAAGACTTCCTTTCAGAATCTAAGGACCGCTCCTCGGGGGACAAGACCACAATGGTAGAGGATGATGGTAACCTGGCAGTCTCAAGCTTTGACAGCCTAGATGCCAGCAGTCGTGACATCACATTGAATCGACTCTGCTCTGGCCTGCTAGACCTCCTGGCTGAATGCCTCATCTTCATCTCGGAGTCCAAGCTGGATAAGGTCTTGGGGATTGTGCTTAAACCAGAGACCCTCATCGTCTTAGCACACCATCACTCAGAGGAGATACGAACGAGTGTTGTTAAGGTTAGAGAGGATCTGTTGTCACATCCCACTGATTTTTGTTTGTCTATTGGTGCTTGATTTTTATTGTAAAATTATTAAATTTAATTCAAATTTAATGTTAACAAAATTTCAATGATACATGATGTGAAGTATCGTATGCAGACTTCATCTGAATGTTCATGTAGTATATCTTTGCATAATCGTCTACTATAATTAATCTCTAACAAAGATTAATATTCATTTGAATATCTTATATGTACACATTACCCTTGTTTGGTATACAAATAGTAATGTATAGAAATGTAAAAGTGAATTGCTTTATCAGGCCTCATTTTTATCATTATCACTATCGATGATTCCTCCCCGAAGTAAATATATCTTAGAGAATGCATAAATGCCTAGCCTCAGGTTGTATTCCTCCATGGAAATCTCTCCAACTCTTTTGTTTTTGTTGTTGCAGCTGCTTGATGTGTACTTCCACCGTGCTAATGAAGCTCAGCTGTCCAGCTTCCTTCGGATGCAAGGCTTCCATCAGCTTGCTAATCAGCTTCATCAGTACCCTGCCACACAGGAACTAGCTGAAGCATGTCTCACTATCACCTTCGGCAAACCTGTGGATCTCAATGAAGAGTAAGACATTCAACATTCCCTAGAGAAGAAAAAAAAAATTGAATTTAAGAACAGAGGAAGTGATGTACATGTATTTCTTTAAATTGTTACTGGTATTTTTTTTGTTCCAATTGGACAAACTTACTGTCAATTGTTTGATACTGTTATATTTGTTTCTAGATTGAAATAATGAAGTCAACTTTGACTCATTCTCAGACCACTTCCATAAATTTGTGATATTTTCCCATGTTCTGATTATTACAGGTTTCACTCATGCAAACACATGCATTTCTATGTTATGAGTTCTAGGATATCACTGTCTTGATTTTGTCTTTCTCCTCTTTTCACTACATGAAACTTCTTTCAGTAATTTTGTACTAAAAAGTAGCTCCTTGGAAAAAACTTCTAGTTCACATGTATAGATTAGGACTCAAATTCTAAAAGCTTTAGAAAATCTTAATATGACTGGATTCTCATATTTGTTTTTCAACCTAACCTGCAGTAAGCAATATTATACAACTGTCTCACTATACACTTTCTGAATATGTTTATGGAATTTATGTTATCCTTTTCTCTTGACAGACTTGACCTAGCCTTGATTCAAGACCTCCCTCGGTTCAGACAGCTCTCTGTGGTTCTTATCTGTTCTCTCATGGAGAACTCCACCCACGATGCTAAGCTCTGCCATAGCATTTTATGTGCAGTATTACATGTGAGTCCTTATGATCCTTGCCAGGCCAAACTAACATATAGCTTCAGTTTCTCCCAACCTTAAAAGCTTGCAACTAAATTTCAAGGTTGCCAGAAGTGCATGCTATGATTACCCCAAACTTATGAATGTAACTGTACTAGGTCAGATTACATTTTAACGATAACTGATTTATTAAAAGAGAAACAGCATCTGATAATTTATAATAAGTAAAGAAGGTAGATTATTGAACAGAAAACAAAATATGTGTTTAAACAATATTGTATTGTGTATGTGTATGTGATGTTCACAATTTTTAATCAATATAAACATGAAGCCAATTTTGGTAAAACTGATTATTGCATCATCTGTACAGCTGATGGATATTATTGTCTTTGATAACTTTACATCAACAAAAATTGTAAATGATAAGACAGTGCCTTATAAGAGGTTGACGATTTGTATTGCAGACATGACATTTTAATACAGAAAAAGTCACTTAGATTATGAGAGTTCAAATTGTTCCTTTTCCTCACATGCAGCTGTTTGAGGGAGGTCCTCAGCTGGTGCCAGCCCTGCTAGAGAATGGTCTTCTGGAAGCCACAACGAACACGCTAGCATCTCTGTGTACCACCTCCATGGAGGACCTGGACTATGAATGGAAGAACTGGTCTTTGACTGTTCTCCTAGATGATGTGAGGCATATCATAGCTTGCATTGCCAACAGGGTCTTCAGGTGAGGGGCAGACATTCTAATCCTTCTACAGTCCCTCTTGAGTTTTGTGAAGAGATATGATATCATATTTCACTGGTGAACAAATAAAATGTTACTCTGGTTTTTCCTTGGCTGGATGTTGATATTATATTGAAGAGGTTTTTTGTACATCAGAGCAAGATTGTAGCCTAGGACACCTACTACCTGGAATACCTTCTCTTGGGCAAACTAGAACCCTTTGACAATTACCCCCTCCCCCCTTCCCCTCCCCCTCCTATTTATCTCCTACTTCAGTGAAGGAGGATCGTATCGTAGGGAAAGTAAAGGGGTTGTAATTGGGGGGAGGGGGGAACAATTGTTCAAGGTGGTAATCAGGAAGTAATTGTCCATGAGTTAGTTAAGGAAGGGTTTGTTTTTCCAAGGGTTAGTAGTTCAGGTGGGGTGTAGTAGCCCATTTGTGAAGGGCAATTATACTAGCTTTGCTGACTTTTCCTGACTATGAAATAAAAAACATATTTTGCATTTCATCTTGCGTGTGTCTCTATCGCCTACAACAGCCTGTCTGGCGATCAGTACCTGCAGTACTTAGAAGATATGCTAACCCTATTGGGGGGTCTGGAGGAGATGTTCCAGCATAACTATGGCACCCAATCCGCGGCATGTCGTCTGGTCTGTAACGTCCAGTGTCACGTCATCAGGGAAGTCCTGGAGCACTTCCAGTCTACTTCCAAGGCCATGGATTCCAGCCTCTCAGCTGGTCCCAGATCAGGGAGCCTTCAACGGAGCATCAGCTACTCGGGTATTTCATATATTTTGACCATTTTCCTCAGATTTTGTTTGGCTACCATTTGCTTGCCCTTTAATATCTTGCTTGAACAAAATGCCCTATAAATGCTGAAAAGATGTATATTCTTTTTTTTTTACATACAGGCTTAGAGTGTGCTTTTCAAATACATCACCTATTCCTTACATAATAGCAAAATGCAGGACAGATATATTGTATTTCCCTGATCATCAATGATTTAGTCAGTTTTGTGTGCCTTAAAGCTTGTCTTTTTGTTACAACAAACAGATTACTCTGAATTTTGCAAGTACATAATTAAGACATTATGGGTAATCTCTTTTCTTTGATTTTGTGAAATAGAGATTGAAATGTTACATTACACAAAATGACATAACTTTAAGACATTTACATGCTTACTACATATTTCATTTGTTTATATCTAGAACAATTTCGAAGAGGAACATTAATATAAAATTAAATTATTAATGTGTGCCCCAAAGCATAATAAAAGCAAAACCTGAATTATCTTTTGCCTTTTCTGCTACACATACCGGTAGATAATATTGTTTTGATGATGTGTTACTTCATGTTGGTATGAAAGAAGAAGAAATTGACATGACATTTGATATGGTTTCAACCAGGCAACCATTATACTGTACTTCCTCATTGCATGTAAAATTGTAGATTATTAATAATAATAATCCTCTTTAATATAGCGCTTAATACAAATGTCTCTAAGCGCTTAACAGATAGATTCCGATAAACGAATGTGTAACGTTTAATCAGTCTGCTTTTGAATTCTATTCATTGAAATGTCCAATCTTACGAGAGAAAACTTGATATGTGACAGGATAATGTTTTTACTATTCATAGTTTTCATATGCATTCATATTTATACAATACATGTTTTTATCAGAGCGCCAGTATGATGCATACACATGGAGAGAACGGATGAAATCACTTGGAGATAACCCTGAAGCAGGTCATTATTCATCTCATTTCTCTTTCTTACCTTTCTCCCAATGGTCATCAGTTTCTATTTATTCATCATCCTATGTCGGCTTCATCAAATACATATTGTATATTAAACCTAGTCATTGAGTTCCTGCTGTTAAAGAGATTATAATTTAGATGGGAGAGAAGGAAAGTCTTGCTACATTGGAAATATACATGGATTATCTGGAACCAATTTGTTCATCAACTATACATATCTCATTATAAAAACTTAAATCAGCTTTGGTCATATATTCTCATGCCAGTGGTATAAATGATGCATATGTATTCAGCTTGCTTGGTTTTCTGGGATTTATTAAACATATTCCAAAGTCATGTTAACTCTAAAACAGTGAAATCATTAATGTCAGAGGTACAGAGGTGTGTTTGGCAACAAATGATTTAAACAAAAATATATATAGAGAGAGAGAGAAAAAAGTAGCTTAGTATCCGCTGCTGTCACATATATATATAATGCATCAGAGTTACTCTGGTTTTTCCTTGGCTGGATGTTGATAATATATTAAAGATGTTAACACGTCAGGATCACTATTGTGATGGTGTTGTGTGTTTTTGAAATTGTAACACATCCCATTACTGCCCTTTGCCCAATATTGCATGCATCTAGCATTTCTATTGTAGGCCTAGTTCATACTACAACAAAAATATTGTTTACGCATTGAAATATGTAGAAATGTTATCATAACAGTTTATAATGTTTAAACAGAAATGTAAAGGATTTATAAACTAATATACCTACTTATCCTTGCTTAGGGCTAACAGTCATCTTCATTTTGCCGCTCCCCTGCTTCTTAACCCCACAGCTGATATCCACAGCAAAAGCAGAGATCAGCCATACACCAACGACCCTATCTGGGACTACAGGAGACCTCGAACCTCTGTGCCAAGTGTCCATGGAGACCATTCCTACTCCTTTACAGGACTTCTCCCTCCGTCAGCCGCAGGTACTAACACACATTAACATGCATGGGATTGCAGTAGATATTGATGATAGTAATGCTCTGGGTTCACATTGCGCATAATACATCTATGACATTTCCAAGTGCTTTACAGATATATTATTACAGATAAGTTGCTCCTGTCATTGCATGCCCTCACAGGTATACTTTTGGCAGAATTTCATGTGGTGAAGAAAATGGGTCATTGGAAAAAATGTATTGCTGTTGACTCTCGCAGTAGCACCAAGGTGACATGCACATACTGAACAACATTCCATTTATGCTTATTTTTGTTGGCTTTCTTGATTAGGACAATGTTGCATTGTATCAAACTTTACCGATGTGCCATTTGAATTTTAATAAAAAGACAATAGATGATATCCTGTAAAATTTGTTAATTACAATATGAAAATCTTGTGGTGAAAACTGCCCACTGCACTGAAAGGTATAATGTTATTCGCAAGGGATTCAGGTGGTGGAAAAGTGACGGAGAAGTCGAGAGACATTGTGGGTACTAGCTTTCACATGCTTTTCTGAGGGTGAAGCAGTTGAAGTTCTTGCAATTTTATGAAAGCTTTAACCTAGATTTAAGCTTTGGAGATGAAAATGAATGCAGTCAAATAGAACAGTCATAACGATGATTTGAAACTGAAACACACACTTGTTCTAAGAGTGGAATGGGAACTGATAAATTAAATGTCCCCTCCAACACAGCTCGCCGCTATTCAAGCAACCTAGACTCTTTGCTGCGATCAAGGAGAGGAGATGGTGTGAGAGGAGCTGGATCTGGACGAGGTGGGAACAGAGATGGTGGGCAGGCCACGGAGCAGGAGATGGCAAGGAGGTTCCAGAGGCTCTGTCTCCTGGCGGTCAATCTGGTTGTAAACTCTGGTAAGGATGGGGGTGTGGTGATGAGGATGAGGAAGATGGTGGTGATGATGATGATGATGATGATGATGATGATGATGATGATGATGATGATGATGATGATCATGATCATGATCATGATGATGATGATGATGATGATGATGATGATGATGATGATGATGATGATGATGATGATGATGATGATGATAAAGGGATGATTTGATGAAAATGGTTCTTAGAAGAGGAGTTGAAGATATAGAGGATGACAGATGATTATAATGATAATAATTGACATGATGGTGATGATGATGATGAAGAGAACGATGAAGTTTATCTAGATGATTCTGGACTCTTAACTGTGATATGATTTTTCGCTAATGAGTGATGAAAGATCATCTATAGCAAAGAAACATGATCTGGCAATTTTTTAGGCAAGTATGCATGCATAGAAGATTGTGTTCTACAGTTAAAAAATGAATTATTCATACCCTTACCAACTTTTGTAATTGTTTAATTGTGTGAAAAATTGATTTGTCCCAATTAATGACTCTTGAGAATGTGACATATTAAAGCTTACATCTAAAGATATTCAACGACCCCAATTCAACCTGTCCAACTTTCCTCCTCCAGTTACAAAAAAAAAACACAATTTACGAGGGGTACATGTATGAATAATGTTAGCTATATATATATATATATATATATATATATATATACACACATATATATATATCAAAAGAATATATGTCCATGATTCTATACTCTGACACAGTTCTTGTTGTTTTGATTCCTTTGTTAGACCTGACCCAACCTGGTTCTAGTCCAGCCATTCAACTTACCGACGACCTCCCAACTCTTCTCACTAAGGATCTCTTTCATCTACTCATTGAAGCAATGGGTGCCACCATGGTAAGGCCCAGTCAAATCGCTTTGTGTTTTTACATATTAGACATTCATGTCCTTGCAATTTTTTTTTCAGTGTTGAAGAAATATGCGATTGCTTGACATTGTAGTTGGTTATTCGATGTATACAAGATGATGCACAATGGAGATGTTAGTAAGGATCCCATGAGTGAAAGCAGTTATCAGGAATATCCTAAGTATCCATTTTGACTCTTCCCAAAAAGACCACGAAATAGACCTCGGTTTTAATCCATGCCTACAGGAACTGCGTTAAGCCTATTGGAACGAGAGAATTTAGTAGTCAATGGGATACTGTGCAAAGGCAAAGACACAGAAACATATCGTATCCCTCTTGGTTTCTAGAATAGTATTGTCATTATCAAGAAATTAGATTGTTGACATTTTTTCATATATTATTAGACTGGTAGAGATGTTAAAATATATGTGTAGTGTGCAAATAGCCAATATTTTATTATGTTCCTAATTGTTCTTTTATACACAAGATCCAGACAAATTATTCCATATAAATGGTAATCTTTTAAAATTACATCTTGTTCTTCTTTTCAGGAGAAGAAGGTTGTTAGCATCAGGCGTCGGCGGTTTGACAGCATTGTCTGGTCCTCTCGACAAACGCTCCAGCTCCAGCTAGCCCGGCTCCTGGTCCATATGATGTCTCCAGCCCAGGACCTAACACTTCGGATCTTCACATTGCAAGTGGCTCATGTGGACAAGTCTAGACAGATCCTCAAGTGTGTTCTACAAACAAGCATGCAGGTAGAATCATTTTCAGGATTTTTTTTATGAACAGAAATATAGACTGCTTGGAGCCAGAAGGGTGTAAACTCATACAGTTTAACACAGATTTAACATCCTTTTGACTCCAAACATACAACATATTCCTCTATTTTACATCTTCATTTTCAAACAAGAAAAGTGTGAAATGGTCACTCCATAGATAAATGCACAAGGGTTCCAATCCAGAGTTGCAAAGAGGATACTTGTATCCCTATCATGTGCTTTTCAATCTATTTTTAGGATTTGGATAAGCAAGTATTCCTCAAAAACATAATGTTCAAGTTTTGCCAAACCATGCAATTTGAGGTGTTTCATTAGAGAGATTGTTGCTTTACAAAGACTATGTGTGTTGTATAGAATTTTTTTCTCCTTCAATGATCTGTAATAGTGTATCCATGATTTCATTGTATTCTGTCTTGATTCTGCATGTTGATATGAGCTCCTAAAGTTTTTAGAGAATTATTCTCTTTTTGTCAAGATGCTTTGGATGAGTAAAAGTCACCAAATATGTAATGAACCTGGTTGTAGATAAATTATAGATTTATATCCCTCTATTTCTCAAGAATGTAAATTATTATTGGAGAGGAGAGCAAATTTTAGGTTTAAAGGCATTTTGACATCTATTTGGTTGTGTTTCTTTACTCCTTGGTTAAATTAATGTTGTTCTCCCCTCACCAGCAATATGCCAGCAAGCTTGAGCTGTATCTGTACGACCTGCTCCATAACCACCGTGAGGACATGTCGGACACGGACCGTATGTTTGGCATGATCCTTGGAGATGTTCTCAAGGAATGTGGCTTCCAGTCGTTCAACCCTGATGAGGATGATCCACAGGCTATCAAGAGTCTGGAAGAGGTAGGCCAGGGCCCTGTTTCATAAAGATCCTAAGTCGAACTTAACTCTAAGTTGGACTTAAAAATTATGGAGAGCCATCTGTAGCCTTAAAATAAAATATATTCAAAAGAGCAAGTTCAAGTATTTTAGACTTTTTATAAATTCCACATCAAGAACATGAAATCTCCTCGATAATAGAAAATATGAATGATTTTAATCAACATTTTATGCCTTTTAATATGAATTTTACAAAATATTTTTATAGATGCTATAAACGGCTTTCCATAATTGTTAAGTCCAACTTAGAGATAAGTTCAACTCAGGATCTGTGTGAAACATCCACCCAGTTTGTACTCCATGTGGATTTATTCTACAATGGCTTGGATGACACATGATTCTGCAACAATGTAAATTTTCTATACAATCAACAAATTCATAACTTCAACCCTGGACTCAACAAGCCTAACCCTAACTAAAATCGTAACCTTAAAGCAGATTGCAAAACTAAACTTTACTACGCTTATGACAAACTAAAGCCATGGGTAATTATTGCCAGGACAAATGTCAGATTGCAATAAAATGATGTACATGGATGTCAGCATCACAATGTAAATGTTGTGGTCATCTAGACATTTTCAGCATCGTCATTTGGTATCTTTCATCATTCCAATTCTCTATTTGTGTGTGTGTGTGTGTGTGTGTGTACACCTGTGTTCAATTTCCTTTCCTCTTCTATTTTTATGCCTCCGTTACGAAGTAGCCGGAGGCATTATGTTTTCGGGTTGTCCGTCCGTCCGTACGTCCGTACGTCCGTACGTCCGTACGTACGTACGTACGTACGTCTGTACGTACGTACGTCCCGTTCTCGTGATCGCGTTATCTGAAGAACTGGTTGATGGATTCCTGCCAAACTTTGGTCATGTATGTATCTTGTAGAGCCGATGAACTGATTAGATTTTGGGGTTACGAGGTCAAAGGTCAAAGGTCACAGGGCTCATTATGTATGCAAAACGAGCTCGTGATCGCGTTATCTGAAGAACTGGTTGATGGATTCCTGCCAAACTTTGGTCATGTATGTATCTTGTAAAGCCGATGAACTGATTAGATTTTGGGGTCACGAGGTCAAAGGTCAAAGGTCACAGGGCTCATTATGTATGCAAAACGAGCTCGTGATCGCATTATCTGAAGAACCGATTGATGGATTGCTGCCAAACTTAGGTCATGTATGTTACTTGCAAAGCCAAAAAACTGATTAGATTTTGAGGTCACGAGGTCAAAGGTCAAAGGCCACAGGGCTCATTATGTATGCAAAACGAGCTTGTGATCGCGTTATCTGAAGAACCGATTGATGGATTGCTGCCAAACTTAGGTCATGTATGTTACTTGCAGAGCCGATGAACTGATTAGATGTAGGGGTCACAAGGTCAAAGTTCAAAGATCACAGGGCACATTATGTATGCAAAAACAGCTCGTGATCGCGTTATCTCAAGAACCGATTGATGGATTCCTGCCAAATTAGGTCATGTATGTTTCTTGCAGAGCCAATGAACTGAGTAGATTCTTGGTTCATAAGGTCAAAGGTCATGGGCTCATTATGTATGCAAAAATAGCTTGTAATCACAATATTCTGAAAACCTGTTAATGGATTACAATTGAACTTGAATTTGAAAAATTTCTTCTGTTTTGGTTTGTAAAATTGCTCTATGACGGAGGCATCATTTTCGACTGCGCGCAGTCGAAGTTCCATCTAGTTTGTTTTTTCATTTTTCATTCTCTTGTGCTCTTTTGTCTTTATTTCCTCTCCTCTGCTGCAACCGCATTACTACAACTATTTCAGCAGCTTGACTCTGTGTTGGATAAATCATGATGTTAGCTTGTAAATATTGTTGTTATATTACCGTAGATTACCATTTAGCTTACATTGTTTTGATTTGATTTGATTATTTATTTACCAACGGCAAATGAGTACAATTCATGTCACACAATGTTATATGAGAAGAGAAAATATTTCACCAATTTTATAAGCTTATATCAATTTGTGTTGGGAATATTGATGCTCCTTGCACAAAGGTTGTGCATGACAAAAGAAAAATGATGTTGATACAGTTTATTATTTCCTTTGCGTATTCAGGACTTGAGGACATCTTGGACAGACATTGATATTGCAAGGTCAGCATGGCACAAACATCGTTTAGACAAGGCGACCCGACTCAACCAGAGATTGAGTGATATCGCCAGGGAGATTACTCACTCTGCTATGGAAGTCACTCAGGTTAGTCAAATTGTCAAAATATTGATTGATTGATCAGTGTTTTATTGTACAACGATACCGTAATGTTTTGGTTTTGAATACGAAAATTCAACCTTTTGGGGTAGAATTTTTTTCGGTGCTCAAATTTTTTGTATGAATGAAAAATGTGAGGAAATTTAAGAAATAGTAAACACAATATTGAGTCTTTATTTGGACTTGTTGTGTCTCTCTAAATTGAATATTTTGTACCATAATCATCTTGTACAGTTCATGTTGATATGAATTGTAAAGTGAAACATCTTTTATCCATTGCTGATGACATTAATTACTCAATATTTTCATTGTTTTGTTGTATACATGTTTATTTGCTTTGAATTTATTTTTATGAAAATGAAGAAAGTAAACAATTGATTGATTGATTGATTGGAGCAGGTGCATGACTCTGTCAAGATGTTAGAGAACCTCATTTGTGAATTTTCCATCATTCTGTTGAATCTGTAAGCCTCTTATTTTGATGGTCTTTTCCTAACAGGTTGTTGGTAAATACCAGAATAAGCAGCGTTTTCAGTTCTTGGAGCACATCAAACAGGCCATGTCATCTGCTCTAGACGTAAGGACAGCTTGGCAACATCTCATTGAACAGCTCACACATGAGAGGTAGGTCCTCATGCATAGACATTTTCAAAGACCACTCAGATTTAACAAAATGTTTGTTCTGGGTAATTTAGCAAAAGATAGTAGTATGTGAATATTTGGAACACAAAATGCATAATTGAATCATAATTATATTTCACTTAGGCTAAGTAATATGGAAACTGTCTTTCAGAGATGTTAGTTAAACTTTTACATTCACAGATATCATATCACCAGTAATTATGCCTCTAGTACTCTGGATGCTTCATATACATTTCTCTAATATAAGTGACCTTAAGGTCATCAACATACATGTATATCTTAAGGTATTCAATCCCTTATATTGCTTATATGACAATGAAGATATGCATTTTGTCTTGTGATTGTATTATTGGTGTGAGAAGCAGTATAGCTTATTGCAAGGTTCACGCTTTTCACCTGGGGAAGAAAACTTGCATCTCTCACAAGAAAAGTTTACACATACTCCCTATTCCATCACATGCTGTTGTTGTCTTCTGTAGAGCTGTATGGTTTGATCCAGAAACCTACCCATCGCGCTGGCAGCTGGATCCAACAGAAGGACCAGGGAGGGTGAGGAGAAGACTCCAGAGATGTCATCTCCTCATCCCCAAGAAGTTCTTCCTACCGGACGAACAAACCAAACACAGAGAGATGTGCTCTCGACCTCTGGCTTATCTCTTTGACAGCAGCTCACAGTCTCAGAGCTCATCAGAACTCAAAAGGAGACTGCAGATGAATGAAAAGATCAGGTAGAGTTCAGCTAGTGATGAATTCCAAATTTACTTACTGGGCTATGCAGTATGGAGATTTTCATGAAGAGACCTCTTTAATAAAAGATAAAAGAATTTCCAGTAGATTGTTTCATTTTGAATTATGTATTTTCTGCTAGATGATATACCTATAATTGAAGGTCACTTTCAAAGGTCAGAGCACACAAGTGCCCCTTCTGTTTGAAAGAAACCAATAATTATCTGTAGAACTTATTCAATAAAGGATGTTTATTTTCTTTGGACTTCCTTATCCACTTGCAATGACCTGAGTCACTTATCTTTTTGTCTTGCATTCCAAGTGTGAACTTTAGCTCTATGGAATCACAAACAAAGCTTGTAATGACTACAACTTTTTGTTCAAAAAATTAGCTGTAACGATATATTAATGAATTAATCTATTTCTCTTTCTCATTCTGTCACCCTTGCAGCCTTTCATCAACATGTGTCAATGTCACACCCGCCACTGAGACCAGGGGTGAACTGCTGCTAGGCAACAACAGCATGTACTTTGTGGGTGAAGAGCCTCTGAAGAACACTATTGATGCAAGTCACACTAAGGTTTGTTCAACTATCATCTCAGCAAATTTGTTGTCACCTTCAAATTTAGGGTAGTATTTTCTCTCAGTTACTCAAAGAACTGCAAACGTACATACTTGTGATATCTTCTGCTGACTGCAATTTCCCACTTCCCCTGGAACTGTCATATGTGCTAAAATTGATATTGCAGAATAAATGTAATGTTTGACCCTTCATCTGCCTTAGCTCAAGGAATTGGGAATCTGCTATATGTGTAAAAGTTCATGCAGCAGAATACATTTTATCTTTGACCCTTCATCTGCCTTTAATAGCTCAAGGAATTGAGAATGGCTTATAAAATCTTTTCACATTCACAGGTATGTGAATATACATGTATAAACCTGAATTATCATATATGCCATTGTGTATATTTTGCTTTGTTTTCTGAAGTCCCAAGATGTGGCCAAGCAATGCCCTTAAAAGTAGATTGGTAGGTGATGAATATAATGCACTGTTTATATCTGACTCATCGCCTGTGTAGTTTTCAATGGGAACACTGACCTAATTTGCTCTCAATTGAATCCTTGACCCTACAGGTCTCTATGGGTGACACTGATCTGATGACCATCTGGTGGACATACACTGAGATCAAGGAACTTCACCTGAGATGGTATCAGCTGAGAGATAATGCTCTGGAGATCTTCCTGACCAATGGCAAGACTCTACTGCTTGGCTTTGACAACACTGAGGTAGGTCCCCCCCCCCCCCCTTACGATCAGATGAATAATAATGCAGTGAATCTACAAATACCAAATGGATTGACAACAAGTTTATTCATTAACCAATATCTGTATTTTTTCGGTCAGAAAACTAGCTGTGGTATTTCTTTTCTCTTTTTTGTATGAATTGAATATATAATGCATGATATTAGGTGCAACTCAAAATTTAAGAAGCACATAACCCAAGAATAAGAAATCTTGATATTTTTTTTTTTTTTGGGGGGGGGGAGGATCTAATATTTAAAATCTTGCTGTAGCAAAAAGGATATTTCTGAACTTCTTCCTTGAAAATCTCAATTCTTGAACTACTCGACCTTTGTTCTTGTCCAGGAGCGTCAGACCATCTTCCAACAGATCAAGTCCATGGACCTGCCAAACTTGATCGAAGTGGACAGTGTCCTTGCGCTCACCCAGGCGTGGCGACTCGGTCAGATGACCAACTTTGAGTATCTGACCCAGCTCAACAAGCTTGGTGGACGTTCATTCAATGATCTCATGCAGTATCCAGTCTTCCCGTTTGTTCTGAACAACTACATTGATGAGAAGATAGACCTGACCACAGAGAAGTGCTTCAGGGATCTCACCAAGCCAGTGGCAGTGCAGAATAAGGACAGGGTGGAGAGATACATGGAAAACTACAAGGTAATAGCTTTCTAATGATTTCAAAAGTACAGTGTATGCTAATTGGTTTGCATAAGAGACTATAACTATAAACATGTCAGATGGTTAGATGACTCTTTTAAGAGCTTTATGTTGATACTTCCTCTGTCTTTTGGGGAAAATGAAGTGAAACAGTCTGAAAATCAGAATTATTATATTCTTTTCTATTATGAAATATGAGATGGATAAACTCCTTCCTCAGATCATGTTGTTTTTAATGTTTGATTCAAAATCATATTTATCTTTATATTTACCATTTAAAACACTGTTGGACAGACAGAAGCCTATTGCTTTGGAATGAATATCATTTGTAATATCTGCCATGATTTAAATTTTCTCCAGTAAATTTAATGTGTGAGAGAATTCAAATCCAAATAGATTAGTTGCAAAGATACTTAATTCCGATTTTTTTTTGTTCTTTGTTTCTTCTGCTCCCGACAGGCTTTGCTTGAAGAGTACGATAAGAACCACCGTATGGGAGAGGAGGCCAGCACTTTGGTTATCGGGCCATACCACTACGGTTCTCACTATTCAAACAGTGGCACAGTCTTGCAGTACCTTGTCAGACTCCCGCCGTTCACTCAGATGTTTCTGCACTACCAAGGTAGGTGTGCATGGGAAAAGGGTGGCAGTGAGGATGATGATGGTGGTGGTGATGGTGATGGTGGTGGGAATGATGGGGATAATGATGATTATGATAATGTGTATAATGTTGATGATGGTGACCATGACCCAGCTAGAGGTATGAAACTATACATATTCATCTAAGGTATAGTTTAATAATTCAGTGTCACCATTTGTTAAATTTTGTATTGTTTATTACAAATGTGGATCAAGTTTGATTAAATTTAAATAATGAAATAATAAAACTTAGCTAACTATTTCATCATTATTTCATCTTTGCAAAATCTTTTTTTTTTTTTAAACCTATACCATGTTCACATTATTTTTCAGATGATGTATAAAATTATTATCATGTTATGAACTCTCAGAGTCTAATCTTTGTTCTCCTTGTTCTTACAGACAATCACTTTGACCTCCCGGACAGGACGTTTCATTCTATCCAGACCTCCTGGTTTCTTTCTTCCTTTCAATCTACCACGGATGTTAAAGAACTCATTCCTGAGTTCTTCTTCCTCCCAGAGTTTCTCTTGAACAATCAAGGTCAGTATAAAATCATAATTATGACATATCTCCAATTGAATTTGTTTTAAGGTGTGCTTGCATTGGGCCTATGTTTAAATTTCAAAATGTTAGGGATCCGAAATTGAATTTTAGGAACTCCTGTAAGTGTCGAACCCTGATTTAAGCCTATGACATTAAGTGCTTTGAGCACCTGAGCAGGCGGATTCCAGTGCTACAGAAGATATTGTTATTATTTTCAAAAAATCAGTTATTATAGCAATAAGTAATACGTAAGTGCAGGTGAGATGAAATACTGTAATTTTATTCTTTAGGAATAGTTTACTCAAATCTGAATAAGGGGAAAGAGATATATATATATATATATATATATTTGGAATGATAAACAATATGAACATTGAAATCTATCTGAATTGATAAAAAGAAGCCTATATTAAGATACCAAGCGAGCAGATAAGACTGTATGAGTAGCATTGAATATTTTTCATGATGTAGTCAACCAGGTATTGCACATTTCCGAAATGTACACAATTCTTTTAATGTTTGTACTGAAAATTTCACCCCAAACAGGCTATGACTTTGGCTGTCGTCAGTCCGGTGAGACAGTGCACAATGTGATCCTACCCCCTTGGGCCAAGGATGATGCAAGACTCTTTGTCCAGATCATGAAGCAAGCCCTGGAGTCAACGTACGTCACTCAGAAGCTCCACAGTTGGGTGGACTTGGTCTTTGGATACAAGCAGCTTGGCCAGCATGCAGTGGATGCCATCAATGTATTTCATCCGGCAGTAAGTTCTTGATGTGAATTATAAATAGCGAGTTGTACCATGCTGTAGATACGGGATTCTATATTTATTTACACGCTTATGCAATTGTTACAAATATTGTTGTACCATGCCAAAGGCCCAAATGTGATCCCATTTGGAGACATTTCTTCAACCTTCCCACTATTTCCAACAGGATGTCAAATAGGAGCGATGTGGAGTTGTTCTTTTTTTCTTCTATTATAATATCACATTGAATTTACTTTCCAGAAAGAGAGATGTGAAATTTATGTTAGATATGAATTCTGATTAAACAAATTATTAATCCTCTTTCAACCTTCTTTTAAGAACAACAAAATCTTGGTGCAGCCATTAAAATATCAAATTGCAAGAGCTTCAGGAACAAAGTTCACTACATATTTGATTTTGTTCATGTTTGATTTGCAATATGTTCCTGATTTTTTTTCTTCTTCCAGACGTACTTTGGTCGTGACACACGTACCATCAAGGACAACACCAAGAGACGTGCCGTAGAGACCATGATCAAGACGTATGGCCAGACCCCTAAGCAGCTGTTCACCAACCCCCATCCTCAGCACAACGATCCTGATCCGGTCATTGTGGATTCTGCCATGATGGGCAGTGTCAACATGGGATTCTTGACCTCCTTCACCTCCAGGTCTAAGGGATCATTGTCTAGTGACAAGGGCACCTTCAGGGTGAGTCTTGATAAGAATCCTAGAGGATCATAGAGGATCATAAAGAGGAGTTTTGTTTTGAGGATACCAATTGCTGTTCTGTTATTCTTGTTAATATTCAGTAAGGACTTCAGACAGTGAGTTAAGAACAGAGGGGTATTCAACTATTATGCAAGCCAGGATATAATTCAGATTCTTAAAACTTGAGGAAGTGAATCCTAAGCTTGGATGAAAAATATTTGAAATAGTATAAAGAGATAGTGTGGTGACCTAGATTTTCATAACTTTTTCATGAATTATATTTACAAATACATGTATAGAGACAGACTTTTTCTGAATGTGTTTGTGTATTTTAATATTGTTCTTGTCTAATGTATTCACCAAGTTGCTGTAGATCAGTCAAAATGTGTCTTAGGGCCTTTGGATTTCAGAAAGAATGGCCTTTGTAATCAATGACCCCTCTAGACAGGTTCTTCAATGCAAGTTTCTTCCAAGAGACACAACATACATTTGTAGGTATACACTATAGGCAGGTGGCTTATACGCCCATGCAGCCGGTATTACAGAAGTGACCATCTCTTGAAAGAGCCCATTCTTTTAAGTTCTTACTTATTCTTCTATTTTCTCTGTATCAGGAGCCTGTGTCTCACGTGAAGGGGATGCGATGGGGAGACTACCTTGGATCCCCTGCTTCCAGCGAGCCCATGGTAAAGTGGCAACAGGCTTTCATGACCGCACCCAATCAGCTCATCCCTCTACCTACAGGCAATGTGTGTGGTGTGGCTGAGAACCAATGTCTGCTTGTCATGTACAGCAAGGAGAAAAGTATGTAGTACAAACTCTTCCTTCTGCTTTATCTGTTATTCTTTTTATTTAAAGATGACTTCTTTTATGGTTGTTTTGCCGTTAGGATTGAAAACATGTTCTTCAAATTTGAATTGTATTGTCTTTGGTGACTGAGAATCTACCATATATAATAATGCTGATGGAAAGTATGGTAATTTGTCACAATATCTATTATTTCTCCCTCTGATTTGCTTGTTATTCCTATGTCATTTTTTAAAAGGGAATACCTTAAAAACAAACAAAATTTGTTACTCTCCCCTTTGCTCTCTTTGCATATCACTTTATTTTATTGGTACTTTTATTCATGTTGTGAGACAACTGGTAAAACGTGTGGTTCGCACAGTTGCTTGAATTTGTGTGAATAAATTTCCTTACAATTATCATGGTATAAATTCATTATCAAATGATTGCATTTTGTTGGAATATACGAAAGAAAATGAGTTCAAATTTTTAAAAATGATGGATTTAAAAGGGTATTTGATATACCCTTCATATAGAGAGTTATGCCCTTAACATACAGTCTGTTGACATATTTGGTATATATCAAGATATTGTATTAAATTTGGATCTTCTCTTTTCAGGTGTGAGCAGCATGTATGCAGTGGACATCAAATGGTCAGGATTCTTGACCTGGGGTCATTCAGATGGTATTCTTAGACTCAAGCACAAGGCCAAGACCCCTCCTATCAACTTCCTGCAGTCCAATACGAATGATGAGGTAAGGATACAGGCAGTAGTATAGTGTGGAGCCAGCCATCAGGGGCTTTGGTCTTACTATGTGGATGAATGATATGAGCTCGAGAAGGGGTGTCAGTGATCAACAATTGCTCCTGTGACAAATTCCTCCAGGCTTTATTTTGGTCAAAAGTGTAGGGGCAGGGTTCCAAATTGGTTTTAGGTTAGGATTTAAGAGTAAGGATTAGGGTGTAGTGTTAGATCCAGGGTTAAAGTTAGGATTTGAGTTAGGTCTATAAATAACCACAGGGAAATTGTCACAGAATCATGCGCGTACAACTTATCTTGGTAAAATTAATGATGAAATGCAAACAGTTGTTACTGATTAGTGAAGATCTATTGTCTTTCTGATGCTACGTTTTCTGTCCAACAATCCACCCACCAGATTACCTCATGCAGTTCTGTGTCTGACTGTCGTCTGATGTTCACTGGAATGGCCTCTGGTATGATCATTGCATACAATATCAAGTTTAACCAATACAAGGTAAGCTCAATTGATTCTCAACTTGACAAAGCTCTAAGGGCAAAAAATTAGTAAAACAATATTTTTGTGGAGAGGATCATTATTTCTAGTATTTTTGTGTATTTTTCTATAACTCCAAGCAGAACTCTAGACTTTCTTCTACATCTCTCTGTATGTACATTAATCTGTGATCGGGTAAAAGTGATTTACACATGCATCTACAAGTGGACTGGGAATGAAATTCTGAACAAAAAATTCTTCTGTAGTAGATTTCAAGTTCAACTGCTCCTCTCAAGATTCTTTTGTTGTTAATTACAGGATGAAATGAACAACTCCAAATTCTTCTGTTGTTGATAACAGGATGAAATTAACCACTTACATTCTATGGTTGTTTATTACAGGATGAAGTTGTTTATTACAGGATGAAATGAACCATAAAAGAATTTTAATTGAAAGACTTTTGATTCTACTTTCAAGTACACTGATTTCTGTTCGTAAGATTGATGAGGGAGAAGCCATCTTAGTTGTGATAGTTTAAAAGGCATTTAGAAGGATTAAAATGAGAAGGTAGGATAAGGGACAAAGGTGGGAACTGATGATACATTTTAGACAAGGCTCAAAATACACAGGGTCGGTGGGCGATACATGAGCTACATAATCGCCTCCGTCAGATTTCCAAAGGTGGCGGTTGCAAAATTAAAAATCGCCCTTGTGGAATTATAAATCCATAAATAGTTCCATACGGATTAAATAAGACCTATTTCCCCACTTTTTTTCCCTTTCTACAGCAAAGCAGCATTGAAGTGACCCGGTCAGTGGTGCGTCTTCTTGGTCACACAGGACCGGTCACCTGTTTGTATGTGTGCAGACCATACAGCATACTGGTCAGTGCCAGCCAAGATGGGACATGCATCATCTGGGATCTCAATAGGTAATTCCCCTATGACATCATCATAGATAGCCTTCCTTTTTACTATCATTACTGCTATGGTTTTCATCTCTGTTCAAAGACAGGCATACCTATGATTGTTCTGTTCAAATTCTATTTAAATACACATGTACCAGGCCTTCACCCTCTCCCTCTGCCTGTTCTGCTGTTATCTCATTCCGTTTGGGCAAATAATGTATCATTCTGTGACTATATCTATTATTTCTAAACTTACACCAGTGAACAAAATTATAAAACGGTGAATAAAATACCACATGGGACAAACAAAATCAAGTCATTTATTCATTTATAACTATAAACCTCTGTTCAAAGACATACCTATGATTGTGCTCTGCACAAGATGAAAGCTGTGTAACAAACAGAGATATATAAAGCAGTGCCTTCTCCACCTGTTTCAGTGCTACTCACACTGATCACAGACTATGTATGGCACTACACATTGACCCGACCCACAAAGATTATTGTTCGTTTTACAGGCATATTTCTGTGCACAGTGTTCATGTATTAGTAATCAACTAGTAAAGAAATTAATCAAATTAATAGATGCTTCTTCCAAGTGCCTATTGATAAAGTATAAAACTTAATTCTCTATTGCTTCAAACAATTGCAATAAAGGTTGATTTAGTTGCATTAGTTGTTGCTATGTCAAAAGAGCTATGGTTACTAAAGCATTTGTATGTTGTAAGCTAAAAGTTATGTAACCCAATTTTTGTTTTCTTCTAGACTTTGCTATGTGAGATCATTGAAAGACGAGACCAAGCGAGGGGGTAGTATCACTGCTGTAGCTGTCAGCGAGGTCTCTGGTGACATTGCATCAGCTTCAGATGTTGGTAAGTTTACTCTTTAATAAATTATCATGTGTCAAATGATGAGTATAAGTAGTAGAATCTGTAAGTAACATATCAGTTTAATTTTCAACTTAGACAAGATACATAGGTACACATCCATGGAGTCTCATCTTCTGTAGACAGTGTATTTTTCAATGAAGAAATAACAGGGAGTATGGGACCATGACACCCCCCCCCCCCCCCACCTCCCTCTTTAAAAAAAAATGTCTGGAGGGATGAGATAGCTGCTTCCATTTTACAATTATATAATGTCATCATGCCATATTTTCAAGCAATTACTGATGTTTATGTTTTTATTTTCTATCTTCCTTCCATTACTCCCTACCCTTTATGTGTATGTACTCGTCTTCTGTGTTCATTTTTGCTTCATTTGTAATGTGGTTAATCTCTCACTTCTCAACAATCTGTTATATATCTTATGCTTCATTACCGGTACACGTCCTATAATTGGTGAATGCTTTGCCGGGATTAAACCTGTATTGCATTCTTCTTGTTGTGATTCTGACCTGTTTCTGTATCTAACTTTTACCTTGATTCTTCGTTGGACCCCCATTGATGATTTCATCATTGGAATGTTACTAATCACCACCACCCCCTCCCCATCACCACCTTCCCCAATCCCTTACCTTCCCCACCACCCTCTTGCCCCTGCATTGCACCCCACTTCCCTGGCTAACCTCAGCCTCTGCTGATGTCTCTATGTTTCTGACAGCGGCAGGTGTAAGTGAACTAACACTCTGGAGTATCAATGCTGATCTGATAGGACGAGTGTTCTGCCACAGTCGTATGCTGTGCCTGTCCTTCTCCACCGCCCCTGAGGGTATCTCTATCAATGCCATAGCTGCTGGCTGCTATGATGGCATTGTCAGGTAAGGCTCAACTTCCAATGATTTTGACACAAATCTACTTGGCTTAGATTGTAGCAGACCACAGACACATAGTAGTTTGTAAGAGCCTTTTATTTGTATGTATGCTTGGGTATGGCCAACATTATAATGAGAAAGAAAGAAAGATAAGAATTAAGTCTTAAAAGAAAGTCTGCTAGCAGAAAATATACAATGTAAGACTACCTATTTGGCCAACTGTCTTGTTTGTAATTTCCTTTCTTTGTATATTAAACTAGATGCCTTTTATGTTTGGTAGTAAACAAAGCATGCCATTTCTAAATACTTTTATTTTTGCATATTTTGCATTTTTGCTTGACAAGGTGTTATCTCTCTATCTCTCTCTCTCTCTCTCTCACTCTCTCATGTGTGTGCTTTCTTCTTTCATGTTTCTTTCATTAGAATGTGGAGTACACTGGATTTGAGTCCACTCAGGAACATCTCACCAGAAATGCATCAACCAATTACAAGGTGAGTTGCAATTAGCCTTTTCAGTGATACGTCTCATGAATTAGGCTTTACCTTTTGATGGCCGTATAACAAAAATACCATCAGTGTGGAACTATATACAGGATTAGGTATTTGATGTACTCTATCACAATCTTGTTTATGCTCACATACATGAACAATATTTTTACTGATAAAATCTTGCTTGTTTTTCTGGCAACAAAGAAAATTTTCCTTTTCCAAGATGTTCTTGTCATGAGAGATTTAAAAAAAGCAAATATCTAAACTGTAGGCCTGTTTACACTATGGTCCCACATTGTGATGTCACAATGAAAGTTGCAGCAACCTCCACCTTGATATCGAAATGTTAGTACAAGAGCAAAGTTTTAACCATAATGTAAATGGCTTTTCTTTTACGTAATACAAACAAACAAAAAAGTTTGTCCTGTTCATCATTTCCTGTTGGTTTATCTTTCAATCTTGTTTTATTTTTAATCTGCAATATTAATTCTCCTTTTTGTCTTGACAGCTTAACATTCAGTCACGACTCTCACTTCCTGTTCACCTGTGATGAGGATGGTCTGGTGATTGCCTGGGGGAAGAAGGACACCAACAAGAAGGTGCCCAAGTTTGAAGCCTTCCTCAACGCGCCCAGGAACAGTGGAAGCAGCAGTAATCTAGAAGCAAGTATGTCTTCACAAAGGTAGAAGGAAAGCTCCTAAAGGTGTCCAAGTTTGAAATCTTCCTCAACGCGCCCAGAAACCGTGGAATCTGACCACAGGCACAAGGGTGCCAAAGTAATCACTGCATCCCAAAAGTACTTGGAATACCAGTAACCTGGAAACAAGTATGTCTTGCCAAAGTTGAAGGAAAAATAATCCGGTGTGCAGTCTTTCTAATTTTACAGGAGAGGATTTCCAGTGTCCTACTGTCTCTGACATTTGAGGAGGTGGTACTAAGCAGAAGTAGTAAAAATCATGAAAGACATCAGAAGTTTAATATAGAAATCAATATATATCTAAGTTACAAATTTACAAATCAGAAATGAGAGGGATTTGAGTTACATGTATATCTATCTACTGATCAATAGTCTGTAGGCTGAAGCATAGGAGGCGTTATCAGGAATTTAGCAATGTGAGATTAATATAATGTTGTTTCGTCGAAGCAAGTTCATATTCAACACATTATTTTTCCCAAAATATACAGTAAAGCCAATTTTGTCATCCTTTCTTGTTTCTAATGTCCATTGAGTATATATAACATCACTGCTTATTTCTCAATTTAGATACACAATGGTGTTATGCTTAGAGCAATGGTCTGAACTTTGGAGGGTCTGTGTTCAGAAAGAAGTTGCCTTTCGCAATGAAAGACTTTAAATCATTGTTAGCTCTTCTCTTGTATAGGTTGCTTGTTTGTTTATGTTCCCTCTACAATCTACACTCACTCGTTACATGAGCATCTACAGTATGAAGTATACATCTCTCAATCTCAGTATAGCATGGATTACATGTACATGTAGTTAATCCATATTTAATGTGCTTTGAATGCATATTATATTCACTTTGAAATACAGTAATATCTACACGTAATTTGCTTTTGTCAGTCTTTGGGAGCTATTTTGTCTCTTGTGTGTATTGTTGTGTTCTCTCTATAATGGTATCCTAACAGGCTGTAGAATTATTTTATTACACTCTGAAATAAATCAGTTGGCTTCCACTCCAGCAAATCAAAGAAGTGGCATTAGTAAAGTGAGTCTTCTAGAAGCATTTATATGGAGTTATTGTTGCATGTATATATAGATAAGGTGTCATTTAATAGAATTTACTATCTATTAGAACATCTATTATGCTACATTTTACATTTTCAGTCTGGTTGAATATGTTGGGGTTAAAGGCTTCCATCTATGAATGCCTTTAACGGGTGCATTTGAAATAAAATTCAGTAGAAAATAATTTATCCTGATTTTCGTCCAATGTGTAGATATATATTCACATAACCGTGAAGAGAATTCCATTATGCTTATACCAAACCTATTATATAGATCAATTAATATACAACTTTATATGTCATTTTCATTAACATTTATGCTATCATGCAAGTGTACATATTATTGATATTGCAGATTGCAAATATGTATTTTTGTAAGACGGTAATCACTATGAGCTTTGTACATTATTTTGTTATACTTTGTGTATTTTGAGGTGCAATGCCATTAAAGCATTATATAAACATACCGTATATCAAGTACTTAAATGGTTGTTTGCTTTATGAATGAACTTTATGAATGAAATTGCATTGGGAAATTTGGTTTTCTAAGTTTACATGTATAGTCTATATGCAATTATTTTGGATGAAACAAGAGTGTTCAAAATTGTTTTATATTACATATCTAGTTCACTGAAAAAATGAAAGGCTTGGAAGAGAGAATCATATCAGTTTGATATTTTTCCTTACAAAAGTAGTCTTAAATGTTTCAGAAATACCTTGTAACAGAATTAAAGTCTAAGATTTAAAGTTGAGTTGGTGCAATATTTGTATAATTTCATCTCTTTTTCTTTTTCACTAAATCATGATATATTTTGTCTGTAAATATAAAATCATACATTTTATCACGAGTTTTGTCACTGCCTAGACTGGCCAGAATTTATTTTATTCATTTGCATTCTGCCTCTTGTTTCAGTTTCACTCAATTGCTAAATGTGCCAAATATCACTTTGAAGTGAAAATGTTCAGGTCATTACCTCTCCAATACTAACAGATAAAGCAACAAAGCACAGGGAACTTATTACATCCGTTTCCTTTGAAAAGTTTAAAGAAAGGCGAATTCATTGTTTTTCTTCCCTTCAATTGCTTCATAGCTTTTCCCTTATTATGGGCTTTTGTCATTTACAAAACAATTGCTTCTCGTCACAAATGCTTTTTTTCTTCTCATTATTTTTTATACAGAGCAGGATTGAGAATGGTAACTAATACATGTTAACCCTTTGTAACTCTGTATTTACCCTACATAACACATTATAAAATCCATTTATTCATATTCATGTGCATTTGTGTAGGATGAAAATACTTGTAAAGTGCACAAGCTACCATGTGGAGCAAGAAATAGATGTAAATGTGCCTTTCGGTGATGCATGTTCTAGCACGTTAACCCGAACGGTGGACTGCCTTGTTTAATATATCTGAGGTTCCACATATTCAGTAGTTGAGATCACTTGTAAATGTGCCACTTGTCTTTGGCTTCCCTCACTGAATGTTTATATTTTTCCAAGAAGAACCCTGAATCAACGGTTTAGTTGATCTCATTGAAACTTGGATAAAACAGATTACTTTTGGTTGCTCGACTCAAGAACTAGTTTATTTTTCCTTTGTTTTCGTCCGTCATAACTGGAATCAATTTGATTCAAATATAAACATTGATTTTCATGGAGATTATTTCAGGGGAGAGTTCATATACAACAGATCATCGTTTCATTTTTTTTTTTACATGAGATTACTTTGCTATTTTAATTGCATGTGACCGATTTACCCATCAGCATTATATTGGTGTTAACAAGCATTTGTGTTTTTTCCCTATCAAGTATGTACTTTAATTAAGTTATCTGTGGAGCAATTGGAAGTATAGAACCATGCATTTGTTTAAAATTCAAATTTATATTTTGATAGAGCAACCTACATAATGAGAGATGTGATGTTAGTACTAATTATATAACTTAATTTGCCAAGGTATTGTCTACAGGCAACTCTGTTTGTGCAGCATGTACAAAATGTATTTTTATATATGCAAAGAATAAATATATACAAAGTACTATGGTGAAATGACTTCAATGTTTTTATCGCCTTTCCTATTGTTCCAGAATGTCAGATTATTATTAATTACTTGATGATACAGATAGATGTACAGGTGAAGAGGAGATAGAGATTGGAGCAATAAGTGGAGTAAGAAGAGAAAAAGAGTGAGAAAGAGAGAACAGGGGTGTAGACAATGACAAAAATATTATATAATTGAGACATCTGAATGGAAATTACAGATCTGAAATATTGTTTCTTTTATTGATATTGTTCAAAATTTCACAAGTATACACATCCATCTTAGGCATGAAATCAACTTTTAACAAAAATGCCATTTTTGACAAGACATTTAGCCTCGTGCCCATCGTCATGTTTGATAATTACAAATATACAATTTCTACTGCAAAATAAGTAATCTACATATACGCAAACTTCTGAATTACAATACAGTGAAATCAAGACCAGAAGTTAATATGAAACCTTAACCCTATGTCAACTGGGGGGGGGTCAATTTGACCCCCCCCCTGTAGAAATTTCGCGACTACTCCGAAACCGCGGCAGATATAAAATTTTCCTTTCACGACTTTTTACTTTCGAGTCTTACGCATCTTTTAAAACAATTTTTTCGAAAATCGGACCTACGGTTACAAGGTCACATGACCTTTTGTCTTTGCATGTCAGCCCGAAAATCGCTCATTTTCATGATTTGTGTACAAAACATATGTAAAAGTCATTTTTCCTAAAAATAGATAAAACATTGGTTATTGAGTCTTGTTTAAAGTTTAGATGTTTGTTTTTGGGTCAAAATAGTTGAATTGTAGTTATAAATGAAATAAAACAACAAAAACAAAAAAAATACATAAGTTAAAAAAACAATGAAATACATAAGAAATTATCAAAACAAGAGATAACATAAGTAATAACCTGGCTCTTCCAATTTTTTGTGTTGTATTATTATTCCAAATGGTCTAATAAATATATGTAGTGAAAAAGAATACTTAAATATGAATAATCTATGATTTATGGGCAGAAATGTGAATTGTATGACCTTATTTGCATAAATTAGCATAAATATGCAAATGAGTGAATTTTTCAAAAAATTGAAATTACCATAGTATTCTTTACACTTCACTTGACATGCATGCAAATTTTCGCGGCGATCGGCGGTGAAACGGCCGAGATCTTAGGGGGGGGTCAAATTGACCCCCCCTCAGTAAAAACCTGGTCTGAAATAGCCCAGTTAAGATAGGGTTAAGAGAAAAGAAATAGGACCTTCTTAATATTGCTCAACCAAGTTTTATCCTAGCACCGAGTTCTGTGACCGTTTCAAAGACATTCCTCTGCCGTGATCATACTTCAAACCCAAAATCCCTGGATCTAAGAGAGATAGTTATTCAGTATGCTACTATATGCCTATTCAAAAAATAAACGGGGTTACTTCAATGACAAATGTGGTACTGTACAGAACAGGCATTTGGAATGATTTTCCTTTTCTTTGTATCACAAGGTGACAAAACCAGGGTGAAATAACAGCATGAAGTTTCCTAAGGTTTGTGCGTACTTCTCAGGAATACCCAAACATAGTTGGAAATCACTGAACTTGTGCCAAAGAACAATATTGTACACGTTGTTCAGAATTTAACCATCAAGACTTTCCATTCATTGATCAATGCACTGTTAAGCTTTGTAAAAAGATGGCAGGCAATCTTTTAAGGATGGAACACTGTTTATAGTTTTACTTATCCCTGAATAGTGGTATTAAAGGCTCCTTTTCATTTGATATTAGTAGAGGATTGTAATATTAAGCGAATAAAATAAAATATGAGTTATCTACGCACACACACAGCAGTTTTGATTCTACGATTAATTTGACAGGTGATTGCATATAAATGATTCTTGGCCGATTATAAACTGTACATTAGAAAGAGAAACAGTTCAACATGATATAAACTTGGAACATGAACAATGATATACAGGTATATTATTTTTAGTCTTCCCTGAATGCTGCCATTCAATTACAAGCAAAGCTACAGCTATTAAAATAAATAGGATTCATTGGACTAACAAGTAGAAATGACAAATGCATTTCTGTCATCTGTCGATACATTTACAAAATTTGCATAATAAAATGCTACATCATAAACAAAATAGTTTACTACCAATCAAGTAGAATTTACACCAAACTTGATATATTATCAAATTGATGTATGAAATAAAAATGCTACAAGAACAAAATACTTTTCTTCTCCGATTTTATAAATCATTTTTTGAACAGATTTAACAAAATAGAATGGATTGTCATGGAGCTAAAAGGATGTTAAGTCAAGCCCTAACACAGAATTAACACCCTTCTAGCTCAGAACAGACAATATTAACTTATTAGTCCAACAGCTTAGGCTCATACTAAACCCTAACAATGGATAACCAACCTGAGATTAATAGAAATGGAGACATAAGCACATTCAAACACAATGATTGAATATCTACATCTCTCTCTCTTTGAAAAAAAATTTAATTGAATAATAATCTAGCTTTGCCAAGACTTCTCATGAACTGATTTCTTCATAAATGTTAGCAGCAAATGGGGACTGTACAGTGCAGAAAGCAAATACGTGGTACAAGAATTGCTTTGCATTTATCTAAATTAAATCAATATTAAACATGTACATCCAATGGATACAATCATGATAAACAAGAGGGAAACAAATTGAATGCAGATTCCATCACTTCCACTGCTTTACAAGCAGACAATCCTAGATTACGGGAATGACATATTACACACAATACTATACAGATATGGGGTGGGGTGTTATCTATATGGTTGGGGTGTTATCTAAAACGAAGGACCGGACTGTAGCCTGATAAGACCAGCTTCCATGAGGGTTTGGATGTTGGCTGCAATCTCGGGATTCTGTAAATGTCTGTATAAATAAAGAAAAATAAAATTAGAGTTAAAGTTTTTTTTAAAGAGCAGACTTAGTACTACCAGTTCTAACTTCTTATCTAAACAAAATACCTCCTTATCAAATGACAAATAACTTCACTAGCCAAGCACCCCCCCCCCCTTCCCTCCAATATCATGATAAGTTAAAATAAACAGGGGTGTTGGATCATAGGGGTGTTCCACAAGTATTTGTTACAGTGCTATTTCCTTGCAGGTGTTGGTTGACAAAAATTTAGTAACGTAGGGGTGCAGGGACAGGTGTACGAACATAGAAGTGATAGAACACAGGTACATGTGTTGCATCGTTAGGGGTGTAGGAAATCCTGGGGTGGATGAAAGCATTGTAGGAACATAGATAAAGGTGTTGGGACACCGAAGTGTGGGAATATTTAAAGAGAGGCCTAGGAATATGTGTACAAGAGTTGGATCATACAACTGTAGAGAAAAAGGTGTCAGAAGAACACTGGTGTTGGATCATTGGGAATAGGAAAACAGGAGTCAGAAGTGTAGGAACATAGAGGTGAAGGCACATAAGGAGTGTTGAATTACATGTATAGGACTTGGCCCGTTAAGGATTCAGGAACAAACAGATGTGACAACACCATCATTTGGTGATCTACTTACTCTTTGACAGCCCCTGGGTTGCTATGCATCTGTTCCAGGATCATCCTCATGGCAGGGTCTTCCATGATCTTCTGAACCCTTGGGTTGGCCATAGCTCTCTTCTTGATATCCTCCTCACTCATACCTTCCGTTGGCATCGAGTATGTTGAGCATTTATACACTCCATCTCGAGCTTCCTGTCATTGGAAGCATGATCAAATTTGTTACGCAGGATGACCAAAATGTAAAGACTTATGCGATAGATTTAAACACACTCACAGAGCAGGAGTAAAATATCTGATTAAATATTTCAAAGAGATTGTGCAGTGTAGTTTCCTAGTCACTGGATTTTGATCAATTTTAAAGACCACTAATGAGCACATCTTTGATAATCTAAAGTTTTCACAAACATTTCTTTTGTTTCATTCCATTGAACTGTGCCTACAACCTGGCCATAATGTGTATATATCATTTAGCTTAAAATTCATTGGGATGTATTTCTTTTATAACATCACTACTGCGAACATCAGGAAAATTAAGGTTAATGTGCATGGTATTCTATAGCCAAGAAATTGAATGGAGTTGGATTGTAGGCAATGAAACTTGGATAATGCTAACATCTTTCCATGGGCACCCCTCCATCTCAAAAATTGTAGAATGACAAACAAAACTTCACGACAAATAAGTGTTTTACCTTATTATTGCTATCAAGTTCCAGCGCCTGTTTAAATGCTATGCTGGCTTTAGAATAATCATGCAAACCCATTAGAATAGTTCCTTTCCTGAGGTAGCCCTTGACTGTGAAAATAAGATAATGAGAGAAACATATTTATATCATTTTCCATTCTTGACAAAGAATACCACTATCATTACATTTCAGAGGAATTAGTATGTATAGAAAAGAAAGAGAGATCCAAACAATGACAAATACAATTACGTTGAATTCAAATTTAACATTAAGCTGATGTCCAGTGAAACAATGAAATTAGGATCCAACGATCAGATATACCAAATAACCAGTTTACAACCTTGATTTGTATTAAACCTATGTTTACAAAGAGCTACCGTTGGTTAACTGCTCCTCCAACCGCAAGCATTTAAATCAATCATCTTTGGAAATGTAATGCTTGTGCTAGAGCCTTGGTAAAGTGTGGTTAGGAGTAAGCATTGAGATAAACGAAATATGAGACAGCTGTATAAAAAAACATGTGCATCTAGATATGCTTGAAATAGATGTGTAGGTTTTTGTGGGTCAATGTGTAGAGCCATAAATAGTCTGTGATCAGTGTGAGTAGCACTGAAACAGGTGGAGAAGGCACTGTTTTATATATCTCTGTTTGTTACACAGCTTTCATCTTGTGCAGGGCACAATCATAGGTATGTCTTTGAACAGAGGTAAAAAATGTTAAATTAGGATAAAAAGGAATACCTACTAATTTTCTCTACTTGGTCTCTTACATGGAAGGCAATCACAACACTGTCATTGAATAAGAGCATAGGTCTTCAAGACACTGGCACCAAATTAGATTAATTTTTGAAAGGCTGCTCATGAAATATTGATACAAAATACTTGGGTTGCAGTGGATTTGGAAATTATTTAAATTTTCTTTCTGAATAGAGGAATTCATGCACAGCACAATTATATATTCAACAAGTGAATCTGTTATGAGATCAGTCAATCTAATCTCAAAACTCATATGTGAACATTTATAGAATTTAATACATTGAGATTATGATCAACCTCTTAACTGAAGCAACAAGAAACACTTACCAAATGTAGGATCCAATTTAATACACATTTCACAATCGTCTAGACCCAGTCTAAACTCTGCTAGCTTTGTGTAGCAGGCAGCTCTGTTGCTATAAATTTTACAATTGTCAGGATTCCTTTTGATGGCCTCTGTGTAATGTTTCCTGGCTGTGGGGTAATCTCCTGCGATTTTACAAACCAAAACAGAAGCAATTTTTTAAATTCAAGACTGATTGTAATCCATTAACAGGTTCTCAGAATATTGTGATTACAAGCTATTTTTCATATACATGTATGACCCTTTGATCTTTGACCTCATGACCCTAGAATCTAATCAGTTCATTGGCTCTGCAAGATACATCCATGTTTTGGGTTTGATGGTAATCCGTCAATCGATTCTAATGATAATGCGATCACAAGCTATTTTTGCATACATAAGGAGCCCTGTGACCTTTGACCTTGTGACCCAAATCTACTTAGTTCATTTGCTCTGCAAGATACATACATGACCCAAGATGTGCGGGAATCCATCAATCAGTCCTTGAGATAACACAATCACAAGCTATTTTTGCATACATAATGAGCCCTGTGACCTTGTGACCCCCAATCTAATCAGTTCATTGGCTCCGTAAGATACATACATGACTCAAGTTTGGCGGGAATCCATCAATCGGTTCTTGAGATAACCCGATCATGAGAATGTACAGACGGACGGACAACCTGAAAAGCTACTTCGTTGCGGAGGCATAAAAGCAGTAATAAATCATTAGATAACTCACTTTCAATTTAATATAGAATCAGTTGATAAATTCCCTCTGAGTGATATTTTCGTGGGTGTCGTATTGGCAGTTCTGCCCAGTTCTAACAAATCATGAGGATACATGCCACATACATACCTTTCTGAAATGCAGCATTCCCTAAAGCCTTTTCTTCCTCTGATTTCTCAGGGTCAACGTATGCCAATCTATCTAGCTCTTTCAACTTCTTCTCAACCTGTATTATAAGAAAGAATGGATTTACATATATGATAATAGTCTGTATAAGTAAAAATTGAAACTGGCTAATTTATGCATCAATTTAAAACTCTTTGAAAACAGTTATAACCTTATCCCGAGTTGAGGCAGTGCAAAGTAGGGCTTCCAGATTTGTCAAGAATGACTACAGCAGGCAAAGTAGTTTTACTTCCATGTTGGAAGATCTTGATTGGAGTACATGCGCTGAAAGTAGAAGGGTTGCTAGACTAACTACTTTCATCTTCTTCTTCTTCAAAGCTCATGAAGGGTACCTCACAGTTCCAGTGCGAGACCTGCTTCAACCCGTCACTCGTTCAGCAGGGAGATCATGCAATAAGTCTTATATTGAAATTGGATCCAACATCTTTTGATTATTCGTTCCTTCTGAAAACACTTACAGACTGAAACTCTTTGCCACCATCCACTGTTGACATTCAAGATCTCAATATTTTCAAGGCTCATGTTCAATAGAATTTCTAATAGGATTGTTTTATGAGACTTTTTCTTCAGATTCACATTCCGCCTATTTTCAAAAGAAAGATCATCCTATAGTATACATTTATGATGATTTTGCCTCGTTTGTAATGTATCTATTAATCTTCTTTTCATTCTTATTAGTATACTTCTTCTCTTTCTTCCTTCTTATTGTGTAATTCATAAATACTGTCATTAAAAACTTCCCCTCCTCGTTCTGTGAGTGAATAGCTACTACATTGCAGGCTGTGCCACATGTATTCCACCACTGGTAATATACATGTTTCAGAGGAGAACCACTTTCCCAATCAATTGAATATGATTGAATATGATTCCATTATAAATACTTCAAATTAAAATCCAGCACAGGTAATAATTACAAAAAATTTCCCACTCTGGTATCTACTTTACCTCTTGTCTCTTTTTCAGTGTTTCTGGTGTTCTGTGTTCAGCAAGAGACTTGTCATAATAAAGGACAGCATTTTTAAAATCACCCTCTTTGGCATACGATGAAGCAACTCTGGAAAATGCTCTGCAACAGAACAAAATGGTTGAAAAGACAATAAATTATGATATTAACAAGTGTCACAGATAGGGTGAAAATTCATTTTCCTTCTTTATGTGTCATATCAAAAGATCTATATATACTCAAATAAGTGAAATAAAAATCTGTGCACTGAAATTTGTACATGGTTTCAGAAATAGAAGTAACAAGATCCATTTTAAAGGGCAAGTCCACCCTAATACTAAATTTTTTTTAATACAAGGAGGAAAATGTGAAAAAGAGATCAGTGAAGGTTTGAGAAAATTCGGATAATAAATAAGAAAGGTATGGAATTTTTAAACCCATAACTTTTCATGAAATACTTCAAATCTGTGAGTCAAATTGGGAACGCAGTCTCCAAATGATGTCAGCACCTCACACTCTATCCTTTGTTGTATGCAAGAAATGTCAATAAATTCCATTTTGATCAAAAGATACATTTTCTTCATGCCTATCTCAATATGCACCTACATATAAGATAGGTCTACTTTACAATTAACATTCAGAGAAATAGAGATTTTGGGTCATTCTGTCATTCAGATCAGTGGTGAATTGTGAGGGGATGTTATCACAATTTCTGACCGCATTGCCAATTTGTCTCAAAGATTCCATGATTTTATTAAAACCAATTTGATATTAGGGTTGACTTCCCCTTTAAGAACATAAGTAGTGTTTTTATTTTCACATAAAAGATCTCTACAATATCGACCCTATTAAAGGATTGAAATCTGTCAAATCCACTTGTCCTCAAAGAGGTACTAAAATGAAAGTATAAAAACCCTTACACAAACTTCTTACTTTGCAATCATTTTGAAATCAGCTCGATTTTCTCTGCCAAGGTCTACTGCTTTCAAACAGTCCTCTCTGCAAGCACTGTAATCTTTTTTCTCAAAATGTGCCGCTGTAATCAAAAGATAAGTCACAAATATATTCTTATATGTATGTTATTTACTAAGTTTTCTGATGCCATTTTGTAAAGAAATATTAACATACATATATACTATAAAAATATTATTATTTTCCCATACCCATATGTCACATCAATTTACGTCACAAGGAAATTAACATTGAAAATCTTTGAAATTTACAACAATATAGATTTAAATTACAAATTCTAAAGTTTTGAAAAAAAATCACTACACATGCAAGGTTTCAAATTGGCAAATCAGTCACAAGATCTTTTGACTACTATCATCAAGTTTGTTTTGTTGTTGGTATTGTCGTTTGTTTGCTTGCTTGTTAAGATAAAGTGAAACGTCTTTCTCATTCTCTCCTCCACATTATCCTTAATGAAAATGTAATACTTCAGTTGTGTGTATCTGACAATTGTGCATTTTCCTACAAAAAGGGTACCTATGTTCTGAAACAAATATTAAATTTTGTACAATCTTGTGCAAATGGAGCAATTTTATAAATGAAATAGTCCAACTATTTTTAATACAACTCATTTTACTTACCAGCTCTATTAGTGATACAAGATAAGTTGGTTCCATCTTTCCCAAAGGCTTTGGTATAGAGCTCAATGGCTTCATCAAAGTTTTTCTTCTTATATTCTGCATTTCCTTGCTCCTTCAGTTTCAAAGCCTGGATAGAGGGAAACAGACATTTGTCAAATTCAGTCCATTCATCGGCAAGTGTTAAAATGGGTTTTAAATAAAGTGTAATTTTGGTTTCACTAATATAGAGTAATGTTTTTCAGTTAAATCATGAAAATTGTGAATTTTGATAAATTATTCATATAAAAATCAATGATTATAAATATACAATATTCAGAAAATAGTATCAATTCTTCAAAGTTCATAAAAGATTTTGTGAAATGTCATGTCCACAATATGATATCAATCACATGACCTGGGCAAAGGCATGGGGACATCAAGTTTTGGGGGATAAAAAGGGAAATTGATGGGATAAAAATATATAAAGCAATTGTTGAATAGTGAGGCAATGATGTCACAAACTGATAACCAAAGTGGCAATTTGTGAAGTGATTTCTATTTTTCCAGTTTTTCATAATTTTTCAAAAATTCATAACTTCCTTATTACTAGTTATCCGATTTTACTCAAATTTGTTTTGCTGTTTCTCTTTTTTCTGCATCTATTCAGAGCAAATTATTTTTGGAGTGGACTTAGTCTTTAAAACATGTGACAAACAAGCATAGACTCCATAAGTTTTGTAGGACCTTTCCATTTGACTACTGTGGCTGTTTCATTTTTGTTTAAACCAGGGCCGTCAGTGTCAACCCTCCCGCATTTTGAGAAATTCTCAATATTGGGCCGAGGTGGGATGTTGGAGGGGGGTGGTGAGTAAAAAAAGAAATGCTCAAGGGGGGGGGGGGGGTGTTGAGAAGGAAAAAAATAGCTCAAGAGGGTACGTTGAGTAAACAAAATTTTGATCATGGGGAGGGTTGTTGAAACTTGAAAGGGAGTCGGGCTAACTCGGACCAGGGGACAACTCAGCCCAGCTGTGAAAACGGTAATTTTTTGCATGTTTAGGTTTAGGGTTAGGTTTAGGGTTAGGGTTAGGGTTAGGGTTAGGGTTATCCATTTTTGCAGCTGGGCCGAGTTGTCCCTTGGTCCGAGTTAGCCCGGATGAATGAGGGGGGGGGGGGGGTGTTCAGTTTTAAAAAACGCTCAAGAAATTAAGGGGGGTGTTGAGTAAAAAAAAAGTGCTCAATATCACCCCTGAAGAAAAAAAATCTTCCTCCAAGCAGTTCCCAAAGTTGGAAGCGCTGGTTTAAACACAACATCGTCATCCATGAGTCGAATGGAACTGAATACAGAATAGATAAGATTGCATTTTCCTGCTTTTTATTCAGAATCAAGAGACAAGACAAACTCACATTCACAAAGACAAAGTCATCAATTGTCACGAAACAGTCGAAAGTGCCAATTTTTTGGCGAGTTCTGAATTCTGGTTTTGTCTTCATTTTGTTCCTAGATTTAGTAATAGTAAGTATAGTAAAACGTAGGGATTCATGAATATGAACGTGTACAATTATACACGAACACATGTGGGTTTCGTTTCGCACATTGGCATTGCACGTTGAACAAAATAACGTAGGCCTAGATCTAGCTCTTCAATCTTCTGTAGGCCTACATGGGGACAGTACGCTCTTCTGCTCACACTCACAATCACACGAACAATCATAAGGAAATTTCCGCTGCGGACGACCAAACAAACTAATTAAGTTATATATGTATGTTCAAATCACATAAATCAAAACATTTTCAGAATCTATGTAGATACCAATTCTGTCTTCGTTTAATGTCAGAATATGCACAAATCTTACCTCTTCTGCCATTTTTGCACGTTCGTTCGTTCCGAAGCTTCTGGATCAACACTAATTTTCACAAACCTAAGGAAAAAGTAGACAGTTTTGCCTTTCTTCCAGTTGTTATATCAAAGCAATTGATTAAATTAAATATCAAAATAAAATTTCATTAATTGATTATCCGATGCATTATAATACATAAAAATACATTTAAACTGAAATCATTTTAACATATTTATGAAAAGGAGGGTTGTGTGAGTTTTGGGGGGAAACGGTGAGCCTCTTTCTCCTACATAACGGTCATTCGCCTGCCTAACTTTTTAGAAATAAAGCTTTATACGGATTAGCTATACAAACAGTACAGGCGCACATGCACGGTGGCCCTTGCCGCCCTGAGTGACCACGCGTTGTGCGTCATAGACAGGGGCGTACGCAGGATTTTTTCAAGGGGGGGGGGGATTTAAAAATATTTAGCTCCCGAAAATTTGAAAATCGTGCCTGCCGAAAAGTCGCTCAGTGGGGGGTGGGGGGGGGGGGGGGGTAAGCGGACACTTTTTTTTTTTTTTTGGAGTCCAAAAAAAATCGCAACGACTCAGCCAGCCGAAAAGTCGCTCAGTGGGGGGGTAAGCAGACCCTTTTTTTTTTTTGTCTCGAAATTTCAAATTTTGACATTTTTCATCGTGGGGGGGGGGGGTAAGGTCACCTTTTTGAGGTTAGCCGTGGGTATAATTTTTTTTTTTTTTTTTTTCGCATATGCCCCTGGTCATAGATAATCTCAAAAATCTTTTGACATAGGAAAAAATATGCAGAAAAATAATTTGATATATTTGTATTTATTAGGTTTTAAGATTGAACATGAAAACTAACGAAATATAGGCACATTCTGAAAAGACACACCGCTTATGCCTATATACTGTCCGTACCCCCCCCCCCCCCCTTCTCAAAACAGAGACATCAACAAGTTGTTTCCTGTATGGATTAAGCTGATTAAGATTTAACCCCCTCCTTTGTCCAAGGCTGGATACGCCACTGATTAGTGATGTAGGCCAGGCCCGTGAGCATTTGATTATCAAAGTGCTCCTATTGCTAATACAGCTGTAGCCTGTGCACTTTTCCTCTTCTGAAAGGCACCCCCTTACTGCCCTTATAGTCACATTTTCACATTTTTCCCCTGTCTCCTGAATCATAAAAAATCCTTTTTTAAGTGCGAAATTTCTTTTATTTTGTTTCTTTTACCTCTAATTCCTATATCAAAAACGTGTCCTTTTTAAATACAGAAAATTACCCCGATACATATTGATTTCCCGTCAAAAAAGGAGCAGCTTTTTCTATAGTGACGTATTTATGCGCGAGGAGTAAAGCAATGAGCAAAACGAGCATGCAAAAAGTATGTGTGAGGTTGCTTTTGCCACCAAGCAAACAAAGGGGGTGGGGGGGGGGGGGTAGTGAGCACCAATTTTTCTCTTTCTTTTTGCCCCGGGAAATATGAAAGTCGCGCAGGCCGATATTTCGCTCAGTGGGGGTGGGGGTGGCATAGTAAGAAATTTTGTTTTACTCCACACCCCCCCCCCCCCTTGAAAAAAAAAAGGGTTAATTTCTGGTCACCAATTTTTTTTTTTGCCAGGGGAGCCCGACTTTTTTTTTCTTCTTTTTTTTGGCAAAGGGGGGGGGGGCAAGGCCCGCTTTAAGCGACAACAGGAAATATAGGTGAAAGGGTGCACTTATCAATTAACAAAAGGGAAACATGACATTTCTTTTTTTCTTCCAAATAACAATTAAGAGGAATTTATTTGTAAAGGGTCCTCATCATATGAAAATGTGGCACTGTGTTTAATTTGAAAAGGGGCATTTATCGGTAGGGGAGATTGCGCTCATAAGTTAGGAAAGAGGCACTTGTCATAGTTAAAAGGAAGGCTTATCAATTTATCATACTCCAAAGGGGTACTAGATCTACTCAGATGTGAAAAGGGGCATTTATAAGAATTTAATACAAAAGGGGGAGTGTCACTTGTTACAAAGGAATAGGGGTGTTCATCACAATAGAAAGGGATTTATTGGAAAAGATAAGGGACACTTCTCAAAATAAAGAGGGATTCAATTTTCTTTCAGTTTGTTTGTTTCTTTCTTTTTGTTTCTTGATTTTTTTTTCTTTCTCTTCTCTCTCACAGAACTGAACATATTTCAGTTCTGGGTTTTCTCTCTGTCTCTCTTTTTGTTTTTGCATTGAAGGTACCATACCTTCCTTAAACGCCGAAAGACGCTCGGAAAAAGGGTAAAAGTCTTCTAACAGTTAGAGTTTTTTAGACCTCTAGTCTGTTCTACTCTTCTAGGAAATTCGCAATATAAACTTGCGTTAGTGGATCTTGGTGCAAAAAGCATTGCCAGTAGTTTCGTTCACCGTTGAAGGTAAATTTTGGAAACAAAAATATTCACAGGAGTTAACAAGCCGTTTGTATTGGAGGACTTTTCATCGTGATTGTGATCTGGATTCTGGGTGAGTTTACACATAGTCATAGACATAGCTGCATTACTTTCCTGGCTGTGTACTAAAAACTGTTCTATTGATTCTCAACATTTAAAACACCACTGTACAAAGCTCAACTGATTTCACTAAAAATTGGTACTTTAGTGACAATTGATGACACCTAAATAGCAGTAAAATACAATTTGTTTAACTTTCCGACGTTAGAAAAAATAGACCTAATTAAAAAATTCAAATTGTGAGTCCACTGTCAAACTTGCCGATCAGCCACATCGGCATGATTGTGTTCATCTGTGTGTTATGAGTGTGTTGACTATTCATGTGTTCAAATGCTGCCGATTAACACGTAGTGCAGTGCTAGAGGTGAATACGCATTAGCATTGACTCTATGTTTTGCTGGAGTGCCTTTCCCTACGCAAAGCTGCATTACTAATCCTGGCTGTGTATTAAAAACTGTTATATTGATTCTCAACATTGTAAACACCACTGTTAACTGTACAAAAGCCGACATTACGCATTCCCTTGCTAACAGTAACACCATGGCCATTTATGGCCATATTTTTATGCCCCGAAAATCCCCCAAATGTCATTTTACCTCGTGCATGTTCTATATTGTAAATTAGATCTAGGCCTAGATTCTAGGCTATAATAAATTGGTTCGACTTACCGACTTGACTGAAATAATCCGTTTAATGGTCCCTTTTTAGGAAATTATGGGTCAAAATCGAAATCCATGTCTTGCAAGATTTTCAACATGGACTTCGATTTTGACCCATTTCCTAAAAAGGGACCATTAAACGGATTATTTCAGTCAAGTAAGTGGAACCAATTTATTATAGCCTAGGCCTAATTTACAATATAACATGCACGAGGTAAAATGACATTTGGGGGGATTTTCGGGGCATAAAAATATGGCCATAAATGGCCATGGTGTTAGCAAGGGAATGCGTATAGTCGGCTTCCGTCTCTAAAGAGAGAGCCGACCCTACCCAAATAAGAGGCATAACGACCGAAAGAGACGGAAAATTCGGTCTAGTCTAGGGCCTACTGTCAAACTTGCCGATCAGCCACTTTGTATTCATTGTGTGCATTAGTGTGCAATTGTGTGCAGTGTGTGTATTGTGTGTAATTGCCTCTCAGCAAGTTAAAGTATAGCGCTAAAGGTCAATACGCATTAGGAGTACCCTTCCCTTGGCTCATTGCCATGCCGCACCGCTTAGTAAATAAATTGGTGCTACAATGTAGTTCAGAATCATATCCAGATTTTGACCTGTTAAGTTTTATTCACTATTAAAACATAACTAAACTCAACTAAATCTTCACTAATTGTTCAAATAAAGGTCATGATTTAAATTTGTTATGTTTCTATCTGTTTCGTGTCAATTTTCTTATCTCTTTTGGAGTATTTTTCCTAAAAACAAAGACATTGTTATAGTGGAGGGGTAACTAAAGTTCTCATATTCTACACAAATTTATTTATTTCAATTATTACCAAATGGACGACAAAGTTTTTTACTACAAGTTGATTCAACTAGAAAATTTATCATCAAAGTATTTCAGAGATATCGCGATCTAAAAATCAATGTCCGATCGTGCGTATGCGCTGCATCTAAAAAAGTCTTAAAAACAATGAGACCTGACTTCATGCACAGGGGTTTACAGTTGATTTATACAAAAAGGCGATCCATCAAAAATAAGGTAATTTCCTAATTTGCAAGGCAAGATATACAATCAGTTGGTACCACTTATTACTTACAATTTTGAGGATATCTGCTCTCAAAATGAAGATTTCCAAACCCTTATCGATAAGTTAGTAATTTTTTGGAACGGACGCAAATAACCGCACAATTTGCCAATCTTATGTCAATATTTCAATATTTCACACCCGATTCCAGAGAAAATTCCCTCTATAGGGAATTTCATGTTCCTCTTTCCATGGGTGATATCATATTCTCGAGATCTGTAGTATGGCGGTGTGACTGTAGATCGCGCGTGACCTAAGTTCGCTATCTCAACAAAATTGGTAAGATCTCATACTTAGTACTTAGTCAATGGAAATGCCTAATTGCGTATTGACCTCTAGGCTTTAGCGCTGTTAATGTGCTGAGAGGCAGCAATTTCATAGTTTTAGTTTTAAATGGATGCTATTATCGTAAATGACCATAATAATACAGTTCTGTAATTTCCAGCTGATTCACAGCTCAAAATATGTAGAAAAACTGAAGAAACTATCGCTGATATTCCTCCGTCGTGTCTCGCTATGCATTTGATACGACTGAATTTGTGTATACGATTTTAAACGGAGATTCAGTTCGGTTCCACTTACTAGCTTGACTGAATGATGCGTTTAGGTCTTTTTCAGAATTTTCTTCATCAAAATTCAACTCTGTGTTGAAATTCTTGCAGCCATATTTTACACTGTTACTGCGCATGAAGGAAGATGACCACATCTATTGACGGTAGCAGTTTAAAGATAAAGACCAGTTATGGTCATGCGATTGCATTGTGAAAGAAACGTTGTGAAATCGATCAGAAAAGGTTGATCATCTAGCATATCTTGGTGATTTGGTGTGTACTGCAAGGTTCTGGAATCAAAATGATAAGAAATAAAGTTACAAGCACTGTACACAGAAAGATGGGACTATATACGCACACGTGCGCGACACGTTCGTTTATCTCTCACACACCAATGGATAAACTAATTTACCAAATATATTAATTAGTACCGGTAGGCAGTTTCCCGGCAAATTTTTTATCATCATGTATTAGTCAAAACATATTCTTTCACATGATTGGTAATAAGAGCTTCCATTTCATTTTTTGAAAAAGGGGCGTTTCCAATACTGGTCTTCACCTTTAAAATGCTTCTGCACAACGCAAGGTATTAGTTAAATTTAGTTTTACAATATTTTTTTTCTTTCTTGGCCGTTTCTAAAAAAATTAGGGGTGCGTTTTATACACAGAGATTAACTGAATGTTTATACAGGAAAAAACAAACAAAACATGTACATGTATCCGACCGTATGTCTGGACGTGTACACAACTAACAAATTACACGCTTACAATGTATAGCATTACATGGCATGCATTACCGGTATACATGTATGACAAAGCTGACTGCATTATGCACGCATGCGTCCCTGCAGTGTTGTATTGGTATTAGCATCGCATACAAAATTACTGATTTTGAGCCTTGTGATTACTGATTTTCTGTTCTGGAGGTTGGCGTCTCTGCATATCTTATTATCTTTCAATCTGTTTACCGGTATGTTGGATTTATAACTGGACCTATTGTTGGGCCATGTTTCTGACAGGAGCATTCAGTTTTTGGTTCACTGTTTTAGTCATGAAGTCTGATTATTTCATTTTATACAGGTTTTTCTCTAGAAGTCAGAAGAGATTGAATAGCATCATGCCATGTTGGTATTATGAGAAGGAGGATCTGGAACATACACCATCTATCAAGGATGGGATAGATCCAGGCACTGAGGCTCGTTATCGCAGAGAGGGCTCACGTTTTATCATTGAGGCTGGAACTACACAGAAACTGTATCCTTTTTTCTCTGATATGATCTTTAGCCGTACAAAATGATGTAAATGTAAGAACATATTTAAGTTGTGCACTGTGATAAGACTTAACATACAATGTATATCTAATGGGCGCAAGAATTGTGTTTGGTTCCAATATATATTGGGATGTGTTTCAAATATTTAAAGGCTAAACCATGATATTATTTTGTAAAATTCTTGTGATTATATTTCTAAAAGTTATAGGCGTTATATCTGTACAATTGAGAATAAGTATGACATTCATGTTCATCTTCCTTAATTTTGAGATTCAGACGTTATGACACCATGGCAACTGGAGTTGTGTACTTTCATCGTTTCTACATGTTTCACTCATTTAAGGAGTTTCCCCGATATGTAAGTGTGATAGACTGATAGTTGATGTGGGATAGAAAAGTGATTATCAAACTTATTTTCAGTTTTACAAAAACAAAACAATAATTATTATATACCGGTATATTGGATTAGAAATGCTATGTTAAAACTCATTACAATATTCAAATATTACATGCAGATCTCAGAATAAGAATGTGCAATTTTAAAATCACTAAATTGAATAGCACAATATGCATACCATTAAACTATTTCAACATACCGGTAAACAATTTAAGAGCATATTTGTATTGCTGTACTTGCATCGTATAATACACTTGATTTTTTAGAAATATGTAACGTTAGATATCTATCTAGATACCGGATTAAAATCAACATTTGACTGCATATATGATTTTGAAAATTCAATCATGATGTGTTTATGGTATTAATTAATTTGATTTCTTGTTTGTAGATCATGGGTGCAGCTTGTCTGTTTCTAGCAGGTAAGGTTGAGGAAACCCCCAAGAAATGCAAGGACATCATCAAGATTGCAAAGAATATCCTTTCTGAACAACACTTTGCTGCTTTCGGTGATGACCCCAAGGTGAGCGATATGGAACAATGTCTGATCATGGTCTTGCTGCTGGTTGTATAGTTTGAATGTTCCTTCATTGGGGACATAATTCAATATCTGTTTGTCATTTTATTCATTCACTCCCCTATCCTTTTTTGACATCTATTTCTGTTCCAACCGCCATGACAAATTTTTCAAATCATGTCATCAATAAAAGTAGTAGTCTAGACTTAGTCTTGGACGAATATATACATGTAAAAACAAAATAAGACACAAATCGATTCCTTACCTGGGCAGGAGTAAACTTCAGGCTCCACTCGGTTATGCACGCATTGCAACAACAAAAAGTTTGATCTCCAAATACATTGGCATGTGTACTGAACTCTGAATGCCAATATGTAGTCATACACAATCAAAACAAAGCTTCTACATGTCCCACAGACAATAGTTCAGGTTAATCCAAATAAACATTCATGATTGGTTTATGCATAATAATTTCCAACAAGTGTCAACAAAATGTTAAGTCCTGTCAGTGACCGTGCGCTAGCGCTAGCTCACACAGCTACACACGTGCGCTGCATGCATGCCTGAGCTGCAGCTGCAAGCATGGATCCCAAATTGCTAGCGTGATATGTATAGCGTGTGTATTATCTAGTTTGTGATCCAGTTGTTACGTGATATTTGCACGTCCAAATACATGCGGAACGTACTTCAAAAATTATGAAAGTGCATGTCCGCAAAGTTTAGATATTTTTTATCACAGACTCTTACACATGCAGCGTAAACAAAGCATTGGTATCTGCTGTACAATACAATATACAAACTATGCGGTAATATACATATATATATATATATATATATATATATATAAGTCTATTCATGTTTTTTTGCTGGTTCATTCATATCATATCTAATTGATACACGTTTATATCAGTAAAAAAAACAATTACACACACACGCATCTGGTGCTCTTCCAAGTTGGAGAAAAGGGCGGAAAGAAAAAGGCCGGAAATTCAAAATCATTCAAATAATTTAAAATTCATCATCAAATCAATCAACAGAAGTAGATGATTGATTCTATTGTGATTTTAGATATTGAATGATTTTCATATGTGATTGATTATACAGGAGGAGATCATGACACATGAAAGGATCCTTCTGCAGACCATCAAGTTTGATCTTCAGGTAGAACACCCTTATAGCTACCTCCTCAAGTATGCCAAGACATTTAAGGGAGACAAGGATAAGATACAGAAGCTGGTTCAAATGGCTTGGACCTTTGTGAATGACAGGTAAATAACATAGAAAATAATGTGATAATTTTATTCTTCTTTTTTCTAGCTTATGTTTATAGCACGGAATGATGTATAAAGTAAATAGCTAGATAAAAGAAAAAATGTACACATACCATTGCATTGTTAGCTGCTGCGTGTACTTGTAGATAGAGTTGTGATTTGATCTCAATTGATTGCAGATCAACGTAAAAATGATATTGATTGCAACTCTGTACAGGAGAGGTATACAATTATAAACATGCTATCTTTTTTTTTTTACGTACCGCACGTCAAACAACTTCCCTAAAATGTTATTCGGATCACAAAGTCAATAGAAAACTAAGGTTAAAACATACTTGAAGAGAAAAATATTCTCAAAAAGAATGAAATGCCGATAATACCAAAATAACAAAAACAAAATTCCTACTTGTAAAAAAACTATAGGTCCTTATATGGAAAAAAAAAACTGCATGAGGAATGGACATTTCTGCATTGGAAGTGTATAGCACATGGTTGTAAGTTTTGTTTTAATGAATTCCTTTTTCTTGCTTGAAATTCCTTTTTTTTTGCCATCATGGTTCCTTTTTTTGGTCACACAAGGTTGGCAGCTATGTCAATACATCTCATATAATAATAATAATTTGATATACAGGTATCAAATAGTCTATTCTGTTATTCTGTCCTTTTCTTTAGTCTGTGCACCAGACTATGTCTGCAATGGGAGCCTCACATTGTAGCAGTGGGATTCCTCTACCTGGCAGGCAGACTGTCCAAGAGTGACCTGATGGACTGGTCAGGCAAGTCTAGCAAGAGCAAGTGGTGGGAGCAACTGACCGAGGATATTTCTCTGGACATCATGGAAGGTCAGTGTTGGCTGCGTTTATAGAGCAGGCGGTGGTGAAATAATGTAGGCCCCACGTTCAGATGTATGTTGAGGGATAATCTAACCCTAGTAGTTGTTGAATTTTGAAGTTATTTTCTTGGAAATACGAAGCACTAAATATTGTTATTACTCCTTTTTTTAGTCGAGGTTCAAATAAGAATGCACTTATGCCTTTACAAATTTTTTTCCTAATAGGTACCCATTTACTTCTCCTGGGTGGAGAGATGCAAATCTAGATTGAAGTTTCACCAAAGGAGTTACTAGTAGTGCCATAGCAGGGTTTCAAACCCTATAGCTTGTTATCCATAGTCTGGAGACATATCCATTAGACAAGGACACCTAAAGAACAGTATTATGAAATATTTTTGCACTAAACTCAAAGACGAGGAATTCCATAGTTTTTGTTTTCGTCTAGAGTCTAGAGTCAATATTTGCCAGTCTTCATATCATTAGCTGAATACAGCACCCGCATTTCATGTCTTTTCATTTCTTTATATTTTACATAGAAATCTGTCACAAGTTGCTTGACTTGTATGCAGCTGGTCAGCACAAAGGACCTACTTCTCAAGGTACTCCTACCAAGGCTCCTCCTCCAAAGAGACCTAAACCTGTAAGTACAACTATTCACTATCAATCAAACAAAAATAAGCACATTTTGGAGGCCAAAAGCGGTATGATGTATCCTGTCATTTTTACTTTTTAATAAATTCATTCAAATGTTAAGCCCTCCCCAGCTTAGTATGTTAAATAGGTATGTATGATTAAAGAGGTAGTTATAAGATCAGCCATACTTTTTAGATCAATGGCTTAGTCTAGGTTTAAAGCCAGATTATGAAGAGTTATGATTTGATTTACCGGTATGGAATGCCAGATGTCAACATAGTCTTCCTGTAAGAATTATATTAATGCTACTAATCAAGAGAAATTATGTTATCAATGATTATTGTTGTTGTGATAATCATGTCTCATTAAATGACATAAAGAGAGCATATTTAACATGAATATTTTGCATGAAAAGTATGATCCATGATTATCATATCAAGACCTGCCTGCTTCCTATCTCTGTTTAATACTGTATGGCTTGAATTTTATGTGTGTTTTTTGTTTTTGTGAATATTTTACAGAAATCAGCACAAGATGGAAGCCATGGAGGTAAGACACATCCTTTTGCAATTTCTGTTAAAATATATATTTAGTAGTAAATTCAAGTTTAAAGGGATTGGGTATCTTTGCCTCAGATTCTGACCAAAATCCTTGATTTAGCTCATGCTGTAATCATAATTAAAAACCTTTAGGTCAGTCAGGAATCCCATGACTTTTACAAGCCGATCGTCTGTCTGATTATCAAGATATTTATGAGTGGAAATCAAAACTTCATTTTTTGTTTTCCTAACAGTTTTCATAACACTACAGGTAAAACCGGCCAAGATTTTTACTCTTTTGAGGCACTTCATGATCATTTTGAACCGCAATTTTTTTTAGGGCTTCAATATTACACCATATCACAGACACTGATAACATGTAGGGCCATGCACCTCAGATTTAACATTGTTAAACCATGCCTATAAAGTGATTTTTGTGCAGGCTTGTATTGTGTGTAATTTATCAAATCATATCCGAACAGCATTTTCTCATTGATTGTTCTGATGCATAGAAGAATTCAGGAACTGTTGAATGCAGATTTTTTAAGTGAAATGTCAAATTTGTGTAAATATTATTAAATTATCTTGTGTCTTGATTGGTCATTGGTCAAAACATTGAAGTAAAGTTACATAATTATTTTTCAGGCAGTAATAGAGTATTGAATTTTTTCTTTCATTTTTTAGATCCAAAGGCAAAGATGATCAAACAAGAGCATTCAAGAGAGAAGCAGAGACATCCACCTCCTCCTCCCCCATCGGCCGGAACAGCGCCCCCTGTCCATCCCTCTCAAGCCAATGCATTGCATGAGAGGCGCCAAGCATCACCAGCACCCCCTCCACCTCCTCGTGTGCATACCAGTGGATACCCTTCAAATGCCAGTACTCACAAACCCCATCCGGGTTCCTCTGTACTACCACCACCACAGCCACCTCCTCAAAAGCAGGCACCACCTCCTCAACAGCAGGCACAACCTCATCAAGCCCCTCCCCTCCAGGTACCTCCTTATCAAGCACCTCAACAACAGGCACCTCCCCCTCAGGCACCACATGTCCCTCACCAGGTACCACACCCAGCCACACATATAGTGACACACCCAGTGCCAACACCAGTCCCTCATAGTGCACTGCCGCACCAGCCCCTACAAACCCAGCACCATCAACCCCCAGTTATGCATCATCAACCACCCCAACCAGCTCTGCAGACAGCAGTGCCACAGGTCCCACCACCACCAGCTACAGTGACACACCCAAATCCTTACCAGCAGGTACCAGCCTATACGCACCCAAATCCCCCAGTATCCACATATGCAGCACCTCAATACAGTGCCCCACACTACTCCACTGGATCGGTCCAGCCACCAATGTTACCACCAGCTACCCAAACACAACCGGTGATTCCACCTCCAGCGCCTGCACCTGCTCCTGTATCAAGTTCAGGTCACCTGCCACCCTCTCAGCCACCATACCAGATCCAAGGGCAGTTTATGAACCACCCTCCACCTGCAGCCATGCCGCACGCCTACAGGCCACCTCCAGCAACTACCCCTGCCCAGCAGTACCATCAGCCACCACCCGTACAATCTGCTGTACCCCAGCAACCACCCATCTACCGGCCACCGCCGCCAAGACCTGCCGTACCAGGAATGCCACAGACAACGGCAACCATGCCACTACAGTTTCCTCCTCGTCAATTACCTCCTCCAGGCCAACTACCTCCAAACCAAGCACCACCCAGCTTACCCAATCAGTATCAACCCCCCACTCCTCCTATTCCTACTCCCACCACTCAATACCGATCCCACACACCACCGGTGTCCCATCCAGTGGCTCAATCCCAGTACAGCTTCTCAAGATCTCAGTCAGATGAGACAACCCCTTTCCCAGCTGTGCCTCCAACAGCAACTTCTGCTGCCCCTCCTCCTCCAGGTATAGTACCCAACTACCCACCCCCAACCAGCAGCCAACCGGCGCCCGGTCAGCCTCCTCTTGATAAGTCCATGATGAGCATTGCCCAGGAATACGCTGCCCAGCAGCTACAGAGTTTGGGGGTGCCTCGCAATGTTGCCATGCAACCTGTGTCCGGCTTTGTTGGGCAGCAACAGCAGCAACAGCAGCAGGGTACTACCAATCAACCACCTGGTACAGTAGCGCAGCAGCCACAGCAGCAACAGCAGCAGCAGCAACAACAGCAGCAACAGCAGCAACAGCAGCAAGGTAGCTACACAACTGGACTGGCCACTGTTCGTATAACTGGTCGAGAAATGATGGGTAGGAGGCCCTCACATGGTAGTGCAAGTAATACCTATAGATGAAGTTCTGTTAATTTTATGGATATTTGATTTGTAGTTTCAGGCACAAGTAATAGTTGATTAGATATCAGTAAATTTACAAGATTAAAGCTACTTGTGAAATGGATAATAGGTAATGTCAGAGGTAGAGGTGTCATTGGCTAGTGGATACGTCACTGGACTGTGGATCACAGGGTGTGCAAGACATTGATTTACCACAATTTGCCACTCTCCACCCAGGTGAAGTAAATGGTTACCCGGTAGGACAAAATTCTTTGAATGCTTTAACGCTTTATAATGTCGGCTCAGCTACAGCCGGGTAATGATATGATAATTTGTATTAAGCGCAGTAGAGTATATTCATATAGTAGCTGGGCTATATACAGTTAACAACTAAATTATTCATACCCCTTGTAAATTGGATGTTTTTTTTGTTTTTCATAAGTCAAGAATGAAAGGTGGACTGGTTGAATTAGGGTCTTTGTTCAAAACTTTTAGATGTAAGCTATAATGTGTCACATTCTCAAGAAATATATATTGGGACAAATCCAATTTTTTCACATACATAAACAAATTACAAAACTTGGCAAGGGAATGAATAATTTAGTTGTTAACTGTAGATGTATCTATTATTGTTAATATTATTAGAATGTGAAATGCAATGGAGAATGGCATCTATCCATGTACATGTATGAATAGAGAGGTGGATATATACTGGCTTGAAACTTTCGAAACATCTTTGGCAAAATGCATATTACTAAGACAAGGATAATGGTTGGTTATTATTATCCATATGAAAATAAGATATGTTACTTATGGAAAATGTGTAGCTCAAGATACATCTCCTTTGTGCTTCATTAAGATGTTCTCATTTCAAAAATAATGTTGTTTTTTTTCCTTTTTATTGAAAACCAAAATCACTATGGAGGACTGTCATCCAAAAATGAATTAGGAAAAAAATATATTATGAAATTGGCACAACTTTAGCACCAATTTTATTTTGATGTTTTACAGATGTTTTTGGTACTTTGATTCAAATTGTATATGCATGTAGATTACTGGGATTTTTCTTTATGATTTAAGTATGTAAAACAGTTGAATGTTTGTTTGATCTTTGAATACTGGAAAGTCAAAAATTTGTCAAGCTATATTGGCTAATGAAGGATTATAAGAATTTGAGAGGTAAGAAGTGCATTAAGAAATGAATAAGGTACTATGTTCAAAACCAATTAATCCTCTTCTATTATTCTTATTTCATTGAAACTGTTTTTTTCTTCTTCAATATTCGATTACACAAGGAAGGCAAAGAAAGCCTACTCCTTGGCTTGTTTGTTTTCTTAAGGTGGGGACCGAGTTACATGGTTAAAACTACGTACAATATGATAGACACTTTGCTAATATGCATGTGGTCTTGATATTTAAGCTTTTAGGAAATGTGCTTGTGTATGTTAGAAAGTTGTCTGTGGAGGAGAAAGATTTTAACTTTTGATCAGGGCCCGTTGCATAAAAATTTGCCATCAATGGCAACTGCCATGGTAACAGGGCTCAACAGCCAAACTAAATGATAATAATAAAAACGTTACTTATAAAGCGCTTACCACCAAAGTCTCTAAGCGCTATATATATATAAATCAAAATCAAGGTTTCCATGGTAGTTACCATCGATGGCAAAGTAACCATCAATGGTAAGTTTTGTGCAATGGGTCCAGAACTTTGCAATCATACAACACAGAACAGTGAAAGGATAAGGTAAAGGTAACTTGTGAAGACCTATGTTTTTTTTTATAAAGCATTAGGAATGAGTGTCAAAGCCATTCCATTGTGGAAAAGGCATGTTAATATGATGTATAAATGTACATTTCTCATTTGATTAAAGGATACAAAGAATAAAAATATGTGTCGTCATTCATTTTTGTTTTCGCATTGAGAATAAAACAAAACATAAAATACACAACAATACACAAATACAATTTTGCATCTTTGTTAATTTAATAATACTTTAGAACAAAGTAACATTATACACACAGCTACAAACATTAAGCAAAGGAATGGAAGTGCATGAAAGACAAAACAAAACCTTTTAACACCACATTAATAAATAGATTGCGCAACCTAATGGCGGAGAGCACAAGAGGTGTATTGCTGAAAAACCAGAGGCCATGGGTGCTTTCACATCAGTGTTAGCTCAAGATGGAAAATATTACACTGATGGTTGAATCCAGTGCTGTATAATGTGCTTCTTATACAGCACCAAACACCAGTACTAACACAAATGTGAAATCACCCAAATAAAATAACATTACAAGTAGAATAAATTATAAATAACTTCTATGATCCCACCAATTTTATAAAGATTTTAGTACTTTACATCTGAAAGGGTAAGAAAAGGTGCAAAATCATCTTGAATAGTCACCCTTGCAGGACCAAACATATTATAAACATGTATTATACTGTCTTTAAATAGTACTGTCTTTACTCTTTCATACTGTATGTATTTTCCCCAGTGACAGTTTGACATGTGACATTTATACATCGACATCAATTACGTACCGATCCAGGTACATTACTCCTTCTATCCTCCTTTCAGATTAATCAACAACCCTCGTCTAAGATATACCGTATGCAAGTGAATTTGTGCAAGGAAGAGAGTAAACTGGAATGGCAAGAGTTTTTAGAATACCCATTATCAATCTGGAAGAAAAATGGTGCTTCACCATAAGCACCTGTATTAGAAACAAGATGATTAAATATGTGTGTGACATGATAGCTATAAAGCCACCATTTGATTATTCTAATTAACAAAAATTGATTACATATTTTTAAAGAGCTTTTCACTCGGTCAATTATCTGTTTGGCAATCGTCATATTAAATTTTACATCAATCATTACTGATTTAACAGTTGAAAATGATAATTCATCACTCAGCAGGAGTTTAAATAAAGAAATATATTTAGAATAATCTCTTTGTAAGAGCTTTGTTATCAATAATGGGCAAGAAATACAGTCTTTAAATATAGCACTTATAAAATAATGATGGCAACCAAGTCGGAAGAATATTTCAACTTTTGGCGAAGTCACATGATTCTTTCAATACCTTTTCAGGTGAATATCACACATGTATAGATAATCCATAGTGAAAGTTTAAAGACTTGTACAGGTCTAACTTTTCAATTCTTCAAGAAACACTCTACAAACCTGATCATTTGTCTGACACAATGGGTAAATCGATCAACACATGATTCAATAATAATTCTAATGTTCCAATGGAAGCAAAATGAAGTCATGATTGGAATTTGAACTAGAGTGAAATATTCCCAAATCATGGAACAATTTAATGATAGATTTCACCGATTACACACACCACAGTCAGTTTGAAAGATCAGTTGTATGGAGTTAATACAGGAACATGCCATTACACATGATCCAAACATGAATATTGCACTTTCTCTTTTGGGTAATGACAGAGGTCGTTCCTACTTGAAAAGACATCATGAGAGCTCAAAAGAATGGAAGCATAAGTCTTATAAAAACATGTCATCATATTTTTAAAACAGCTGGAAATTTTGAGCAAAACAGATTTTGAGACTAAACTTCAAATAATTTTAAAACATTGTAAATCTTTCTAAGATGTGCTTACAAAATAGAATTCTTCAGTGAGATAGCTGGATTTGAAAATACACATACTTAATATGTTTCTAACTTTAAACTGTACGTTAAAAAATCCTGGTCTTACATAAAGTATTTTCCAACTTTATTTAAAAGGCCTTTTATAAGACATTCCCTTGCCCTTGACCCTGTCACAGACTATTTGTTCATATTCAGTTCATACATGTAAATCTGTCACTATTGCAATCATTTTGCGAGTTCAACATATGATATGGACTGTTTTGAGGCACAACTTCTAAAATCCAACTCGCATTTATAGAATGACTAGGATATATAATTTTTTTAAATTGAGTTGTGTCGTCTATGAGATGAGATGTATTGCCGTATTGCTGAATAAACTACGAGCTATATCGTTATACTTTAAAATTTAGAATCTACCAAGGTTTTATCATGAAGTAAAATCTATTCAAATTCAAGGATTTTAGAGCAATAAAAGAAACCGTCCTCTTCAGTATTTCAGTTTTGTTTTCATTTATCCTTTACTCAGTAATCAATAAGAGATGTCAAACAAAAGAATTGCTCAATTTTCATTAATATACGTTCATCATGTTTTCAAGTGATCAACATATTGACCTTCCTGTGAATTCCTTTTCATTGTTTCATGGAAGTACAAATTCCCTTATCTTTCTTTATCTCAAAGAATTGTACAATACAAGTATTTCATGATCCCTACATACTGCTTCTATTTTCTAAAGCCCATTTAAAACAGTGAGCAATGTCTTATGAAATGATATCATAATTTCAGGGTATTTTAATTAGATTTGTGATATTTCAATCTAAAAAAATACAGATGTATTTAAGCAAGATATTTTTGTCATAATCTACTTGGCAAGTATGTTTGGAACTGATAGCAACAAAATGAAATAGCACCTACTATATCCTTCAAGTTATAGGAAAGACTCTGGCAACCTCAATTTCTAACTATAGAATAGAACCCTCCACCTTACGATTAAGCTCAAAACAAAAATACATACTTTGATAAAAACAAGAAATACCTCTGAAATAAAATCAAGGCCTTCAGCTTGACAACTTTGTACTTTTCAATTAAACAAATATTTATATAAAAAAATATGAGCCAGGAAATTGCACTTGTCTATTCTAAAAGCTTGTTAATCCATACACACTGTACCCCATTTCAACCTCTCTACACCTGCCTCTAATTTTATCAAAATCATTTAAATACAAACATATTGAATTATATTCTTTTATGTCAAGGTCCTATGATATAAATCAGATAATTAAATACAACAAATTATATTTCAGGTGATAAATATCTTTAAAGGTGTTGTTCAATTTTTAACGTACATTTGTATCCTTAATTAAGATGTTGAAATCATACCATGATAACAAAAATCTTACTACAAAGCAAGAAGTGAAGATCTGAAATCTTGTCATTGGAAATATCCCTGAACATATGACATAAAAGAGCTTATAAATATTGTTACAGACAGACTACTTCTCTTTTTCCTTTAATTCGCATTGGAGATTATGATTTCTTGAGTTGAGTATTAACTTTTTATAGGGACATTTTCCTCATGAATAAATCCTCTATTACAAAGCAGGTGTGAACTAGTTGAAAATGATTATTTCAATTCTTTCTTCTTCGTGAACGGGCACATCTAATGCCCACCTGCACTGCAGAAGCTTGCTCCTACGTTGAGGGCTTCTAACATGGAACGTAGGGTGGGGATAGCTTCTGATACCTGGGGTACGTCTGCAAGATTGAAGGAAGACCTGTTGGGGACAGAAAAAGAGGGAGAGATGGAGAGAGAGGGAGAGACAGACAGACATAGAAAAAGATAGAGTAGGTGAGAGACATTGAGTTATGTAAAGTGAGGGAAGAAAGGAAGAAAGATTATTAGTTACAATGATCAGCATTTCATTTGTAATGCATTTAACAAGTTTCTTTTTCTGACTACATTATAAATTAACTTTTGTGACCAATAGCTTCAGAAATCAATAGTAATTAAAGCTAAAGACCAGTTATGGTCGTGCCATTGTATTGTGAAAGAAACATTTTGGAATCGATCAGAAAAGGTTGATCATCTAGCATATAAGTATTGGTGTGTACTGCAAAGGTTCTGGAATCATCAAAATAATAAGAAATTTAGCCCAGTCATGGTAAAGTTACAAGCACTGTACACATAAAGATGTATATGGGACTATGCACACGTGCGTAACACGTGCGTTATATCTATCAGGTCCAAATAGATATAATAATTTACCAAATATATCAATTAGTAGGCGGTTTCTCGGCAAAATTTGTATCATCACCTATTAGTCAAAACATATTCTTTCACATGATTGGTAATAAAAGCTTGCGTTTCCAAAACTGGTCTTTACCTTTAAGTTTTATGAGGTTGTTTCCTATCAGAATAACTTGTCTCTTTTTTCTTTCAAAAAAAAAAAATCTATTGTCCCCCTACTTTGCATCACCCTTTTCTTGTATTATTTTCTTCTCACATTGGTTTTGGAACATCCTTAAAACCTTGTTTGTTCTCCTTCTGTTATTTGGTTCACATAAACTGTATTTGTACACTTCAATGTTATGTATATTTCTGATGTGAAATGTCTTTTGCTATTACCAATGGAAGGAGAATTTCTATTATAATGACAAATGAATCCATCATTCCAATTCAATCCAAGTCAATTCAAATCAAAAATACACATTACCTCTAACAAAGTACATTACCCACTACACATACCATCACCCATGCAATACCACCACTAAGGACACACATGGTCCCCTACTTACTCTTACCTTTTGATATTCATCCAACTTTGACCCCAAGAAGCAAACGTCTGAGGGGTACCAGAGAGTAGAGCCTCTATCTCCACCAGCTTGCCCTTTGGTATCTGGTTAGTGACCTCACGACCCAAGGCCATCACCACGCCAAGTACAATGGTGTACGCCATGGAACTATAGGATGAAGGCAGTATTCAAGGGATTCAGGTCAGAACAGATTTACTAGTAATATGTTATGAGGACACAACTAAGTGTGTACAATAATATAAGAGCCAGATTACCACTCTTATATGTACATCAGCTGCTTATTTACAGGCACAATCACTTCTATCATTGATATAACATGCATATCAAATAACCCAGCAGTCTTCCTGTTGAGCATCCTGTTAAGCAACTGGCAGGCGATACAAAGTACATGTACATTGAAAAATGCTAAGAAACTTAGTATTAAGTGCTATACAAATATGATTATTATTATTATTATTGTTATCATTATCATTAACCTAGCCCTGTCGATTTCATACTGGCATTCTCAGAAAATAGAAAATATTCTGGTTGTGATAGGATATTTAATCATTATTATAATCTTTCTCCACTTGTCTCTCACCTTGAGCCTCTTGATATAGGCATGAGGTTGTACACATAGTAAATCATGGACAGCACCAGATTGATAATAGACTCATGATCCTGAAAATACAATAACACACAAAACTAAGATTGAAAAACAACATTTTGTGTATACATTACATTGAAAAAGTTTCAAATACAACACTATTCTGTTTAACAGTTTTTAATTTTATTTGATACATATGCAATTATCAGAAAATACACCTCTTGGTATAGCCCATGGCAAGGCAACAACAGAATGAAAAAGAAAATCCATCTCCTAAATAATAGAGGATCAGGCTATATTTATTAAACTTTACATGCATATACCACTATAAAATAAAAATACTGTGATAACATAACGAGGAGGACAGTAGAGTTTTTATGGTGTAAAAAGATTTCAACCCTTTGAACATTTCATCTCCTGAGAGCCAGTAGGGCTCACCTACTGTATAGAATCATCCCCTTTTTAGCAAGATTCATGTATTTCAGTCTTCCCAGTTAAGATAAAGGGTTTTGGTTTGCTTACCATTTCTTTGGAGGATCCTGGCCCTCCTTTCCTGTGATGCATCTCATCAGAGAGGAGAGCCCAGATGAAGTCTATCTCAGTGTGGTAATGTTCCGTCCGTTGTTTGGTCGTCATCGTGTCGATGGAAAACATTATATTAGCAGCCCTACATAAAGAAAGATGAACAATTATATATTTGTTTACATCTACAGGCATATAAGAGCACAGAGTCAGCAAAAAATATTGTGTCTTCATCTCCATCCCAAATGCAAAGAAGTATGCTCCTAACTGTCTTCTACAAGTATAACGTTTATAAAGCTTAATTGCTCTGGCTCAAACATTTTTAGCTGATCTGAAAATGCAAAGGACATGCAGATCTTTCTGGACTTAAATGTGGAAATGTACTTTTGTTACAGAGTGACAATAACAACTCTTGAGACGAAAAGGTAAGAGTTCAATTATTCATCTTATGTATACATTATCAATACAGGATTATAAACATTAGCAATGTGCATTGATTGAACAGTGACTGTAAATACAGCCAGACTACAATCTATACATATCAATAAACAATAATCAAAACAATGTGAAAGGGGGAAATATGACAACTTACACTTCCCCACTCAGAGAAAATACAGCGCCTTCCAGTTTAGCATTTCTATTTTGAAAGCTGTCTAGCCGCGTTGAAATCATAAACCCTGGGAGTTTGTCGTTAGACATCTTGAGCTTGTTCACGAGGAATAGCAGACCCTCACACGATGCCACTTTGTCAAGATTAGCCAACAATCTCTCCTCTCCTCGATCTCTTTTTAATAAACTAAGCAGAGAAATAAGACATTTGTGAATGATAAGGTAGTAAACTACTACAGACCCAAATAAATAAATGTTTTTAATATATATGTACATGTAAACTCTATGTTGTTTATGGGTAAATACCAGATGGGTCATTTTATAAGCCACCAAAGGCAATAATCCAGTAGATACACTTCTTGGACACGAGGCAAAATTATACACAATTGACTACATTCTTTTCGGTCCAATGAAAATACCTTATTTTTGCCTGACTTTGACTCATTTTTCTCTCAGTCCGACTTTTCCCAAACTGGAGAAAAGGATATCATTTTCATGGTATTCCAGATTTCTGAGATAGCCAAGAACCCTATCTTTGATAAAATAAAGCCTGGAGCAAAAGTTGGATCATGGTGAGGCTGTCTAGCTTTCTTACCTGTGCTGATAAATCATTCTTTTGGTAAGATTGAAGACTGTATCAAAGTAGCTAGCATAGCGTATATCAAGAAGCTGGCCTCGTACTATGTTCATGTGACTGTTGTATCCTGCTTGGTAGCTTGATGAAGGCATCTGCTCTAACCATAAAACCGGTTGGTCAGGATCAACATACCTGATGGAAAAAAAAAGATTTACATAAAACATGAACAGTGAGTGATTTAGCTCTAGAAAACTTCAAACAAGAAATCAAACAAACCTTTTTAAAAGCACACTAGGTAAAAAATATCCACAGATCTTTGTAGAGAAGTCCCACTCTGTGCATTTTAGAATAATCATTGCCAAAGCCAAGGAGGTGCTTCCTGAGTACCTTTTGTTTGGCCCCTTGTAAACAATACGTCCACCTGTGTATCATAGAATGTGACATCAGTGTATGAATGAAGAATGATTGCATTACTTTCTTGAACATAAATGTATGCAATCATAGTTTTGAAGTTTTGTACAAATGACCTTTATCTGTACATGCGCAGATAGTATCTCTGAAGTGGCTTATTATATAACATGTAACTTGTCATGCGTAGTGCACTTCACATATATCATAAAACAGAGAGAATTGGGTCTTTATAGTATCTTTTTTGCGCAAGGCTAGCTTTTCCATCCGCACTTGCCATTCATACCACCTGTGGTAAACCTCAGTGATTTACCATGACGTATGTGAATGAACTTAATGTCCTCACCTTCTCCACTTGACAGCTATATCCATCATATCCCTCCATCCAAACCTCTTTCCATTGCCATTCCGGAAGTTTCTTCCATGTTTCCAGTAAAGCTGCATGGTCTGGGCTACCTCCAGGGACCCCAGCCCAAGGGCAAGCTGCATGCGCTTGTTAGGCAGGAAGCCGTCTGCGTCATACTGCGACAGTCGCCCGATCGTGGCGGCACGGCAGATCAGAGTGCGTACCGAGGGTAATAGGTCATGGAATTCTAGATGGTCTACGTCACTGTGAATGTGATGTGAAGAAAAAAATAGGACTTAAGGTTTAATAAGTAATTGTGAAAGATGATGAATGAAAAAAAGTTTTTCCCCCACTCCATTTGAAAATCAAATTCATAAACAGAGTTACAACACATTTTACGTTGATGATGTCTCCCATCATGCGATCATGAAGCCCTCTGCCTTTTACAGTTTCATTATGCAGCAAAATGCAACTAAGGTTTGTACAGTATTAACTTTATTACTGTTTCAATCACATAAAACCTTCATAATTGGATTATGATGCCTTGTGTCATACCGGTAAACACTTACATTTGTTTCAGGTCATCAGAATCAAGGCTTGACATTGTACTCTACCTTATATCTGGGGTCAAGCCAGGCATTTCTTTGTACCCCTCTGACTGGAATGGAAGATTCTTGACCCATCTGTCTTTCATTGTGCCATCTAGATCTTGGTCCATACTATATTCACTGAAAGGGGTGTCCAAGTGAGCATGCAGGTATCTGGACAATTCTAGCAAATGCAATGCAAATGTCAATATGCAATTAACTCATGTGAGATTAATGTAATCTTGTCATGCCGGTGTGTTGGGTAATTGAAATGGAGAGTACCAACTGTAATGGACAATTCCTCAAGGACATGTATATCAGGTTATGGTGTACGCCATATGGATGTTAAATACAGGCAATATCTAATCATCATCAGCATTTATCATTGTGTTCATTATAATAATATGCACAAGATGCAACGTACCCCTCATGCAAGAATGAGATTTATCAGCTACAGCAATAACTAATAAAAGATGTGTGAACAAGATTCCAGCTAAGGTATAAAGCCAAGAGAAGGGATATCTGATGATGAACCATAGTGGATGCACAAAACATACTATTTTATGTTTTGATAATATGAAATGTAGTGGAGTTTTTCATCTGCCGCTTAAATATCGTCATGAATAAGTTTTTATGACTTTGATTTCATTCAATTTCAAACAATGGATACAAAATTCTCTCTCGTTCTCACCTCTGATATATTTGACCTTCTCATACTCCAGATAGCCGGCAGTGATGTCATGCTGTATCATGAGTTTGGTAACGGTTCTCACAGCATCGTAGTACTGCCCCATGGAAACCAGGCACGCGCCTTTCATATAGCGACAAACCTCGTTGGTAGGATCCAAACCAAGGCAAAACTTGAAAGAAATGGAGAAAGAGAGAGGGGAAAATTACTTATAAGACCATTTTAACACCGTGCCAGGCTCCCAATGGTTTTAAAAGGCTCAAACAAATTTGATAACACAGTACACTGGCTGGCTTTCACTCAGCCTCCCTGCATGACTGATCTTGACAGAAGTTGGCAACCATATGACCAAACGGGTAACAGTTAATGATAAAACACCCCAATATGTAGATATATATAACTGGAATTTCATAATATGGATAAAGCCTGAGAGTCAGAAACAAGGAAACCAAAACAGAAAAAAAAGAAGTGTGACAGAAACAGTGAAATAATGAAGAGAAAGAAAGAGAGAATAAGAAAGAGAGAGAGAAAGATAAAAGAAAACATAGACTGCCTGCTATAGATACATGTCCCTTTGTGTCCAACACATCTTATTCTCCTGGGCTTTCTATGAATATCTTTTGAGCATCTCAAAGCCTACTCCACTACAAAATGCATCAAATTGACATTTCTCTAATGACTTAACACCACCACACTATACAGCATCAATATCTTACACACCACTAACCAAACTAACTTTTAACACTGCATGTCCTTACCTGGAAGTCACTGAGTGCCTCCCTAGGTTTGCCTGTGTGGTAGTGCAGTGAACCTCTCAGCTGTATTGACTGGACATGATGTGGGCTGTAGTGAAGTGCCTTGTTGAAACTATCCAAGGAATTTTCATAATCCCCCAGCTCTCTGTGTATTGAAGAAGAGAAAATGGCATGGCAATAATGAAGATCTTTAATAGAGATTTTGCAACTTGGTTATTTATAATTATTGAAAGAATATAAGGCATATAGTTCACAACAAATTGATCCAAGCTTAGAAAGACTAGGGTAACAGTGTGGCACAGATATTTTTGTTCTATATAAATAATGATCCAGTCATGAATTAAACTCTCTTTATTAGCTAACTGATACATAAAGATACTATTAAACTTAAGTATACAATACAACATTTTTTTTAAATTACAAGTTAAGAAAGACAATTTTATTTTTAAAGTAACTTTTCTTTTACCTGTATGCACGAGCTAGGCTCCTTAATACATCAACATAATCAGGCTTTATTTCTAGGGCTTTCTTGAAAATCCTTATGGATTCCTACAGAACAAAAAATAGAAAAGAGATATCATACATGAATAATTTCTGAAATATGAATCATTCCCCTTGAAGAAAAACAAGAACTTACAATGTAGACTTATATGTGCAAGCACAAATAGGTGGCATGGTAATATATATAGAGAGAGAAAATGTGAAACAGACGGGAGAACTGAAAGAGACAAAGAGAGAAAGCAAGAAATAAAGAGAAATATTAAAGTTGCAACACCATATCAAGTGAGACCATTTATGCAGTATTCTAATACAATATAAGTCACACATGTGTCAGCTCTTTGTTCAAGAGAGAGAGAGAGAGATGAGAAATGGCAAAATGAAAGGAATATAATAATACATACACCACATCATTAAGGCCCATCTAACAAATGGACACATACATGTATTGTGCCATAATTTCAACAGGAACTTCAACAATACAACTTTCACTTTCCACTCCTCCATTAGTCATTCTCTCCAATAAGCTTCAACGCATAAATGTACTCACTCATCAGTCTAATTTAAAATCATACATTTTAATCGTGATGAACATGGACAAAAAATTTAGTAATAGTTCTTTTGGATTATGAATTAGATTATATAAGTATTATCTTTCAAATGCAGTTGGAATTTAACTTTTTCATTTTTTTGGCCTGCAAATGGGACATAGTACCTTTAACCTTAGGTTAAGTTTTCGATGATGATGCTACAACATAGTCCAAGTCTGTTGACCTGAAATGACCTTTGACCTTGACTTTGTGATCTGAAATTCTACTCACATGATTGGGGATACTTGATTACCCTATAGTCAAAGTTTCATTGACTAAGAACTTATACTTTAAAAATTATATCAAAAATTCAAAAACTTAACCTTAGGTTAAGTTTTTAATGTTGACGCCGCCCCCGCCGTCACCGGAAAAGTGGCACCTATGTCTCGCTTTTTGCTCCGCAGGCGAGACAAAAATGGCAAATAGAAAGAGCTTATTTGTTAAATTGTTTAAATCCCCTACAAGGATGCAAGAAATTATATTTTACATCATCCATCTACAAGGGTAAAAATAAGTTAACAGCCATTATGTTTTGTCTTTTTTGTGAAATGTACCTCCAGCCAAACCTTTAAACAACGGAACTTAAGTACACCTAGTCAGAAGTGGTATATTTAATCAAAATATGTACTAAAACACACGTACTTCCTCATTATTCTGACAATGGCCAATACTCTAAACAACCTTTTATTATGCACTTATGATTCATAATAAAACATAATCCTTCCATGTTATCTATCACAGAACTCGACATTACTCATTATGGAAGTACAATGCTTACATGCAGTTTGCCTTGATGATACAGGGATATTGCCAGTAGATGCATGACATCAACCTGTGTCTTATCTTCTTTAACAGATTCCATCAAGTCCTTCGTTGCTGCCACATATTTCTACAAAAAGGGGAAAATATTAACAACAAAAAATCAAATTAAAAGAAAATATCTTCTTTTTAACACTTAGACTGTGATCTATATTATAGTATACAGTCAGAGACAAAGATAATCTGAAAAAGTAAAAATTAAAGGGATGTATACGAGGAACAAATTCAACCAGTTTAAGGCTCTAGGAGGCAATGTCCCTTTGTCCTTGGCAGAGATTTCAAGGGGCATTGCGACAGAATACTATTCGTAAGATAGTTTGTGATAAACCAATATCATTTTCATCTTGTCTACCAAAAATAGCTCTTTTGTTTATAACTGTTATTCTTAAAGGTAAACTAAAATGGGCAATGCCAGTAACAAATGTGATACATGCATATGTAACATCAAATCAATCCGCAGATGATTTTGATTCCAATGAGCGTATTGGCCTTTAACTTTAGATCCGCACTTCACAGCAAAATTTACATTTCATGCATTTTTTTATAGTTTCATTGCTGTTTTTCAACAAAAACCAAAAAAATGACAGTGATTTGATGCATCTTCACGTCCCTACCATTGTCATTACATTAACATGACAGACTTGACACACATAAAAGTAATGTTAAAATCTCTCACACATCTTAGAGTAAATAAAAACAATTCACAAACCTCCTCTTTAAACATCATGTATCCACGGTACTTATACAGTTTGGCAGTCGGCCTCAAATCAATTGCTTTCGATATATCTCCATATGCCTCTCTATTCCTCCCTTGTGTCGAAAAAACCTGGCAAGAAACAGAGTAAACTTTCTTTATACTATCGCAACAAATAGGAGCATTGTTCTTGTGAATTGGAATAAACTTCTTGTATGTTAGAAAACAGACATAAAAAGGTACTGAATGAAAGGCCACACAATATCGAAATATGTACTATTTTAATTTTGAGAAACAATTGAATAATTCCAGGAAAAACGTTATGATTGGCAGCTCTGCAAACACCTGGGAAGGAAGCATCCATAAATTTGAACACATTTAGTTGATAAATGTCCATGTCTTTACTGAGCAACTGTACTTTATTCTTAATTTATGCTTTTCTCATACACTTTGGTGGGGAATCTTGTAGATTGATGGGCAAGAATGCAATAAATTTCTCAGAACAACCAAACTGGGGTTAGTTCTCCTCTTATTAGACTCCTTTCATTTTAACCCACTGGCATATAATTTCTCATCAAAATGAAGACAGAGTAACAGGCCTACCTGCAATATTTTCTAAACCTCTCATTTGACCAAAGCGATTAAAAACAATGTACATCGCAATGCCCTATTTGTTACACTACTATCGATATGCTGTATTAAATTTCACTTGCATGTGAGTTACACTTTACTCTAGTAAGTAACTATGTTTTTTACTTTGCACAAGTATGCTCCAGGTTTTACTGAGAAATTATTAAAGCATAACCTCAGTGGTGTATCTAGTAACAGGCAATCATAAAGACTGGCATTTGGCAAGGTGTGAAAATTAAAGAAAAGGAATATATGTTTATCTTTTATTTCCTTAACTTCCTAGCATTGTTGAGTAGAGGAAGATAAGGTCATTGTGTTTAGATCTTTCACTGTAAAGTGTGAATTTCATCATCTGTACCTGACTCAAATCATCCAAAAAATAAAAATTCAACTTTTGAGAAGAAAAGAACAAGATGTTGAAAATATTTGTAATTCTGCAATCACTCTGAAAAGAAAAATTATTTGCATTCAACATCTTTACCATCTATCATTATTTTTGAGAGACTCTTTGAACTACCTGCAACTGATTCAGAATAACATCCACAGAACCCCAGCCGACCAGAAGGCAACATTTAATATTCATTACATAACAAGGCATGTTACGTGAAAAGATATTGCAGTTTAAATACACTATTAGTAATCAGTAAAACCATTTGATGAGAAGACTAAATGACGACCGCGTACATGCTCACATAGAATAGGGCACACCCTGAACCCAAGTCGGACTTTGGTTCTGTTATCCTCTATATCCTTCATATTAGCTTAACCGTTCAGAACGTTTTTCAGTTTGACAAGATAGAGCTACACAGAAATAATTTGTTAGGTGATTGGTACACTTTAAAGAATGACCATTGGTGATGTGATCATCTTACTTACCTCTGCTCTCTTTTCCCATCCTATTGGGTTCCTTGGATCCAGCTCAATAGCCCTGGTGAAGTCTTGGATAGCCAGTGCAGCATTCAAAGGGTGCTAAGCATTCAAAAGAAACAAAAAAGAATGCATTTCACAGCTAATTTACTTCTAAATTCAAACTGTCACAGATATCAAATTCCCACTCACTAGTATACTCTCGTTTATTTTTCATAATTGAAGATGTTTATGCTGGTCATATATTTATACATATATAACATTATATATCCTTATGTTTAATTAACATTGTTAATAGAAGTTATTGTAACATTAAATGTATGTACTAACACTTTGATCAATCTATGTTTTTAAACCTTTATGTTGTACAGGGCCTCCCACAAAAGTTACATTACTGTGAAAGCTTCAGAGTATTAATAAAATAAATAAATCAATAAAAAGAAAAGAAAACATAAAATAACCACTAGGTCACAATGTATTTATTGGCATGACTACTTCCTGGCATATTGAATTTTTGCTGGTATAACAATTCTCTTGTAGATGTAATAATTACACATTAGGAAATGTGAGCAGCTGGAATATGAGAGTACCGGTATCACAGCTTTGTATTGAAGTATTACTGTACACTAATACTTCAATTCGTTAAATATTGAACCTGGTGGATATGCTCTGAAGAATCTCTATCAATGTTTATAAAAGTGGGTTAAAAAAGTTTATTCTTGAAAAATATTAATCAAATTTGAAACTTTTATCTGTAATATTATATGTCAGCCATTGTGTTGTGTATTTTTTTGTGGTAATGTTGTATTTCATCGTGTCATTGTAATCCAGTACTTATATTTACCTTTTAAGTATACATATTCTTTAGGTCGGCCACTTACATGTATAAGGGTCACCTCTTTTCTGGCTGCTACCTAGCAGCTTTGATATTTTGTACCCATGTATACTGTGTGAGTCAAAAAACAGTTTACACTCAAAAAAATTGTCAATAATTTTTGTTAAGGTCAGCTATAAACAATAGGTTATCATACATGTTTTGAAAGAGTGTTATTTCCCGATTCGTTTGGTATCATTTTTGTGTGGTATGTGTTTATGCTTGGATGAACAGGAGGCATTGTTTATCATGTTTATGAGATGCATTGCATATATGCTTTTTGCAGAAGCAAAGTCACACACACACGCACACAAATCTTCTTTAAATATTTGATATGTGTGGCATGATTAGTTTCGTTAGGGATGTTATTCGGAACTGCAAAGACCAAAATAATACCCAAATCCCAATTGTTTTATTCAAACATCACATTAGCATTACTGGCGAAAGTCGAGCTTTGCACTCTCTTAATCAATGCATTCTGTTCATCCAAGCATGAACACATACCACAAACAAATGATACATAATGATTTGGGATAAAACACTCTTTCATACGATGTATAATAATTTACTGTTCATAGATGATTTTTTTTTAAATAATTTTCAATTTTCTAGGTGTAAACTTTTTTGGGACTCACACTGTATACATTCTCTATTACTCTATTCTTTTGATGTAACAATGTATAATTGCATGTATGTAATTTTGTCAATAGCTTAGGTGAAATATTATTTGATATAACACTGTCCATTTTATCCAAGCTGAGTTATCTCAGAGTAAGAATTCAACAGATTTACAGTATGATGTTCCCCCACACTGACTGACTTTAAGGATTAAATTTATTTGAATATCTTCCATGTAACAATCACTATGAATTAATATAAACCAATGGTGAAAGTAAGAAGACACAGTACAGCATCTTGTTTTCTTATTTCATATTTAATTAGAGATATTACAGCAGAATTTATACCCCAGCAATTTGTTAAATGGAAGACAAGAAAAGACAAAAAAAATTCATAGGACTCAGGAGGGATTTTAAAGCAACAATGAAACTAATTAGATAGCCCTATTGTGAACTCTCATTACAATACAGTAACTGCTGATGTGACCAGCTGTTCACAGTTGTCTGGTGATACCTGAAAATGGCCATTGTTTGCAACTCCACAATAAATACTAAAAAGGTCCTGGCAGAATTCATTAGGGGAAAAGCATTTTCAAGGAATAGATGGATGTATCAAGTAGGGCATCTATAATACACCGGGGTTAAGGGAAATATCTGTGGATAAAATACTTTGCTGAATGGCAAGAATTCCAACCTTCAAAATTGCCTATGAAAATTGAAAGAATGAAACACTATAACCATGATCATCCCACAATATAACGCTCTTGGTAATATAAATATTGGGTATTATTGTCAACAGAGTATTCACATTCCAGCTGTTTATAGTGGACTATTACCAACATGTGTAGATGAACAGCTGGGCTCTTTCTCACAGCTGTATGTGTATAACTTGTATAACAACAAATACAATAGAAACCATACACCTCTTTGTACATATACATTGACTGGTAATTCACTATACCAGTGAAACCAAAATTATGAAGTTCAGAGCTACACAATGTTTATGATTCTCAATAGTTCCCATATAATTAAAAGAATCATCCCCCCCCCCAAAAAAAAAATATATATATATATATATATATATATATATATATATATATCTTCTGGATATTCTTTACTGTCTGCGTACATGTACAGGCCACACCATAGAGTAGAGACTTTGCTTGTAATCCTGTCAAATGACATTCTGTGGGACATGGACGATAAAAAGATCACTGTTTTGTGACTGTGATTTATCTTTTATATTTGATACTGTTAATCATACTATTCTGATGAACTAAATCCTATAGTGTAGATGGTCAAGCTCTAGAATGGTTTAAGTCATACATGTAGTTGGCAGATGGATTCCAAATTGTTATTATCAATGATTCGAAATCTGGTCTTTCTGCACTTATTTGGGTGTTCCACAAGGATCTGTAAGAGGCCCAACACTCTTCTCAATTTATATGCCAACCTAAAAGAGTGACATACATGTAATGTACATGAGTGCTACACAAGAGAAGTAACCATTGATATTATCATCATTATTTACATCACATGGGATTTTCTCATCAGTCATCTTGCTTTCCACAACATTTTGGACTGATTTGTATCATTTCATTCCAAAGAAAAAAAACATTGCCTTGCATCTCACCTGCATGCCTCTTCTGGAATATGCCACTGCTCTTGCATGGTACGCCCCTATGAACTTAGGGTCTTGTTTGATGAGGGCAGATATCATGTCAAGGGCCATTTCTTCACGTCCAGTATTCAACAGGACAATGGAGAAGCCTATCATACATACAACATATGAAAGAGGAAATTTTGAGAAAAAAACTATAGAAATATAATGCATTACTATACAATGTACATGACAGCATAGTGATTTATACGTACATGTACCAGCGTTGCAACTGAATTATGTCAATGGTATATATGTCCCCATGTACAGAATATGTCCGTAAAGTGATGAACACACATTTTGGGAAGTGGTATTTTATTTACTCTGTAGACAAACAGACAGTTGTCAAATATCTCCTCATAAATAACCCTATTCATCAATCCAATATTTTTTCACAGATTAAAACTTTTAATAAATTCACACCATATGATAGAAATGTCCAAAACCTTCAATTACTATCAATTTCTCTCATTTTGAAACCTGTTCTCTGGATTTCCACCTCCCTGAAACTGTACATGTACAGTAGTTGAACCGTCCCTTAAAAGTATAACCAAAGGGTTTTTTTCCACAAAGTTTCCATGGTACTCAAAATGTCTTTACTTTAATTAGCATTCACTAGTACTTTCACTTACAGGTACCATCATGCTCTTTCACTTTGATCTAATCACAGTAGTAGTGACTATTACAAATCTATTTGGAAATCCATTATATTACATGAATTCAATAAATTCCCCCACCACCATTGATTCATTTCAACAGACGAGGTGATATTTCAAATGTCCCTACTTCCTTGAAGTATGTGAAATTGTTCTAGATCAAATGCACAAACATCATCCTGTTAACCTTTAGGAAAAGAATAAGTAACATGAGCTCAGGCTAGTCAAGAATTGCAACAATTACATTATAGGATTACTCCAATCTAAAAATAATTTTAATTCTACCAACTGAAAGAGAATCAGACAACTGGATTATTACATTTTAGTAATTCTAAGATCGCTATCTCATGGAAACAAATTGGAAACTAATAGAGGTAACAAGTTTGTGATATCATTTCCTCAATCCTTATCACAAATTGCTTTGTCTTTTTACATCATAAATTTCCCCTTCTCTGAGGGAGGCTGATATTTCCTAAATACCTTTACCAAAACGTTGATGGTAGCATGTATCCTAAATATATGCTATTAACATTTCATAAGAGTTTTCACTCTCACCTAGCTTATAGTCCTTGTCTTCATCTCCAGTTGCAAATGGGACCATATTATTCTTGTGGAGTACCCCTGCATAAATCTACAAAAGAAAACAGAACAGGATTATGAGACAAGGAAGAAGGATGCAGGAAGAGGAAGGTATAGAAAGAAAATGGAGAAAGACATATCTTTAGGAGCTATATATATATATATATATATATATATATATATATATATATATATCAAAGAGTGATTATTTCTTTGCATGGGCGACAGTGGGATATATTCCACATATTGGTGGCAAAACGCAAAGAATTAACATTGATTCTAGTTGTCACAATTGATGGGTTACATGTGCTCAATTTTACATCAGGATTACAATAACAATATCCATAGAGAATCTGATCTTAATAACTGGGAATCGAAACAAATTATTTCATAGCTAAATTGTTTTACCTTAACTTGACTGATTTCAATTTGGTTGTTAGCCCCTAGTCCATCTAACTCAGGTAGTTGAGCCCCACATAAACCCAGGAGGCTTGCCTTGTCATCATCACTAATTCCCATTGGATCTCCAGCCTCTGAAAACCAACCAACAACCCACAACAAAAAAGAAGGGAAAAAAAAAGGATTATAATCAAAATGTGTGATTTCAGAATAATAGCCTCGCGCCTATTCATTTTTATATCAGGAATCATTGATCAAGTACATTTATAGGGCATGCTTGTACTTCACACAAACTGTTGCATTAATCCTGCTCAAAGTCATATAGACACTTTCTGTCTCTATTATTCAAAATGCAAAAGATATCAGTTTGCTACTTTGCTTGACCCATGATTACAACCCTATATTATGTACATGTACATGTAGTATGGAGGAAGAAGTACAACATGCATGTGCAGGAAGGAAGAACATTTTCCCACATGCTGTCTGTGGATCGACAGCCAGAAGGGCATTAACACGCACAGACAAATATAATAGAGCAACACTGTTCAGGGCCCTGCTTCATAAAACTTGTTATTTCTAATAAATGCTAAATATCTATGACAAATTTGCTCTCAGCCGATCAAATGCCACAATTTCAGTAGCTTATAACATATTGAAACAGAGTCCTGGCTCTCAGAAAATTATGTAAAATAAATCTTATTCATCTTATTCAAATTGGGAAGTAATAGTATATAAATGTATTTATGACAAACATCAAATAAATCCAGAGCAGAAAAATATTTCATAAATACAAAGCTCTTAAAGATAAGTTGAGTTCTGGTCATGGGATTGCATTGTGAAAGAAACGGTGTGGAATCAATAAAAAAAAAGGTTGATCATCTAGCATATACATGTAAGTATTAGTGTGTACTGCAAGGTTCTGGAATCATTGAAATGATAAGAAAATTTGGCCCAGTCTTGGTAAAGTTACAAGCACTATACACAGAAAGATGTACAGTACATGACTACATGTACATGGGACTACACAAACATGTGGCTGTTACATGCCATATTCAGAATATTAAGGTATTTGAAGAGCCATGCTTTTCAGGAAATTTGTTTTATCTGAGTTCTTCCACACTTGCATCATAACAATGATAATGCTCACAAATCATTTTTCACCTCTTCCCAGAACTCAACCTTCTCTTTATCAAACAAGTTATAACAACTTTTACAATTTACCAATAGTATTACAGTAGTAGAAAGAGATGATGTGATCTTAATCTAGAACAACAATGAAGCTGCACATGAGAATGTCCCAGCAGAAGAGAGTATGACATCTTGGAAGTTTCCACATGTTATATATCACTTTAATTATCAAGTTTCTACTGTAGACAATATTAACATCACATTGTTATATTATTCATGTTAGTTATTTATTTATTTTCTAATTGAAGAATAGAAGACCCTTATCAGCAAGAATATGCTGAAAATTGACCTACTTTTGGTTTGACATGGAAAAAATCATAATTATATATGCAGGTACAGCTGAATGCCAAGATAAACAATACCACCAACAATGACTACTTATTGGTAGGAAAACTCTTTACATGACTGCTCTTTTCAAGGCCAATGAATCATGGACAAAAGAAGGAACTCAACTTTTTACACAAACAAAACCACTTTCCTGGAATAATACATTGCATACAGTGTATATACATGTGCAATACAAATATTGATTTTTCTGAGATTTCTAAACCCAACATACTGTACAATGCCCATTGCTATTAAAACAACAAAAACTACAATAATCCATTCTTAATTTTAAGAAATGGCAAATAAATAGCACATCTTGATCAGAAATTTTTTTTTTTAAAGGAGAGAGTAAAGAACGTGTCACCACACTGACCATAAGGAATTAATATACATATATATTTTTCAAAAAAATGACACAACCAGGTCAGAGAAAATTTGAAGAAATATTATAGTGAAGAAAGCTGTATTTACATTTGAAATCAATCACACAAAAATACATTGGCATCCCTGTCCTTGCCCTAATAGCAAAAGGGCTCTCAATTTGCTATGAACAGGATTATAATTTATCAACGATTGCTCTTTTGGTTAAATAAGAATGGCTCTAGTTCATAAAGGGGTAGTATGAATGTATTGTACATTATCTGGGAACCCAAGAAAATCATCCAACGACGATGAAAAACGCCATTAATTTCAACAACAACAACAACTACCTCGGCACACACAGGTACATGTACGAGAAATCTCTTCTTGGAGAGAAAAAATAAATAAAATGTGTTGTCCAAAACAAATGGAGAGCTGCAAGGAAACAGAGTTACCAATTTGTGCTTGATCAATCAAAACATACACTGTATACTGATCTGTTTTAATCTGGATATTTTTCTGTCCAGAGTCAATTCCATCAAAACATCACTTCTATTCAGTGGCTAATATAGTACTTACATTTCCCTGATAATGGATTAAAAAGAAATCAGATAAATATCCCAATGCGCAAACTTACTGTAGATTAAAACTACTTGATTCATGTAGTACTTCATCAAATTTCATCAGAAAATTGCATCTAGTTTGACTTATAAAGCACAAGGCTATCACATGCTTTCATGAACTACCCATTAGAAAAAAAAATATTTTGAATCCAATAAACTTCCTTTCCAATTAAAACAAATTCTATCTTAGGGAAACAACCTCCCATTGAAGCAACTACTACACTGTACATTAACATGCACAGAGTAATTTCAACCTTTGCAAAGATTAATTTCAACCTTTGCAAAACATACAGTGTACATGTACTTTGTTATTCCATTAAAAATCGAAGATATCGTCACGGAAGTAACTGCAAATATTTTTATGAGCAATTATGGAATAATGGCAAAGCACTCTACTAATTATGTCGTCACGATATCAATTTTTCATTCTAATGGATGATATGGATCTGTAAGTAGTTACTTTATTGTCTATTTACCAGAGAGAGAGAGGAAAAAAAAAGGTGGGAGAGTGGAAGACCTATCGTGGGAGCTATTGTTTACTGGATTATGACACAGTTAAAAGCGCAACATTTGTGTACTACCGTAATTAATGTTGTATAAACCGCCCTCGTGTATTAACCGACTTTTTTTTGCCGACTTAAAAAACAGTAGAGGACCTAGGATAGAACCTTGTGGTACGCCGTGTAATAGAAGAAAAATTGGAGGAATTATTTTTATCAACTACATATTGAAATAGGCCTGAGTCATGTCGGGATTTTCATAAACCGGGTCCCGACGGCCTTGTACCGATCGGGACCCGGTGTCCCGAAATCAGCTTGCAGGATTTGTCACTTGCCTCTATAAAAAGCGCATAAAATCAGTATGTCCCTTAAAAGTGACCTTTTTTATCAATCAAATAAATCAACACATGCATACCTCGGCTCAGATCGGTATATTCTTCTTGATATTCTATTTGACATTATTTTCATCCATGATTGGCGATGTTTAGTACCTCTAAAAGTTAAAAAACTGGGGCAGAAATAGAAAGACAACATTCGAGCCGCCATTTTGATTTATGCAGGTTGAATAAATCTGGTCAAAAAATATGAATGTTAAAATAATAAAACGGCTTTCTAAAAATTTCTTCTGTACAATATACCGATCATATAATATTTTAAAGACAAAATAAATATTTATCTCTTATTTCAAACATCGCATGCTTTTTTTTAAAAGCTGAAAATTACTTGGTAATCAAGAGTTTCGATACGGATAGCTGTTGCAAAGCAAGTTCAGACTAGTCTCGGAAAAATGCGCAGTGCTCCTCGTTAGCTGTAATGCGTGCCAGAACGAACCCAAACAAAGACGTGATCGTATAACAAGAACAAAAATCATTAAAAACTATGAGAGCACAATTGGAAAGACAACTACTGCTCAAAATTACCATAATCAGATAGATAACCTGGACAAAGAATTCAATAATCGCCCAAGAAATGCCACAGAAATTGTGATAATCGAGGAGTAACTGGGTACATTTTTATCGCAAGGGGCCTGCTGCAAATACTCGAATCCTTTGTTATACTGCTTTTTACCGTAGAGGGCGGTATTTGCCTCGTATAGCCTCGTGTTCAATATAAACATGTGTAATTCGGATATTGCAGCAGGCCCTTCCGATGATGATTGTACCTATAGTAACTCCTTAACTATCACTATTAATGTGGCTTTTCTTGGATAACTATTGTTTTCTTCCTCCAAGATATATGTATCTGCTTACGATAATTTTGAGTAGTTGTCTTTCTAATTGTGCTCTCGTAATTTTTAATGATTTTTTTTCTCGTCACGATCACATCTTTGTTTGGGTTCGTTCTGGCATGCATTACAGCTAACGAGGAGCACTGCGCATTTTTCCGAGACTAGTCTGAACTTGCCTTGCAACAGCTATCCGTATCGAAACTTTATGTGATTACCAAGTAATTTTCAGCTTTTAAAAGAAGCATGCGGTGTTCAAAATCAAAGAAAAAAAAACCAATTTTGTCTTTTAAAAATTATTCGATCGGTATGTTGTAAAGAAGTACTTTTTAGAAAGCCGTTTTATTATTCAAACATCAATGTTTTTTCAACCTGATTTATTAATCCTGCCGAGAGACCCGGCCAGTACAGTAGCTAGCTATAGCAGCTGGCAACAACAACCCCATGGGGCGAACTGCCTTGCAACCCATATTTATATCAGCAGTTCGGATTGATTCAGGATGAGCTAGAATATGATTGGTAACAATTAAATACTTAAGATTTAAGGTGGATTGATTTTAGTGGTGTGCAAAACTGCAATTTCTTACATAGTTCGTTATTTTTTTTCGGAGCGTCGGTTCTCAAAAAACGAAACCGGGACCCGACGGCAACGGTCGGGTCCCGGTGTGATCGACCGTACCGACTCAAGCCTATATTGAAATCTATCAGAAAGATTACTTTCAAACCAAGATGACAGACAAATTTGAGTGTTGTTTTAGTTTCCGAGTGGAGAGTCAACACACCAATTACTGAGCTGGGAGACATTGCCAGGCATAGCGCCAGGTGGAGGGACATAAATCAAAACTTTTTTTTTGTGTGTGTACCGTGTATAAACCGCACCCCTGACTTTTTTTCGGCGGCAAAAAGGTGCGGTTAATACACCGTTAATTACGGTAGTCTATTGCCCTTGGTACATCATACATGTACATGTGATGTACAGCTGTACTTTTAATTTTTTGGGCCGAATCTCTATCTTAAATATTTCTATACAACAAGAGATTCACAGGATAAAGAACTGCATATAGTATATCAGAGTGATATTAATTTAACATTTAACAATCGATAATAAACTGTATTGTCTCAACCACCCCCCCCCCCCCCATCCCCATCCCCATCCCCATCCCATCCTCTTAAGTCTTATGATTAGAGTACTCTAGACTTAGTTATTAGAGCTTTAGCTATAACTTATATAGACCTAGGTATGTTTACTTACGCCCCTCGACGCAACCTGGGAGAAGAGATATGCCATCTAGAGCAACTCCTTGAGAAGCCACCAAGATAGTATGCCGGACTCCTTCTGCTCCTTCCGCAGACATCTTCTCAAACTCGCTCAGCCATTTCTGCAGCTCGTGGGCAGTTATCGGTGTCGCGTCGATATCTATGGCCGGACCTCTGGGGAGGTTCTTTGGTGGGGAGCCGCACTGGACCTGTTGATGGTTGACGTGGAGTTGATTGGGAGCCGCTACTACCTTGTTTCCGTCTAAATGGAGGTGGAGATTGATATGAACAGGGGGGTCCGTGCCTCCATTTTGTTGGGTCGCAAACGATATCTTGATGGCAGACGATTTGGATGCTAAAACAATGAACACGGTCAAGATTTTGGCAACATACTGAACGGCGGAAACTTTCCGTGGGCCCGCCATTGTACTACTACTGCCGTACCGTCTGTGCACATTGAACTAACTAGAACTCGATTCGATTTTAATTGTGTACGTACCGTACGTTGCTGCAGTTGGCGCTTTACTTGGCATGGGTGGAGGGGCGCTATATACTACGGGGGCGGTACGTGCATTCATGCATTGGCGTTCTCGATCGCCGGTGGATCAATATATGCTACGTGGTCGTACGTGCTTCGCTCCGAAGGCGTATTTCTTACGTAATATATACTTTTTTTGCTATCATAGGCTGATGTGAAATAACTCTCGGAAACACAGAATGCCGTACAATGGCGGGTCAGGGGAGAGAGAGAGAGAGGGAGGGGAGGGGGATGCCTGAAACCCAATCTGTCATACAAAAAGGGAAAGGTAATAATAAACACCAACATTGCGTTATAGACAAAAATATAGCCATGTAGAATTTCACTTTCCTTTTCTTTCCTAGACCTCTATATCCTACTTGTCAGAGATTTTTCAGACCCCCCCCCCCCCATGAATGAGGATGCTGAATCCATCAGTGATTACATCATGCCTTTTTTTTTTTTTAAAGAAAAGTATTGTAATATGATTACATTTTTATTGTAGAATATTAAAGCACAACATAGTTGTTTCTTCATCCAGGCTTATCTAATCATTTGATTTCCTAAGGCACCCAAGTGAAAAACATGTACATGTACATTTAATGTCACCATACAGGGAAGGGTGGGGGCATATTTCTAAAGAATGCTTTTGTTTTTCCACAGGGTCATATTTCCAAACATGCAATATATCTGTAAGGGTCTAATGGCATTTCATTTTTTTGAATTACAATTCTCCAGAGTTATGAACCCAATTTCAATTTAGGAATTACAAACTTTCGGCCAATAAAATTTCAGAATGATGAGGCATTGCATGAGCGTGTGCAGGATTTTGTGATGAGGGAGGAGGGGTTGAAACATGTTTTTTGTCCCAGAAGATTGTGCTTACACTTACTTGTCATTTGATCGCATTATGTTGTTTTCCCTTATCCTGGATAGATAGTAACTAAAATCTTGTCCAATTTACCAACTTGTTAAAAGTATACTGGTAATCAAGACTGTCGAGAACGAATTATCTACTGCATGTTGTCCTAAATTTGTGAGTCTCTTTTTCTTCCCCCCCCCCCTTTTTTGGGGGGGGGGGGGTGGTTCAGGTGTGAGGAAATCTTCAGCTCTCAAAGCCCCCCCCCCCCCCTCCAAACATGCTAGTGTATTGGATTAATGAACTTTCAGAAGAACGATATGTAACCACAGGAAGTATGCAGATGGCCTTTGAAGCCTTGCTTCTGTAAAGAATCTGTTGATTACATCTTTGTCCTACTATTAATCTATTTGTATTTTGAAAAAGATTTTGATCATGAGATGTGGTCTGACAAGTCTTTGTCAAATCAATATATTGGATTAGATATGTTGGCTAAGAAGTTAAAGAGTATTTTAATCTATCTCATTCATAAGTGCCAACGGCTGTTCATAAAACTATTTAAGGGAATACGACTATTCATCTAACTTTCTATAAGTCTTCCACACATCCTCGTATTCTTCCCACTTCCAATCCATTTTTGTTTTTTTCTCTCTGCTTCTTCACGTTCTCTCTCTCTTCTCTCTCATCCTTTAAACATAATTTAGTGTTTAACTTTGTCCAGGCCCATAGCACTTTTTCATGGACTGCTTTCTCCACTCCCTCCACTCCCTCGGTCTCTATCTGATGATGAGGACCACCACAATTTAATTATTTGTAATACAATTTTGAGGAAGAAAATTATATTTGATTTGGAAAGCAAAAGTGCAAGTCATTATAAAATCCAATCCCAGTTAACCAACAGTGTTTTTTGTATTAACAAAACTTCATCAGCAGTACAATCACAAACATGCAACATTCTGCAACATTGTCAATTCCACAACATAAACCATGGCACAAATAAAGGTCATCAAATGCTTGTTTTGAATCTTTTTTGTACAAAATCTGCCAACTTCACATCTTTTAATATCCTTATTTCAATTCAATATTTTTTTGTGTCTGCTTCTGTTTACAAATCATCAAATATATCTATATATAATCATATTAAATGATAATAAAATGACAGGAATGATATACATGTGAGGTTGGATAATAATACATATATGTATAGATATATAGATATTGTACAAACTGGAACAAATATACACAAATAAGTAAAAAAGAAAAAAGGAAAATGCTGTACATACAGTAGTACAAACTTATCTGTTTTTAAAACAAAATCGTTGAAGCAAAATTATACATTCTCACATAATCTTTTAAACGTACTGACTTTTTCTATCATATCATTATAACTGCTTTTTTGGTAAACTTGCTGTAGTAGTGTGTATCCAGCACTAATAGAATACTTAAAACAAACCTATTTTTACATACACATTACATTGTCAGTATTGCATTAGTACAAACATAATAAATACATTATCTGAAAGCTAAAACACAAGATCTTACTATAACATCACATTTGGCTTCATTCTTTAATATTGTTAAACTGGTTTCCCCAAATTGTAAGAGATGGTACAAGAGGATGACGGGTAATCACGAAACCTAAAAGTTTGTGGTTTTGAAAAGCTTTACAAGTATGAGAATCTCTTGTCAGGCATCAAAATCCCCACTGGAAACCATGCTATCGTCCGTTTGAAGCCAGAAAGGCAATAACCCATATACTTTAGAACATAATTAACACCCTTCTGGCACTGAACAGAAAATGTCATCTGTTTGGGGCAGAAGGGCATTGACTCATCTCATTTTACACAGAGTTAATGCCTTTATGGCTCCAAACAGACGATATACACTTCACTTCAGTAACTACATACTTCTGCTCACATCAATGAAAAAAACTGCATTTAATTTTTGTTTGTTAAAAACATGAATCACACATGGAATTTACATTGTGGATTTATTTCTCTTCTTAAACAGACTACACATTTGTAAAGTAGTACATGGGAGAGAGGGAGACATGTGAAATTGGTGAAGATTTTAACTTTTCATATTCAGATTTCAAAGCAAAACAGCATGGACCCCTTTGGCTTTCACTGATGTTAACATTTGTATACCGTAATCACTGAGTGGATAAGGAGACAGTGAGTTGAACCACAGAATCTCTTATCACATCTTTTCAAAGAGAGAAGGGGAAATAAAAAATGTAGAAAGAAAAATGGGGAATACACCAATAATATCATTATTAGTTTTCAATGTATAGAACCAAGTGAAAAGCTAAAATTTAAACTATTATAAGAAACGGTGAGTATAAAGGTTAAGATATACATAGTCTATTAAAAAAAATCTTTAAAAAGAAAAGAAATATGCACGAAAGACAAAGTCGTAAAGTAACAAACATTACCTATTATATCCTATTAGATTACCCTGCAAATTAATTAGATGTTTTATTTGGAAATTCAAATGAACCTTATTGTAATATTAAAAGAAAATTACTGAATACATTGTCAAATTAGTGTTCCCTTGTAATATGTGAGTGAATACATTTGAGTGAAGAACATAATTCATTTTCCTGTCTGCTGTGGAAAAAAATAGAAACTTAAAAAAACAAAAAGCAGAAATCAAACATCATAAAATCTCACAACATGACAGCAAAACATAACCTCTTAAGCAATGTAAGTGGGTGAAAATAATATAAAATAACCCTTCAAGGATACCATATTGTTTCTTTGAGCAAACAACCCCAATGGATAAATGGGTATTAGATCACGCACACATACACACACACACATACATACACATATCAGAACTGAAATCTATAATCATTTTGATATCAAGTGAAAAGGAAAACTTCACATTTCCTGCAATTGAATGGATTTCCAGGTCTACACACGCAGTCAGGATTAATCATCATAAAGCCAAAGACAAAAAAAAAAACAATATAAAAAGGAACAACACAACACACAGGCAGACAAGGATACATAATCTGGAATCTCCATACAATAGAGGTCTTCATAAAGAAAGCTATCCAGGATAACTGGTCATAAAAATATATTTGTCTGTTACTTTCAAAAGTGCAATATATACAGACACAATTCAGTTTACAAATCATAATATTGACTCTGCAAATGCAATGTTGATAACAACAAAATTTCTGATGGAATGGAATTCAAAGGAATAAGAATCAATGGTAATAAAATGCGATGTGAATAGGGGTGTGAAGTTGCACCAGAAATTACACAGGATGAATACAAAACAATAACATCCTAAGACAATTAGTACTATTACGCTCAGTACATTACATTACACATACATATACTTATGAATATATTACCCTCTCAGATTTCTCTCTTCTACAAATATTAAACACACTTACTCAGACAAAACTTTTACTACCACAGTGCCCACTACTTTTTGCCAATGTAAAAGAATAATGTCCTTTCAAAGACCTAAGATTTTCTGAACATTCAATTTTATCTTTGAACCACAAAATGTATATTTTCAAATATATTCTTAAATAAAAGTGCTATGGCATCAAACTTTGGACAATAGAAAATATGTCTTCTTTAATGTAACAAAGACATTTGTTTTGAGATATTTCTTAGATCATTAACGTTGAATAGCGGGATGGACTAAATTTTCATACATTACATGTTACTGTAATCATAACTTCTGATCTATTTCATTCGGTGGCAAATGGAATTTGACCCCCTACAATCTGTAGAAAAGTTGATGATCAAATTATGGACCACTTTCACTGCTAATATATCAGAGGTATTGCAGTCGTAAATCTTTCCTAATCTTAAATGTGAATAATGCGAATACATGTGCGAGGACAAGCAGGTGAGATATTGAATACATGTATTTGATAATCAAATCAGTAATGGTGAATCAGTGAATACATTAGGGTGTCAGGAATATTTCAAACTCCTGCAACTTAAAGAAAATTAAATTTTAAAAAAGGTTTCCTAATTGCTGTGTTTCACACTTTTGGAAATTCATATCACTTTTATGACATCTTTGGCACGTGACATGATATCTTCTCCACAGAATAATGAAGAAGTTATCCACATGTGTGAGAATGAGAGGTGGGGGTGATAACAAGCTGGTACCGTAAATTAAAGAAAACTCATCATTCATAGATGTGGCCAACTTTGTTTGTTTTTTTAATCCAAAATCATCTTTATAAAGTAATCCTTGCAATAAGATTTTTTCACTATAAGCATTGATTCAGGAAAGAAAAATGATGTATGTTAATGCTAGTTATCATACCACCAATCTAATATCTGAAGAGGGATACAAAATTTCTTCTTTCTTTCTTCTTTCAGAGTCTAGATTTGTTTTTCAAATGTCAAAATAAATACTAAGGAAGTGGAAGCCTGACACTGATTACAACAAGATCTTTCAATGCTTTCAATTGACCGTGGAGAGGAACAAAACAATACACCGTTTGGTCCGTCCCTCCTACCAGAACCCTGTACTCTCAAAGACCTTGGGTACGACCCCAAGGCCAAATTCTACGTCCTGTACTTGATAGGACTTGTGTAATGGCTTGAGGAGAAGAAGAGAAATAGGAAGGGTGTAAACAGTAGATGCAGCTGTGCATTTTGCAGCAGGTATGCACGCAAGCAGGGCTTAGTAGGCAGGATGCATTGATTTTGGAGTATCAGAACTCAAAGATCACACACCCACAAAAAAAATCACTGGACTTTTATACGACCACAGTCACTTGAATGTTTATGAATGATCACTGCAAACCCTTTAAGTATCTGCTTTAGAAACAAATAATTTGAATCAGTACTCATACCACCAGCAGCAAAAATCACAATGACTATATTTCCTTTTTGGTTTCATCAACCTGACGAATACTGATCATTTAAAAACAGAAAATTTCGACACATAACGATCAGTATCCTACAAATCCACAACACCTGAATGCAAGAATGGCATATTTCAAATAAATATTCTTCTCCAACTGCTGTACAGACTTTGAAAGAGAGCCCTTTCATACACAATTCCATCACAGTATCCTATCAACACACCTGAAATAGAACATGATTCAAATACACTGCACCATCTTCTCATACTTCCTACATCTTGTTGATCTGGTTTTACTTCCCATATCTATAATTTTTTTCTTTTGTCAATCAGAAAAGATATTCTATCCCAAGCTGCACAGATGCTGCTAGGTCTCCTCTTAACTGGATTCCACACTCGTATGTCTTTCTGTGCATCCCAAGTGAAGTATTGGTGTCCATGTGGATCATTCCTCATTACAATCTCAATATTCATTTCACAATTCATGTTTATCTTTTTTTTTTAATAGTACTGCTATCTTAGTACTCCTTAAAAAGATATGTAAGTTTGATTAATCTATAATACACTACACTAATTGGCTTCACCTATGGCCGGTATTGTATATTTCTCACTAGTTTCATTGTCTCGACTGCAGCACTGGTTTATTTGACATGACCTGAGATTAACAAACCACATTGGCCATATTCTTGAAAGCATTCCAACTTTAATAAGCCAAGCTTAATCCACCGACTACAGAATTACTGGTATATCAGTTCTATCGACATAATACAGGGACTACTCGGTTCTCGAAGGCTAAGGATTAACTGTGTTCACTAATTTAGAGGAGGCCAAGTGTCAAACAATTCCTTCCATATCATTAAGTGTAGTGAAAATTGCATTAATATCATAAAGGAAAAAAGAATTTGGTCTTGAAATAAAAAAATGAAAATGAACTTTACAGCTACTAAATATTTGTATTTTCCTTAATTTACAGCATGAGATTTTCATGGAACGAAGTGGATGACACTTGGGACTTCATAGATTACTGTTTAAGCCGATACTTTTGCCTAAAGAAACTTTAAAGATGACATGAACACTGTCGTTATCAAGAGTTGTTATTGCAATATGTAACACAGGCTACTTACAATAAATCTTCGCACAATGCATACCAGCTCATGTTCGCATGTGGATTGCTTGTTGTTAAATTTACAACCCTACAATACAAAAAATAGCAAAATTCCATAAACTAACAGCTTATACAGTAATTTATTGACTATTTAAAGTCTGGTACACACAAAGCATAAAGTTGGTCTGCTTTCAAGAATACTGAACACAATATTTATGGGAAAAAACACACTGATTCTTGACTACAACATAGCAATACTATCTCCAGCTGAATAGGAGAGAGAGAGAGAGAGAGAGAGCATTCTTCCTTATCAATGCTTGTTATTAATCTGACCCACCTTAGTATTTATTTGTACAGAGTGTGTCAATAGTGCAAACAAGCATACAAGAGTATTATTGAATGGCAAGAGATATCTAGACGAGTGCTCACAATTTAGAGTGAGAGATTCGGTCTAACCTATCTTTTTCAATAAGAACGAATATTTTGTGTACCGGTATTTGAAAATAATGTGATGTGGATTCCTCTAACACCATTACCGGGTAGTCTTTTTCTATTTTTTTTATTTGATTTGGGCGAGGTTTTTTCATAAGTTTCATAAAACACACTTCAAAATCGGCTTTGAAAAATGAATGTGGGGTAATTCCATCATTTGCCGACACAGACCATAAGAAATGCTGTTTACAACCAACAGGTCACGCATAATTCAACACCTAGAAAAATCTGTTTTAAAGTAATACAGAAAGCATTTAATTTTCTGTTTCATTATCACTTCACTGATCTTATATGTACTATAAATGACAAGCTTACCGGTAAATGAGAAAATAAATGGTTTTCAATATGTCGGGGAAAAAATTAAAATACATACATATCAAAGTACATTTTCTTGCATTACTTTTAAGAATGAAAGCCATTCATTCATTTACTAAACTAATGCAGCACCTTATTCAGTAAAACAATAAAAAAAGGCAACTCATAATGCAATACATAATTCCCTGCAAAAATATCTTCACACTTTCACTAAAGCAAATAACCATACACTAAGATAGCTAGATCATCTTTTAAAAACTGTTTTCCACTCTTCATAACTGTTTGACACATTTTGCCTCATTTCATGATGAGACAAGGAAACCATTCTTAAACTACTCCTTTTTTTTAAAACTTAACAAGAAAACCCTCCTTTTGTCTTAAGATAGTGTCAACCATTTTTAAGCAACTAGATGACGCCAAAACAAATTGTACGTACTACACTCCCACACAAGCTAAATATGGAAGATAGTAAACATAAAAAGAACGTTTGAGCTTAACTTTTCAGCGAAACAATCAACACAGGACTGCTTTACATGTTTCATAAAATGAGGATATAATTATTTTTATAAAACTTTTCAAACTTGTAAAGAATTTTCATCCAAACGGAAAAGAAGAGGACCCAATTTTTTTTTTTGTGAAAAAATATACCCTTTCACTAATACTGCAACTATCTAAAAGTGTCGTAATATAATCAGTAACTCTTTGAGAGTCTGTATAACATTTTCTCTTTTTCAATGCCGTGATTTGATATATGCAACTCTCTAATGAGGATATTATTTTAGATTGACAATAACTGCAAATGGTTGAGACTTCTTTCAACAAAAAAGAGGCTACCAATAGACCAAATTGTTATGGCTATCTGACAGGTAATTTTTTTGTTGGAAAAAAAATCAAAGACAAGATATCATTCAACATGAAATTATCAATAATGAGATCAACAAAATCTCAGATCTAAAGTAGCTCTCAGTCTCATCCAACATTATTCCCTGGAAATTGACACAAAATTCAGACATAAGGAATTGAATACCAATACATTTGATCATGTTTTATATGACATGAAGGATTGGATGGGGGGATTATTTTGATATGTAATAGGCATTGAAATATTTCAAAAAATGATGAGGCCACTTTAAAAGAATAGTCATGACATTATAATTCATAATGGGCAAACTTGTCTGAACAAAGTGATATAAATGATGACATAGAACATTTACTACTTATCCACTATCATCAGCATAATGTATTTGCCAACAGAAAGAAATTGTGTTCAGATAAATCATAAATGTCAAGAAGTTGATACAAATAAGTCCCCGACACCAAATTCCAATAAGCCAGTTCGTAAATATAGCTTCGGTACACATGACCCCCAAATATCCACTGATCTTTAACACGATGGATATGTCCCACTTGTGCATTTTAGAATAATTACTGCCGAAGTTATGGAGGTGCTTCATGAATACCTTCTGTTTGCCTCTTGAAAAGAATACTTCCACCTGTGTATCGTATAAATGTACTGTCGGTGCATAAATGAATACTGATACTTTCACGAGCACGATACCAGTATGTGTCTGGTTTTACAATTTGGGAACAAATGACCTTTACCTGCCAATGCGCAGATAGTATTCACAAACTGGCTCATTAGAATTAAAAAATCAATTCATATATTTGTTATTATATACGTTAGTTGGAAGAATACAAACTATACAGTAAACTGAGACTTTTCTGTTTGGCTAGTGGTGGTTACATTAATCCTACAAAGTTTGCCATCATTTCCTCTGCTAAAGCCTTGATCATAAGAACTCTTTAATAAGGGCATTTACTGAAGGTTCTTTCGTTGGCTTAGCTTCGAGGGTGCGGGTAGGGTCCCTCTTCTGTCCCTCCATATCCTGGTCCAGTAAAGAGGGGCGATTGTTGATGACGACCCCCTGATGATACTGCTGGTGGTGTTGGTGTTGGGGATGGTGTTGGTATTGGTGCTGGTGGGTGGGCGTGGTGTGGTGGTGGTGGTGCTGCTGCTGCGTTGCCTGATGTTGCGATGATTGGTGGTGTGAAACCTGTGACTGTTGCTGGTAGTGGGCATTATATACATGGGACTGCTGTTGATAGGGCTGCTGTTGTTGTTGATGTTGATGCTGATACTTCTGCACCTGCTGTGTTGTTTGAGGCTGGGAGAAGGAGTGCTGGAAGGGTGCATGGTGAGGGGTGGTATTAGATAAGGGGGGCGAGGTGGCACCTGAGGCATTACTGCTGCTGTGGCTACTATAGCTGGCTGTTGATGAGTCTGCGTGGTAACTATGACGTGGTGTAGTGTTGGCTGATGATGATACCCTCCCTAGTGGATAAAAAGACGGAAATTTTGTGAGAAAACATACACAAAATGAAAGATATTCAACATTTCCAATGATGAAACAATATCTTCCCCACTATATCAACTTAATTTTCAATCCATACATTTATTCAGCCCTGAAAATCATATATATTCTTTTAAGGAAATAAATGTCCTCCATGAAATATCATGAAATGTAATAGCCATATTTATTTCATCACAAATTTTGGTGAATCAGTCTACACTTTTCACTCACAATCTAACATTGATTAAGCTTCCTTAAATGGTTACATGAAAAATGAGAACACGCAACATTATAGATATCTTTATTAAAAACTAAAAAGAGCAATGTCCATTTGGGTATTGGATACATAAAACACAATGAGGTGCATTAAGGATATAAAGTCAGTGTGCATATAAAAAATAAACACAAGAATGAAAGGTGATATGATTCTTAAATATTCAACCAGCAATGCAAGAGGAATGTACAAAAGAGTGGTATGATGAAGCATTATCAGCATGCACATCAATTCTTTATTCATTTCCTTAGAAATATGTGCAACAAATTCTGGAACAGGGTGGAGAAGCATTGAATGTCTGAGGATGATGTGCATGGGTTCTTTATAGGGTACATGTACATGTTTTAAGTCTCATTCTTGAGAAATTCAAAGCAGTTGCAAGGGAAAGTAGGGTCCAGCTAGATACATTTATACAATTAAAGAATAATTAATATTCAGCACTTATAGCAATCGAGCCTAAGTCAATTCCTTTTCTTTTCTTTTCTTTTCTTTTTGAAAATGTAAACCTATTATTATGAAAAGCAATTTGCGTAACTGATCTTCTTAAAACCAGCACACTAAAAAATTAACAGAATAGGATTTTGAAAAGAAATAAAAAAAACTTACATAAATATATCAATCAGGAGAATAAAATGCCATGGAGCGAACATCATTCATCAATAATAATCTTTATATTGCTTGAGCTACTCAAGTAAATTGTCGAGTGGGCTATCATTAGGCAAGGGAGTTATAAGGAGCTTTGCGATAAGCAACATAAACCAGCTTATTTTTAAAAGATTATTGTTCTTGCTTTTATTTTGATACACATTTCATATTCCCATTTATAGATGCATAGCAGAATAGTCAAACTGGCCCCTATAAGTAAGCGTACCGTAAGGATCTTATGCTATGCTTTGATGTTTTAATATATCCAATGAGAAATTCAATATGTTTAGTGCAGTTCATTACTTCTCTCATTTGTGAGAGAAGTTAGGAAATAAAGATGTCTTAGGATAATCTTCTAAAAGAAGGAGTATATTAAAAAGCTTTATTAATACAAGCTTTATTGAATAGTACAAGGAATATGAATTGAAGCATAGTAATATTGATATAATGAGAAGAGAGGAGTGCTGCAGAGAACATTTATCAAACAGTAAGAGAATATAAAGATGAAGAAAAAATGTTGCATAATATCATTGCAGCACGGACAAGCAGGATAGGAGAAAAAGGTTGAAAGCGCTTTTGCTATGAGTAAACGGGGATATAAAGGACTTCACAACTACCATGGTATCACAATCTATACACAGGATACTTCAGTATGAATGCATATGGATGAGATGATATCTAATGACAACCCTTAAGTCAACCCATAGCTAGTTGAGAGAGAGATAGTTGCGTCAACGGACACTACTCCTGATTGGTCAGTCATTCAATGGAGCTCTGAATAGTTCCCCCTCGCATTGAGACTGGGCATGGAAGGAAACTGTTCAGAGCTCTATAATTTGACCTACAACCACGATCATGTATGCCTGTATGCGTGTGTGACAACTATCTCTCTCTCTCAGTATGCTACGGTCAACCCACCCCTATGGTGTGAGATATAGAGGGAACTCACGATGAGGTGATTCATTTGAAGACTGGTTCTGGGGTGTGAGGTATACTCTGGAGTGAGGGCGGGGTCGGGCACAGATGTCAAGCGAGGAAGGCCTCTCCATCTGTGAATCTCCCACTGCACAACAGAGATACAACCACACAGTCAGCATTCACATCAACCACAAATAAGCCCCATTAACACATGACCAGGTAAACCACTTTAAAAAAAAACTGACTCAGTGAAATAACACATTTTGTGTGTAAACACATCAGTAATTGGGAGCAAAAACAGAAGAGCTGTGCCTAACAAAAGTGTACATCCATAGGCTGTGATCTCTGTGTTAAATTATTTAGATTTGTACAGCAAATTAGTCTCAAGTCAATCTATTTTGCCATGGCGGTTTTTATCAAAGGAGTTTACCGTATCAGGTCTAAATGGGGCTTTAATATCAGGTGTGAAGGTGTGTATGTGGTTGAGAAGAGTATCAAGGGGCCATTGTTGGCATGGAGATCTATTCATCTTCGAGCATGAATGCAGCCATGAATTATCTAAATAGGCAATCTTCTTGTTCTATTTCACACAAAAGGTTGAAAATGGGGGAAATCCCTTTGTAATCTCACCCCACATGCTCTCTAATGAAGATGGAACATTGTATGATCTACAGTCATGTGAATGTTGTATGATGAATTTTAATGATGATGAATTTGCTAAAGTGCCATGGTTTCAACTTAGTCTAGAGGGCTTGACATTTAAAGAGGAAAAAACATCTTTTCATAATTCATTCTTTTCAAGACAACAATGCAAGTATGAAAAGGTCATCATTCAAGACAAACTTATCATGAAAAGTGTGATGTGACAAAAGAATATTGTTTAGAATGACTGCATTACATTATCTCTTCCTGATTTGCGTTTGTTTTTTGTGAAAAAAAATCATCATCTGTTTCCATGGAATTTTTTCGATTATCAGGTTTTTGAAAACTATGACAACACACATGTATATATTGTATGTGTTTATTTCAATAGTCACATCCAATACTGTTTAAAGATGTTTAAAAACATAATGGTTGTAATATGCAAATAAATATCAGCAATTGACAGTAATGATATCCTAATAAAATTAAAAGCTCTTTCTACTGTCTTTCTTTTAGCTAACATTTGGTAAGTTTTCATGTCAAATGTTTTTGTTTCTTAACATAAAATATATTTGATGCTTTGCTTTTCTCTCTTTTCTAAAAAAAAGTGTTTGCACATATATATTTTTTTTGGCTTTTGCAAATTTGAAATATCAGCAATTTAAAGTAAACTTATGTAAATTAAAAGAGGAAAAAAGTTATAAATCAATGAAAAGACAGAAAAGAACATCATTTCATATACTCCTACTAGCTTAAAATTGAATATTTAATTAGAATCTCATCAAAACCTATATTAAGATTGCAGGAATTTGCCAATAAGAGACAATGAATTGAATTGAGGAGAAAATATTAAAAAGTCTAAAATCATTTCATGACCCAGTTAGAAAACTGACCTACTTCTACTAACTAGTATGCAGCCAATTAATTGAATCATGCAAAAAACAAAAAAATCTATATGTAAGACGAACATTCTAATTTCATAACACAGAGCAGATTCAGCTCAGATATGGTATATTTTTTGCCTGTAGGTGAAGTGTCAAAGCTAACACTACATGACTGGACTGTGTCAAATGTAAATACACACTGATTATCATTACTAAGTCCAAGTTTAATGTCAATATGAATTTCCAGAATTTAACTTAACATAATAACGTAATAATATCCAAGTTTGGAAGCGCTTAGAGACTTATTGTGATTTGCGCTATATAAAAGCTGAATATTATTATTATTATTATAAAGATGATTAAAAGCTATAATGTAGATACCATATCTGAGCTAACCTACTGTGTATGTGACTCTTGCATCTGCACTCTAAGTGTGTCACTACGTGGGAATCATGAAAACAATGCTTGAAAATTGATAAAAATGGAGGGGATTCACTTCAAGATTAGGTTTCTTGCAGGAGGAGATGAAAGACCACACTTACCAAAGCTAGTCCTGCGGGGAGGAACTTGAGGTGGGCTCCTGAACGGTGAGGACACATCCGATCCTGGACTACATGTACTCCACTGATCCCCGGTACTGTCCCACTTGGTAGATGGTGTTGAGCTATCAGACGGTGTTCTTGTCCTACGCATACTGTTCAGGTTATCATCAGCCGATGCTGTGCGTCTGTGAGTCCTGACCGTCGGCAACGGTTGTTCGTCATTGGGTAACGAGTCTCTATGATCAAGGTAAGCAGGGTTCTGTTTCACTAATAACTGCGTAGGAGGAGGTGGTTGATGGTTGTTCGTAGCATTCGTGTCATTCCACATCCCGGTGCTCGGAGGCGCCGCAACCCAGTTCTTTGTCAGGTTTGCCGTCGAGCTGATGGATAGGTAGTCCTCGTCTTCTAAACCGTTCATGTCGTTGTCGCTGGTCTGCGTGCTGACCTCGTCTGCCGACGCCTGCTTGGCATATTCCTTTCTCCGATGCTCAAGCTCTCCGCTCTGGTAGATGGCCAGATTAGTAGTGCGGACATCGTACCCTAGGGCCACCGAGGCCAGGATTGCAGCAGCGCCGTACAGACCCGTCTCGGCCATTCCTGGTTTACTTGACTTGCGTCTTAGAGAATCTCTCTTAGGGTCGTGGGTGTCCTCGTCTTCATGGTCCGGTGTGGGACCAACGTCTAGCCAGTTAGGCTTAGGGTTGGCTAGACTCACTTGCCAGTTACCATCTACAGTGTACCAGAAAATATGAAAAGTTATGCTATGAATAAGCACAAACATTAAGAAAATTGAAATTGTTAGAGGTGATTTCTGACTGTTTAATAATAAAATGTTTAAAACTAGGATTCAATATAAAACTAAACATCTATCAATTAAACAGCTGCCCTTATAAGGTCATGACCTTGATAATCTGGACCAACTTTCACAAAAGTAACAATTTCTTTTGATAGCACTCATGAAATTCCTGCAATTCCTTCACCTGTTGATTATTCAAAAACAGTATATCATCCATACATCTTTCAATCAGATCATAATTCTCATCAATTTTATTTGAACAGACTTGTGAATTAGCAATTCTGGATGCTCCTTGTCAGCATAAGACCATTGCTAGCTAGTACAAGTGTGATTGATCAAGGTCTGCATTTAGTTGAAAGATGTCACACTTGATCAGTTGATTTAATCACACAATTTCATCACCTTCTATTAGACTATCTACCATAATCTGCTACATTTCAAGGTTCATGCACTGGTGGAAATGTTTATGACACTCTCCTGTGATCAATTGTGTATAATTTTATCTCACAATGGGGAGGAAAATATTGAAGGAAAAAAAATGTTGTCATTATTTGGAATTTCAAGCATTTTGCCTTCTTATTACATTGATTGATTTATTCATTTTTGGCAAAAGCAGGAAAAAGGAGGTGTCATATTTCTTCTAATCTAATAAAAAAAAAAAGTTTTCTTTGGAGATCCGTTAATTTCACCGGACTGCTGTTTTCTTTGTTATCTTACTACCCCCAATACTCGGTCTCATTTTGCATCATCCCATCCCATCTCCAAAGTTCAATCATGCCTGTAACCCATTTGCTACAGACCAACACAGCCATCTGTCTGAAGCCTTACCTAGCATCGGTGAGAGTGGCGACTTGCCATGGATGAGGTTGGGGGCGCTAGTGAACTTCTTGGCAGTAGCTTCTGACAGTGTATGAGGACGGAATGTCTTCTGGCGTGTTTTCCGTTGCATTGTGCTTGGACCCCATGTCTTCCCCTTTGGCTGTTCCTTTGGTACTGTAAGCAGCGTGAGACAAAATTGATTATTTGAAATTCAATCTCTCTGTGTCCAATAGAAATCTACTGTGCCCACTGTAAATGATACGTCTATCATTTCTGTTCTTTTAGTCTGTCTTTGTAATTTTCTCTCATTGTCTTTCCTTGTGCTTCTCTCGCTCTCTTTTTAGAACTCTCTACTGGTAACTTAGACTCTTTATCTTTCTTTTTCTGTACCTCTTGATCAATAACCAAAACAGAATATTCTGAAAATTATTTATTTCTCAAATTCTTACAATTTAGTGATATCATATAATAATTAAGAATGTCACTTTAGTAAGATTCTTTTCATTTCAGCCAGTCACCAACTTACAGGTGCAATTTGATAATCAAACAATTCTCACATCCTATTAGGTACCCATTTAACACCTGGGTAGAGAGAAGCAACGTCTATAACGCCTTGCTTAAGGGCTTAAGTGCCAAGCCAGGGACCTAACCCCACAAGCTTTGCATCTCCCGTCAAGTAGTTATACCATTCAACTACAACATCTTGTTCCTTATGATTTGCTGATGACTGTTAAAGAGACATTGAAAAAGGAAAGTTGTAAGCACACTGCACATCTTCATTTATTTATTTATCTATTCATTTATTTGCAGTTTTATTTTTACAGGGTAGCATTGTCAGTTTACAAAACTACTTTCCACATTGGCCCTGTTGGCCTAGACAATAATATGATAAAAGATTAAAATTATAGCTTCAGCTTTGATCATACTTGGAAACAAAAATCAATCCATGGCTCACAATGATTTTCTATAAGGTCAATGAATAAGATATTTGAAAATAATTTGACATTGTATGCCTGCTGGCCATAGAAGAGGTATAATCGGCTAAAAATAAAAACCATCTGTATGCCCATCAGACATCACCATGAACCAGAACTGATTGGGCCTCTTCTACCACTAGAGGGCCTCCTACACCCAGCAATTTAGATTATACTTTTTATATGACTTTTTGTAACATTAATCAATATTTTCTATTTTTCCTTTATCTACTCCTTTTTTCTTCTAAAATGTGGTCAGTCTGATCTTACATGCTCACATGACGTTAACCAACTGAAAGGAAAAAAGTATGGCAACCAAGTCTGAAAATGATTAGCTGCATGCAATAAATGCCTCTAGGGGTACTTTCTTATCGCTGTCTTATAAGATATTGATACGTAAAGTGTGCTACACTTATGTAATGTATATCTCCTGCCCTATTTTTTTTTAAGGCACTTTGCCGCTGCAAGTGTTAATGCAGAAGGTTGAGTTCTGTCATGCAATTGCAGTGTGAAAGAAACAGTGTGGAACTGATCAGAAAAGGTTGATCATCTAGCATATAAGTATTGGTGTTTCTTGCAAGGTTTTGGAATCATCAAAACGACAAGAAATAGGCCCAGTCTTGGTAAAGTTACAAGCACTGTACACAGAAAAATGGATATGGGACTACACAAACATATGGCGTAAAAATCTGTCCAATTTTTATGCTGTTATACATGCCATATTTCGAATATTAAGGCATTTGAAGAGCCATGCTTTTCAGGGAACATTTTTAATCTGATGTTCTTACACACTGTAATAACAATGATAACGCTCACAAAATATTGTTCACCTCTTCCCAGAACTGAACCTTCTCTTTAAGGTATGCAGTAGCATATACTTACATGCAAAGACCCGTAACCTAGGAATGGGGCTCTTGGGTGGACTCTCCTCTGGACTGAGGTGTGATGAACGGGGGTCTCCTCCGCCACGCTGGAAGGAGGGGTCAGCCTTTACTGTCAATTTATGATGGAAATCTGGACAGGGATTTAAGAATAAACAGTAAAACAAAATAACATTTAAAGCAAATTACAATGATTAGAGAATAAAACACATAACAAGATCAAAGTGGTGAATAAAACCTAGTAGTGAAATGAAATCTTGAAAAGTTTTTGACTTAATTTTGTTTCCGTTTCATTTTTTTGTTTGTTTTGTTGTTGTTGTTGTTCAAAGATGTACGGAAGCAGCATAACAATTAAGGGCTTCCAGTAAGACCAGATGATAACTGCAGTAACATCAATCCGCATTCAACAAGACTAAATTACATTTATAAGGCAGGGTAGGGGTGGTTATCTGGGCAAAATATTTCACTAAAATGCAACCATGTGATGCTCTTCCAAAGAAGAAAGGTCATGTTAACATCCTCAAATTAGTGATGCAATTCTAGGTGTAAGCCACACCATTGCCAGTTGAAGATCTCTTCTGTTGCTTTAATATACTCTGTATATTTACAATCATTACTATGCACATATACATACATCATTGTATTGACATCCATCAAAGGAAAGGACATTTTCAATTTACTGGTATAGAGGGGGGACCAAGAGAAGCTACAGTATGTCACTGATTAATGTGTGTATTGACAGAGGAATTATCCCGTCATGAGTCCAGCAGTCCATAGCAATTTGACAAATCACACCTCAAAAAGGTAATTAATCTTTCAGAAAAACCACAACAACCACATTCTGATCAGAAGCTGTAAAGCATGATTCCTAAGATAGGACGATGTGGTGGGAGTTTCCAAGAAAAAAAAATGATATCAATAGAGTATTTGTGTCATGAAATTCAGGATATGAACAATATGCACAAAGAATGTATTTATTGACTAATTGCAATTAACATAAACTGGGGTAGACGTGAACTTAATGAGCAGAGTTTGGGTCCATTTTTCATAGGAATAATTTGTTTAATCATCCACGATTATAATTATCTTTAAAGGTAAATAAAGGTATGTCACATTATCATAATCATACACAAGTAAAGCATGGATGGGTTTCTGTTTAATAATGTAACATTTCATTTCATTTCTTTAGAGGAGGTTGTGCATGCCAATGAATTGTTCATCTTTTCAAAATTATATTATCAATTACATTCTGCATATAAATAAACCATTGCCCATTGCAAAAGGCGACTACCGCACTGTATTTGTTAACCACAAGTAACTTCCCGTTCATATGTGATTTCAGTCCTGCAAAACACAAACATCTTGCAAAAATTAATTGCACCTTACAATGAATTGCATCTAACTGTAAAATACATGTTACACTGACTGAAATCTAATATTGATTTTGAAGATATTGAGAGTAGACACGATAAACAAATTTGGGGGGTACAGTCAAATAAATCCCTTAATGTTACAATGCTCAGGTGAACTTTTATGCAGAAAATCGATGCAATCTCATTCAATCCTACTCCTAATTTACAAAGAAGCTACGTGATCAAATTCCTAACTATTGTAATGCTAATGTTCATACTCGGCTCATGTTAGTTATCAAGGGACAGCGATCTTGGATAGATTTCCATTTTAAATATATCCTCCTAATATGAATTTCCTTTTCAAGTACAAGGCCCTGTGAACTTTGATGCATATTATCCTCATGACAGTAGACCTTTAGGTATACATAACCCACAGCATTCTCTCACATCCATGTCCTATAAAACTCTACCTACTTAAAGAATTGTAAACAGACGGTGAAAAGAAAATCAATCAATTCATCGTAATATTCCCACACATACACAGGGGAGAAAAAGAACTCCCTCCACAAACACTTCATATGCTACTCACAACCAGCACAAAGGGGAAAATGCCAAACACTGAAGCACATTAAACACCGTTTGGAAGGGTTACCAGTTTTTCAAAATCAAACTCTGAACGTGATCTGTTGACACAGACTACGTTCATGAATTGCAGGTGCACTGAGAAATGGCATTCCTCTTTTATCCAAGTTAATCAGGCAAACATGAAGCTCAATGGAATTTCAAATATGGATGAGTGACTTCAATACCTACTAATAATGGATTGCATTTTTAAAGTTCATCCCGGTTAAAGTTTTGAAAGAAGCCTAATACCCTTACCATGACTTTCACAAGGGATATGTATACCACATGTTAATAATATATATGATGCCAATGCTGAGACATTAACAATTTACTTTCAAATGAGAGTGGTTTCAAGTATGAATAAACAGGTGTCTTAAATCTAAAAAAAAAGAAAACAAAGTAAACCTTGTCAAATCTAGTATGATGATTTTTGTTCAGTGTGTTATAAAAGAAGTTTATGCACAAAAACCCAAATTATAAATTGAATACAAATTTTGATTTTGGGAAGGAATTCACTTGGAGTTTGTAGTCTATATCTAAACTATAGTGCCCTAACACTTTGGATTAATTTATCAATTATAGCCCAAGAGTATTAATACCTAGTTGACATATCTCAAAGAATGTATACAATTTGACACAGTCTATAAAAGTAACCAAACTTGACAGACATAAACAAACCCATGAACTGGTCACATTGATTACATTTCTTGCTTTGGAACGAAAACAAGTTATTCTTATTTTCTTACAATTGAAAGCTCATTGAATAGACTTTACCCTTGACTTTTGATTTATTTGATCAGCAAAGAATGCTCTTTGCTTTATTTGCGATGTACATACTTGTTATTCAGATCTAAATTACCAAATTATTAAACCTTGATGTTGTGCTCCTTACTGGACACCCCCCCCCCCCCCCCCATGGGAAGAAGTGTTGTCTTTTTAAGAAAATTCTCCCTACACTATAAATCTGACAACATAATAATATGTATTATAATGTTTTCCTTCACCATGAAAGGCAAACAGAAAAATCATAATAAAAAAACTGTTGAAACCTAACCTACAAAGGAGAGGATAACACAATAGCTTTGCCTTTGGATGGTGGCACAGTTGTCCCAAAAGTTTGCTGACTCTGATATGAAAAACTTTTGCATGCAGGGCCAAATTACTGTAAATTCCAACTGTGCTAACCACATGATTTAAATAAGTACATATGAAAATTCTTTCAAAGTGGCTTCCTAACTCTCTTTAGTCAAGATTATTAAAGGAAACCTCACCTCCAAAGAATAAGTGCAGGTATTCTGAAAACATGAGATGTATTCCTGCCCTTTGATATACATAATTCCTTACGAAAATAGAAAAGAGATATATAAATGAAGATAATTCTTGGCATGATGTAATGCCTTTTAGCATGACAGGGGCGCAGCCATTTTCTTGAAGACTTTTTAAAACAGTAACAAATTCTTTTACTTTTCAATGGGGTACAATTATAGCTGAGAAAAGAATATAACAGGGGACTAATTGTAACTAATTCATTTTAAAATACTAAAATATAGCAGTTGATAAATCTATTACATTCATTAGGAAACCTTCATCCCAGAAGAGCACCAACTTATTAATGCAAGTTGTCTTCTGGCAATTGTAGTACAAAGGATAATAACAGGTGAATGAAATGCTTCATTACCCCACACACACCTGTGAAGGAAGCATCCATAAATTTGAATATGATTCTCATATTACGTCACGTTATCAAGAAAATGGTGATGCCCATGTCATGCTGAAAAACTGTACATTATTCTTGCTTTATGCCTCTCTCATACACCTCGGTGTGGAATCTTGTAGATTAATGGGCAAGAATAAAATGAATCTCTCAAAATAAGTAAATTTATTTCTTGGGGTGAGGTTTCCTTTAAGTACATGATTTGCTGAAATCACTATACACATACCGGAAGCCTATCTAGTTCTACAGTATTGACATGAAGACTCAAATATTTACTATAGAGGGTTCAATCCTAAGACCCACCACTTCCTTTTAATGCAAAAATTCAGTTCCTGGTTGGTTATTGTTGTACACAAAATGAATTTATTGTTCAACCTTATTTTGTCCCCCCCCCCCCCCCACGATGGAATTCCTTCACGATTCTATATGATATTGGAAGTATGTACTGTCTTGCCACTTTCGAAAGATCCCTTTAAACATACTTCTTTTCTAAGTAATATAATATTATTTTACCTATTTAATGACTTTTATGTTTCTCTTCCCATACTGTGATTTTGTAAGCGTTATGTTATTTTTCAAAGTAGCTGTGCGAAGATTTTTAAAAAAAACTTAATTTTCATTATTGCAATTTTATAAAAATTCAATGCTTGGAAACATTCAAAGTAATGATTATTATCAATTACAAAACGCTTATATACAGCCCCGGCATAGCATCTGAGGAGCTCTCTGAACACTGCTGAGATGTGTGACATCACAGGTTGGGTATGATTTTTACGACATGTTGTATGGTTTATAAACCGCCCTCGTGTATTCGCCGACTTTGTCGGCAGCAAGCCAGGTCCGTGTTTAAAAAAAACATGCGGGAAGGCCTTTCATTTAACTGCGAGGTACAGCTGAATGTGTAAGATCATTAATGTAAATTAAAAAACAGTAGAGGACCTAGGATAGAACCTTGTGGTACGCCGTGTAATAGAAGAAAAATTGGAGGAATTATTATTATAAACTACATATTGAGATCTATCAGAAAGATTACTTTCAAACCAAGATGACAGACAAATTGACTGCTGTTATAGTTTACGAGTGGTGATTTAACACATCAATTACTGAGCTGGGAGACATTGCCAGGCATAGCACCAGGTGGAGGGGCATAAATCGATGTACCGTGTATAAACCGCACCCCCGACTTTGAATTTTTTTCGGCGGCAAAAAGGTGCGGTTTATACACCGTTAATTACGGTAAGCTGAATGGCCATGATTATCAGTCAGTTTGAGGGTATCACTGGGGTACTACCCTTCTACATCTACACATAGTTACCTTGAGGAGTACTGATGCGTTTGTTGCTGCGTCTAAGCTTGTTAGCCTTGATCTTGCCGTGCCTCTTCTTAGGGACTGGTTTCTCGTCCTGCTGCTGCTGTGTGATTACCAGGTTGAGTTCCCTCTCCAGGAGCTCGATCTCCCTCTCCGCCAGATCCTGCTCCCTCCTCTTCAGCAGGGCAGCATGGAGCTTCTGCTGGATCTCAGCCTGGGATAGCTCATCCTCTCTCGTCCTCAGCTCCTGCAGGTATCATCATAGCATTATCTCTTATTAAATTTTCTATCTGAGAATCGCGTTGAAAAGAGCCATACTTAAGCTTTTCATCTTGCACTCATCAGATTAAAATGCAAGAATGAAACAGAAAGCCGAAATTGAACAATATAAACAGAAACTTATCTATCTAACAAATGAAAATGTCCAACTTTGGATCTTGCAATTCTACATCAAGAATGTGTAACATTTGTTGACTGATAAACTGTCAACCAAGTGAAATGCATAGAAAGGACACATCCTATCATATTTGAGCATTTTATTTATCTGAATGTATTCATTTATTTTTTTGCAAATGTTGTGATTGTAATATTGGAAATCTCAGGTATCATCAATGCAGTACATCCATAAATACATATTGAAACAAGTATAGTATAGACAATTCACACAATAATATATCTTGGTAAAAGTGATCGAGTCCTGTTGATTCTAATCATCATAACGTGTAGTATGAGTACCCTTCAGCAACTATCCATTTAGTTATCATTCAATATTTGCTTACAAAGAAGAAAACACTGAAAGCATAAGGAGAAAAGAGTGGAATTATGATCAATGAGAAGTTTATCAGAAGAAATGGGAAATGTTAAATTTCAGCCTATAATCGGAATAATCCTACCAGTGACTTGTTGTAAAGCCTTCGCGATCCTTCAAATGCCATCAAATGCCCTCCTTCTTTTCAACCCTATATGGACAAATTATGACAAATGTTAACTCCTTTCTATGACCCTTTATCAAACATCTCCTGAATCAAATCGGCAATGTCATTTCTTTCTTCTTCAAATAGCTTAAAATACCCTCCTAATTTGATTCCTTTACAGATAAATGTTTTACTTCTTTATGACAAACCTTTTCCTTGACCCTGAGTTCATCAAACATCTCTTGAATCTCTTCCTTCCAGTCCTGCTGCATGATATGGAAGGAGTCCTGAGGCGTGTTGATGAACGGAGACTCAGAGATGTCTTTGAGCTGCTGCATGATCTCACTGAACGTCGGCCTTTCATGGGGGTCGTAGTTCCAGCAGTCTGAAAGGGGTAAAATATAGGGTAGAAACAGAGTGAGCGGGTATCTTGCAACGATTTGATTTTGAATGGGAACATGAGGAATAAATCAAAAAAGTCGATATATATTAGAAATGAACCATTCGATGAAGGACATATAATTAAAACCACTTACATGTACCAGTACATATTTGTTTAAAAGGAAGGCAGATATTTCACTTCAAGTCATATTCTCTTTTAAGACATACCCCCTTCCCATCCATACAAGCAACTCAATTCTATATTGGGAGAACTGAGGTATTTGTTCCCAGTTCATTGTGACTGTGCCAAGAACCAGTAAACGCCTGGTAGTAGAATCACTGTCCGGCAAGCAGTAGATGTATGGTTCAAATACCGCTGGTTCCAAGATCTTTTCTGACTCTTTTTATTACAAGATTGAACACACAGTCTTTATTTACTGGGAGCAAGCCAAAATTTCTTACAAGTTTAAACTATTCCCAGGAAGCTGCCGGTAGTCAATTCTATAATACTCCCTATTGCATTACCCTTGCAATTCATTTTTCTCTCTTTGTCTCTCTATATAGCTTTTTATCTTAACTTTCTCGCTCCCACTCCTACTTTTGTACCTGTTCTTGGCCTCGCTGAAAACAGACTATACTAAAGTGTAATCCACATAATGTATCTTTCGCATCTTACGCAGATCTAGGAGAGTAAATTGAGCTAAATTGAGGAGTGGAATACGTATGACATTTGGAGGGTGAACCTGTCCCAACCACTCTCAAATCTTCATGCAACTCCAATATTAAGAAATGGATACCTCGATGTACGATGAAAAGTAGCTAGAGAAATCAATCAAGATCGGAGGAGTATGAGAGCAGGAGATGAAGATGGGTGAGTTGAAGAGAGAAAGGGGGTATTCACATTTCAAAGAATGATGCTAGAATAAAATGTTAATGTACTATTCAGTCATTTGATAAATAGGCATGTCAAGTGCTGGGATAAATGTGAAACATTTGAGAAAAGGTTGAGAAGATAAGGTGTCTTCCATTTAAAAGAATGATGCTAGAAAAAAATGTTAAGAGTTTTAATCCAAAGGTGGGTCATTTGATCAATGACCGAGTCAAGTGAACAGAAAATGTGAAAAGAGCTGAGAAAATGTTAAAGAGAGAAAGGGGTGTCTTCACATTCACAGATTGATGCTAGAAAAAAATGTTGGGGTATTATTCCAAAGATGGGTCATTTGATCAATGAGCGAGCCATGTGAACAGGTAAATGTGAAAGAGTTGAGAAAAGGTTGAGGAGATAAGGGGATATTCACATTTCAAAGAATGATGCAACACAAATGGTTCGGATACAATATGGAATACTTGAAAGGGCAGGGGTCAAGTGCAAGGATAGAAATAGAAGAGAAGGGTAAGGGTTTATTTACACACAAAATTTAAATCGACAACAAATGTTTGGATAAAAACAAATAGATGAGATTCTCAAAGTCCCTTCATGTATGTTAGGCATTTGTTATTTTTTACTAGAGCTCTTCTTCAGCTTTTCTAGAGCTTCATCACTGAATGCCCAAGGGTGTTTCTATCACTGGTGTCTTAGAAGAGTTGAGAATAGGGACGAAGTTGCAATTGTAGATGACTGGAAATATAGAAGACTGTTTATATATAAAAACGTATGCTACAAATATGTTATTCTAGATTTTTTACAAACAGCTACTGCTACATAAAAATTGTTCTCTACAATTTGATGACTGCAAAACACAAATTTAAGATGTTTTCCATGTATCCAGGAAAACGCTTAATCTTGAAGATGTGAATCTTTGATAACGAGATATCAATGGGGATTTGGGATGTGGGAGAAATGGGATCGAGGTCGGTGGAAGATCTATTACCAATGCACACATACATTAATCCTAATGTAGTTTAATAGTCATGCCCAAAGCAAGGCCAAGTATCCTACTTCCTACATAATACATCCAAATGTCAAAAGTTCAACTGCTAGTAAACTTCAATATGGAACACTGCATTCTAGCTAATCCACCATCATTTACCATAGTCACACAAGGAAACATACACCTAATTGAAATGTAGAAAAATTATTTTATTATTATTTTAACAAGAACTGTCCACGATCACCAAAATATGAAATATATCCTTTAAAATAAAGCTCTCCTGGATAGTGTGGGAGGGTGGTTGTTCTGGTTTGCTTGTTAAACTAAGAACAAAAACTCATACCCCCAAATATAGATTTGCTTTCAAGATAGGAATATTATATTGCATTTTGCAGCACTAAGCAACACATAAACTGGAAATTGTAACAAGAAATTCTATACAACTAGCATGAATTGCTTGAATGTAATATCATAAATGAATTATCCTGGCACATAATTGAATTCCTGCTCCTTGGAAGTAGGGATGAAATTTTTGCAGCAGCATGGTAGAACATGATTCCAATTTTATCAGAATTTCTGTATGTTTGTTTGAGTTACATCACGGCAACCGAAAGATAATTTGATTTTTATTTGTGATATTGCTCTGTTGATCAACATTGACTATGGGTCAAATAGTTCTATACTCGCATTGTGTTTTACAAACTGTAAACACAAAGCTATTGAGCATTAGGTATGTCACAGGATATTATTTTCCACTTTTTGGCAATGAACATGTTATGCAAAAGGGTAATTTCCTTAATGCTTAATTATTACAAACAGGATAAGACTTCATGTGTATATGTGCATGTCCCTTTCTATCAGACACGATTATTTGCAAACTCTGCTGCTTTAGACAATTTAGAGCAGAAATGTATTATGAAAATAGCAATTGATTTCTCTAAAAACCTAACCTGATTGTCCCCTTTTCAATTCAAACAAATAATAGAGTAAACCCTAATCTTGTCAAACTTATAATAAAGGAAAATGAAAATAGATTGAAGTGCATAAAATTTTAATTAAAATTCACCAAAGCTGTGAGAAGTCTTTGGCATTCTCGTTTAGCGGATCAGTACCACTGATGGCCTGCAGTGGTCAAGGGATGACCTTTCTAAATACCAGGCATGTACGTCCAAATGCCAATTTCAGCTAGCAAGGGATACTACCTGTGCGAGTTGAGTTGAATTGGTGATTGGCTCTTGATTGTATTGATAACTTTCCTTGAAAGGGAATCATTACATTGTACTGTGCATACAATTTGAAATGGTTATGTACCTTGGACATTTTCAATTATCCATATGGATCTCTAAGAGCTCGATGGTATTTTTTATCTGATAATTCAATCCCTCTGTATTTCTTTTATTTCTATCTGTCCTAAAAATCTAGACATCATTTCATCTGAATAAAAAATAAAACAATCAGATAGAATGTTTCATTTAATAAGTAACCAATACAAAGATAATTCAGAAGATGGACAGAAACTTTTTTTTCTTCTCAACTTAGATATCATTTTCACTTTACAAATTACAATTTCATATCCTAGGCAACCCTCCCCTTCCCCAATTGAAATAAGACATTCATATTGTACTTCCAGGGTGAGACTATCTTTTCATTAGCATTTTACAGAAGTAGGGAACCTGATATGAACTTGTTCGGAATCAAAGAAAAAATCTAAAAATTTTGCTCAATTGCAATACATGTAATACAAACTATGCCCAAAACAGTCCCATCAAATTTCCAAAGAAGCGTTTGGTGTCTGAGACTATCTTTGCATCAGAGATGTAGGGCTGCACGACCGACCCAATGTCTATTTCACCTGAGATGAACTTGCATGGAATGCTACCTACGTACAGTAGCAGGTGTATGGATGCGGGACGAAAGCTATCTAACGAGGAGAGAAGGTGTGAGTTCCACCCTTCAGAAAATGGATTTTAAGATGAGCTGTATATTTCCAAGCTTCGCAAAATCGATAGCATTTAGTGAGAGGAGTTTTCAATGATAGGGGAGTGATAGCTCAATTAATAGTTCATGTTATCTCTGTTACAAACAAACAGGTGGGTGAAGTAGGCTGCAGATAGATAGTTTACTGGCTTGCCATATACATGTGTATCTACAAATCAAATAACAAATATGTTTGCTATTATGGCATGGATTTTCATAGAGTTCATGAGTACAAAGTGCCAGAACTAAGTCAAACTTTACTATAAATTTGAAGGCATGTACCACTTGTGGTAATATACCTAATATCAATTGTTTTCAATTTAAAACAACTTGTTTGCATGCTACAGGAAGAAATGTTCTTGAAATTGCATTTGAATGAGGAATGTAACATGGTGTTGGAAGCTGGTTGTCATTTCATCATGATATGGTAATAAATGAATAAACCTGCAAAGAAATCTAAAACATTTATATCATGGGATAATTTTAAACATACTAGTGTGTGATAGATATGTTTATTTAGATTACATCTAGTGAACAGTCTGAGGGGGGCAGGCGATGTGTTTCTGTCACTAGATATGATAAAAACAACATCATTGATGACCCAAATTCAAGTGACAACCTCTATAAATTTTCCTTCATAATGTAATCCAATCGTACTATTTTGATGGAATTCATGAATATCGTAACTGAAAAAATGCTTGTAGTCAGACTAGCAAGACTGATGCCTTCCATGACCGACTGCAAGAAGAAGAAGCCATTGGAAATACAATCCGCTCTCAAACTCAACTGAGATGTCTATTCCGTAAAGAATATTTCCTCTGTTTTCTACTATCTCAATTCCCTTCACTTTTTTTTATACTATCGTACCGTCTTCCTTCATATGTCTCTCTGTATATCAGTGGAAATTACACAGAAGCGGAGAGTATTTATTGCTCTGCTAAGTGCCAAAAAAGCTCTGAAAAATCCAGCTCTATTGAATATATCAAACATAAAATTTCTGTAAGGACACTAAAAATAAAAGTTCCACTCAACTATAAGGAGTATTTTTCACACCACTGTCACTTTACATTTCTATAAATCTATATTCTCCCTCTCTCTCTTTCTCTCTCTGCCCCCTTTCCTTGGTTCCTTTCTGCTGTTCTTCCTATCTCCCTCT